GAAATAGATCTTTACTTAGCAGTCCACAATAGATAATCCAATTTTTAGGGAGTTATTTTGGCACACACAATGGGATATTGGGAACCCTTTTACCCAGAAGCGATCTCAGAATTACTACATATTGCACAACAATTAGTAATTTATTTGCTATGGGATGCCTAAACCACCTTTTCTCCAAAAGTTATAAGGCTTTTTCTCCCACCAACCCTCCCTTACTTTTGTGCCCCCCAGTCTTGTTTTAACTCGCTCATGCCGCGTCGGTTCCGGGAGGAACCTGGCAAGGGGGAGGTAATGTAGGATACAGCGAGTATGTATGAGCTTATCTGAAGACGTGCGCATAAGAAGTGCAGCACTTCAAGATATACAGCAAGTACCGAGCGCATGTCCTATTCGAAGAGTCGAGAAGGATCCGCGAAGCAATTAGGATCACATGTCCAAAGACGAGCGTGAGCAAGTCAAGGATGATCCAAGCAGCACCAAAGGATCACATTTTCAAACCTTCTATTTTTCAACTTTTGCCTACATAGCATGCCAACCTCAAGGGCAATCGAGAGACCATTGCCAACAAGTATGAACAGCATTGGGGAACGCATCTACTTGCATACAACAATGCAAACATGGCAGCTATTCTATATAAAATCCTAAAAAGACATAGGCAACCTTTTGGGTACAAGACACAATCTTTGAAACAGCCCTCTGACCAAGGGCATCCTATCATTTGGCAGCTATGAGCACCACCATGGACCTGGGCAAGTCAACCAAACTGCGCCACTATGGCAGCTATGAGCGCCAACACAATGACATCATTCATGATCACGATCGATCAAAAAGTCTATCTCGACTCAAATCACAGATCAACCACGATCACGATTGATCAAATCAATCAAATGACATCATACTCAGACATGTGACTAGGGACATCATGCCACCTTCCAACGCCACATGATTACATCAGCATAGATTATGTAATAAAGAACATATACTGGTCAAGATTCGAACCTGGTACTTCACCGCCTCCATGGCATAGTGGCAAGCAGCATGGGGGCAAGCAAGTGGACGATTACAACTGACGATCGCGTTCGATAACCGGTGAAGCCCTCGATTGAAACCAGTATCCGAAGTGATACTGAATGGCCATGGCAGGGCCTTAAATGTCTCTTTTTACAAATCATGCATTTAAACGACCTTAGCACGTCAGTAAACTGTTCAATTTTTGGCAGCTTTGAGCGCCACGAATGATCAAGCACATGTCTTTAAACTGCAAGCCCTTTTGCACATCATTTTGAGCAACAGAAGCCAATAGCGCTGTCTGTGATGTCAGACATCTAGGACCAAGAACTGTTAGCCACACAAGTGCACCATTTACCTGAGCAAGTCATTAAACTGCATCACCCCTTTTTGCTGCTAGCAAAAGTCTTAGATGCCATTCACACAACACACCCTGCCATTCCACCCTGGAAGTCAGAACCTGAAGCGAGGGTACTATTTACCATAGCATTTATTCAGTTCATCCGGAGTCTGAACCTTGAAGTGGGGGTAGTGTCACAGTATTAAGTGGCACCTTTCTTTTTGCACCATTAAAGTCCTCATTTGAGTGGTTATTCAGATGCCAACCTTCATATTGGTCTCGCAACATGGATACTTGGACAAACAGCACAATGCCGCCACATACATTACAGACATGACTGTGTCTACCACATGACCACCAAGCGCCCATGATTCAGCCACCCAGTCACGTGACACTGGCCACTTGCCCTATTCAGAAGTTGTCAGGTGTTGGTCACGTGACACCAGGCCACTTGCCCAGAAAGAAACCCATTGGACCATTAAGCTAGCAAGCACCCAATTCGCCACTCAAGATAGTGGCACCACTTTGCTGCCTAAACCAATAGGCAGATACCACAACAGAGGATCCCCCTACCAACCGGCATATAGTATAGCCAGGTACAGGATAGGCTAGACCTTCTCACAACCCTATCCAGATGAAGACTGATCGTCACACTCATTGTTCTGAGTTTGGACAGATCCTCTCATCTGATGTTGCAACCGTTGTGATGTGCTCTGTTGGCCATCACCCATTGGCCCCTCAACAGTGGGCCCACTTACAGGCATTTATCTCATTGAATTAGATAGGATTACCTCGGCGTATCCACGGCCATTGTAGATAGTTGCTATGACGAAGTCCAGAACCATTACCGATTCTGACAATATATTCACATGTAGGTATCTGAGGTCTCACAGTAGCACAGTGCCAGGGGCCCTGCCCTACATGTATATAAGCCCATGAGGATCTAAGGGAGGACCTTAGATTCATTATTCTATTGCATGCGGCCTAACAAGCCAATTCACCCCCTAGTTGTGAGCATAAGGCTAAGGGCCCTTTGAGCCCCTTTTTCAGACTGCATACCACTGCGCGCGTCCTCAGCCTAGCCCTTGTGGCAGGCTTTTTATGTGGGATCATTTGTGCAGGTCACAAAAGCAGACTTGCCCTTAATTGGGTTAAGTGCTTTGGTGCTTTGTGACACAGGGGTTTCCCTGGAATGAAATGTTAGCTGAAGAGCCGAATGAGATGGATGAATGCACCAGTGATGCGGACATGATGGATGTCTTGAAGTACAGCCCAAATTGCGCAAGAAGGGCCGCGATAACCCTTTGCATGTGAGTGCAACGATAGCATTCCTGATACACAGCAATTAACAAGATAATCACTTACAGGCAGTGGTACGCAGTGCGTTGCAGCCCCTAATGGGGATAGATAGCAAGATGACTCCACCCGCACCATTTGGCCAAGGACAATTCTGAACTGATGATATAAATGAAGCTGGGCGCATGCTACGACTGACTTGGGAAACCTGGCAGGAAAACTATGTCGTGTGGGGAAGAATGGTCGCAAAGAAGATATGGGCTGATGGAAGTAGATGGAGCAATGCATTGTCAGCAGAGGAGTTGCAGAGGCTTTCATTGGATGAGATTGAGGACGCAATGCAGGTCTTCTGGGAATCAATGAGGGTGAAGTACTGAGCTTCACAGAAGGCTTTACTGGAGCAGGAGTCAAAGAAGGTCACACGATTTAGGTTAGCATCAAGACTAGCTGCAGGTGACACAGTATCCTCAGCATCCAAGCAAGAGTGGAGCACGTCGAGGTCTTCATGAGGCTGCCAGTCCCACCAGAAGTCATTTTGATGTAGTTCTGGTGTAACAGGCCGAGAAGGCCTGTCAACGTTGCTTTGATGAGCAAAAGAGCATACCATGTCCTCAGGCTCCACACCCTCTGACCCAGCCACACTCTCGAATTGCACAGCCTGCAACTGCTGCTGATCACGTATGGAGGCCAATCATGCCTCGATACCTTCTTCCTCGTCTCTCCGAAGGTGCTTTCGAATGGTTTGAGCGATCTGAAGGCCTGCTTTGGGATCTGCAGAACAGCACTGGCATGCACATAGCTTGCAGTGAGTCAGATAGGCCGATGATGATGGTAACGGTACAGTCTTGGTGTGTCTATGAGCTGGCATTGAGATAGAGAGAAGAAGGTATATATTTGTTGACTATATGCGGTCGATATTTACGATGGCCCCAGCGTACGCGCGCGACTTAGATGCGACCCGCACCGAATCACGTGAGCATATTCTGCCAGAACATCGTCAGGATATTCACCTCGAAAGATATTTCTAGGATATTGCCGGGACATTCCAACTTTCCTGGCAATATCCCTCCGGGATATTTTGAGTCCACACGCAGTGCAACGTGTTCATATTTGTATAGCAGGCTGCTCGAGCGTATACCTGCACTGACTTCCATTTCTGTTCGAGCATGGTGATGTCAGGGTATGCTAAGGTTGAAAACGTTGAATATTAACGCCCATGCTTAACGTGAAGTAGCCGGCGATGTGGATCAGCGATTGGATCTTACCACACATCCACGATAAGCGCCCACCAATCATGCCCAATAGGAAAAACAGTTGAGTCGTCCTGAGAAAAGAGTCAGGCAACCATTTCTTGTCTTCGCTCTTTCACAGGCGCCATGGCTGCAAGGACGGCGAGGTTAGAGCGAAAGACAAACGAGACGCAGATTGAGGTCGCCATTGATCTCGACTGCCAGCCTGGTTCGGGCAAAGCGCAGGAAATATCGATATCTACCGGGATAGGATTCCTCGATCATGCAAGTCGTAGCATGATACTCTGAACGTCTTGCGCTCACAGCCGCTGGTTAACTTAGATGTATCATGCGCTAGCAAAGCACTCAGGCATGTCGCTCACCATGAAGTGCAAGGGTGATCTTTGGATAGACGACCACCACAGTGCAGATAAGTGTCAGGTTATCTCGCGACTCTCGACCCCAATTGACGAACGGAGACCACTCCACAAGACAGCGCTATTGCTCTAGGGACCGCGTTCAAGCAGGCTCTGGGAGAGGTCCGTGGCATCCGCCGATATGGTATTGGATTCGCTCCTCTAGATGAGGTACCGCCCGCGCTATCCTCTGTGTCCTGGCCTTACAAGCTTACGGATTCAGGCTCTATCGCGAGCGGTCATCGATATCTGCTCGAGGCCGTTTTGCGTTACCGACCTCGGGTTGAAGAGAGAGAAGATCGGTGATTTATCCACGGAAATGCTCCCGCACATCTTCTACTCGTTCTCAATAGCTGCTGGTGTAACGCTTCACGTGGATGTCTTACGAGGAGAAAACGATCATCATCGGTAGGAAGCCGGCCCAGAAGCATATGCGTGGTGTACTGACGTTAGCCGCAGTGCTGAATCCGCCTTCAAGGCTGTAGCTCTCGCGATTCGTCAAGCGATCGAGAGGACAGGCGGCGACGATGTACCGAGTACGAAGGGCATCTTGTGATTCCGAGCCAAGGAGACCGATTTTACAGTTGATGTATTGATTATGATGGACTGGTTACTGACCGGTGACCGTTCACGCCTGTGCGGCAGCTCACATTAATATACCACAATCCAGTCAGGAATATCCAAAAGTTCGAGATTGTGTACTATGATTATACAGTATCGCGATATCCGATGTGTTACATGAGAAAAACAAGATGAAACAAGATGAACTATCCATGGAGTTATGTGCAATCTCACCGATGCCCGTCTCCAGCTTCGCACAGGGTTTCAAGGAAGACCTTCAGATCATCCTTGTTGATCTCCAGAATGCTCGTATCGAACGACCCATGTCGCGTCCGTGCATTGCATCGCTCTTTCGCGTCTAAGAAGGCTAGGCCAAACTCGCTGTAGACCCGTCAGCATCGTCCACAAGATACCCAACATTAAGGGAAATCAAGACGTACTTCTTACGGACATTGCCATACTCAAGCGCTGCCATGACACCAACGACGATATACGTCCCTTCCTTCTCGTTCATGCACGCCAGGACCAGAGGCAGGCTCTTGCGCTTGCTCCGTGAGAAGGCGGGGTTCGTTCCCTGGAGCCGGTCACGCAGCGCCTCGACGAGCCAGAGTGCAAGCCGGGAGAGAACGCCGGGATGTGCGAAGAGTGCGAGGTCGGGACCTTGCGAGAGAATGACGACGCGGTGGCCGCGGAGCGTGCGGATGTCGTGCTTGTCGATGATGGACGATCCCTGACGCATGATAGCGCGATGCAGGGCCATGGAAAGCGGCAATGCTTCTTGGAGGCGTACAATACTGAGGAAGAATATCAGATAACGGAATCGGCCAGGTGTATGGGAGGATGGCTCACTCGTTGAGAGCATCAAACGCGGTCCAGAAGTTCTTCACCCACCATGGCACGTCGAAGCTGCTATCTTCTTCCTTATCATCTCCAGCAGCTATTGCGTTTGACGTCTTTACCACGCTGGCAGCGCCACCAGGAGGGATGTTCTCTCGCTCGTCATCTCTCCGCCTACATTGTTTGCCCCCCTCCCAGATCCGCCCGCCTCCGAACCACTCGCCACCGTTGCGTGCGCCTTCTACCTCGACCTCCATGCGGATGCCGCCGGCTACATCCAGCAACGCGGATACCGCTTCTACAGCGTCGCCTGCGGAGAGCGGCTGTGACCGGTAGCCGTAGCAGCGCGTGAAGGACGGATATGACAATTCGGCAAGACCGTACTCCGGGGCAATCTGGTCGAGTTTGCTTCGCAAGGAGAGCTTGAGATCCTTCGCCATGTGAGGGTAGGGCTGTTGTGTCTCGGGAATTGAGAATCTACGGATATAGGTTAGACAACCTGGACAGATAATCACGGAAGAAGGATATGCGCGCGGTCACGCACCCCATCTTGGCTAACAAGCCAGTCAACCTCTTCCTCCCTCGCTCCTTCCAAATGCCAAGTTTGCTAGCGACATAATTCGAGTGATACATCGCGTCGTAGAGATTCCAGTGGCGGAACATCATAAAGCGCAGCTCGTCCGCGGCATACACGGAGTGGTCATCTGGATGTTGTGGCTTGAAGTCATAATCGTTGGTGGCGGACGCAGAAGGGCGAGGGTTGAGACGAGCGACTTCGTCATAGTAGATGGATTGATACTTGTCGTATTCATCGCGGGAAATTCGTGAGGTGATGTATTGGTATGTCAGACCTAGAATAGCTAGCCTAACGGATTCAATGAGTACGCAAGCCCCGGTTAGCTGAACTGTGGGAGCATACCATAGTAAGTCGTTATCGACACGCTCCAAGACAGTCGCGAGGATGTAGATCGTGCCGGATGCACTTTGTCCATGCCAGGTACCGGACATGTAGTGTTTCTCTAGTTTCGATGAATACTCGTCTCGCTCCTCTCTTGACATTCTGGCCGGCCGTCGCTATTACGATATTCCGTCATGATCGTCAACGGTCAGGATTAACCGTATACGCACCTCGATTCTTCGCCGTTTTCCGGACTTGCCCCCGCTACCTAACGATCTCCGTTTGCCTGATGGGCTCTCGGACTCGAATTCCTCCTCTTCCTCGTTGTCCTCCAGTTCCGACTCTCGATCGTATTCTAGCTCCGAGTCTTCCTCGTCAGAATCAGGTTCGGGTTCGTACTACGAACATTTCGTAAGTTCATTCCACCTGGCGAATCCCTGTTCAGTTGAAGATCTGATCTCACCGTGAGGGCTTCCCAAGCCTTGCGCTCTTCCTGCAGATCCTCTGCTCCGCCATCGTCCCATATGACAATTCTCTCACCGTTCTCTCCACCGCCAAATAAACTAGACAGATTCTGAGGCCGCGATGAATCAATAACATGTATTGTGATTTGCGCGCTGAAGTCGCCAAACCACTCTGAGGAAGGAAGATCTAAGATAGCACCCATGTTGAGCAGAATCAGCGTATGCAACTGGCACGCAAAAAAGGAGTATCAGTTGAGGCATCCACATCCAGTAAGAGACATCGGATCGCGTACGTCAGAGTACGTGGCCAGTTCGTCCCGGATGCGCTCCAGTTCGGCATGACCGGACACAGGGATGATACGGTGCATCACGTCGTCTTGCTTGAAAATCTCTGCAAGCATTTGCGCTGCACACAGGGCATCGACGTCTGGTGCGACAAGTATGATTACAGATGAGGCAGAAGTAGCTGGCGAGCGGCGATGGTTCGCGATAATGTTCGCGTATGTTTCTCCATAGGATGGACGTGACGAGGAGGCGGGGTCAGGTGGCGGCAGGTAGACCATTGTGGCTGATAGCCTGCTCTGCACGTATAGGAGCTCAAGGCGACAGGAAGAAAGAGGGAAACTAGTGAGTGCTATTAAAGCTTGGATGCAACCAACGCGTTGACCACAGTACACGTGATCTCGACGCGCCTGTGGCTGAGAGTTCGCTCGCATTAAGAGTGGGGAAGAACAAGCAGTACATTGATGAAGTACATTCTAGAACCAACTTTTTCGCTCTCTAACCTCTCTCGTCTTCCCCCGGATGCCCCAGATACCCCAGTTCGTCTTCACCATCACTCTCGGGTCAAAGTCGGCCACCTCCCACTTCTCACTGCCGAACGGGTTCGGCCCGGGGGTGATCACCCAGTCGAACTCGCCAGCAACACCAGGTGCCGTAGACAGTGACTTGACATCGCGCTCAACATCAGCCGGCGAGAATCCTGTCACAAAGATGGGGCACTTGCTCGCCAGGAGCAGGGGGATCGCAGGACCCCACTCGGTTGGCGACGCAATCTGCAGGAGAGGCTCTCCGGTGACCTCAGACGTAGAGTTGGGCGAGGGAAAGCCGAATCCAGGCGAGAACAGGAAGAAGCAATCCGTGTAGGGATCGAATGTTTCCTGGAAATGTGCATGTACGTCCAAAAAGTTGGCCTGCATTCCGGTGATTGTCAGCTGCGGCGTGTAAGGTACCGTATATGAGGGGACACCGTATTCCTGGATACTCTCGCGGGTACGTTTAAGACGCGCGATGGGCGCTGGGGTGGGTGGTTCGTAGATATTTGGCACATAGACAGGTTTCTCCTGAGGCTTCGTTTCCGCCTGCTGCTGACCTTCAACTGGCTTTTCCTCTGCTTGGGGGTTGCTCGCCTGTGCAGACAGCATTGATTCAGCTGTAGACTTTTTTTCAGGTTCTTGTGCGCTCGCTTGAGCTGGCTTTTTGGTCGGCTTTTGTAAGTCTTCGATCGGTCTGGGAAGCGAGACTTGCGGACCGATGAAGTACATATGGAACAGAGCGGCTGGGAAAAGCAGACATAGCTGCTCCCAAATGTGCGGTGGAAGTGACGACTCTGCTCGAGCACCCAAGATGAAGATTCTCATCTGTGGCCGGTCTACAGATGCCTCTTCAACCTCGGGAGCGCCAGTTGGAACATGCAGGGTCGTCCGCAGTGCTGGCGCAATCAAGGTCAATGATCGTGATCAGGCAGCTAATCATAGGACAAGCCTCACCAGCTAGCGAACGGCTGCCTTCCGGAGTGAGGCGCTGGTTCCTCAGAGTCAGACTACTGAATTGATGCAACACAGAACCAATTGTGATCGGATATGTCAACAGTTTGCTAGCATGTCTTCGGGAACGCTCGCTGTCCATTGACGGGAAATCACGCGTATACCAAAAGACGTCCCAGTTAGCAAAAGAGATGGCTGCTTCAGAGTCCTGAGGTCCTTTGCCAGTCATATCAACCATCAAAGTCGTATCCTCCAGGACCTGAATATGGGACCTACCTGGTAGCTCGAACTCCCGGAGCCTTCGTCCGCTTCTGAGATCATGCTCGTCCTCATTGACTTCCCGCAGCCTCCCGCAATACTTTTCATGCTCCTGATCCTCCTTCCAGTGTTCCTCGGAACAGTGTGTCGGCCATCCGCAATCAGGACACTCAAACTTCACAGCGCGCGGTTGTGCATGTGTGTGTGCTTCGGACACAGTATGCGAGGACGCGCAGATAGGACATGGTGCAAGTTTCTGGATAGCCTCTCCACGAGCGCGTATTTGCGGGAAAGGCGACTGGGAGAACGGGTGAAACAGATTGTCCTCCGTCAGTATTGGAATTGGCTCTTTTTTCGTTGCATCAGCAGGTTGGGACTTCTTGAACCAGCTGAGGAATGTCCGAGAGTGGGTGTAAGGTGTCACGATAGAGGGCACATTCTGCAAGCGGTGGCAACGGACGAGAAGATGTACGGGCGATCGCCGGGCTACAGGTGGAAGTAGCATCTGGGATAGCGGTGTCCGGCGTCTCCCGCGCAGGGATGACCGCGTCGGAGCGCGCCAATTGAAGAGCGCAATTGTGGCTGGAAAAGGGACGCTGCACATCCGCATCCACCATCGGTAAATACTACCAGCTGCCGTCCATTGACTGTTGATGCTTGCGAGAAATATTGCGACTGCGCATTGCTTGCCCCGTTGCTTCCCTGCTCGTCACGTTCTTCTCTGCAGAGAGTTTCGCCGTCATTACGCCCTTTCTCGGTTTCCTGACCGTGCTCCTGGCGGCAGTAGACGTCGTCCCAGGATCGACCCTCTGGAGAAACGTTCACGGCTGCATCCTGAATCAGGGGCATTTCAAGGCTTTCCATATGAAGAACAGCCCTCAGTTGAGCAATCACCGCTGTGGGAGGCCAGCCGAAGGGAGCCGTTTAGCGATCCTGAGGAGGGCCTGAAACAGCTACTCCTCGGACATAATCAACTAGTGGTCACCAGGTATGTCCCAGCTACTCTAGGTCTTACTCGTGCCGAAATGACAGAAAGCTCCACAAATCTCCAGACAAATAGAGATGCTCAACCTGTTCATAGGGTTCGAGCAGTCAAACCGATATGTGATCAGTATGTGCGAGTGAACACCAGCGGGTATGGTCTGCCCATCTCATGTCCTGGAACGCAGCGGACGAAAACGAGGTGACGCTTGGATACATCGCCGAGGAGCCTCGGGGTATGCTATCTTCTTTCGGACGACAGGTATTCAGGACGCACAGGCCGTTTCGAGCCGTCGTCATGGACAGCGCCGGAACTCCAATTCTCTGGGTGCGTCGAATGCTGCTCACTAATAGTAGTCATTCTTACGGCTGCCTGTTGTAAGCTTCGACGGCCGTTCGCATTCATAAACTCGCGGATGTTCGTCCAGAGACTGAAGAATTACACTGAGTATACTGTCGATGGCGAACCTGTCCTTGACACTTTTGGCGAGGTACAACAGCGATGGCACCTCTGGCGGAGAAGATATGATCTCTTTCTCAGGTCAGCATTTGCTTGCCATCGAAAGTAGCGATCCTGATTTAACGAGACGGAGATTGGTTAGGGAAGACCGACGTCGTATCCTCTCAGTAGCGACGGAACCACAGCCTGAACCAGACTCGATATCATTCAAACAATTTGCCTTGATAGATGAAGGTTTGTTGGCATGGAGCTTTTACTTCAAGGATGCTCGAGGAGAGGAGATAGCGAGCGTGAGGCGTGCCTTTCGTGGACTTGGTCGTGAGGTAAGTTGTTTTGTCTGTCTTTACCGACTCGAATGGATGCTGCGTACTGACCTCTGCATTTAGATATTTACAGATACAGGTACCTATGCATGTCACATTGTCAAGCTCGAGCAAGAGTGACGCCATTTACAGGGCAATATTTCGTTCGCTTCAATCCAACTCTGCCTGACTCTATGGATTTGACCGAACGGAGGCCGACTGTCATCCGAGGTTTAAGTTTGGAGGAACGTGCAGTGAGTAATCGTTAACTCTTGCAGGAACGCAATTGCTCATATATACGCGTTCAGCTTGTTCTAGCGATGGCGGGTGAGTATGCAATGTGTGTTATCCAGGGGCGTCTGTTAACCCACACTTGTAGTCAATATAGATTTTGACTACTTCTCTCGTCACTCACGAGGAGGGTACGTCCTCTCTGACGTGGATTAATTTTCGGTGACTTACAAGCTGTATAGTCCTGGCTTTGGATTCTGGTGGTTCTCTGTCGGAGAGTGATCAATCATGTCGATCAGGTTAGCGGCTGCCAAGTGCAATCTGTGTTCACATTGCACGTTGCTTCCAACAGCTCGCGTTCCCGCTGTCATTTAAACGACCGGCCCCAGTATCGCGCTCTTTGATCACACATGCAGCGCGTGGTCTTCCGTCTCGTACAGGAACGAAGGGCGTTCTACCGCATGTTCATCACGACGGCGGGTACCGCGGAATGCAACCATGAGCGGTGAAAGCAATGGGCTGCAGGATTGTATCAGACTTATTGTGGCAGTGTCCCATACTATGAGTAGACTGGATGGATGTGACCCGAGCTGTAATGTAGTGCATAGCCAGCCTCGGTAGCTTGTCTGCCCTCGGAGACTCGTCGAGAACGCGTCGCGAAAAGGTACGGTCACGTGAGATCGCTTCGCAGGCGGACAGCTGCGGCCAGGCGCCGCCTGCCGCCTGCCGTCCTTCACACAGGTTGTGGACGTAAGGCGTGCGCATCTCTTTGTCCCCGTCTTTCAAGGCAGTCGTCGCTGCGCGTCGCCCAAATGGCGGACCATAGGCAGGTCCGACCGTCAACGGACGAAGGTTAGCCCCAGAAATAAACGTCTCGTGGATCATGGTGACCTTACCGAACGGATCGTCCCTTCTTGATGCAGAGTCCGCACCCCTCTTGCAGAGCGTCGACCACCCAGATGGCGAACAGCAGCGACCGCGACCTCGGTCTTCCTTCGCCTCTCTTGTGCAGGAACCGCTCACACCGCTCACGAAAGTGCTGCTGGTCGTCGCGCTGGTCTTCCTGTTGCTCAGTTCAGTCTTCATTGGCCTATTCGCGGGGGCGCAGCACAAGCTGAACGCCGGAGGCGCAGGGGGCGGAGGAGGAGGAGACTCGAGCAAGGAGCCAGCAGTTACAGTCACATCTATTCTGACTGAAACGGCGACGCACACCGCTACGTCCACTGCTACGTCCACTGCTACGTCTACGGCTACATCAGTGGCCACGTCTACTGCGACTTCCACCGCAATATCAACAACGACAGCTACTGCGACATCCACAAGCGTATCCACAGCTTTTTCCACAGCCACGTCGACTGTTGTGTCGACGAGCACAGTGACGATGCCAGGTCCCGAGCCTACAAGTCCTCCTGAAGAGGTATGTCTTGTTGTCGAATGGCGCATGAATGCCTTGACAACGGAATGTGCATAGGCTGAATGTCTGACTGCACAATGCATCATGTTGTCCTCATCTATCCTGGCGTCTCTTGACACGACGCAGGATCCGTGCGAGAATTTCTACGATTTTGCCAGTGCGTATACCATTTACTGTTGCTCTGTAAGCGCTAATCAACGGTGTAGATGGCGGCTGGCTGAAGACGCACCCTATACCTTCTGACAAGGGCTCATTCGGTAACTTCGAGGCCCTCGCCCAACAGAACAGGCAGGTGCTTCAGCGAATCCTTGCATCTGACCCGTCGTATGCTCCGTCAAGCATGAGTTCTCCGTATGACGAACAAATTCTGAAGAAGATTCGTGGTCTCTACTCGTCGTGCATGGATGAGGATAGGTTGAGTGAGCTGGGCGCGGAACCCCTGGCATCGGTCACGCGCCGGATCAGGAAGCTGTTCCATGGCAAAACCTCACAGAATGAGGAAGATGAGCAGAAAGAAGACTTGACGGCTGCGATTGCATTTATGCATACCCGCGGTACGTATGTTCCAAGGTTATGGTCACTCATTTGCCTCATCTGCAGTATTTAGGTATTGCTGGATTATTTGCGGTGGATATTGAGGGCGACGTCGGCAAAGATCCCAATTACATGACTGTTTGGTTCAGTCAAACAGACCTCGGCCTTCCATCCAAGGTTCATATTTACCGTTCGTGCATGTGCTTATCTGATTTTTGCACAGGAGTACTACGACGAAGAATCGATCGTTGAGCTTTATCAGACCGTTCTGGAGCGCCTCCTCCTCAATCTTGATGAAGAAGAGCAGTACTCTGAGGAAACAGCTGATGAGCCGACACCGTCGACTGCTTTGCTCGTTCATGAGGAACGCCTACGGGTCTGGCCACCGTGGCCATGGCCGCCATGGGGCGGTGATGATGACGACGACGGAGGTGACGATGATGACCACGGCGGTGACGAGGATCCGGAGCCTATGACACCAGAGAAGGCGCATGAATTGGCTGGCAAGATCATTGACTTCGAGAAGGCGATTGCGAATGCAAGCTTAGATCTGTGCGCAGAGTTCGTATCGTTTCAACACGTGCACTGATTCTCTTGCCTTCACAGCGACATTTTGTATCAGGATCCTATCGCTACATATAATCCAGTGTCGCTGGGCACCCTGACGTCGGCGCTCCCCCAGATCAACTTCTCAGCGTACTTTTCGACGTTCACGCCGCGGAACTATCCCTCAAATGTCATCTTGACGTCTACAACTTACGCTGCCTCGCTTTCTGGCATTTTGAATGAGACGTCTTCGGAGACTGTTGAGGCTTACTTAGTCACGCGCGCAGGGTTGGCGCTGGCTCCTCTCCTAAGCCTCGAGACAGAGGCGTGGAAGGCAGTGCGCAGCCTCGAGGAGCGGCTGAAGGGCCTGAAGAAGGGTGCTGTCGGCGATCGTGCAGAGTTCTGTACAACTCAGGTGGAAGAAGCAATGGGCTTTGCCACTGGCCGTTACTTTGTCAATGAGACATTTGCTGGCGACTCCAAGGAAAAGGGCACGAGAATAATTAATGGTGAGTGCGCGCTCCGTGCGCTGAGAACGTGCGAAGCTCATTGGCATACGACAGACATCGTCAAGACATTCAAAAGCTCACTGTCACATATCAGATGGATGGACGAAAAGAGTGCTCATGCCGCGGCAGAGAAGGTACTTATTGCAATTACACTACTCAAGCCACTGACGACCATACCATTCGCGTAGGCTGACGCGATCCGCGTGAAAGTGGGCTATCCGCTCTCCCCGAATACTGAGGACCCTCGATCGATCGCCATCTACTATGATCGCGTCACAGTGCACGAAGGTCGCTTCTTCGACACTATAATTACCACAAGGTCTGTTCTTGCCCCTTGCATTGACATGTCAGTCTCAGCATTGAACATTGGATTCTGTAGTGCGAACGATGAATACTGGAAGTGGCAGAAGCTCGGCAAACAACGAGATCCCGAGACATGGGAGATGTTTGCATCTACGGTCAATGCTTACTACAACCCTCCTGCCAACGAGGTCGGTACAACTGGCGTTGAGCTGACCGATTCGTTGTTGCTGAATATAAGTGTTTTAGATCGTTTTCCCGGCAGGCATTTTGCAGCCTCCTTTCTTCTCTCAAGCCTGGTGCGGATCATCGTTCGCATGTACACATCTTATTGCTGAACAGTCACTCACACAGGCCCGGATACATGTCCTTTGGCTCATTCGGAATGGTTGCTGCTCATGAGCTGACGGTCTGTGTCTTATTTATCAGCACACCGTGATGTCGTACTCATGCGGTTCCGCTCGCTAGCACGCCTTCGACTCTGCTGGCAGGCTCTATAACCAGCAGGGTAAGCTTGAGGAGTGGTGGACGAATGCTACAAGCGAGGGCTTCCGGAAGAGGCAAGAGTGTATTGTTAAGCAATATTCTGGTCCGTATCCTGTCCAATCGGTGACGCCAGTGAGTGTTGTTAACGCTTTGCTCGTTATCTAGAATACACCATCGATGACGGCAAAGGCGGGAAGATCCATATCAATGTAAGTTTACCAGTTGACGGCAAAGATTCACAGTACTGAACACTATTCATCCAGGGCAACCTGTACGTGTGGGGCGCATCGGAGCTGACAGAGGACTCATTGATACGCTCTCAGGACATCTGGTGAGAACATTGGCGACACGGGTGTCATCCAGGCCTATCGGGCATGGAAGGCGCAGTACGACTCCGGGCTAGAGAAGGGCACTGAACAATTGCTGCCGGGATTGAACTTCACCAGGTAAGCAGATACTCGTCCTGGCATTGCCAAAGGCAGGCTAACGGAAATACGTCACATTCAGGGAGCAACTCTTCTTTATTTCTTTCGCCAGGGGTTGGGCGCGGAATATCAAAACTGAGTCTGCTGTGAGTGGATGCTGTCTCGTCGTGCCAACTTTGCGGCACTAATCGTGTCGTGCCATCAGGTTGCTCGTATACGCACAGATCCTCACTCACCCAATCATTACCGAGTAGATGGCACCGTGTACAACGTTCCTGAATTTGCAGAAGCGTTCAAGTGTTCTGCGAACGCAAAGGTATGTAGACGACCGTTGACAAACCTTACAGAGCTGACAGAATTTTGCATCAGCTGAACCCGCCGCAGGAGAAGAGATGCTTGTTCTGGTGAGGGAGGATTCCCGCCGCTTTCTGTTGTCGAGTTATTTGTACTACTCTTGTATCTATTGCCGTAACATCATACGGGCTATGTACGAGCAGCTGTTGCAGCGTGAATTTCGCAGCACGTGGCCTCCGATCGTCTGTGGGCCGCATGCGCGAAATCTGCGCAGATTCGACGACCTCTCGAGTCTCGTTGAGACCGCCGGCATGCTTGATTCACGCGTCCTGCGGCACTAGAAATTGGAGAACTATTGGCACTCCCAGTCCACTCGCTATGCACCGAGCACAACACCGCCTGAGTGTCGCGCGGTCCGTCCGCGCGGCGTCCACCGGTGCCAATGTATGTATCCATGTCTCATTCCTCCCGCTTGTCTCATCTGTTGTCAGCCTAGGCCGCTAGGTAAATGGGAGCTACCGCGACCTGTATCTGAGAACCAGGACCAGTCGTCGGGCTCTTCCGCCCCGCATCCCACAATACCGCAAGGCCGGTCATGGTCGCGACCTACACCACCAGAGACCCCTTTGTATCCACCCACATCTCCGCTGCGGGGATTAGACCAACTATCGGGTACATCAAGCAAACCGGATAGGTGGGCGCAGCAGAAGTCCCGTCAACCGCCCCGCGAAACGTCTACATCTCCGACATCCCGCTTTCAGCGAAGTCCACCACCGCATCGAGAAGAAGCACCACGTCGGGATTGGGCACCACATCAAGACGGAGGTGCTCGTAGGGATGCTGCGCCTTTTCGGGATAACGGACGCCGTCGTGAGGGGCCTCCTCATCGGGAGGCAGCACCTCACAAAGCAGACTCACATTCTTTTGGACTGACTTCTACACGAACGCGGGGTGCTGCCAAGACTGACTCATACAGACGTCCTGGAGCTTCGTCACTTCAGCAAATTCTGAGGAAGGATCGCATCGTCGCTGAATTGGAGGCACCGAAGGAGGAGGAAGAGGGCGAAGATGAAGAGTTGACGGAAAGGGATGGAGCTATTCGAGCGAGCGGATCCATTGAACCGGTGGAGGAAAGCGCAAGTGATGTTATGGCTGATGAGCTCGCTTTTCGTAGCCGAGGACGTGATCCAAAACAGTTGCGTCAAGAACACAAGGAGAGAGGTTCTATTGTCGCCAGACTAAGAGCCGAGAATGACCTCACAATACCCAACAAGCACCGTGGCTCATATAAAGTGACAAGCATGCAGGCGATGAAAGCGAAGGAGAAGAAAGCGAAAGTTGCCAAGGAGCTGAAGCCCGCAAATGTCGACGTCTTCATTCCCAGCGTCGTGTCTGTTGGAACTTTAGCCAAGTTGCTCAACATCAGATTCGGTGTGTAATAATCCAAATGTTCCTCAGGATCTTGAGCTTACCGCGTGTTTCTAGACAAGCTTCTACGTACAATGACCAAAGTTGGCATGGGTGCTGAAGCTTCTCATGATCACAGTATGCATTTTACCTGCATCCTGACCGTCAGCTTATAGGGACTTTCAGTTCTGACGTCTGAGTATGCATCTCTACTTGCATTGGAGTTCGGCCGCAACCCTGTTGTAAATGACGAAGCTGCCTTCGATATCTATCCTCCGTATGTGATGTCATCATCCAGTTCAACTTCTCTTCTGATGAACTACCCTCAAGTCCTCCTCATCCAAATCCCTCCACCCTTCCACCACGACCGCCTGTAGTGACAATCATGGGTCATGTCGATCATGGCAAGACCACCTTGCTAGATAAACTTCGATCTACCTCCGTTGCGAAAGGAGAAGCAGGCGGTATCACGCAACACATAGGTGCTTTCTCCGTGCCCGTGCCAGCCAGTGAAGCTAGCGGGGACGTCCGCACAATCACCTTCTTGGATACTCCAGGACATGCTGCTTTCTCTGCGATGCGTGCACGCGGCGCGGGAGTGACGGACAAAGTTGTCCTCGTTGTAGCGGCGGACGACGGAATCATGCCGCAGACAAAGGAAGTTATCGATCTCATCCAAAAGGAGAATGTTCAGGTCGTCGTTGCCATCAACAAAGTGGACAAGCCTGGAGTGAATGTTGTAAGTCTTCTTGTCCCCCTCGTAAGCATATAGGACCCTTACACACTTTTCGTCACAAGGAAAAAGTCGAACAAGCGCTCCTGGCAGCGGGTGTACAGTTGGAAACATTTGGTGGTGATGTGCCGTCTGTGCGGGTCTCGGGTCTGACCGGTCAAGGCCTAGACCAGCTTGTAGAGACCATTTCCGTTCTTGCGGAGATGCAGGACTTGCGCGCCGAGCGAGATGGAAAGGTGCAGGGCTACGTCCTCGAGTCCAAGGTTCAGAAAGGTCTTGGGTACGCAGACTTGTCCACACGCCTCTTACAGCCTGTTGACAATACACAAAAATTTGTAGACCTGTTGCCACAGTTCTTGTCCTTCGTGGATGCCTGAAGCCTTCAGATCATATCATCGCCGGCCTGAGCCATGCGAAGGTACGGGTGCTCAGCGATTCCAATAGCCAGGCGGTGAAGGCCGCTTATCCTGGGATGGCAGTTACCGTATCAGGCTGGAAAGAGCTGCCCAATGCCGGCGACGAGGTTCTGCAAGGAACGGAATCAGAGGTGAAGAAGGCGCTCGCTAACCGGATTCGCACGAAGGAGATCGAGGCCACTTTAGGTGACATGGAGGCCATCAATGAGCAACGGCGCTTAGAGCGAGAGGAGAAGGAGAAGGAGGCGGAAGGCGGCGAAAAGGCAGAAGAGCCGGCTGCACAGCCGCAAGAGAGTGGGCCGAAGGAACTGAAGCTCGTCATCAAGGGCGATGTGAGCGGAAGCGTAGAAGCGGTCGCCGGCGCGTTAGAAGGGATAGGCAATCACATCGCTCGAGTCAAGGTCATTGCGACTGGCGTCGGCGACGTTACTGAGTCGGACGTCATGCGGGCCAAAGCTGCAGAAGGTGAAGATCACGCTCGGAATCTCGGTCAATAGCTACTGATGAGTATATGGTCGCAAAGGTACTGTTGTTGCCTTTTCCGTCAACACGCCCCGTCATGTTCAGTCTATTGCGACCTCCCAAAGTGTCCCCTTGATGTCGTCGACGGTAATCTATCGTCTGATGGACGATGTCAAGGAACGCGTTATTGCGCTGCTGCCGCCAATCGTCGAACAGCGGGTGCTCGGCGAGGCCAACGTCTTGCAGCTCTTTGAGATCCATCTCAAGGGCAAGAAGACCATGAAGATCGCAGGTTGCCGCGTATCAAATGGTGTAGTAAACAAGACTAAACTCGCGCGTGTCGTAAGGAACGGTGAGGTGGTCCACGAAGGTATGTGAATATCACCATTGCAATGCCGTGATTCGGCTGACCCATTGCTGCCTCAGGACGCCTGGAGACCCTCAAACACCGTAAAGACGACATCACGGAGGCTGCCAAGGGCACCGAGTGCGGCATAGGTTTTGAAAAGTACGACGATCTCCGCGAGGGAGACGTGATACAGATCTACCAGGAAGTAGAAAAGCCGGGTAATTTATGATTACATTGGCCGGAGCAACGCATCCCACGCCCAACGCTACATACAATACCTCATACAGTGCATTACCATCCCTGAATGCTAGATCAAGCCGGAGTGTGCTTCGCTCTATTCGTGTCGTCCAAAATGATCTCCTTGCTGCCGATGGTACCCGTCCTCCCGCCGACGCCGAATGTCAAGGCTATGTTTCCAAGGTCGCGAGTGGGTTTCGAGAGAATCGTCCAGCTACGCGTGTCGTTCTTTTTGAGATTGAGTTCCACCTGGGTCATAGTAGCTATACTGAGCACCCCAAACTCCACCCCAGCACTAGTGAGTATTACGAACTTTCGTTCCGTAGTATTTGAAAGAGGATGCCTCAGGGTCAACGGGACCGAACAACTCTATGGACTTGCGGAACCGCTTTGACGCGGGCAGGTAGAGATCAAGATGAATCTGAAATCTCGATGAGCGGAAAAGAAGACGTACGGTGTACATTGAATCGAAAGTTCGCTCACCGCGTTCCGCTCGATCTTCACGGTACTGCGCTCCTGATCCGCTTGCTTAGCAAACACAGAAACGTGTACGCTGGTCGGAGTTTGGTAGTGATCGATACGACAGTCTGTGAATTGCTCAACCTGTGGCGGTGAAATTCGATGGAGTCCCATATAGATGCGGCGGACAAAGCTTACGGCAGCGTCCCGGTTCTTTGGTATAAAGACGTGGCGACCAGTCTTGCATCCTTGGATTTTGAGGAACTCGTCGAACTCTAGAACGCGACGTTTACAGCAGAGGTAGCCCTGTGGTCGAACAGTAGGCATGAGGGATTTTGCTATAGATTCACGTTTCGTGACGTACCTTGCTGCCTTCATGGAAGATGGGCTGTTTCAGGTGCAAATGAGTACTCTTGTATCACGCAAATCGCACAGGCAGTAGTACTCACTGCCATCGGGTGGTAAGTGCACACGGTACCAAGACCATCGCCTGTGCGATTCAGCTCATCGCTCTCAAAAACGGTCTGGCAGCCGTTCCTCCTGCACTTCGTCCCTGGAGTAACTGGAACAGAGAGATCATCCTCTTCTTCTTGCACTGGAGCCGGAGGAGGCAGTTCAGCTTCCGCAGATGCTTGAGAGACCGTAGAAGGTGCGATGTGATGAGAAGACGAAGAAGCTGAGGTGTAAGTCTCCTTCCCCGCCTGCGAATCCGTCATCTTGAGATTCACGTTCGCCGATGGTTTTGGAGCCTCTACTTTGGGAGCTTCATCGGTGTGCCGGCCCTTTGCACATCCCTGCGCATCACGTCAACACATGTGCCTCTAAAGTCTTGGTGACAAGATTGTACCGGAATCTTCATGAACTCATCAAACTCGAGCACCGGTTTATTGACATCCTGGCAGCAGGACCAGGACTTGAGGCCTTCGTGAAACACAGGCGCGCCTGGATGGTATGAGCAGCTTTCATCCGTGTTGTTTGCGGCATCGTATTCTCGACCACAGCCCTTGTGTGTGCACCTCGGCATTTTCGAGACAAGTTGGAAGACAGAAGCAACGGAGAGGGAGAGGACAGAGCAGGATGTTCAGCAATTTCGAGGATGAGCGGAAGCGCCCGAGACGGCAAGGCACATCGCGATCGATCGAAGGTGCCGGAATGTTCTCCTCGTGATTCCGGCGGCAAGTGGGTTGCCCAAAGCGGTATGCCAGTGTACAGCATCCAACGTGCACGCTCTCTTACGGCCATCGTCGCAATGTGCAGTGGCTGGAATACTTCATGTTGACCATTGATACTATTTGGAGCTCGGAAACACGACGCACTGGCATGTGCACCAAACGTCCTCAACGTGTGCATTACAATTTTGTACAGGGACAAATAAACACACATAAAGTGGGACATCTGCACTCCAAGCGGAGGATGAGTACTGCTCATCCGAGTCGTGAGATCCTCTCCCAATGGCTTTTCCGCTACGACTTACAGTTTCTCCATCAGGATCTCCAAGCCGAGAAGAAATGATCCTATCACTCTGAATGGATATGTTGCCTACGTGCTGCTTGAGCACCCCATCGTCGGCCACGCCTTCACCCTGATTTAAACGAAGGAGCCAAGGCCTGGAAGGCTCCCATGCTAGCGCATAGGGAACACGGAACACGGGGACCATAAGCTAACATGAAGCTGTTTATCAAATTTACAAGTCAGCGAGTTTGCGCTAGCATCGTTTGCTAGTAGTTGCCGGATGCCATCACAGTTTCTGTGATGATAAAGCCGCACAAATAGAGTCCTGATGAGTGGTGGCGCAGGTCGTATTGCATATAAGGCTTGACGACGAATTCATTTGCACATTATCTCCGCGAGGTAGCGCGGAAACAAATTGAGTCCGTGCACAATATCAACGCGGTAATTCGGTCGGATTTTTCATTCCGTGCTTCACGAAAGCTCGATATTTGTCCTGCCATCATAGATTCCTCCGCTTTGTAGGGAGGAAGAACGTAGACATTCTCAGCCTAGCAGACGAAAGTAAATGAATTGCCGCATGAAGAGCACATCAGCGTGCTATACGTCCCGAGAACTGATCATGAGAACGTTGAATGCCGTTCAGGGATACGCGCAGCGACGTAAGTGACTTGATGAAACTCCGTGCCTTCTGACATGCCATCGTTCACCTTGAATGATTCAGCGACGTTCCCTCGCCGAGGTGAGCGGGCCGACTCACCCGAACGAAGCCCTACCCTAGGCACGAACGCAGCCCAGAACGGTACTCCTCGTCTACCGACATCAGTACAAGATCTCGTAGGAAGGCCTCGCCTCGAGCTCAAGGCAGATGATGCATGTTTCTATTTGCCGTAATCTCCAGCTGGTTAATCCCATCTAATCTAGCACTCAGCAGATTACCATCAATATTTGTCTGTGCGACTACCTTCAATCTGACGCTGGCCGAGCGACTTCAGTGTACAGGATTCCTCGGGAGCAATATTGCCGCCCTGTTAATTTTTGATTCATCCACTGCATGCTCCTGAACTTGTCGCCTCGTGGTTACACGTCTGTCAGACTTAGAAGACAGGCTCAGAAATGGGGTCAGTGTGTTCAGTTAGGAAAAGTGATCTGGTAAACCGGTAATTGCCCACCCATGAGGAGAATACGATGCTACAAAATGGCCTAGACTTTGAGAGGGTCGTTCGCTGTCAGCGAATCGTCGTTCCAAACGTCATCACAGGGAGGGACGTACTATAATTCAGACCCTCCATATTTCAGATCCTCCCACAGAGTTCAAGGGTGGTGCCCAAGAGCGAGGCTGGCGAATGAGGATAGCAGCGTGCTGGCGGCCTTCTCGAACCGTAGGGACGTGTTGATATCCGGGGAAAACGCGATGCTACGCGCGCTGGGTGACCGTGTAGCGCGGCCGGCGATGCAGGGCACCCATACGGAAGCTTACGTCAATACAATACTTGTGCTCTGATTTGAACGGCTAAGGAAATCGCCGTCGCCTTGCAAGCCGTATGTATCGGTGGAAGGAAGGACGCCGAGGGGTGCACGTACGAAAGATGTTCAGGGCTGATGCCTCGGTCGGTTCGCTTGGATCGAGTATCTCCACCGACGTTCAGAATCCGTTCATAAAGCCAAGATGAGTTAACTGTCTCCGCGAGCACATATCAGGAGTGCGCAGATCAACGAGGCCGAGACGTTCAGCCGCCAGAGAACTTGACCACAGCAAGAAGACGTCGACACCTCGTTTCTGCCGCCTGCGGCGAGCACTAGCCATGTCTGTCATGAAGATGAAGGCCTCTTATCGGATAACACGACGTTTCTATGCAAGATAGCCATTTGCATCTTCGTGCGAGCTATCGTGACTTACATCTTTCCTCCGCTCGAACTCCGCATCCATCCTGGGCCTGTGACTGAAATGACGATCCTCACTGTAACCAACTGTATCCCGTGCCGACCGTCCGCATACCTCGGGGCTACTCACATGGCAGCGTTAAGCCCAGCGCGGGTGGGGTTAATCATACATGTTGTGTCAGTCTGGATGGGCGGTATGTGAATCGGTAGCGCGCAAGCAAACTGGCAATTTTTGGACCAAAGCCAACGTACGGAATCACCGGAGTTCCTTCTGAGCGCACATCTGCACTGCTGTGAGTAGCCCCTTGTCCTGCAAGGCCTGGGCATGCTGTGTGAGATGCCCTACGGCACAGATTCCCGATTGGCAGCAGACGCTGCACTGGACTCCATAAGTTTCAGTGGAAAAGCGTATAAATGAGCTTCTCCGTAGTTCTGCTAGCACTTCATTTGACAGCTACGGCTCGGAAATGATCTGCGCTCTCCTGTTAGTGCCAATTTTATTGATATCGTACGGAACTCCCACGAGCCGAGGTCGCTCATAATGCATGGGTACCGGGGATTACTTCGCGCAGATGACCGCAGATCGCCCATCCCATTGTTCCTGCTCGGCGTGGACCGTATCGCGCGGGTTTCATTGTTGACGTTGGCGCTGAAGTTGAATTTAAATCCCCACAGGCTTGCGGAACCTCTCTAAGCGGTCATTCCGTCTTGTACGAGCCATTAACGTGTTCATTCACGAAAGCATGTTTGAAACATATTGCACATGGGTCGCGCAGAATATGGATGACGTGCCACAAGTTGCATTATCACTGGAGCATATGTTTCCAACGATTACCTGCCTACTATGCCTGCGGAAAGTATGACATTTCCAGCATTTATGTAAAATTAACGCTGCGCACCAGAAGAACTCCTCCGGCCACCAATTCGGTCCTCGATCGTCGGTATGGTCTCTTCTTGATGACGGTCCTTCTAGAAGGAAGATCTGCTTGGCCCCACAGCAGACCATCGCCATCGAGCCGGTAAGTTGAACTCTAGATAGCGATTCGCACTGGTTCGCTAAGCAAAGAGTCTGCCAGACGCTGTCATAGCGGGAGAAGCACCGACAGCCTCCCGGATCGTCACATGAAGTGACACTGTGGATGGAGAAGATAGTCGGACTTGCATCTCCAAGGTTCACACACTAGTATTTCTGCTGCCATCTGCGAGGAGAAGATTCAAAGGTGGAGCTCGCATTATTGATCGAATACATCACGCCGGTGGTACGTCCGCTTTCCTGTTCCGCAATTCGTCGAGCTGCCCTTGATGGTCGTGATGGTCACCGCCTGGCCAGCAGATTGCAGACATTGATTCTGATACTGAACGCTCTCAGAGACAGTTATCATTTGCAGCTCAATTGATACTATGGTCGTGCTACAGCAATCCCTCGTTTACGAAGCATGTAGTGGTTATGACAGACCCGGACCGAACGCTTCCCACACTAGAAATCCTACTCCCCATGGACCTACACGCGCTAGAGTGCGCGATGCCGAGTGTAATCTACGACGCATGGGCGAAGAAGATGTGTCTTCGTAATGTAAAGCATGCGCTGGGTCTTCGAAGAACGACAATAATCCATCATGTCGTAGTTTATCTAGCAGCACTGTCGTGACCGAATGCCCATCGGCAGGATATGCAACTCTACTTATATGCATTGTTTTGCGTGCTATGTCCCAAGGGCGACACGTCAATTCGTAAGCCAGACCTGCGATGGCCCCGCCGAATACGAGAGTGATGGCATGCACGATCCGCGGTACATGTCTCTGCATGGACTCCCGGGTTTCCCTCATATCGTCTCGTACAAGAGAGGGTCGCATGAACTTCTGCGCCACTAACTTCGTTTGCGCAGCTGCACGGCGGGTGATCTCAAAAATGGAGAAGAACACCGAAAAACCTATCCACACATATGGAGTATCAAAATGCGCCCCCACTACGCAAGCTCTCGCCGAAATCGTCTCACCACAGATGTCCTTGGCAAAACCCCAGCCCCACCCGTCCCACCCTCGGCCAGCCATCTCACCGACCTCTCTCATCCAATCCCGGACTTGGCGAGCTTCGTGAACTTTGTTGCTGCCAGATGTTGTTAATCGTTTCTGGGTGCCACGAAATACTTCCTTCCACGCGTGAGACCACCCTTGCGCCGAAGTGGACCCGCCTTCGAAGGCCAGTCTGACGTTCTCAGCAGGTGCGGCAACCAACGCCTGCATACCGCCAGCAGATGCTCCAGAGATTGCCGCCAGGAGAATCGGACTCGACTGCAAGTGAGGCTCTAGGGTATTGGAGACTTCCGTGTAGGTCGACCACAGAACGAAGCCCAGAGCGCCGTTGACAACCATGGGAGGAATGAAGTGTTTCGGAATCACCATGAACTACACGCTGCCTCAGTTCAGAGTACCGTAATTGTTGAAGCATATAGGACGAACTCCTTGCTGTCTGACCAGCCACGAGATATAATGCGGTGACAACTCTCGACCATGATGTAATGCCAAATTCTTGAGCGACTGCCAGCCATTCACTGAGCCAAATGCTTGAGGATGAACGTATAACACCCGTGAATTGGCGGAAAGCGCACCTTTCGAGGGGCGGAACAGTCGCACGGGGCGAGAAAAATACAAAGCAAGACTGCGGGTGGCAGTTCGGGCAAGAGCAGCGTAAAATGAGCTGGCTTGATCTTGCAGACCGTCCTGTGAGGTGGCCGACATGCACGTCAATAAATGGAGAATATTTGGGATTCATCCGAGCCGAAATCAAACTCCGAGATCTCCTCGGCACATGCCGGGTGTCGACTTTCGCGGGGTTTCAGTTCTGCTTCTGGTTACACACAAGTCCTAACGACTGCTTGCTTTGGCATTCAGATGGCCGCTTTCACCAGCTCTCGATCTGCATCGTCCCTCAGATCGTTGATCCGCCCCGCCCTCAGATCCCTCACTTCTCAATCTCAGTTCGCGGGCCACAGCTTTTCCCCAGATTTTACCTATTACCCTGGATTTTTTAGTCTTCCCGAACAGCGCATCTTGCTTGCTGCTGCATTACAGAAGCTTGATTCTGCAGAGCCCAGGTCGTTTCGCCGTCGGAGGAAGGACTTGCCACCAAAGAAACCTCTGAGTGAGATATCGGACATACGGGAAATGTTCCTTGCTGATGAATACTACAACTTCGAGGAGGTACGTGGGATCCAACGGTGTACCTAAATGAGGCTGCACGGTTGAACTATCGTGTGGAGGGACATTACGACGGTGTTATCAAGCGGTTTCGCGAAATGCACGTCTCGTCGTGGCCTTCTGACATAGAAGGGCTGCCATCGGTGATTGCCCGTTTACAAGCTCTTCTCCCTAGTGGGAACACGCAAACGCATTTTCTTCATCTCGCTTCGGATGGTGAAATCTTGGTGTGTTCTGCTCTGTCTTGGATGAGCTCAAACTCATTGTCGTCAACTTGACAGCCTCACATCGACAACGTCGGGGCTAGTGGATCGTGGATCTTGGGTATAAGTCTGGGAGCAACACGTCTGTTACGACTGGAAAGTACCGAAGACAAGACCGAATTCATGATCCCCTTACCCTCCGGCAGCGTGTATTTGCAAAAGTGTGTATCTTCGGCACGTACACGGCAACTTACGTCTTAAAAAGCCTGTAAAAGGGATTCTATTCGATATAATTACAAACACTCAATCCTTCAACGCGGTTCCGTCGACGGATCTCATTCTGACGGTGGACAACGTCTGAGTCTCATGATCCGAGTACGTTATAATGTCATCTGACTCAATAGACAGTTGAATGTCGTTTCTCACTCCCAGGATCGTCTGCCACCTACACAACTGGCAAAGCTCAAGACAGCCAAGGGTCCAATAACTGGTCAATCGTTTCTAGAGGAAGAGGGAAGGGAAGCACGATGAGTCCCTGTAACGTCTATAAATCGCGTTATCTCGCTCATGGCTGACGAGAGAATTGAATTAATGCCGGTAGTATACTGACGTTTCGGATATCTGTTAGGCGCACAGCTGTCATCTTGTATCAAGGGGCGATCCCGATAAAGATATCTTACCGTGAGCCAATAATGTGTTCCACCACCCTGACAATGTCGCACGTTGGCGTGGTATATTGTTGAAGCACTTCTACCGTTGCGCTGATCGAACTGTTCAACCGCTTGCAGATTAAAGCTAAGGGTTAGGCTTGAGCTTACCGGAGGAAAGGTCTATCTCCCATTCCGGCTGAGTTCCTTGGCAGACTCTCGTCTGTACTTTCGCGGTCGTACGATAAATCGGCTGCGGCGTCGCAGCATTAACTAGTACTCACATCGTTCTATCCCCCGACTGCTCTTTGTTAGAGTTACGAAGGGGGTCGGTCAGGCTACTCGTCCTGACTAGCGATATAGCGATGCCTAATGGCTCCAATTCTCTCATCAACGAAGCAGCGACAGCCGCATGCACCGGCTGTGAGGCTGATGTGCGCACGGCTAATGTATCGTCAGTCACTGCCGACGTTGTATTGAAAGGTCCTTAATGATGACTCACAGTGCAGCAAATCAGGTTGTTCGGATATCAGCACTACGCGCCCAGAGGACGCAAGTAGCAAATCGAGGCAATGGCTGATTACGTGCATGAGCTCATCAATAGTGCGGCTGGTACAATTTGACCATGAGGACAATCGGGACAAAGCGATGTCGAGTTCTGGGGACTGCTCGGCATGCGGTGCTGCGGAGTGATATCCAGTAATGCCCGCTGGATGATTTGGTGAATCGTTCGGCTCTGGCAACAGAATAGCAGCGATTAGATGGGGGGAATGGGTTTCGCAACATGCGTGGATGGTCTCGAACGCGTGCGCTGATTTGGACATTGAATGCATCTCGAACGTCATCGGTGCAAGAAGACCATAGTGCCTGCCGTCAGAGTGCTTCCGCCTTTGATGCCATTCATGCAGAAGCTTCTGGCAGACTCAGCATTTGATGAAAAAAAGATCAGAAAATGGTCATACCGAAGAGATGCTTTGCTTATCAGCGCTGGTGCCGACGATGTCAGAATATTGACTGGACTCCTGTGCGCGGCAAAGAGCGAAGACGGTGTACCCGAGCTTCGAGAAATGTATAGCAATTTGTTTACCAGTTTCTACGACATTTTATCAGTGTGATGTGGGTTAACAACTTGGTCACGATTCCTAGAAAGCAGCTTCACGCTCGTGGAACGTACCATACTCTCCACCCAGAACCACAATAGCACTCTCTTCCGGTTTGTATATATCGCAACCGGGTACGTGGAAGACGGTTGAGAAAACCTGAAGCAGCCGCTCCTCTACATGCTCTGCAGTCGTAATAACCTGGTCCAGGCTGTAGAACAGCATCCGTAACACCAGAGACAACAGATAGGACAGAACGTTTGTGGTGACGGTGGTCACAATTGGATATCGGCACAGCCGCCACCAGATCGGACTCGACGCCATGCTGCATCGATCTTCGGATCTGGATCTGTTAGGGTCCAGCACCTGCTCTGGCTGGCTGGCCTGCAGAGCACAGTTGACGAGTTGTTGGTTGAGTACAAGGATAATGAGCGTACAAACGCCGACCCAACGACAGCATTTGCCGTAATCAAATTCTGATTGTTGCAAGCGAGTCATCTCCGCTTCTACTACGCCCTGCACATTGTGTTACATTGCTGCTGGAATAAGAGAACGATGCTCATGTCGTCCTGCCAAATTTCTCGGACGTAAAAAGCTGTACATCGTTCTTGGGATCGCACACGGCAAATAAAGCACAGAGTCTTTCATTGGAAGGGCTCTTAGATATGAATTGGAAATTTTCCACTTTCCTGAAAAGTCAAGTAGATGAAAGCCATGGGGAAAAGGTCCATTATACACTTCATCTGCGTTGATTGGCTCGAGGCTGCCTTGGCTGGTTGTGGCAGGGGTAAAGTCGTGGAAAAACTCCAAGACACCTCGCCTTTCTCGCGTCAAGGATCGGTGCCTTTTCTTTGGAGTGTCACCAGCGCGGAACGGTCCCACATCATTTGCTTGCGCACTCTGTCCCTTTACGTACCGGGGGCCGGTCCGAATCTAGACCACCGCCACTTTGCTCACGGTCTACCGCATGGAGAGCATCGCAATCATGCAGAACGTCGCGTACGTGATGTCTTATATGATAATCTACCGACGCCGTAAAATCCTAATTTCCGGATAGTGTCAAGTGTAATGTGCTAACGAAACCCTTCTATGATCGCAGACGCGATTATGTCCGATTCATAAATCTACGAGCAGAAAGAGTCTGGGAGATGGACTGCGTGATGAAATAGCTGCAATCAGAAGGTCCGAATCCCATGCAGATAACAGATATGCAGTCCGCATTTTGAGGGTGCTCCCAACTTTTTGGTTCATCCCGCCCGTGTGAGAGCATTGATGCTACACGAATGTTCCGTGGCGGTTGAGCAAATATCGGATTTAAAAAGCACGGTACGCACGGGATTTTGGCAATATCACCTCCGTCCAGCTTGACAATGGCAACTTGCATATTCTGAACGAATACTTGTCAGGAGACGTCTAGCCATGCTGTAAATGCCAACAAACCTCCACTGTCTCGGTGCCTTGTACTGTTCCGTAGCGGTATCGGTCGCCCTCATGAATAGCAACTCGAGTGCCAGGCTATGGTATGGGATCAGCCTTCCAACGACGGAGACGGATCGTTGGAACGTACAGGAAAATTGTCCATAGCAGAGGCGGATGGCAGACAGAATTATTGGGTTGGGAGCGGGCTGAATGAGTAGAACATGCTAGCATTTTATACCTAGTGGCGTAGCTGACAGCAATTCATACTTGATGACAGAGAAGAGGCTAGAACGGCAACGCACTCATGCAGAAGTTCTTGGAGTGACGGATGCTGCCAGGAAGGAAGCCCCATTTTCGATCGTGATGAGAGAGTTGAACGAGGTATGCGCCAACGGTCTGAAGGTGCTGCGGCTTGAGATGCAGGGAGCTTCTTCACGTCAACGAACGTCCGCACGGAGTTTCTCCACACCAGAGCGGAAAGAGAAGACTCAATAACGATCGAATTAAGAGTCTTAAATAAACATTGTTCGTCTATAGAGATCCCACGTTGTATATTGAGGATGGGCCAGAATGCTTCGCGGGAGAATTCCGATATGGGGACCATAGACAGACATATGAGCACTTTACGAAGTGGGATGGCAGCACAACCAGTAGGATCGGCCATTCCAAAAGTGTTCGCGTATAGATTAGACGGCCGAGGCTCGCTGCGCTACCAAAAGCGCCTTGGTTCTTCTCCAGAGGAACGCCATGCTGCCTGTATTCTCATAGAGGGCAGTGTCTAGATCGTTGCAATAGCCGAGTCAGATTGGGGCATTGGAGATGCACGATGATGCATGGAAGAGAGGACAGACATCGTATCGAGTCGAGATACATCACAGGCGGCTGAGAACCTGAGACTGCCTCTAACCCTGAGTGGACAAATGCGTTACGTAATCGACATTACTCGATCGGAGACTCAAGACCCACAGCTGAAGGCCACCGTCCACCATGCCATCGCAATCGAGTAGGGCAGCTGCTGCACGCCCAGATTTGTCCGTCATTCTCGTTACTGGATCATATGATCATGATATACGCTTTTGGGAAGCCTGGAGTGGAATCTGCTCGAGAACAATCGCGCGGAAGGACGAGTCCGGGGTAAGGCGATTCATATAGCGATACAGACCTCATAAGCTTAGATCTCCTCTTAACTGGGGCCTTACAGCAAGTGAATCGCCTAGCGATCTCTCCAGAGTGAGTTTTTGCAGCTCTTTGAATCCAAACACGCTACAAAATGCCCAAGCAAGCGTCTATTAGCTGCCGCAATTCACAAGAAAGTCAATATATATGAAGTTGCGAGTACTTCGTCTACTCCAGTGAGTGTTTCTGGTCTATTTGACCGGCTGAGACTGAACCCCCTCAGCTCATAACGTTTGAAGGGCACAATGCAAACATTACATCGGTGTCATTCCACAGTGAAGGCAAGTGGGTAGTGACCGGCAGTGAAGATGGGACGATCAAGATCTGGGACCTTCGGTACGCCCCTGTGTCTTCCATGTCGCCGCTCTTCAGTTCACCCAGAAGACCGCGGCAGAAGCACTCATCTCCATCGGAACTACGATAATGAGGCTCCCGGTGCATATTAAACCTCGAATGGCGAGGGCTGCTTACTGATCCTCTTCATATTAGTCAACGACGTGGTTGTGCATCCGAACCAAGGAGAACTCATCTCGTGTGACCAAGCCGGAAGAATTAAGCAATGGGACCTTTCCGAGAACATCTGCACACACGAACTGGTGCGCTCTTTTACGAATGCGTAGCTTCACTTGACGTTCACGAATCTCCACAGACCCCAGCAGGCGACACCCCCATGCGCTCAATCAGCCTTGCCTCTGACGGTTCCTGCCTTGTTGCGGGCAATTACAAGGTTCGTTCTGCTATCACCGCATGTCTGCGTCGCGAAGTACATCGCTGAATGTTGATATTACAGGGCAAGTGTTACGTCTGGAAAATCAATGACGAGCGATCGGACCTTCCGAGGTTCCAGGCCGTCACTAAATTCCAAGCGCATACGAAATACTTGACGAGATGCCTGCTCAGCCCCGATACCAAGTGAGGAAGATTCTATCCCTTCTCGATGCCCAGTGGCAAGCGAGGTTCTCACGTTAGCGTCTCCCAGGTATCTGGCCACATGCTCGGCAGATACCACAGTGAAGATATGGTCCTTGACGCCAACGTATGAATTCAAAATGGAAAAGGTTCTGCAAGGCCATCAGCGATGGGTGTGGGACTGCGCTTTTAGCGCTGACTCTGCATATCTCGTGACCGGTGCGGTTTATAGTTCATCGTCTCTGGATACTGCTTATATTGAACTGCACACAGCATCTTCAGACCATACAGCGCGTCTGTGGGAGATGGCGTCTGGAGAGACTGTGCGACAGTACACTGGTCATCACAAAGGTTCGCTTCTTTTCCCGTCTTAATGCAATTCGTCCGACGCTAACCCGTCTCTCAGCTGCTGTCTGTTGCGCGTTGCACGATGGCGCCGGCTAGCCTGTGCCCCCGAATTTTTTTACATCATGCTGCCCCATGCTCGTCAATTATGTCTTCATTCTCAACCTGTGCCTAACACGCAGGCGAGAGCATATGGGAATTCGACAGATAGATACTGTGGGCTGTGCTGCAAGCTATTCTCAGGGGTAATATCTATATTATTATTGACCATGTCGTGTCCGTGTGTGCAATCTGGGGCACCCTGTATGGCATGTTTCGCGTTCGGGATCTAGGCCTTTGGCGGGATGCTTGCGCCCGCCGGCTATGGGACAGCAGGACGTCATGAATATCGGTTATGAACACCTTCATGCAGGGTGAGTTCTCCTCAGAAGCACACCCTTCCCTGATGGCGAGGCAACGTCGATCCGAGGTCAGACATGCGCATATCAATGACAGTACTTAAGCTTCACATCTGCGCCACTGTGAGGAGATTCATATGTGCATCGTGAGAGAAGAGCCATTTATACCGTAGGTTTTCTTCGAGACTTGATTATGTCTTCTCGAATAGCTGCCGATGTTTCTCGATGCGTATCAGACATTGCACGTCAAGACCGAGCGTCAGAGGCGAAGATCTACGTACACGAAGAGTGTCATGCCGTTTTGCTGCGAGAATTCATATCTATGCGTAGGTTAAGAGGTCCGGGAGCACTTTAGTTTTGCTTTGCTGTTCGACGGCCAAGGCATGCGTTTTGGATTCCCGAGCTTTCTGAAATGAGTCACGAGCTCGAAAACAATGTATTCATTGCCGTGTAGTGTCTTGATCCCGCGAAGTATCTCCGCAGGTGCGCGGCGTGGCGAAATCAGCTGCAGACGGGCATCCGCTTTGGCCGGAAAATATGACTAGGGAGCGACTGCTGATTGGACGATGGTATTTTTGCCAAGGATTCGGACTCGTTTTTGTACGTAAATTTATCCCGATCGGACGGCGGCCCCATCAAGCGCCCAGAATTAATGTTCGCTCAGCTCGGATGTCTTCGGGAGGCCGTGGCGTGAATGTTCTCCAAGTGACTCCATCCTCCCTGCTCACCGTTTAGAAATTTGTGCCGCGCCCTCATTGCCATCCGCACCTCTCTCTCTTGCACCGCAACCATATTCTATCCACCCACCGTCCTCGTCGTGCTCCTAGTCCTCCCAGCTCTCCCTTCTTACGTTCTATGGCCGTCGCTGATCCTGCTTCCCCCATACCGAGCACTTCTTTGCCTGTACCAGACATCGATACGCAAAATGGGTTCTACGACGTCGAACGTGACCCCGCTTCCTGGGACGGGGCATTGCCCGCCAGTCAGGGCCTGTACGAGAATCAATACGAGAAGGACTCCTGCGGTGTAGGCTTCATCTGCCAAATCAAGGGCGAGGAAAGTCACAAAATCGTCTCAGATGCGCGCCAGCTTCTCTGCGCCATGGCCCACCGCGGTGCCACCGGTGCGGACAGCCGTGATGGAGACGGTGCAGGTGTCATGACCGGCATTCCCCACCTTTTTTTCCAGCGTGAGGCTGAAAGAGACATTGGTTGCGAGCTTCCCGAGGCCGGCCAGTACGCCGTTGGCAACGTTTTCTACAGGGCCAATGACCCTGTCGGCTTGCAGAAACAGCAAAGTGTTTTTGCCAAAATCGCCGATGAACTCGGTCTTCGAGTCCTCGGGTGGAGAGAGGTCCCTACGGACGGTACGATCCTGGGCCCCGCAGCTGCTAGCAAGGAGCCTTCCATTCTGCAACCCTTCATCGTCCTGCGATCGCACTATGGAGACGGACATACCAGCCGCAACGGCGCATTTGACCCGAAGTACCTCGAACGACAGCTATATGTTCTCCGCAAGCACGCGACCCACAGCATGTTTGTCTTCTCGTCTTCTCTTCCTTTACGTTGGCTTAACTCTGTTTGTCTATCCAAAGTACTCTCGCAAAGGGTTTCTACGTTTGTTCGCTCTCATCCAAGAACATTGTGTACAAAGGTCAACTCTCGCCATCGCAAGTGTACAATTATTACCATGACCTCAATCATGTCCTCTATCGTTCTCACTTTGCACTCGTGCATTCCCGTTTCTCTACAAACACGTTCCCGAGTTGGGACCGTGCGCAACCTATGCGTTGGGCCGCTCACAACGGTAAGCGATGTCATTTGGCATTGATGAATATGATTTTGATGCCACCGCCGATCAGGTGAAATTAACACCATTCGCGGCAACAAAAACTGGATGCGTGCTCGCGAAGGCGTGCTGTCTTCTTCGCACTTCGGCGACCAGTTGGATCTGCTCTATCCGATCATCGAATCCGGCGGATCTGATTCCGCTGCATTCGATAACGTGCTCGAGCTGCTCGTCGTCAATGGGGTTCTAACGCTCCCCGAATCAGTCATGATGCTGATCCCCGAGGCATGGCAGGGCAATGAAATGATGGACCCCGAAAAGAAAGCGTTCTATAACTGGGCAGCCTGCCTTCAGGAGCCATGGGACGGCCCTGCGCTGTTCGCATTCAGCGATGGACGGTACTGCGGTGCCAATTTGGACCGCAATGGCTTAAGACCTTGCCGTTACGTCGTGACGAATGAGGATATAATCGTTTGCGCATCTGAGGTTGGCGCTGTTTTCATTCCTCCCGAGAAGGTTGTTTCGAAGGGCCGTCTCAAGCCGGGTCGTATGCTCCTCGTTGACACCGAGGAGGGCCGCATCGTCGACGATAAGGAACTGAAGCGCAATACTGCTTCCAAGCAGAACTTTGCCTCCTGGATCGAGGCGCACGTCCTGCATGTACCTAACATCGTGAAGCGCGTCAAGCGCTCACAGAGCGTTGATCCCCAGATCGACGGGTACTCTCTCAGTACCGATCCGAAGCTGCTCGCTTTTGGATACACCGTCGAGCAGCTCAACCTGCTCTTGATGCCAATGGTCACTGACGGCAAAGAGGCTCTTGGGTCCATGGGCAACGACGCGCCGTTGGCGTGCATGTCAACGCAGCCTCGCCTGGTCTACGAGTACTTCCGCCAGCTCTTCGCGCAGGTCACCAACCCTCCGATCGACCCCATACGTGAGAACATCGTCATGTCTCTCGAGGCATACATCGGCCCCGAGGGTAACCTCCTCGAGATGAAGCCCGAGCAGTGCCACCGTATTCTTCTCCGTTCTCCCATTCTCACGATGGAGGAGATGAATGCGATGAAGAGCTTGAAATATGCATACTCGAGCTGGCCCTCGCGCATCATCGACATCACGTTTCCGAAGGAGCATGGTCTGCCTGGCTACAAGCTCGCCCTCGAGCGTGTTTGCAGCGAGGCCATGGAGGCTATCGAGGAGGGTATCAAGGTCATCATTTTGTCGGATCGCGAGACGGGCCCCGAGCGTGTCCCGCTGTCTGCACTGATCGCGTGCGGTGGAGTGCATCAGCACCTCGTGTCTCAGAAAAAGCGTGCGAAGGTTGCGTTGCTCGTCGAGACTGGTGAGGCGCGTGAGGTGCATCATCTGTGCGTCTTGCTCGGCTATGGTGCCGACGGTATCTGCCCGTGGCTGGCGATGGAATGTATTCACAAGGTCGCCCGGGAGGGATTGTAAGTACATATTTGATCGTTCTGGAAGGACATCGCTGATACATGATACAGGGTTAAGGACAACAAGACTTTCGACGACCTGCTGCACAACTTTCGTCACTCCGTTGACAACGGTATTCAGAAGGTGATGTCGAAGATGGGTATCTCGACTCTGCAATCGTACAAGGGAGCTCAGATCTTCGAGGCACTCGGCTTGCATACCGAAGTCATCGAGAGCTGCTTTACCGGTACTGCTAGCCGTGTACAGGGAGCTACGTTCGACCTGCTGGCGATGGACGCATTCGAGATGCACGAGCGTGGTTGGCCGTCCCGCGAGACGATCATTCCTCCTGGCATGCCGGAGTCGGGCGACTACCACTGGCGTTCCGGCGGGGAGGCGCACATCAACGATCCGACAGGCATCGCGAACCTGCAGGACGCCGTTCGCGAGAAGAACCAGCGCGGCTACGACGCATATGCAAACAATGCGAACGAGCAGACCAAAGCGGTACATCTCCGTGGCCTCCTTGACTTCCGCTACGAGAATGCAGCCCCGATTCCGATCGAGCAGGTCGAGCCGTGGAATGAGATCGTCCGTCGCTTCGTCACTGGTGCGATGTCGTACGGTTCCATCTCGATGGAGGCTCACTCTACGCTTGCGATTGCCATGAACCGTCTCGGCGGCAAGTCGAATACGGGTGAAGGAGGTGAGGATGCGGAGCGGTCGCTTGTGTTGCCGAACGGCGACACTATGCGCTCTGCGATCAAGCAAGTCGCATCTGGCCGCTTCGGTGTCACCTCGAATTACCTTGCCGACGCAGATGAACTGCAGATCAAGATGGCTCAAGGCGCGAAACCGGGAGAAGGAGGAGAGCTTCCGGGACATAAGGTCTCTACTTCCATTGCCCGCACTCGTCATTCTACCACAGGCGTCGGTCTAATTTCGCCGCCACCTCACCACGATATCTACTCCATCGAGGATCTCAAGCAGCTTATCTACGATCTGAAGTGTTCGAATCCTAGAGCACGTGTTTCTGTGAAGTTGGTGTCGGAGGTAGGTGTTGGTATTGTCGCCAGCGGTGTTGCGAAGGCGAAGGCAGATCACATTCTTATCTCCGGCCACGATGGTGGAACTGGTGCCTCGCGCTGGACTGGTATCAAGAATGCCGGTCTTCCTTGGGAGCTTGGTTTGGCCGAGACTCATCAGACCCTGGTGCTTAATGATCTGCGTGGCCGCGTCACTCTCCAGACCGACGGACAGATTCGTACTGGTCGTGATATCGCGATTGCTTGTCTATTGGGTGCGGAGGAGTGGGGCTTCGCGACGACACCTCTGATCGCGATGGGATGTATTATGATGAGGAAGTGTCATTGTAAGTGTTTTTCGTATCGAGTTCACATGTGGATGCTAATAATTTTGGATAGTGAATACTTGTCCTGTCGGAATCGCAACACAGGATCCTCAGCTGCGCGCCAAGTTCGCCGGCCAGCCTGAGCAAGTGATCAATTTCTTCTACTACATTGCCGAAGATCTACGCTCGCACATGGCGAAGCTCGGTTTCCGTACCATCAATGAGATGGTTGGCAGGGCCGATATGCTTAAGGTGAATGAGAAGCTACGCACTCCGAAGACTGCGCACCTCGATCTATCCGCCGTCTTGAAGCCTGCCTGGCAGATGCGCCGTGGCGCTGCAACCTATCGTGTCCGTCCTCAAGACCATAAGCTGTATATTCGTCTCGACAACAAGTTTATTGATGAATCTGAGCCTGCGCTTACTAAGGGTCTTCCGGTGCACGTCGACTGTGATGTCACTAATACTGACCGCGCGCTCGGTACATCACTGTCGTACCGCGTTTCGAAATTATACGGCGAGGAAGGCCTTCCGAAGGACACCATTCACATCAGTATGAGGGGTTCCGCTGGTCAGTCCCTCGGGGCTTTCTTGGCGCCCGGTATCACAATCGAGTTGGAGGGAGATGCAAATGACTACGTTGGAAAGGGTCTTTCTGGCGGTCGTTTGATCGTCTACCCACCGAAGCAATCAACCTTCAAGGCCGAGGAGAACATCATCGTAGGCAACGTTTGCTTATATGGTGCGACATCCGGTGAGGCGTTCATTCGTGGGGTCGCTGCGGAGCGATTCGCAGTCAGGAATTCGGGTGCCAACGCTGTGGTTGAGGGAACTGGTGACCATGGGTGTGAATACATGACCGGTGGCCGTGTCGTAATCCTTGGCAGCACTGGCCGTAATTTCGCGGCTGGTATGAGCGGAGGCATTGCGTACGTTCTGGATACCGCTCACACGTTCGCGTCCAAAGTCAACCCGGAGATGGTCGAGCTCGGGAAAGTCATTGACCCGCGAGAGATCGCTCAGCTGCGCGGGCTCATTGAAGACCACCGTCATTATACTGGCTCCGAGGTTGCCGATCGTGTCCTACATGACTTCCACCATCTGCTGCCGCTGTTCGTTCGTGTCATGCCTCATGACTACAAGCGCGTTCTCGAGGAGGAAGCCGCCAAGGTGAAGGAAGAGAAGATGCGTCAGAGTACGATCGATTTGATCCCCTCGCGGACCGCCAGTCAAGTGGACCTTGCATCCGAAGGTCTCGAGGATATTCTCCTGCCTAAGGAGCCGCTGTCCCTCACCAGTCGATCATCATCGAAGACACGGGTAGAGCCATCCATGACAGACTTGGAGGACTCGCTTGTTGACGATGCTACCACGAAGCAGCGCCTCAACAAGCTCGACAAGACCCGCGGCTTCATGAAGTACAAGCGCCTTACCGAGACGTACCGCCCTCCTCGGAAGCGGGTCAAGGATTGGAGGGAGATTTCCGCTCGTCTCACTGAAGAGGAGCTGAAGTACCAATCTGCGCGTTGCATGGACTGTGGTGTGCCGTTCTGCCAGTCTGATACCGGCTGCCCTATTTCCAATATCATCCCGAAGTGGAACGACCTGGTGTTCAAGAACCAGTGGCAGGATGCCCTTAATCGTCTCCTCATGACGAATAATTTCCCCGAGTTCACTGGCCGTGTCTGCCCTGCTCCGTGTGAGGGAGCATGCGTGCTCGGTATTAATGAGCAGCCCGTGGGTATCAAGAGTATCGAGTGCGCGATCATCGACAAGGTGTGTCGTCTTCGTTGCTGAACTTCTATTATTGGTATTTATTTGGGTCGCAGGGTTTCGAGAAGGGTTGGATGCAACCTAAGATTCCTCATTTCCGCACGGGAAAGAAAATTGCTATCATTGGTTCAGGCCCTGCGGGTTTGGCGTGTGCAGATCAATTGAACAAGGCCGGTCACCACATTACAGTCTATGATCGTAACGACCGCATGGGAGGCCTTCTCATGTATGGAATTCCCAAGTGAGTGCGACCCTGAGTCCTCGAGGCAATTCTCTGATTGATTATTTTGTAGCATGAAGCTCGACAAGGCAGTCATCCAGAGGCGTTTGGACCTCATGGCGGCGGAAGGGGTGGTAGGTCTCAGGTTCTCTTCACCCGTCTAGACGTATACCGATCGTCGTTTGCTAGACATTCGTTCCCAACACATACGTTGGCAAGGACATCGATGTGAACGACCTTCGTGCGCAAAACGATGCCGTTGTCATTTGCACCGGCGCAACCTGGCCTCGCGATCTGAAGATTCCTAATCGCGAAGCGGATGGCATTCACTTCGCCATGGAATATCTGCGGGTGCGGATTTTGTCATCTTTACGTATATTCATAGGGTTGACTGTCAGCGTGACTCTAGTTGAACACCAAGTCACTGCTTGATTCTGAGCTGCAGAACGGCAACTATATCAATGCTAAGGGCAAAGATGTAATCGTTATTGGCGGCGGTGACACCGGAAACGACTGCATTGGTACTTCCATGCGCCACGGAGCGAAGTCGGTCACCAACTTCGAGCTGCTACCCAAGCCGCCTGCCTCGCGCGGACGAGACAACCCATGGCCTCAATGGCCTAGGTCAGTATCCACCTTTCATCGTGGTTTTCCCACATACTGAATAAGTTCATCGCACAACAGGATCTTCCGTACGGATTATGGGCATACCGAGGTTGCCGCGCACTTCGGAAACGGTAAGCGCTCTCCCTTTACGGACTGCAGCACCATCTGATTATGTGAGATAGATCCTCGTGAATACTGCATCTCCACTAAGGACTTCGTCCTCGACGAAGAGGGCAAGCTGAAGGGCTTGAACACCGTGCGCGTCGAATGGACTAAAGACAGCGGAGGCCGTTGGAAGATGGAGGAAGTGCCCGGTTCTGAGAAATTCTTTCCGGCGCAGCTCGTCTTCCTTGCTCTTGGATTCCTCGGTCCAGAGTCCGAAGTCATCAAGGCTCTTGGCGTAAAGCAGGATGCGCGTTCCAACATCCAGACGCCGCACAAGGTGAGAGCAATGACTGACATACTTCACCGAACTGCTTCTGACTGCATAACAAACTAGAAATACTCCACCAACGTCGAGGGTGTCTTTGCAGCGGGTGATTGTCGTCGCGGCCAGTCTTTGATCGTTTGGGGAATCAAGTAAGTCGTATCGCATCCTCTAAGGGCCAGGCCACTGATTGATCTCCCATTGTAGCGAGGGTCGCGGTGCTGCCGCTGAGGTCGATGCGTGGCTCATGGGAGGCCGCAGTAGACTGCCGGAGGACGGCGGCATCAAGAAGAGAGTGAGTACGCAAGAATTCCGATACAAAAATTTGTCTAACTAATCTCTTGTAGACGTTCCTTCCTCCCTCGAGCACGCTTTCCAATGGCGCGCAGGTGATTCAGGTGGAGGCGTGATTCGTTGATGGGCACGTAATGATCTCATGCACTCGATCTGCTATGAATTGTCTTCCCGTCACTTGGTATCCTGCTGTTCAACCAGATAATGTACATTAAATTTTCATACCATATTACATCGGGTACTAACAGATCATGTTGTACGGCATACATGTGTACATGATAGCAATGGATGTGATGTTTCTCTTTGCGACATGCCATGACGTGTTCGTGCATCGCGCTCACGGAGATTGCTCCTCCTCGTAGATCCGAACGCCACCCTTTCCCCAAGCTTCAAGGACAGCCTTGCCTGCACCTGTTGGTTGTGTGAATGCAATCTGACCCTTGGCAGGATCCAACGGACAGCCCAGAATGAATGTAGAAGCAGCGGCCGACAGAAGATGCGACGCAATCCCCAGCCGACGATGGCTGGAGGAAACGAACAGACGGGGGATACCTAATGGCGTAGGCAGGGGATTTGGGTGGACGTAGAGATTCGTGGCTGCATCAACTGGGATGAGGCTGTGGGTATGCTTGTCTTTGGCGTCTTTGGAAGTATCGGAAGTCAGATGAGAGATGGACGTATTAGATGTTGATAAATCGATGTCGGACGTTACGGCCATGGCAGTAGCTATACGTTGCGCAATAACGCAACCCACGATTCTTTCCCGTGAATTATGGGATGAAGCACTGTCGGGGGATAGGAGGAAGATGTAGACTTTGCAATGCTGGAGAACCGCCGGGGACAGTGGTGGGGAGGATAACGCGAGGCTAATTGTTTCCAGTAGCGTTGTAAGCTACAGCGCCATGAGCGATCAGCACGAGATGATGCTGAATATTACAGTAAAAGCTCACCTTGACTCCGATTTTGCCTCCAACATCGGGTCTAAAACATATAACACGCCCCTTGGTGCCATTCTTCAACTTCAGTCCTGTGGTCACTTCCTCAACGCCAGCCTTGAGCGTTTCTCGCTCCTCCTCACGCCCCCACTGCAGACCCTTCCTGACACGGGCACAGTGAGATCGGTGCAGACTCTCATCATCGGGTGCGCCTTTCGTGTAGGACAAGTCGCACAGACGACAAGTTCGGAGCACCGTCACATCGAGAGCGAAGTGGAGCTGCGTGAGCTTCTGTTGTGGCTTTCGCTTGGCTTTCTGGCTCTTCAGTACTGTTTCAGACTTAGCCGACGGCTTCATCGAGGACTTAGTCAGTTGACGCTGTCGCTTGATGGGAGGGGAATTCTGCATGGAGGAATCCTCAAGTATTGGCCGTTTGTGTATTTGTGAGGGGATCGGCGAGGAAGTCAGCTCTGAAGGCGGCGATGAGGGAGGTGGTATCTTGCTAGTGCATGAACCGTAGGTACGCACGACCTTTGTAGTGGATGACATGATGGTAAGCAAGAGAGAGAGGAAAGCGCGTGCATCATTGAAGCAGGACGCGTCGCGTTGGCTTTGTTTGGCTTATACGCGTCGCGTTAATCACGTGAGTTCAGGCATGTGACCGCGACGCGATCACGTTCAGCACATCGATCCTCCCACCCACCTCCAAACATTCCACTCTCCATCTACACATTCACCCCTCCATCTACATCTACACATTGCACCCTTCATCTGTAGCATCCATGAATTCAGAGAAGACTGTGGGGGCAATTAGGGATGGACCTGGAGAGGTATGTCCCATTGGAATGAACGTCCTTGCTACGGTAGAACAAAACGGAGTTTACGTCAGAAGCTCAACACCGCTCGGGCCGCGCCCCTCGACAGCACCTCGCATCCTCGTTCCGAACGACCGCCAGCCCGAACGTCACAGGACTTCAAAACTGTTCGCGAATACTATGTGGCAGTTGCGAAGAATGAGTACCCCGAGGAGAACGTTGAGCAGCTCGACGATCTCCACTTGATCTATTCCTACCAGCGCCTTGCTGGCGATGGGAAGCTGTCGTATGACCAATTCATCAAGAATTTCCAGGACGAGTGTGAGGACGAGTCTTCGTACACAGGCGAGGTGATTGAGGTGGAAGCACTGGCAACGGCAAAGCTGGATAAGCCACTAACCGTCATTGGAGTGACTCATGACCTTCTATTCAGTATTCAAGCATCTGATTCACCATCGCAGCTTAAGCCTGTACCCGGGGAGGAAGACGTGCACTACACTAGCATCCCGGGATCGAACCTCGCGTTACGGATTTGGGGCAAAGGGATGGAAGATGAACATTACTATTGCCTCGACTTCGTTGATAAGGACACACTGCAGGCAGTCAATATGCCTTCCGACTTCAAGCTCTACACGGTGCCGCCGATGGACAGTTGGTGGCGTCCTCACTTCGGTGGGCAGATGTTCTCATTGGAGAGTGAGTTCCAGGTCCCTCAACAGGAGCTGAAGGCTGGGGAGGAGAAGTTTCTGCTGTCCGAAGGTGATTGTATAAGGCTGTCACGGAAGGGAGCTAAAGAGCTGTACGTGAACGTACCAATCAGGCCTAGAGATCGCAGGCCGCCTTGGCTCAGAGGGGCATATGTTTCCACCTTCGGTCCAGCCAGTGCTTTGGACTCTGCACCAGAGGCCGGATCGTCATGCTGATTCAGAGAACGTCGCTTTCAATTACTTCTAGCAATCAATTCTTCATCTCGTAAAGCCATGAGATTCGTTACCGTGCCAGGGTATACAATAGATACAAGTGCAAAAAACGACCGTGTATGGAAACGAATTGAACCCTGCAGCCGATATCCTGATATCTAAACCGATGATGACAATGAGAAGGAGGGCGTTCGACGCTCCTCATGCAGTGCGTTCAACGCCAGGCTGCGTTTGGTAAAGAACATGTCACTGTGTCCACGCAGTGACTGTCGATTGAAGGCCATTGACGTTGTCACTCTCCGCGATGATGCCGGCTCCGTCCACGCTCAGCTGGTACGTCGCTCCGACGGTCGCTAGACTGTAGAGATATAGTGACGAATTTGAGTCGACGTTGATGATCTGGCTTTGGCAGTCCGAAGAGTCGAGGCAATCCTCCGAGTAGTCCTGGAAGAAGCTATAGTGTCCAGCACCTGTTAATCATAACTTCAGCACAGCTCAAAATGCCTGATGATACTCATCTCCTTACCGAAGACAAGAATGTCCGTTGAGTTCTGTACGTACAGCGCCCAAGCAGCAGTTTGACCTGACGAGAAGTCAGGATCGCTGAGGCTGCTGTTGGAGGTATAGGGAGACGGGGAAGAGGGAGACGGCTGGAAGTAAGGCTATGTACACAATGAATGTTAACGCGCGGAATATAATTGGACATAGCATCACTTACTGTCTCTGTCTGAATGAGTCCCATGTAGTGGTTCGATGCACCAGCCAGGTTGTACTGGTAGAGCACATGGTGTTCAGCTATATATGCGGCATTAGCAATCCAATTAACAGCACTTCTCCGACGTCCATTACTGACCTGCTGTCCCAATCATCCATACCGGCCCTGAGGACTCGGACAGAATGCCACGGCCACTGAAGAGAGTGAGCTGAGATTGAGCAGTGGCATCCAGATCGTGATCAGCAAGCCAGACCCAAGTGCCCTGGAGTGAAGACGGATTAGCTAAATAAAGAAAGTCCATCCCATACAATGCACCTCAAGGTATGCGTTCGATCCGGAGGTCAGGTGCAATCCGAGGAAAGCGGCGAAGCATGAATCGGAGTCGGAGCCAGACGGGCACTCGGAAGCCTCCAAGTCAGTACCAGCAGCTGTACAAGATCGTCAGCAAGGATTCAAAATCTAACTAGATATGGAGCCAGGAGTCATACCTCCTCCGAGACGGATGTAAGTATCCCACATCCCAGCACCACCCTGCGTGTCAGAAGCAACATTCCACTCAACGACAATAGCACCAGCAGCTGTGGCACGATACCATAGTAAGCATAGCCTATCATATCCGCCTTATGAAGGCACTCACCAGGACCTCTGGTAGAAAAAATCATGTTGCTGATCTCCAACGTACCAGTGGAGCCAGCATCGCCGACCTTGACCATGACCGTCGGGGTATTCTGGTCCTCGAAGGCGTCTCCGCTGCCCATGATGGTTGCCCACGCTTCGCCCACCATCTGCGTTCCGGCAGGGATCGTGAGGGTACTTGTGACGATGTAAGTGCCTGCATCGAAGTAGATGATGTAACAGCCTGAATACTGCATCATGAATTATCAGGAATACCGCATGCAGAATACGAAGCATGGCACATTAACCTGATCGAAGATCGACTGAAGCGCGGCTGTGTCATCTGTTGAGCCATCGCCCGTGGCACCAAGGGTCTTGACGCTGACGAACTGGTCCACGGAGTAATCGGCATACCTGCAGCCGACATTAATTGCCATTATAGACTCTCATTCTGCCCTACTCACTGAGGAATTCCTTTGCTAAATATCTGGCCATTGTCCAGGAGGCTGCTGGCCTTCGTCGGCGCGACGATGTCACCCTTGGTGAACGTGAAGGAGGAAGTCGTGCCGGAGTAGATGTTGCCCTGTCCCCAGCTGTCAATCGTGGTCGAACCGCCTTCGAGAATAACATCGCCGTTGACGACGCCGACGGCGGTGGATACATTGGTCAGCTGGATGTTGCTGAGTACCACGGAGCCGGAGAGAGAGTTGCTGGAGTTGGAAGCACTGAGGAAGACCGGCGTGTGGCTGACTATGGCATCGATGATCGCAACACCGCCGACAGTCTGAATTGTTTTACTGTCAGTCAGAGCGTCGGCGTTCATGGATGGAGAACCGACCTGATCATCCTCCGTGAGTCCGCCCGTCTGCAAATCGAAGCCGATACTACAGTCATTGACTACGCAATCATGACATCAGCCGCGTTCCATATCATCTTGCGAAAAAAAGCTTACTGGTGACACCCTGGAACGTCCAGCCTGTGGTGCACATTCAGCGGCGGTCATGCATGATACATTGGTAAAACAAACCCCAGTTCCAATCCACGAAAATGGCTATAACACATAATTAGTCCCACGCTAAAGGCGAGGACACCGAAGACTCACCAGTCTTGGCATTGTTGATGGTAACGTTGCGAACAGTGAACCTAATATATGCGTATTCGTATCCGGTCCGGGCTTTGAACTAGTGCAAGTGACTTACTGTTGATTGCCGACCCACATTCCATACTTGCCTATTGATCGTATTCAATTGGCGGTCCCGATCGTCGGAAATCGCACCGGGCTTACCTCCATTGAAGACCAAATCTGTTATGTTTTTGAGCAACACATTGGATGCACAAAGCGAACGCAGAACATACCTCCCATGAACCCACCGCTACCATTCTCCATCCATATACCTGAACAACATGCTTAGCGAAGATCTTCGTGAACCCTCGAGCATCATACCTTGGTGCGCGGTGTCGGAGGCCGTGCTCATCTCGAACTGGATGTTGTATAGCGAGGTTGCTTGCGAGACTTGCCAGTGAATGCCAGTGCTATCGTCGGTCGCCGTAGTATCCGTAAGGTCAATGACGAAGTTTCGGACGCTGCGGAAGAAGTTGTTGGTGTCGTTGTACCATTGTGCGCCCCAGCCGTTGGGGATGTAGGGGTCAGCATCTATATTGATAATGTCAGTACAACTTATGAATTAGAACCTTGTATATAGCAGCGCCGCAGCGCGCGCCATGCTGCCCGCGCAGCAGGTAGAAAGGACATGGCCACTCACCGATAACAGCCATGCCGCTGAAGTTCGAGGACGCGAGAAGAGTCGGCGGCACCCGAGCGTCGCCAATGAGCTGGGTATAGTAGTATGCACTAATTGCACGTAAGCAGGATTGCCAGCGTGCATAGATAGGCGACCCACATAATAGGCGATGACACTTTGTATGTGCTGCGAAGTACAGTTGTTTAGCAAAACGGTATTCCCCTTAGACATGTACGGACTTGCCCTTGAGGGAAATAAACGACCGCCGGGGTAACTGTAGAAGATGCACAAGTTCCTTCGCCACACCGGGAGCCGGAGGATATAGCCAAACTGACAATACATTGAGACGATCCACGTATGTTATACTCAAGAGCAAAAACACACTTTATTGCGTCTGTGTCGTCTGCTACACCGTCACCTACAGCACCATAGTCTTTGACGCTACGGAAAACGGTGTACGAAGCCGGGTCAGAGTTGAAAGCTGAGGTGCCTTGATGTTTGATATCCTGCATCCAGAACGGGTCACTTGCGGCAGCGGTGCCGGAGGTGACTGCAGCAGAACATTTCGTGCCCAGAGCATAAGCAAAAGGAGTGGCAGCTATGAGGCCATAGATGAGGAAAAGGAAAGCGGCCAACATAGCAGAGAAGAGACGAGAGGGAAAAGAGCAGAGATGGGCCATCAGCCATGATGCATTCAATCTTTTATAGCGCATAAAAAACGTTTCGAACGCATGATCCAGATTTCTTGATAAAGCTACGCCTGGTCTATCTAACACCGAATGGAAGACCAAAATGGTCGGTTGCTATCCAACTCAGCTCAGCCTAGATTTCTCATCTGGAACACCTCCGGTCAAGATGGTGAGCAAATATAGACCGCGCAGGATTCACCAATTAGAAGCACAGTTCATTCGGGAACGAGGCCAGTTTGATGCGCCGCGACGTGCCGCGTGTTTTGGAGCGAAACGTGGCTCAGTGCGGCGTTCTCTCTTACACTTCTCGGGTCGGGGAACTGAGAGCGGGCAGAAATCGGTTGTTAACATGTCCGCGTCCATGGCTGCCATCAGCAGAAAACGGTAGAACGAGTTGAGGAGGCAACTGATATCCGCAGCGTGAAGGCGGCGCGCGGAGCCGCGGTGGCGGATGCGACGAGACGCGACGGGTTTACACGATCACGCGATCGTCTCGAAGCCAAACTCTGTTTTGGCCATTCACGCGCATGCGCACGTCTCGCCACGCTTGTTGGATGGCAGACAACACGCAGGATCAGTGAAGTTTTGCAGCTGCCTTCTGTTCTTCGGCACAATGAACTCAGAGTTGGACACGTTCCGCAGTCTATCCATTGTCTTCCGGCGCCAAGTGCAAGCGAGCGCAACTGGGGCCGATGTACTACTCTCCCTTTGCTGGACAACCATCAGCATGCATCGTAATGCATGTATTGGCTACCCTGCACAAACGGGTGGATCGCAGTACGAGCAGAGTAAGGTCACGAAACTTGTAGCCTCCTTGGGCCCCAAGACTTTTTGACACCGTGTGCACCCACGCGCATGCAGAGAGGACAGTATTGCTCATTAATAGTTAATTCAACTCAAAACCTTAGAAGCAGTTAGATGAAGAACCGGGCGGATCTCAGTCTATAAGAACATCGCCGAGCGGTCTATCGCGTACATACAGACACGTTTCCCACCAGATACAAGATGAATACGTTTACAACAGAAAGATGAAGCCCTGTGGTATGCAATCCTTGTAGAAGCAGAGGAGATATAGAGGTGGATGGTGTGCACCGTTGACCGGTCACTGTGTCCAGACGGTGACAGTGGACTGGTACCCATCTACGTTATCGCTTTCTGGAACGACTCCCGCCTCGGACACACTCCACATGTAGCTAGAGCCGACAGTCGACAAGCTATAGAGATAAAGCGTCGAAGACGAGTCGACGTTGGCGATTTGGCTCTGGCAATCCATCGAATCGAGGCATGTTTGAGCATAGTTCTCGAAAAAGCTATAGTGACCAGCGCCTGCGCGAAGACATCAGCAGAAGCTCTTGGAGAGCAAATAAAAGAAAATACCGAAGACTATGATGTCTGTCGAGTCCTGAACGTAGAGAGCCCAGGCGGAAGTTTGAGACGATGGGAAGGAAGGGTCATTGTAAGTGCTCTCTACAGAGAATGGGGAGGGAACAGCGGGCGAAGGCTGATAGTACGGCTGAGAACAGTTGAGTATCTCGATCAGCTGTCGCATATACAAACAATCGCCATATTTATTTACCGTCTCCGTCTGAATCATGCCCATGTAGTGATCTGACGCTCCATTAAGACTATACTGATAGAGCGTGTGATGTTCGGCTGCAGACATATTCTCAGTACATCTTCATAAACTGCATCAGCATCGACCTACATGCTACAAGCCAAGTCAGCAACACGTCTGAGTCAACGCAGATCACGCTCACCAGTACCAATCATCCATACGGGTCCCGCAGACTCGGAAAGGATACCTCGTCCGCTGAATATTGTCAACTGCGTCTGGGCACTAATATCGAGATCATGATCGGCTAGCCACACCCATGTTCCCTGAGCAGGCACCTCAGTTCGTGCATTCAACAATGCTAATCAGTGTCGTACCTCAAGATACGCATTTGATTCTGCCGTCAAGTGCAGAGCAAGGAAGGCGGCGAAACAGGAATCTGAATCTGAGCCGTAAGGGCACTCCGCAGTTTGCAAGTCAGTACCAGCCGCTATGGAGATACGATGTTCAGTTTAGATGCCCGCGATTACTCGGAGACTTTGTGTACAGACCTCCACCCAAACTGACAAGGGGTTCGGATGAGCAGCCTGAACGGAAATACGGGTATATTACTCACCGGAAATAAGTATCCCACATTCCAGCATAGCCCTGAGTATCGGCAGCAACGTTCCACTCCACGACAATGGCACCGGGGGCTGTGGCATGTCATCACTCTCAACATTCTGCATTACAGCCAGTGTGTAATAGAAAGACGCACTGGAGCCTTGAGTCGAGAACATCATGTTCGTGATTTCAAGGGTCCCGGTGGAGCCGGTATCGCCAACTTGGACCATGACCGTCGGGTTGCTCTGATCTTCAAAGGCGCTGCCACTGCCCATGATGACACTCCACGCCTCGCCGACCATCTGGGTCCCGGCCGGGATGGTGAGAGTGCTCGTGATGATGTACGTGCCGGCATCGAAGTAGATGATGTAGCAACCGGAATACTGTCAGAAAGTACGCATGTGAGGCACTATCGCGCATGTGGCACTTTAGGAGACGAAATCTCACCTCGTCGAAGATTGACTGTAGCGTGCTTGTGTCGTCAGTCGAGCCGTCGCCAGTAGCACCGAGCGTTTTGACGCTGACGAATTGGTCTACCGCGTAGTCCGCATATCTACAGGACGTCAGCGGCACTGCACGAGTGATAGCCGCCTACACTCACTGGGGCATGGTCCTCCCAAAGATCATGCCGTTGCTCAAGAGGCTGCTAGCCTTCGTTGGCGCAGCGATGTCGCCTTGCGTGAACGTGTACGAACTGCTCGTGCCAGACCAGACGTTTCCCTGGCCCCAACTGCTGATGGTCGTCGTTCCTCCTGCAAGGATGACATCGCCACTCGCGGTGCCGACGGCAGTGTCACAGTCGGTGAGCGCGACGTTGTTGAGCACGATCGACCCAGCAAGGGAAGAGCTCGACTCGGTGGTTTGCAGGAAGACTGGCGTGCTACTCGCGGTAGCGTCGATGATCGATATGGCGCCGGCAGTCTACACAGATGCGGGGCATTAGATTCCACGTCAGGTAGACAGACGATACGATTGACCTGGTCAGCTTCGTTCGTGCCGCCGGTACTGACGTCAAAGCCGATCTCGCAATCGCTGACTGAAAGAAAAGGCTAAGTAAGTAGCAGGAGTGGCGTTGTACGTGCTTTCATCTTACTTGTTATGCCTTGGAAGGTCCATCCTAGAGCGAACGTCAGCGGGTTCGTTATGACGACATAGAGCTAGGCATACCCCAGTCCCAGTCCAGATAGACACCTGTAGCGCTCGATGTCAACTCGGATAAAGCTGAGGTTGCATGAACACTAACCGGTGTTACAGTTTGTCATGGTGATGTTGCGAGCAGTGAATCTAGGCACATCTGATCAGAGTTCTGAGAGCGCCATTGCGTTGCCAAGGGGACACTCACTGCTGGTTACCGACCCACATGGCATACTTGCCTGTTCACTGTGTTCTCTTCAATTCCCCTTATGCCGTAACTAGCGCCGGCTTACCTCCGTTGAACACCAGGTCTGCAAAGATAGAAGACGTGTTAACAGATTGTTACTTCGATAGAAAGGTAGAACATGAGCTGACCTCCTATGAAACCACCACTGCCGTTCTCCATGTAGATACCTGAGACTACTTAAATAAGCCCTAGATTCCGCACTTTGGGATGCTAACCTTGATGAGCAGTATCCGACGCCGTGCTCATCTGAAACTCGATATTGTAGAGCGATGTGCCTTGCGCGACTTGCCAGTGAATTCCAGTGGTATCATCGGTGGCATCGGTGTCAGTGAGGTCGATTACGAAGTTCCGGACGTCGCGATAGAAGTTGTTCGTGTCATTATACCATTGCGCGCCGTAGCCTCCCGCAATGTACGGGTCGACATCTGCATGATAGAATATTATTAGCATATGCTCGAACAGAGGGAGGACTGTCGCTGATATTCCCAGAGAGCGATAGCTTCCGACGATTTACAAGTCGCAACTGACAAGAGGCACTGACCTATCACAGCAATACCGCTGAAACTCGACGATGCAAGCAACGTCGGAGGCACGCGCGCGTCACCGATGAGCTGTGTGTAGTAGTATGCACTAAGATAAAGATGAGCAGAAGAGGGAGACGGCAAGCGGGCCGCCTCACATAATGGGCGAAGAGACTAAGTATGTGCTGTACACGATGAAAAAGTAAGCTGAAGTGCCTTCATGATAATAAATGTTGCACCAACCCTTGCGGGAAAAAGACGACGGCGGGCGTGACCGTAGAGGATGCGCACGTCGCGTCACCACATCGACCACCATCGGAGATAGCAGAGCTATGGTTGCGCTTAAGTATGAATCTTCCGGGAGTGCGAGCACGACAAACTTGATAGCATCCGTATCGTCTGTTGTACCGTCGCCTGTGGCACCATAGTCCTTGACGTTGCGAAACACGGTGTACGAAGACGGATCAGCATTGAAGGCAGAGATGCCTTGATGCGTGATGTTCTCTAACCAGAACGGATCACCGGCTGCAGCTGTACCACTGGCGACTGCAGCAGAACATTTTGTCCCAAGGGCGAAGGTGAGCGGGGCAGAGAATACGAGCCCGTAGGCTAGCAGGACTACAACGGCCAACATTCGCGAGAAATGGGAACTCCCAGATGGACGATGCGGGTCGGAACAAATGGCATGCACGGTCTCTTATAGAGACACGATGCAGTAACAGTCGACCACATGCCGCAAACAATATGCGAAGACAGCCTGATATGAGCCTGAGACGAGGCTGACCGTCACCAGAAATTGGGGGGGGGTGTACGAGAAACCTCAATGCGCAGCATCGTCGGTGGGAGGGAAGCAACTTGCGAACGCATGGAAGCCGGGCGGTCGTCGTACTCGTGACGCAGTATCCATGTGGGTGAGAAAGAGTAGTATGGCACTTCTAGAGAGGCGAGGTCATCTGCGATGCTGCATCGATGGTTGACGAGGTGATAACGTTCTGCAGCGTAGATCACAACATTTCTTGATTGGCAATAGCATCCTGTGCCGCGCATTCCGGCTGATTCTAGTACAGGTCGAAACCATAGCGAGCATGCGGAGATAACGAGAAGAGTAATGCCACTGCTGTTGAGAGCAAGGTAGAGAACGGACCTTGCGCGCACAAGACGCGCTCCTACGCGACTCACTCGAGCACGTGGTCGCATAATACACCCGGTCTCCCACCGTGGTGGAGCGCTCAGCCACCATTCTTGTGCTTGCTCTGCGTACTGCCGCCTCTTATGACCGGTGGATAACATTTAATCAGGGTCTGCATCAAATTCGCAGATGATTCGTTGCATCGAACTGTGTGACAGCTTGTTTTGGACGCATGGAGCTGCTAGACAACCAGCCTACACCCACATGCGGATGGTCTCGCGGAGCTAATGGACCAGGGACAACTTTGCAAGCTGCATCAAAAGTGTTAGCCACTCATCAGCTACCGCATGATCTCTCTCTGGCAGCCTACGCAGGTACACTATGACCGGCCGTTTTCTGCGTCATAGCTCGACTTACAAAAGGCGCGAGTACAGCAGTACTTAGACCATGGGTGCCACAAATACAACTTGTGTCGCGGCTTCCCTTGTGACTGGATCTCAGATGACGCATACGAGCGGTCCGTCAACCGGAGCAACCGTCATGGCTGTAGTTGATGGCCCACATGATTCCAACCCAATATTCGTCGCGAACTCCACCGATGCATGCGCCGACTCGACCTGCCTGCGACAGCGTCTCTGCTACAATTGCCAGCGGGTCTTGTACTTTCTTCCCCCAAAACAAAGTGAAGAGGCATTGGAAAGCCGTCCTCCGTTTACATGTGACATGGTTCATCGATGGTACTGCTTGTGCAGCTAGGCTCATATCGTTGCTGTTCGCGCCAATGTGAGGCACATCATCTCATTGTTGCGACGCATAATGTTCCTGACTAGCAGTCACGCGCAGCTGTGTTGACAAGGAGCTTCGTGACATTAGCAGCTAATATGCAATGTCCGTTGAGGCGTTGGCCGTTCGCAACACAGAATCAACATGTAGAACTCAGGCTCGCAGAATTGTGCCTCGATCAGTGAAACACAACTTCAAACTCATTTCCGTCTTACACCGCTGCCGCAGCCACCCTGAGGGTTTTAAAGTTATGATTCACGCGCTTATGTCCATTCAGTCTTAGGCTCCGAAGGGACACTGGAATGGCAGACATGGACGATCATTGGAGCCATATGAAAAGATGTGTCTGCTGGACATATGCATGAGGCCAAGAACGGCTAGTGAACGCGAACGCTGCTCGGCTGCGCCACATATCCATCTAATTACGAGCCGGGGTCGCCATGATGACTTTGCTTGGACACATGTGGTCAGCGTATCGCTTATGCCCACTTTCCCAGGAGCGACATGAGGCCCGCACCGAGGATCATGCAGGCCAGCGCGAAAGCGAGGTGCCGATTTGACGCCTCCGTCATCTCTTTGCTGAAGATGAACTCGTGCGCCATCAGCTGTTCCGCAAATACGGGATCAGCAACTGCCGCCGAGGACCACATGCCCACGAGAAAACGCACCTCCACGAGCCCGGTGTAGATCAGGATACCGCTACTGAACGCGTCCAGAATTCCGCCGACGATGTCTGCCGTGGTGCCGTGCGGGTTGTACGACGCACGCACGCCGAGGCCGGCTGCGATACCTGGGGAAATGCAGACGATGTCATCAGAATTTCAGAGAGGTGAGCCTGCCGTAGTCCTCTTACCGACTGGAGTGGTGATCCCGTATAGGCCTGCACCTAGGAAAGGCACATAGCTGTAGGCTGGTGGGAGCTCCATGTATGCGAGCCGAGAACCAACTCCGAGCCCCTCGAACATTTCTGAAGCAGGTTGTTCGCGTCAGATGCGTTGCGTACGCTATGGACCGGCGAAACGTACGGTGGAAGATAATCACGACAAAGAGTATCTTGAAGTTGGCGTTGACGGCAAGGGTGAGCCCCACGAAGACGCTATCGGGTAATCCAGACAATAAGCCGACAATCACCCCCTATCTATATCGCAGAACTCACCTATGGAGCAGAACACCAAACTCCAGGATAGCGATTCCGAGGATCTGCGCGACCGGAGAGGAAGGCTCGCCCTTTTCAAGCTGAGGAAGGCCTTCTAGATCCTCACGATCCTCCTCTTTGACTGAGTCGGCGTCCTTCGCATCGCGGGGGGTTTCTTTGCTAGGGCGGCGATGCTCTGGTCCGTGAGCGGCGTGGCCTCCGTTGGGAAGTCCGTGTCCGTGAGGATCTACGATGTATTCAGCACAGGACGGAAACATTCTATCCGAGCCCGTGGGACGTATGTAAGCAAGAGGAGTGCACTTACCATGTACCATGCCAATTTTTGCAAGGACCGCCGTGCCCCACCGGAATGCAATGATCTCGATCAAGAAGATCATAAAGATACTGACAAGGCAGATTGCGAGCGCGTAGGGCTAGGAGAATTTGGACGCATCAGTTTAGCTTATCGCACATACGCAAGCAGCAACGTACGTATTCCTGCCATGATGAGGGCAGACATGGAGAGCTGAGAGAACTGATGGCTGGATCCAGCAGGTGGATGAATGCGGTTGAAATCTGCACAAAGTTCCCAGCACATTCACGCGGCTGAATAAGGCAAGACGCGCACGATGACCCCGCTGCCAAAGTACTTCGCGACCTGGAACACCGCCGTCGGTATGCGGACGTGCAGCCAGCCCGTCTTGCGCGATACGACGGGGAACAGCGCGCCGAACATCGACGTCGCCATCACGATGAAGACCGACGCGATACGAAGCCCAGTGTAGCTATCCGCGCCGCCGCCGTTGCCACAGTCGTCGGCCCTTCTGAGGATCTCGCTTTGCTGCATCTTGCCTTCTTCCGTGGCCAAGAACTACTTGGAACCGAGTGAGGGGGAGCTTAAGCTGAGCTTGGCGATCGTGGATCGACGAGTAAGCACGGTCGGAACGGGAAAGCGTCCACTGAAATACCCCCATCGACAGAGGCAGCCGCGGTCATCATTCAGGTACGGGACGACCGAGGACAGCGGACGGGCTGGACGTCGACTGCTAAGGTACCCTGTGGCCGTCCGGGTCCTCTCATGTCCTCATTCTGCCCAATCATTAGTGCTTTTCTGCAAGCTCCATCTGTCGATCATCATGTGCAAGTGGACACCATGCTGGACGTGGAGTACCGTCCCAGTGAGCAGGAACAATGATAGAGAGGGTGCGGCTGCTGCTGCTTGCTCTGCTACTGTAAACCATGGCGGCACACGCAAGATGTCAGGTACGTGCAGCGAGCAGAACGGAGAAGAGGGTATCACTGATGTGCTTGCCTGCCTACATAGAAACGAGGGCAGAAAAGGACTTTCTCGAAGGCGTGACCAATAGATTGGCCAGCCATCCGCGTGTTCTTGAAGCGCCCAACGGAAGCAAACTAAGAATAGCACAGCAGGGGACTCCGCGTCCCAGTGAGGGAAATCGCTACGTAGTTCGGCGTACCTGGACTCTCGTCAATTATGCATTGAAACGCGGACTCTCTGCCTGCGGTGGCCTTTCCAGCACGGTGACGAGGTGTCGCGCGGTTGGGATGTTGATGGGCTTGTCGATCCTAGCGGATACACCAATACGTCGGATGCCCCGCACAAAATTTGCGGATATTGAGCGGCCTCAATCAAAGCGATGGCTAGCGCATCAAGGAAAAATATCACCGCTAGCTCTTGCTCGGGAACCGTCGTGCGAACGTCTTCAGGGGATTTCATGGCAGAAAGTTCGTGAATCTTTAACCTACAGCCGGGTTCGGATTCAGCCTCTGGACGGGCGTCCCTTGGGCCTTAGGTCCAAAGCCGTATCGCCGTCGCACAATTTTTTCGCAAGATGCAGGAAGCGACAAGGGGACCGTTTAGCGGTTGTTCCAATGCGGCCAGTTTTTTCTTTAGGTACAGCCTGACAGCTTTGGACTAAATAACACGCCTTGGAGCTGTGCTTCACGCCCAATCAACTGCGTGTTATTGCCTCTCGCACACGCAAGGACGATCGAGGGACGAAAGGAAAGCTAAGATAAGCATTGACGCTGCTCCAGGATCCGTGGTCCAAAAATAACCGGCGACCGCGGAGGTGCGTGTTGTGCGTGTATCTGCATGCCTCCATGCATGAGCAACCTCATTGGCGACTCCGTTCGGCATGCCGTTACGCTGGTGGGAACTGGAGCTGCTGGAGGTTCATAGCGGAGAAGTGGGCACCCGGGGGGTGTTGCGATGCGATGCCCGAACTTTGAAGGTGATGACTGTGGGAGATCGTTGTGCTGCGTCGATCGTGAGCTTACTCCTGGCGTAGTGTGCAGCGCCAGACGTAACGGCGCGATGAACCAACTCAAGACACGGCCGCGATGCTCTGAGAAGGGCAGCCACGCCAATCTGTTTCGCCAAATTTAGGCGTTTAGATGTCGGATTCGTACGCGGGTCCAAGCGACTCGCTCGCCGCGGGCCGGATGCAATAACAAGCAGTGCACGACTCCGACACGTAACAATGCATACAGTGCACCCGCTCCCAGCGTTTGAGAAAAAGATGACAACAACGCGTTGTCAGGGCTTTGGCACATTCCGCTCGGACAGGTTGCCATTGCAGGCCAGCGCTAACAGGCTGGATCATCCCAACTTCAGCCGCGCATAAGCGTTTATATATGTAGATCGTGCGCGGCGCATGATAGGTGAGGATGATGCTATGTATAAACAGCACGCACGACATGGCAGCGTTGAACCCGGGCTATTCACGGCCAACAGCAGCCAGTTGTGTTGAACGGACATAGCCGCGGATTATAGGTGGTGAAAGAACATCTCCCTATCTGGCGAGTGAAGAGGAGCTATGAGCTCAGATGCAATTGCGTGCAATAATAGCGCAGCAGCTGCGGGGCATTCATTATAGACCTGTTGCACGGATACCGCAGAAGGAGGCAGCCCGAGGATGCCGGGAAAGAGCCTCCGTGTGCATTCGTGTGCATTAGCGTCGCGAGCAGCTGACAGTACCAATTGTGGCTGAACGCATCAAAATGACTTCAAATTCAATGAGACGGCTGAATGTTCGGCTTGAAGTCACCCCTGAGGAATTAGATCGGACGAGACCGAGGGTGATACGTATGCGAGAAGATATATGTTCTTATGTGAGAAGCGCGTCAGCAACAGGGTTTGGAACTAGGAAGGCAAGGGATGATTGAGGTCGGCAAGAGGTCGGCCGAGGAGTGCTGGTACGATTCAGGCATAGCAGTAAGTTGATGCTTAGCGTGGTAGGCACTCTGCCACGAGCACTCGTGGGACGCGATTAGGGGATCTGACCGTTGCAGTGACGAATGCCTCGAACGCGGGGCATAGGCATGCAGTCAACGCTGGTAGGATGCACGCAGGCACTCGATGGTGAGCGCGTGACTTGGGGAGTGTATAAGGATCAAAGTTTCTTCGGGCTACGCGCTGAACGAGTGTGTTCTACCAGTGCGCGCGAGATCGAGCCGAGAGGTGGATTGAGCCTTGGCGGGCGCGTGCGCTCCGGGTCGGGCGTGGAAGAGCTTCGTGCAGAGGCTGTCCAGGGTGGTCGCGAGGTCAGGAGAGACGGTGACCACGACGGGGAAGGGCGCCCGGGAGGGTGAGAGGCGCCACGCGTGGATATATGCGCTGGGTACAAAATAATTGTCGCCGCACTCGGCTGCACGCGCCAGTTCATTTTGAGCTTCAGCGCTGCTCTGCTCGCACCTCTCGCCGACCTTGCCATCGCACATCCTATCGCGCAGTCCACTCCTTCCTTCTTCCCTTTGATCTCCTCGTATCTGCGTGGAGAATCGTCCATCGTGTCGCGGTATTTACCCGCCCAGCGCCGCACTGGCTGCCTCGCCCAACCGCCCGTTCCGAGTAAGCCCTCGCTCTATCCCTCTTTTGCACCTGGACTTATTCGCATCACCTTTCCTCCATCCTGCCGCTCGCCTACTGATAATAGATCTGCTTATAATCGCCGCGTCTTACACGCGCCATGTCGCGCTCGTATAACCCTGTTCCCAACCCCGGCCCCATCGACGAGCCCTTCGAGATGGCCCCCCGCGCCACCACTCCCTTCGCCGGCGCGGCCCTCAACGACGGCGACTCCTCTGCTCGTGCGTCCCTCTCCGACGCCTCGCGCGCGCTCACCAACTTCGACGACTATTCGTCCTCTGTCCGCGCGCTCAATCCCGGCGTCGGCCCCGACGACACTGATCCCTCCTTCTACGGCCTCCACTACCGTGACGACCCCGCTGACGGCACCTCCAGCCCCGCAGGAGGTGCCGCCGCGACGAAAGAACTCGGCTCCCCCACCAGTCCCTACCTTGCCGCCGGTATGCCCGCAGGCGAGAAAAGCATGCCGCCCGGCATGCGCTACGCCGGCACACGCTCCCGCCGTCGCCGTGCCCTCCTTATCGTCGGCGCCCTCGCATTTGCTATCATCGTCGTTGTCGTCGTCTGCGCCGTATACTTCTCCGTCAAGAATCATGACAACAAGTCCACCTCCTCCGACGTCTCCTCGGCCCAGCCCTCCAGCTCCAGCAGCAGCACGAGCTCCAGTTCTTCCGGTTCCAGTGGCAGTAAGAGCTCCGGCTCCTCCAGCTCGCTCGCTGTCACTGGCGGCACAGGCAGCACTGTCACCATGGCCGACGGCACCACGTTCACGTACGTCAACAACTTTGGCGGGTACTGGTACTACGACCCCAAGGAGCCCCTCAACAATTACGCACGCGCTCAGTCGTGGACGCCTGCGCTCAATGAAACCTTCGAGTATGGCACCGATCAGATCCGTGGGTGAGTGCTTCGAATCGTGCGCGTCATGTCTTCTCCTTCTGATCCGCGACCGCAGTGTCAATCTCGGTGGCTGGCTGGTCACGGAGCCTGTGAGTAGCGTTCGCCTTTCTCTGTATGCTCTGGGCTCATAACCTCTGTTCAGTTCATGCAAGTCGCTTCCATCGGCTGTTATGTGACGTAGCTCATAGACCTTGCAGTGCGCCGTCGCTCTTTGAGCCATATGTCAACACGTCCTACCCCGCCGTCGACGAATGGACACTCAGCTACAACCTCATGAACGAGACGGGCGGTCTCGAGGGCATCCTCACCAACCACTACGAGACCTTTGTCGTCAGTCACTTTCCGCGGATTCTTCTGAGCGCTCACTGACTGAATATATGCGCTTGCTGTGGAATTCGCGTGTCGCTCTGGGCTGTCTGGCGGATGATGCCGAATGCAGACTGAGCAAGACTTTGCCGAGATCGCAGGCGCGGGCCTCAACTTTGTGCGCATCCCGCTGCCCTACTGGGCTATCGAGACCTGGGAGGGCGAGCCGTTCCTCGCCAAAGTCTCCTGGACGTGCGTTTCTGCGTCTTCTTGCGTCCTGTCCCTCCTCACGCCGACTTTCCTCCAGGTACTTCCTCAAGGCCATCGAATGGGCACGCAAGTACGGTCTCCGAATCAATCTTGACTTCCACTGCCTGCCAGGCTCGCAGAACGGCTGGAACCATTCCGGCAAGCTCGGTTCGATCAACGTGCTCAACGGCCCGATGGGACTCGCCAACACGCAGCGCACCCTGAGTTACATCAAGATCATCGCCGAGTTCATCAGCCAGCCAGAATACAGCGCGATCGTGCCGATCTTTGGGGTCACGAATGAGCCGGTTGGATCAACAATCGGGCAGGATAACTTGGCGGCTTAGTGAGTGCTGCTTTGAGTATGGTCTTTCGCGGGAATAGATACTGATCTGGATGGACGGTCGTGCAGCTACGTGCAGGTTTACGACATAGTCCGGCTCGCTAGCGGCATTGGCGAGGGCAATGGGCCCTATGTGCTCTACCATGATGGATTCTTCGCACTCAGCTCTTGGGTAGGCTTCCTGACGGGCGGAGACCGCATGGGACTCGATGACCATCCATACGTGTGCTTTGAAGGCCAGTCGGCGACGCCGTACTCGGGGCGGCTGACGGTGCCGTGCGACACGTGGGGTGGGATGATGAATTCGAGTCTGTCTTCGTTCGGGCTGACGACCGCGGGCGAATGGAGCAACGCGATCAACGATTGCGGGTTGTGGGTGAATGGCGTTGGAGACGGGAGCAGATACGAGGGCACGTTTGCGGGCTTCGCGAAGACGGGCGACTGTACGGAGTGGGTCGACTGGCAAAATTGGAATGAGACGTTCAAGGAGAGCATCCAAGGATGGGCGTTGGCGAGCATGAGCTCGTTGCAGGTGAGTGTTGCTCTAGCTTTTGATGGGACGGCTTCGCCGTTGCGGGGTGCGGTTGGTATGGTGAAGAGGGACGGGTGCTGACTTCCTTTGTTCCGTCTCGCTTGCAGAACTGGTTCTTCTGGACGTGGAAGATCGGCAATTCGACAGTGTCGGGCACCGTGGAAGCACCGCAGTGGTCGTACCAGCTCGGGCTGCAGAACGGGTGGATGCCGTCCGACCCGCGTGAGGCCTCAGGAGTGTGCAGCCCTTCGGCCGTATTCACAGGCCTGTCTGCATGGCAGACGGGCGGTTCGGGTGCGGGGAGCACCTCGGCGAGCGCTGCGACGGCGTACCCGTGGCCGCCGACCATGATGAGCAACGCGGGCTTTTCGGCGACTGAGGTCAGCTTGTTGCCGTCGTATACTGCGACGGGCTCGATGGTCACGCTGCCCGCGCCGACGTTCACGGACGGGAGCAGTACGGTAATGGCGAGCGTGGGCGACGGGTGGGAGAACCCGAGCGGAACGGCGCAGAAGTACGTCGCGATCGAGACGTGCAACTATCTCTTCCCGTGGGTCGGCCCAACGAACCCGCCGTCGCCCCTCTGCGGCAGCAGCGCATCGAGCGCAGCGAAGCGTGCGTACCCGACGCCTGCACCGACTCCATCATGATGCGCGGACCTTGGCTCGCGGACCTCGGAACTCGATTTGCAAGTATGAAATCATATTGTCTGTTCTTTACCCCTCTACGCGTACGTACATGGCTCTTTTGGGATTTGGAAGCGCAATGTTGCGGTGTTGGGCCTCACGCATACTTACAACGGTTTTTGTAGTGGTACGTACGTGCGTACGCACGGACTCGACGGTTTGTGTTGCACACAAATCCACACCCCCCTTTACATATGATGGACTTTCGGGCGCCGCGTGCCGGCTGCCTACCCTCCGTACTACTTATAGTCACTGTACTGATGACCACCATGCAGATTCACGATGACTCGGAGTACGTTTATACGTTTTCGCCAACTCGTTATGTAGTAGAAATTATAATGGCACTGCGTGTTTGGGCGATTCAGGTTGTGCGCTGATCGTGATAGGGGTGTGCTGGGGTCAGTGCTCGCCGCTGGTCGTCGCGTAGCGGTCTTCCAGGTCCTCCTGCCCGCCGTACCCCGCTTCGTACGGCTTGTCCTCGCGTGCGCTGTCCGAGGATGTCTGAGCCTGCGCTTTAAGAGCGGCGAGCTGCTCTTGTTCCTGGTTACAGTCGCTCTGCACTGAGTATCTGTTCGCTGTGGTATATGTAAACCGACGACCTGCCTTCTGATGGGCGTAGCGAGCCTCCTCTCCTTGCTCCTTCGCCTTCCAGGCCGGGTCCTGGCATGCTCAAGCTCTCGATCGTGTTTCATGCTAAATGTGCGAAACGAGACACGAACCTGTGCTGTGTTTCCTGACGACATGTTCAGATGGTGTAGTTGTGATGATGGTCGCGTTCAAAAGCTGTATCTTCAAGCACCTTAATTTCACTCCTAACGACGACGTCATACATGGACAATCACATGCGTTACGAAACTAATAGATACATGCACGACGGTCCCAGACAAGAATTGCAGAAAGATCATATGCGACGATGCAATGTGTCAATATTATGGTGTGCAGATCACGACTGGGAGTATGAGCCGTTAACAGGGTTCTGGCCGTGGTTGGCCACATTTCGCTGTGCCTGCTGCAACTGGTCAATTCAGCAACGGCAACGACTCAAATGACCAACCGCACATACCCTGACCAGATTTTGCAGCTGCATAACTTGTTCAGCAGTCTGCTCCGTAGCAAACTGCGTGCCATGCAGCTGAGGTATGTGGTAGAAACCCATGCCAGCCTGGCGAGGGATACCGGCGACGTTCTGCGCCACTCCCGCGACACCCATATGCGGCTGCGTCGACTGTGGCCGTGGCGAGTTCGCTGCGTTCACCGGCGTGCCGGACGAGAGAGGCGGGGATTGATGAGGAAGACCAGGCGATGAGCTCGCAGCACGGGCAGCATACGGAGGAGACAAATGGTTGCCATTCATCGCTGACGCGCTCAAGGCGCTCGAGGCTGCCTGCGCTTGGGCATGAGCAAGAGCTCGGGCTTGAGCCTGGGCTTGCGCCTGCATCATCTGTGTCGGTGAGATACGCGTGTTCGCCAGAGCCATCGGATTGGACAACCTCTGCTGCTGTTGAGATATACCAACCTGACTTCGAATCTGAGGTATCTGGGCCTGCGCTAGATTAGTGCCAACTGGTCTTGCCAAGGCACTTTGGATCTGTTGAAGCTGCTGCTGAGTTTGCTGAGCCTGTTGCGGCTGTGGTTGTTGCGGATGTGGTTGCTGAAGTAATTGACCCTGTTGCTATCCTGTTGATGAGATAAATGCTCGTAGTAACATCTTTTAACGTACTCTTTGTGCTTGTTCCCGTATATACTGTGTTTGTCTCGCGAGATCAGCCTCCCTTTTCCTGACTAGGGCCTCCTGATTTGCTGCTGCCTCCTTCTCGGCCTTCTTACGACTCAACTCCGCCGGGGTCATTTTGGGCAGCGAATTGACCGAACTATGAGTGTCGTGGACAATTGACGGCTTACGCTGGGCCACTGTATGCATCAAAAGTCGATCAGCAGGGGAAAGAGGTGGAAATTACAAACAACTTGTACCATTGGCCTTGTAAGCTGCTTCTTTCTTTTTCATCGCCTTCCGTATAGCTTCAAACATGAGAGTATGTCTACGCTGTTTCTTCGGTACCGGCGGCAGGATTGGCGGGGGAGGAACTGTAGCATTTGCCAGAGCAACGTTGGCATTTGCTGAGCGCTTGTGACCTCTAGTTGTCATCTGAGTAGGAGTTGCGACGACCTGTGGCTGATGGTCCTCTTCGGGGGCCCGGCCGCCGCCCCATCGTACATTCCAGCGTTCATAGCAATCAATAGGACTTCGCTCGTCCGTTTTGATGGTTACCCTCGATGACTTGAAAGCATCTGCAATCAATCGCCAGTTGTTGGGATATCGTTCTGCTAATTGCTTCAGCATGTTATCCTCGTACGGTGTCCACACTTGCTCAGCCACACGCTTGCGAATTTCCCTGCTGACTGTCGGCAATTGTTGTATATGCGTTGAAGGAGAGCCTGATTTGGTGCCGTCAAAGAGACCTGAAAAGCGTTAGCAAGGAGGTTTGGTCCCCGAATGCCTACGACTTACCAAGCAGATTTTCATCAACCGTTCGTGTCGATGGACCTTCAAGCTCCACAAAAACGGGGAAGTCTTCACGATTATCCCAATGGTCTTCTTGCCAATGCCGGGATGGCTGCAAAGCGCTGAGAAGGGTAGGCTTTACATACATGAACTCGGATAGCGGCACAAGCTTGCTGCAAGCGACGTCCTCGACTCTCTTAGTCGGATCGTCCTTCTCGCTCTTCTTGTCCGACTTCTTCTTGCCTTCAGCGATAGACGAACCGGAGGCAGGGTCGACAAGGCCAAATGGGACCAGGTCTGGAAAGATGGACGACAGGTCCGGCAATGGGGGATGTGCATGATGCAGATGGTCATCTGCTGTGAGCTCCGACATGCCTTTAGCCAAGTCCAGATCGTCCGAATCCACAAACAGTTTCCCAACGTCAGAATAGATAAGCTGTTCACGCAACGGAGCATAGAGGGTAGACTTGAACTTGTGCTTCGAGGGCGAATGCACATGATTGTCTGGTACGTGAGCACTTAGGTTGACGAGCATCGGATTCTGGGAACGATCGTTGAGCCCAGACAGGTCAGTTGCACCCTGCTCCTCTGCCTTGAGCTCGGAAAGATTATTGTCTCCAGCTTGGGAGATGCCTTCCTTCTCGTCCACATCCATGGTGTCACTTCGCTCCAAATCACTTGGATTCCGCAGAGCAGATAGATCCTCCACGTCCTCTAGCTTCGGCTCAATGCGTTCGAGATTATCGTTGTCGCCTGCGGGGGGTGCCTGCGGCGTACTGAATGCATCCTCGATTACGATCGACGGTGCAAGGGCATCAAAGATGTCGCGCTGCTCTTTCTCTGTCTCCTCATCGCTTTCATCATCCGAAGCATACTCGTTTGCAGGCGTGGTCGTCTCTCTGGAATCTTCTCCACGATCGTCATCCATATCTGGGATCTCAACGTCTTCCAAGGGGCCTGACGTCTGGTCGATTTCTTCGGATTCCTCTTCAGGCAGTGGCGGTTTCCACAAAACACAAATGCCCCTCCGCACCCTTTCCTCCAGCGAACCCGCTCGATGCCAATCCATAACTGAGTGTGCGAGAGTGAAGGCTAGCGCGATCTTCCATCTCCGTTCTTCACGGAAATCGATCCGCATCCATTTCTGTGCAGCCTAACGTTAGCGACAATAACCTCAGAATCAGTGGCGACTTCTGACCATCTCGTCCATGAGGTAATCCCAATGAGTTTTCGCCATGTGATTAGCTCTGTGCTTCTTCGGTTGTCTGAAACTCCATCCGCCTTCCTTCAACATCTCTACACGATCCAGTGTGCGGATGAAACGAAGCTCAGTCATGCCGATCTGTAGATGTGACTTTCAGAAACGCATCACAGAAGCCGGAATGCATCAACGTACATTCCAGTCGCGACTGTTGAGGCACTTAGAAGCTTTGGAGAGCTTCTTCCAAACAGGATTGGCACGAACAACAGCACCCCATTTGTTGATGCCCATGGGAACCCATTCCTCTTTCTTGTTGTCTCCCTTCTCGACCTTCTCCTTCTCCTTTTCTCGCTTCTTTGAATGCCGACCTGACTTGCTCTTGCGATTGAATTCAGGCGGAAGAGAACTCAAAGGAGGCAAGGTATAAGCAGGGTGGAAATGGACAAAATCCGGAGGTGGCAAGACTTTTTCTGGAGTGGTAGGAGCCATCGGCTCCTCGAGAGGCTCGGTATCGGTCTCAAAGTTGAACTCCACAGCTTTCAGCGGCGACGGTACCGACATGAGATACTCACGGCGTCGATGAAGATCAGCGACGACAGTAGGTAGAACAGATGCAGGAGGAGAATATGGTTGCAAGAGGTGATCTACGGTCTGCTCACTGCTGTCCTGGGACACCGGAATTTCTAGGCTAGTGTCCAACGTGAGCCCATCCTCGAACATCTCACTGTTGGGAGAGACTAGCTCGACCTTGGAACGAAGTTCTTGAGATTCGGGTGGGGGAGACGGAGTACCATACGGGACGTTAAGACGAAGGTGAGATTCCTCCTGAGTCGCTGATCGGGTTCTAGTCGTGAAACGTGATCGACGTGAAGGCGAAGACGACAGCAAGTCCAGCTCATCTCGGTCTTCGTCACCATCGTCTGAAGAATAGCGCATGGACCTTCTTCGCTTGATGCCTCTCTGCGGCTGCGCCTCCAGTATCAATATGTCATCGGAGCCCAATTCCTCCTTGAAAGTACTGGCACGTGAAGGACTGGATCGATCTTGCGTGCTCATCTCTTCAACATCCATGTCACTAGTTGACGCGGCTGGCAACTGCTCCACCTCCGGAGTCCCATCCTCGTGAGTCGACTTGGGAGAAGCAGGTACTTCAGACATGGGAGATTCCAATGTAGCGTCGGGCGGAGAAGCCTTGTCGCTGGTCGAGCCTTCGCCGTACTGCGAGTTCAGGGAGCCAAGCAGTTCAGCCTCGGATAGGTCGGAGATGTGTCCCGTGTCCGGGCTGCAAAAGTCAGGACGGACCGGTCTCCAGCTACGACATACTCACTGCTTTTCCAGGTCAAATCTCTCTAGGAACATGCCCAGCCCTTCGCTATCATCTTGTTCAAAGGCCAGAGCTGCTCCAGCGTCGTCTCTTCTTTGCATCAAGTGGTACATTTCTTGGAGAAGCTGCTGTCTCCGTTGCGATATTTCTCTGGTGCATCACTCGTGAACCAGATTACCGGGGTAGCTGGAGTCCAGTCGCTTACTGTAGCTGTGATATACGATCCTCGACCAAAGCGTCCACTGGTTGTGACATAATATGCGTTATGCGAGTATGCGACTGTCGCAGGCTTAGCTTATAGGCAATGAACAACTTGGTGTCAAGTGGCAGCGTTTAGCACGATAAACCCTGGACTTGAAGCTTGGAAGTTCACAACCGCAGGAGAATCGCGTCTAGCTCGTCAATGAATATGAAGACCCTCTGTAATGCAGGTTGAGGTGTGATAGAAACAAAGTCAAAGTGCCGCCACAGACCAGCACAAACAGAGGAAGGGTAGACTCGCGTGCAGTGAGTGCTGGTGGAATGTGGCAAGTGCCGCAACCAGCGCGAGCCTCTGTTCGGCCATTGCCGTTCAACGACATGATCATATATGGCAGCCAACTAAGATCGACCCGCTGAGACTTCAAAATCCCAGATCCCAGGCCTGAAGCTTCTCAGCCTCAGCTTCAGATCTCAAATTCAAACCTCAACGCAGCACAGTATTTTGTGTCCGCGTCAAAAATGCACGTTCACTGAACAGCATCTCTGAGAGCGTCAGGTCCAGCTGATGATTCAACACGGGCAACTTGACACTGAGAGGCTGCTCAGACTCAGATATATCTCACTAAAAGGTAACTATGGGTATCAGAACATGCAAATATACAATGGAGCGTCGATGCGATGAAGGAAATGAGGATACCATGGAGCAACGAAATGAATGTCCCGGTAAGTCCCTCCAGACGCTCGCCATCAGCCGCTCCCCTTCGACGAAAAAGAGTCCCTCCGCTGCCCATCTGCAAGCTGTCCTAGGCTCCTGCGGCTGGAAGATGCGCTCTTCCTTTTCTCCTTCTTTCCTTCTTTCGACACCGATGATTCATTTGAACGAATGCGGGCCAACTCAGGCGGCTGAGGACCATCGATGATTACGATGTCGTTCTGCAGCGCATCGTCCCCATTGCCATCAAGAAAAGGGACTGGAGAGTCCGGAAGCTGGATATCCTCCGCATGGACAAGAACGGGAGAGTCCTCTTCTGCTTTGACAACAACCTTCACCTCCGTAACAAGGTCGCGTGAATGCGATGATTCAGTTGAGGCGGGCCGCTCAAGAGGTTCTGTGGAAGACAAAAGATCGGGCACCTGCACCACGGCCACGACGTCTATAGGATTCGGCGATTCTGTGAGAGCCGTCGATGGAGGAGATGACACTCGCTTAGGTGTAGTTGAAGGACGAGCAGCAGCGCCCTTCACTATAGGCGGCCGAGAGATAGGCACAGCCGGCTGGCTCGGTTTCACCTCCCGCATCATCCGTCCTCCAGCGCCTGCCTCAAGATCTCCCTCTGGAGGTGATCTAAAGTCAGAGTCGGATGTAAGAGGATCGATCGCTTCGGGTGTAGGCAGTTCAACAGGCAACGGTGCGGGTGGCTTGGTGACCGAGATGGTTGGCAACACCGGTTTGCTCGTTGGACGACTTTGGTTGGTGACGTTGCGTAGCGGTGCAGGCGCAGGCGCAAGCGCTGACGTCTCCTCAGGCACCTCGGAAAGCACTGGTATTGGAACCTCGGCCGCGGATCCACTTCCAGGGGCCGCGATCTGCAGACGATCCAAGGACACTCTCTCGGGTGCCTGCAACGAGTTGTCATGACTGCGTGAGGTACATATCGACCGAAGCTCACCTTGCCTTTCTTCCACGCGGGGTACGATTCGTCTGAATAGAGACCTGCCTGTTGCCACCTCCGAACGCTCCGATCAGCCCATGCCTCCAAGATGTTCCACCCTCTATACTCTCCTGTGAGCCGCAACCCCCCGGTCCCGGCATCGCCACCCGTATCGCCTTGACCGCCGCCGACACCATCGAAGAAGTAGCTCTCATACCCTATAGAGTCCTCGCTTCCGTCGCTCCCATCGTGCGATGATCCGAGTTCGTACCCTTCCCCGCTCTCAAGGTCATCCACGAAGCTCGACAGCCACTTCCCCCATCCGCCGGGACCATCCCCCCTCCACAGCACAACTGTGGTATCAAAGTCCCGTCCGAAGACAATAACCTGGCCAGGCAGGCCAGACTCGCCAGGGTTCATATCGACGCCTAAATAGTTGCCGGCTTTATCTGTCGCAAGTGGTATCCAGCCTCGGCAAGAGTATTCGTGCCGCACCCACCCTGGAGGTATCGACTGCATGACCTCTCTCAATCGTAGGTTGGCACCGGTGTTCGGATCCTCGTCTACGTCTCTCCAGAATCGCCACTCCTCCAAAACGTCTTCGAGAGGGAGTAACGATAGGCCGAAGAACAAGCCCTCCGAGCATCCTGCTGCGGATTCTGCCTCTTGGCCGTCGACGCATAGATATGACTCGCGCACGGCAGGCGGAAGCACGAGGCCCATGGACGACTCGATCGCCTTGAGATCATCCGGAAGTATGCCATAGTTCAACGTGTCGCCTAACTCTGGGTATTCTTTGGAAAGCCACCTGCGTAGACGTTCCCAGGTGTGCGACAAGGGAGGATAAGAGGTTGGCGGAGGGGGATTGGCCGAGGAGGAGTGCAGGGGAAGAAGAGATGACTGTCTTGAGCGTGTCCCGGCACTGCGGTCAAAACATTGAGATTCGACCGGGCGTCACTAAGTCACGTTGTTAAATGAGACGTACGGAACGTAGTCATATGCCGCCCTCCCGACAGGCGGAGGGTATGAGTAGGAGGAAGTGCTGCTTGTCGGCGTGGCTAATGCTTCCGCAGTAAAGGCGTCGGGGTGCGGATGGAAGCCTGGCGAGGCGATGGGCAGGCTGAACGCCTCACGCGTGGATGACATGCTCTTGCGCGCGTTCATCGCATTCTTCGGCGATGAGAAGAGGTTCACGAGCCAGCTCATCTCGCGAATACAGCACTGACAGCGGATATGATGAGAGGCCGATACAAAGGGAAGGAAAAGAAGCGGGTCGCCAGTTGTGACTTGATGCCAGTGGAGTCCAAGGAAGGTCGGCTATGCGATACAGTGCGTTGCGAGGCTCCAAATGGTCGACTATCTTATCCGGACAATGATGGCGTACACGTTGCGGGCGACGTGCGTCTTCGTCGACGAGGAGTATAGATACAAAGAGAATGAAGAGCAAGGGAGAATGAGCGGAACGTGAGCCTCGACCTCACTGACAGCGTCCTGGCCCGGACACAACCAAAGCAGGAACCAGCATGCAACGACGCCACCATCGTGAGTGGCGCTAGCGCCCAGGACACGTTTCACCATTTGTGACTGCTGTTTTGCGACAAATCCTTTCTACATCCAGTTTAGTATTGCAAAATTTGGACATAAAAAGACATTTAAGGTGGACTTATGAGCAAAATCACAGGATGTGAAATGTGTTCTGTGTACGCGTGAAGATGTTCCATGTCACATTTCCGCAGCAGCAAAATTAGTCCACCGTGTTTCAGGCTTTCAGCTTGCCCACCGAATCGAAATGCAGTGATACCCCCGAATTACAGAGAAGATGATTAGAGTACAGGGACTATATTACATATGGCCGAGATTTTCCGCAACCTTGAAGTCGCAAGCGGTCTTTGCCTTCACCTCCTCAAGCGTAACGCCCTCCGCCAAGTCAATTAACGTGAGTCCTCCAGCTTTGCGGTCCACGTCGAACACTGCCAAATCCGTGACGATCATGCTGACAGCCCGTGCACCCGTAATGGGCAGCGAGCACTCCTTGACAATCTTCGGCACGCCATCTTTCGAGCAGTGCTGCATCGTCGCAATAACTTTGGTCTTGTCCGGGTTGGCCACCAAATCCATGGCACCGCCAATACCTACAACCGTAAAAATTAGACAATAGGGAGAAACAGAACAAGACTTGCGCATACCCTTCACGAGCTTGCCCGGGATCATGAAGTTAGCAATGTCACCGGCCTGCGATACTTGCATAGCCTGGCAGCTCACTACTCAGCATTCGGTTCTCAAAGAGGGTCCATTAAAGTGCTTACACCCAAGCATGTAACATCCATGTGGCCACCACGAATCATGTCGAAAGACTCGGTAGAATCGAAGCAAGAAGCACCCGGAAGCAGCGTAGTGGTTTCCTTGCCAGCGTTAATGATATCGCTACCGAAAAAAGCGTTTGTGAATAAATCGAGCCAATTCAACACGTAACACTCACGGATCGACCTGCTCGGCCGTCGGGTAGGGACCCATGCCGAGAATACCGTTCTCACTCTCAACCCAAACCGTAACACCGGGAGCAAGATGCTATCGGGAGAATCTTAGCAGTTGCGACAGAGATCTCATGAATGCGATGGCATACCTCAGGAACCAAGGTCGGGATACCAACGCCGAGATTGACGTAGAAGCCATCCTGGATCTCCTTCGCCGCGCGCTTAGCAATGCGGTGACGCCAGTCGTGAGCCGCCTTGTCCGCTGCGCCTGGCTTGTTGGCGACCTGCTCTTCCTTGCTCTTAGCGAGCGCCACCACCTCGATGGTCTTGGGCTCGGTCGCCTGCACAATCCTGTCGACGTAAACGCTAGGAATGTGGATGGCATTCGGGGAAAGGCTGCCGACGGGACTGCACAGAACGTGTCAGAATCAGACGCGTTCTATCTTCATGAACACGCTTACACGATGTGCTCGGCCTACGTATGATCCCTTAGCAATGATATCTGCGAGCAATCAGAAGAGATGCCTACCTCGACGATTGTGAGCTTAGCGTTACGAGCCATGACCGCATTATAGTTGTTCGAAGCATACCTACATGCAGAGGTGAGGACGAGACCTTCAGTTCTAAGCTGTAATAAACAGCCGTACCTGAACACCAAGTTGCCAACCTCGTCTGCCTTCCACGCGTGGACGAATGCGACGTCACCGATGATTGCGGGCTCAATGACGTATTTCCGTCCATCAAAAACTATGGTCTGCTTCTTGTTACCGGGAATTTTGACGCCATTCTTCATGCCGCCCGCATTGTACTGAATCGGGATATCACCAGTCTCAACTGCAGTTGATGCACCAGTCGGGGTGATGACGGCAGGATATCCAGACGCATGTGCCTTGAGTCGGGCAACGAGCGTGCCCTGAGGTGCCAACTCCAACGCGATCTCTCCCATGAGGTATTTGTTTTCAAGAAGCTTGTTTCTGGGGTGCCATCAATTGAAATGCGGGGTAATCAGGCGTGAGAAATCACGCACCCGCCGAGATACGAGATCATCAACTTCTTCAACTGACCTGTCTGAACCAACCTTACTAGATTTGCCGTAAGCGAGAACTTCCGCTCTAACGCCACAAATGTACTCACTAAGACCAAGATCCTTCGCACCAGCGTTGTTGGAGACCGCGGTGATGTTCTGAACCTCCGGTCGGCGCGAGAGAGCCTCTATGAGGGTCTCTGGAATGCCACCGAGACCGAAACCTGAGCAGGGTGTCAGCGTCAAGCGAGGGGCCGGCTTGCTAGGGGCTCACCTCCGCTAAGGACGACGTCGCCGCTCTTGACATCCTTGACCGCCTCATCCGCTGACGACCAGACTTTTGTTTTCTTGGGTATGGGTGCGTCTGTGACGATGGTGTAGAACCGGACGCGCGCAGACGCGACTAGGGCAGGGTGCAGAGCGCGGAGGGCGGGAACGCGCGGCTTGAGCGCCCACATCGTTCGTGCAAAGCCTAGGGCGGGAGACAACGAGCACGACGAGGGGGCGGAACGAGAACGGGAGGCGGCATTAGGGGAGAAAAGGATTATATACGAATTTCAGTGTGACGGCCGTTTCCGTCCGGCAAGGAGAGAGAGCTGTGGACCGGTCGGACTTGTTCGAAGATCATTGACGATAATCTTTCAAGCGCCGTTCCCCCGGCGCTCCGTCATCGCCTAATTAGGCATGGCCGACCGCCGCTGCCTTCCCGCCGCCGATGCCGATCTCCCATGCGTTCCGGATGTCGCCTCCCCACGGGGTATAATTACAGCACCGCGGGGAACAGTGCGCACGATATAATACTACATCGCTCCGAAGCCACAGCCCGTCTTCGCCCTGACCTCATCCAAGCTCACTCCTTCCGCCAGCTCAGCCAGCCGCAGCTCGCCAGCCTGGCGGTCCACGTCGAACACCGCCAGCTCCGTGATAATCTGGCTCACGGCTCTCGCGCCGGTCAGCGGCAACGCGCACTCCTTCAGGATCTTCGGGCTGCCGTCTCTCGCGCAGTGTTCCATCACCGCAATAACCTTCGTCTTATCCGGGTTTGACACCAGGTCCATCGCCCCTCCGATACCCTTCACCATCTTCCCGGGGATCATAAAGTTGGCAATGTCACCTGCTTGCGAGACTTGCATCGCCTGCCCGGTCGTCAGCTTCATTCTCCCACAACAGACATCCGTGCGATAAACCTACGCCGAGAATAGCCAAGTCGATGTGTCCGCCCCGGATCATTGAGAAAGACTCGTTGGAGTCTGATGCAATACATTAACCGCTGGACTGTCTGATTGCGTCGGCACGCACCAAACACGGACGCCCCAGGGAGCAGCGTCACAGTCTCCTTGCCGGCGTTGATAATATCACTTGCAACCTTTGGTCAGCTCAGTTAGATGGTGACGGGCTCTGTAGCTTACGCATCCAGCTGCTCTTTGGTCGGGTAGGGTCCCATGCCAAGGATGCCATTCTCGCTTTGCAACCATACTCGCACGCCTGGTGCAAGGAACTGACGGCACGGCGAATTGTCTTGAGAAGGTGTCGACTGTCAGACCACGCACGCACCTCAGGAACCAGCGTTGGTATCCCTATCCCCAAGTTGACGTGGAACCCGTCTTTGATCTCCTTTGCGGCACGTCTGGCCATCCGGTTTCGCTGTTCCTGGGCAATCGTTTTCTCGGGACTGAGAGGCTTCGTGTCTTCTGACTTGTCACCCGACGCCAACGTCATGATCTCGATCTGCTTCGGGGCAGTCGCTTGCACGATTCGATCAACGTAGACGCTTGGGACATGAACGGCGTTTGGAGAGATCGAACCGACAGGTACGATGTTCTCAGCCTGTGAGCTATGATCAGCGACTGGAAGTAGTAATATACTGTCGAAAATGCTCACCTCGACAATCGTCAGCTTCGCATTCTTTGCCATCGTCGCAGAGAAGTTGTTCGCGGTATACCTGAGCATCGCCATCAACCACAATCCATGCACATTTTTCATTTCTAGACATACCTGAACACAGAATTCCCCACTTCATCCACCTTCCATGCCCTGATAAAGGCGACATCACCAGCGATTGCCGGCTCGAGAATGAATCGCCTTCCATCGATAACGCGCGCCTCCTTCTTGTTGCCTGGAATCGCTATGCCGGCGCACATCCCGCCTTCCTTATATCGGATTGGGATCGAACCCTCCTCCACCGCGGTGGAGGCCCCGGTGGGCGTGTAAAACATCGGTATGCCTGCTGCATGCGCGTTCAGACGGCCGACAAGCGAGCCTTGTGGGATGAGCTCGAGCGAGATCTTCCCATTTAGATAGAGGGACTCAAAGTGCTTGTTGCTGTATCATATTATTAGAACAGATTCGGTTTGCAATCGAGAGACACGGACTTTCCGAGGTATGACGCCATCATCTTGTCAATCTGTCCGGTGTGCAGGAGCTTTCCTGCGAAACGTTATCAGACCTTTAGAACATTGAATATATCTGAACACATATACCCAGGCCGAGCTCTCCGGACCCGGCATTGTTGGACACAGCAGTCAACTTTGTAACGTCCTTTCTCTTCGCTAACGCGCCTATCAAAGTGTCTGTTGGAAACTAATGCTCAGCTGTATGGTATGGCCGGCAATCGCTGCTCTCATCCACCTGGCGTTCCGCACAAGCCAAAACCTAAGGACGAACAAGGAATCTCATTCTGTTTCCCGCCCGCATATATCCGATCATAAACGGCACACTCACCTCCGCTCAAGAGCACATCTCCGGACTTCACGTCGTTAATCGCTTCGTCGACCGAGTCCCACACCTTCGTCTTGTTAGACACGGGCAGCTCGACTGCCGCAGTGCTATACTGCGTGATGCCCAAGCGCACGACGCGTGGGCCTGTGCCTGAGATGCGGCGTGCCGACCGCGACGCGCCAACTCGCCGTGCCGCGAGCATTTCCGACTTTGAGCTGGGGAAGTTATATGCGCAGCGTGCACTTCGCTGACCTGCTCAAATACAACCCGTGCTGGACGGATAAGCACTTATGCCTGCCGCCATCGCGGTGAGGTCGATGTTCATGTGACGGTGGAATGCATCCTTATAAGGCGCGCGCTTCAGGAAGACGTCGCGGTAACGGAATGCTCACGGAGTCCGGAGCACTCGATAAAGAGGGTATTGTTACACGAGAGTATTGTACAGAAGCGCCATACCCGTTGTTCATGAATGCTAGGTATCTGTTCCGCATTTCTCCACCGTAACCAGGAATCTGTTCGCAGCAGGATCATCATCTCCTCCTGCCGGGACCCTTTGGACGCGCGAAGGCTTTCTTTTCGGCGTCCGGAAGAGGTGCTGTGGACGTTCCTGCGTTCGGATCGTTCTGCAAGCCTAGCTCAAGAGCAAGGAAGCTCTCGTTTAACTCCGTAGGGTCGGATGTCTCGATCTTCCGAGAGGCTACTGTCGAGGAACTGTCCGATGAGGAGATGATGTTCTTAGCGACTTCGAAAACAGAGCGCGATGCTGAGGAGTAAAGCATGCGGTGCTTGACCGGAGACGATGACGGGCAAGAGTATATGAACACTTATGAGCAGTAGATCAGATCAGATGGCAGAAGCAGGGCACTAGGATTCGTCACACGTACCGATCTCGCGTCGAGGAGGAGACGTGATGCTGTGCGGCCAGGCGAAAAAAGCGTATGCTGAAGTCCAGTTGTGTGAGCTCTGCGCACAACGAACGCAGATTAAGCCAGCACATACATGGTTCAGAAGGAGGGATGGCGGAACTCAATCCGTCAATGCTACGTTCAGCTGAAGAGGACAGCAACAACGTCTCCGTCGTCGGGTCGATACTCTAGTCAAGCCATCAGGCGTGAACCGCAACACGACATGGTGTGGCCACTCACAGTCAGGACCAAAGCACTCCCATCACCCAGACCCAGCTCTCTGACAGCGTTCTCAGCTTCCTCATGCCACTTCAAGCCAACCCCTTGGCCGATGTGATTCTGCCTGGCTCTGCTTCCTTCGTATCCTCCGGCGCCTGCCTCGCGTTCAGCTGCCTTCACAGCCTCCATCTCTTTCTCCCTCGCACTCATAGGCTTGGGTGCCGCGAGATGCTGCTTGTGCTTAGCATACGCGTCAGCAGAAATGTCATCTTTGCTCGTGGCGAACAGGCTGTCCGTGAAATGTGCTGATCCCAGAGACTTGGCCAAGGTAGTCCTCGTTGCAGCATACAGCATCTAACGGAAAGAGATTCATGTTATCAGAGTGCAGTGTTGACTAGGACGGAACAAAGAACCTTGTCTCTGACTTTCGCAGAGTCTGGGACGTAGTAGATTGCCAACCACTCAGAGGGAGGGTCATCAAGTCTCACGAGAACGTATGCAGGGATGTTGTCCTCCAGAAGACCGCTCAGCTGGTTCAAGTCTTCCTCTAGAGTACCCGATGGAGCAATAGATTCGTCTGGCACGAGTGATTCTGGCAGATCGCGATATTATGAGCTGTGACACGCATGGAAAGACTGAGGTATGAGAGACCATTGCGAATTGAGATCTTGAGGAATCGGACGTTCCCAGATCCCACCGCATCAGAGAATGCGGTTGAGAGCTCTGAAGAGACAGCGATGCCCGTTGGTGCAGACATCGCGAGAAAGAAATAGAGTTATAGCGAGATATTGCAAGGTCGACGTCGCGTGAGATGGCAGGGATACGCTAGGATACACGGACCTGAGCGTTTTCGCGTCTGACGCAACGACCTCTGCAGTGGTGAGTATATGCAGCTTGATGCTCTCTGTCGAACTGTTCATCATGCACGTCCAGCAACCCCCTTCGCAGGACTGCCGCGCGTGGGCAGTGCCCTTATCGACTCGGATGACAATATAGTCCTCGACTTCTCCCGGTACCAGCATGAGCTCTACACCATATGTACCGTATCGGCCCTACAAGGTGCGCACTCGCTCATGCCTTACAGTGTTGATATAACAGCTGAGCAGGAACATGACGTTTATAGCCCAAGAGACTTCCAAGGGATACATCTAGTCAACCGTCGTCAAATGGCGCTACTCCTCCCCAGTTCCGTCTACAAGTCCAGCTGAACGGTGTTGGCAACGGACATGCGAACGATGAGCCTCCCGTTCACCAGCGGACAGGCAGCTTGGGGGCTGCGGATGCTTCTTCGCGTCCATCAGGGTACCTCGTCAACAAAAGCAGGCCCGCTTCCATGCTCGCTTCAGTGCCTCAGCGCGATCCTCCCGAGTTCGTGCATGCCGAATATGCGACATATCCGTCTAGTCCCAATACAACGTCTACACCTGCAACATCGCCCCCACTCAATATCTGCATAAACCACGAAATGAACTCTTCCCCGGTATCCGTAACCTCACTGCCGTCGCCCAAGGTACCCTATGTCGCGTCTAACGCTAATAGCATGAACCCGCCATCTCCTGTTGCAGGACCGTCAACACTCTCCGCAGCCGCAGCTTCCGATCGGCCAGGAGCGTCATCACGAAGAATGTCGACCTTCCGACACCTGCGGCCCTCTAGCGCCCGCTCCACATTGTCGTCCTCGCCTCTCAGGCCGACAGATACCCATGTCCGTACATCATCAAGCACATCGTCCCTGTCTCGTCCTCTTGAGCTACTGTCGACTTCCAATACTCCCAGCCAAGCCTCTTCTGTCGCACCGTCGCCTTCCATCCGTCCGTATGATAGAGACCTGCCAGCGCTGCCCACACTAGACACATCGTCTCGATCAGCGTCGTCCCACGCAGAGTCTCCTCAGCTGGCTAGCTCCCCGGTCTCTCCATCTTCAGCTGCGTCATTTACTCGTGTACCTTCGTCGAGGTCGTCCCCGCAGCCGCGCAACCGAACGCTGTCCCCTGCGCCTGCGCCATACGCAACGTATACCCCTGCTTCATCTCACGCCCACACCCCTTCTATAGCAGCCTCCCCATCACTCACTGTCAGTACTCGCACAACTCATCGCGCATTAGCACCTTATCGACCTGGATTCCAGCCCAAAGGGCTTTATAGGCCGCGCACAGATGAATTCGTCGAGGCGCGTGCAGCTTTCCGGAACGTGGGGCGCATAGAACGGACCAGGCTTGAACGGAGGCTGGAGAAGCTCATCAACTTGCACTTTCCTCCAGAAGAGCAAAAGGCCAAGGAGAAGGCTGCCCGTCCTGGAGATCGGCTGCAAGCTCCTAAGAAACGCCCTTCGTCGATCTTCGATATGGACTTTTCGGAGCTTCGCGCTAAAAGTGCCACTGACTTGTGGAGAGATGTCGTACAGTCTCAGATGACTCCTGCAGGAAAGAACGATATTCGAGGTGCGTATAACAGACTCTCTTTGACTTGTACGATATTTGACTATCTATTTCGTTGCAGCTGCTGAACAGACGATCACGCCATGGGAGGAAGATGCTTCAGTCTCGCAATGTCCTCTATGCTCGTGCGTTTTGACAGCGGGTTCGCGAAAGGCTGTGCTGATGAGGTTTTTCCGTGACTAGTGCAACTTTTCATCCCATAACAAATCGCAAACATCATTGCCGCCTTTGTGGACGTATCATCTGCTCGCTGCCCGTTAAGTATCCGCAGCGCCCGCAACCTTGTTCTCTGCTTTTCGTCGCAGATCCCAAGACAGGGCGAATAGAAGAAGTTGGCGAGGGCGTAGACTATGGCGTGCGACGGCGAACAACTTCATATTCTCAATTGAAAGGTGGGAGGATTGACGAAGCACTCACTGAGGAGGAGAAATTCCTCAAGGGTGTACGGATATGCCGAGAATGTCGACCAGTCCTCTTGTAAGTCTAAAGCGTTCGCTTCGTGACATCCACTGACGTTGTGGTCTTGCCGGAAAAACAGGAGACAACAGCACAAATACGAAGTGCAGAACACGCCAATCTTTTTCAAGCTTTACGATGTCCGTGCGAAGTAATGCCGTTTCAATTGTTTATCTGACAATTGTCCTCGACAGACATTCATCAGCGTGGAAAAAGAAATTGAAGATGCATTGCCACAATTTCAGGAGCTCATGCTTAGTTTGAGGTTAGCACCGTAACTGCTTGTTAACTATTACCTTTTCCTCTGACGAAGCCTTCAGTAAGCAGGAACGACCTGCGCCGGAAGCATCTGCGGTAAGGAAACGTCTATTAGAGGCCTTCGGCCAATACGACGTCCTTGCGAAGCGGATCCGGCAGCTTCGTTGTCCCCCTGGCAGCTCGCAGGATCGCTTACAGTCTGCGATACTCAATCGAGCCAACTTATTCCTTCAGAAACACATGTTTCCGCTCCAGGTAAGAGTCGCGCATCGGAGGCATTCGCTACTCCCACTTAACAATATGATGCAATAGTCACTACCTAAGCCATCGGATAACGCCAAAGCATCTCCTCCCGCTGGCTCAGAGTCGGAGGAGCGCGTGATCGATCCAGATTCCGAGGTGGCGCGAGTGCTGCAACCGTTGTTGGAGCAAGAAGCCTTGCTTGATTCCTTCATCGAGGAGGCACAGGCTCACAGGAAATTCGAGGACGCGAAGACGTTGAAAGTTAATCTGCAGGAGATTAGAGCAGAAATCAATCGAATCTTGACGAACGCAGAGGCTGGCATGGGTGAACAGACAGCTCAAGGGAAGTCTAAGAAGAAAGGTGTATGACGTCGAAACACCCGATCGTCGCGGGTTCATGTTGCTTGGTACTCCGTTTTCATGCTCTCGTGGACTGGATGGCATCGCGATACCCGTAGAACAGTATTGACGGATTACAAAGGACCTTGGCAGATAAATACGGATGATGGTATGAATGGATATGCAGGAATAAAATTATGGGCATGCAGAAGGCAATGCAACAGATTGAAGCAGTAAATTAGGCTCGAAAACAATGTAACATGTTCCAATTTCAGCTCAACACGGCCGCAGATTGGTTGATAAATTCTCTTCTGAAAGGCGCACTGCGCGGAGGATTCGGTATCGAAAATGACTGGTGCGGAAGAGCGCTGTGGGGTGGCTGCGGTAGGGAAGAGGCCAGCTTTGAGCTGGCAGAGGGCAAAGCGCTTCGACTACGCGAGAGACCTGCTCCCAACTTGCTTTCCTCTGGCGTTCCGATAGCACCTTGCGCTACCATAGGAGAGTAAGGACGAGGAGTTGGAGCTGGAGAGAACGAGGAAACGTGTAGAAGAATGACAAATTCTTCTGTAGCATTCGTCAGGTTGACCATGCTCGTTCGCAAATCAGATGAAAGAGGATGGGAGGTCATGTGGGTCTTGATAGCACTCGATAATTGGATTACAGTCTGAACACGAGGCAAGTCAGCCATGAGAATTTACGGCAACGAACTGCGGCTCAGCAGTCTTACCTTCGCAAACGTACGAGCCTCATCGTGGAGAGGTTTGTCCGTAGGCTGAACACCATCTCGGATGTACCCAATGTTGCGTCTCAACCTTTCTGTCACGACTTTCGCTTGATCAACGATCTCCTTGACGTCTTCTGTTACCCCCTCCCGATCATTAAGAATCCTATCCATCATGTTCCAAATCGCTGGAGCCAAGTCCAGAGCTTTTTTCACGGCGTCGATGGCCTCCTTGTCCACCAACGTGCTCGTATTGGATGGTGTTTCCACCTGAGCCGTTCTCAAAGCGAGCCCAGATGATGATGGCGGAAGGGAGTTCTGTGATCCCTGACGTGAGTGACTATCCCAGCGGTACGCTGTCGGTACTGCAGAATCGCCATTAGGAGTACCCAGCGGTGTTGAACCTAATGCAGTCGCCATGCGCCTGGCCGACCGTAACACAGGCGTCGAAGGAGCCGCACCGTTGATAACGCCAGCTGTCAGAGGTGAAGAAGGGGCATCAACGAAAGACGGTAGCATCTTCCCGATCTCAACGTCCTTGTAGCTGAACGAACCTGCATGCCGACGGGCCATTCGCGTCTGACCGTGATCCCGGGACGTCGGCGACACTCCATGTCTCAAACGCGGTTGGTCTGATGTCGACGAGTCTGCGATATGTGCAGCTGCTGACCGAGCAGAAGACGGTGACTGCGCAGCATGCGACTTGGCGGCGGGCGGTGGGCGAATTTCCCAGAGGAGCGGCTTGACGGCCTCGATTCGCATAGCCATGGCCTGCCATGAGCTAGCAATCTCGGCCATAGAACCGTAAAGATTCAATAACATCTGCCTCGTATAACGGACGTCGTCATGTGTTGCCAGTACCTTTAGTTGAAGAGCCAAAACTCCCACCGCCTTCCCGAAGACAGCCACGTTGTCTCTACAACACTCAACAACTGCTCTACAGACTGACGGAGGAGGCAAACCCTTCACGCTCATCGTGTCGAAGCGGTCCAGAGCATTGATGAGGCCAGTCATGTAGACGCTGGCCGGGTCAAGCACCTTGTTCAGGACTGTCGACAGTCGCTGGTCAATAGCATATTCCGTATGGGTATAGAGTTGCAAAGTCTCATAGATTCGTGAGACTCCGAAGAGTATGCCTCGCGCGGCATCAACCAATGCCAATAGATCCTCTGGAATTGCTTTCGATAGGTGCAACGGTGTCAAAGCGGAAAAGCGACGGAAGTAAGAATGTCGTTCCTTGTCCATGGAAGGCGCAGCTGCAACCTCCGCAATAGGCGACGAGGCGGGAAGATCATCAGTTGACGCTGACGCTTTGCGTCTGAAGCCGATATCAGCGGCAATTTTCTGATGGATGCTTCATTGGCATCTCACCGTGCAGACCCTGTCGGCTCTAAAAGAGCTACAGGACGTTGGGGCAGGATCACGTCACTTTTGCTCTGTAACTTGAGCGGTCGCAGCTCTGAAAAGCTGTTTCTGACAGTAACGTTGCTGTAACTACTGGAGGTCTTGGAGTCTGTGCCAGTTAGATCATTTCCAGCGCGCCCCTGACGGCCACGAAGAGCAATGGGACTATCTTCATGGGTGGACTCCATTATTTCATCCAGGGGATAGCAGGAATCAGGAGAATGCGAAACAGAGCGGGAATGACTCTTTGAGGACCCTTGCAAGAAACGCGGGAAACGAGGCCTGTCCTGTTCTGGCTCCGTGGAAGAGCATTCCAGTCGAGAGTAGATCGAAGAGTCCGACTCCACAGAGTACGAACGAGCATGGTACGGAGAGTTGGCGATCTCATCTTTGCTTGATGACGTTTGAGCTACAGACCTAACATCGCTTTTTGTGGCATCAGTAGGTACAACGACAATGTTTTGAATCACGCACTGTGCAGCCTCACTTAAATCGGGGCCTATTTCATCACGCTCGATGACGCCACCGATAGAATCCTCGCTCGTCTTCCGCTGAGTAGGAGGCTCGATATTCTCTTCAATCCACGTCTGTACGCGTCTGATCCACTCTTTCATGCGATCTGGATCGTTCAAGTTCTCATCAGGCTGGAGAACATGTTTTGGTGGCCACTCCCATGGGTTCTGGTCGACTTTCAGTAACGTCAGCTCGCGGAACTGGCTAATGTAAGGCGGGAGCTTGTGTATCTTGTTGCGCACGATGGAGAACACCTGTACAACGTTACTGTGGATAGGTAACCGGATAATTGGATACAGACAAACGCTACATACGCGCAGGTTGGTCAACGATCCTGGCTGGGAGGGTAACCGCTTAATCTTGTTACGGCTGATATCCAGAATCTCCAACGATGGCATGACGGTCAACTGCGCAGAGAAAATTCAATGACATGCAAAAGAGACTAGAATCAAGCACGTACAACATCTGGAAATACCGAGAAATTGTTATTTCGAAGCACTAGGTACCTCAGACGCGAGAGCAGTGAGAGTGCCATGGGTAACGTCGTCAGGCGGTTGTACGCAAGAGCAATCCTGTGCTACGCGTTGCAAACTCGCACTACAAGTGAAATAGACGGCAAAGCACCTTATGACGCCGCATTCTCCTTTCGCATCCCGACAGACGGTGGCAAGTTCCTCCACGCCAGACTCTCCCACATCAGTGAGGTCCTTGTGTGCTAAATCGAGCGTCGCGCCGTTGTCGGAAGATCTTGCGATGGCTTCCATGATATGTTTATTACTGAGCGCAACAGATGGTAGTGAAGATGAGATGCCATTCCTCAAAGAACGAGCGGGTCGACTGTCGACATCAGATTCGGACATTCGCGTTCAGGAGACGCGATGAACACCAGAGAGTGAAAGAGCGACGCGGCGGATTGAATGAAATCCAGACAGAACAGGCCTCGTGGAGCGGACAAGGTGGTCGGAAGAAGTAGTCGGATGGTTGGTCGTCGACGGCGCCCTGGAGTTACCACACAAGGTGAAGCATTTGTGTCACGTGCTTCGCTTCTCGCCTTCTCCGCAAGCCAGACGCTTTTCAGAGAAATCTCCTCTACCAGAGCCGGGCATGGCCTCTAATGCATATGCTGGAACATGGGCTTCGCTACCGACCACGCTGACACCTTGGATGTGAGGCTTCATCTCCCTCTGTTGATGCCCTGTAACTCAATCCGAGCCAGCCTGGATGTCATTCAGTCACTTGGATTCGCCCAAATGACCCCAGTGCAAGCTTCCACCATACCACTATTTATGAAGCACAAGGACGTCGTCGTGGAAGCCGTCACCGGTTCCGGGAAGACTCTCGCGTTTGTAATACCTGTGGTGGAGCAGCTCATTCGCAGAGAGAAAAGATTGAAGCGGAATGAGATTGGTGCGCTGATCATCAGTCCAACAAGGTTTGTCCGGCTTCTATCGGTTGTTTCATGACAAAGTGCAGATTTGAACTCCAGGATAGAGAGTTAGCAACCCAGATCCACTCAGTGTTCTCCATCTTTTTTGCAAGCCAACCCTCTAAGGTCCCCAATGAAACCAATGATGATGCTGTTGAAGCTGGCAGTTCTCACTTTTCCGAGGTGACATATCCCCCACCCCTTCTCATAGTTTCTTCGGAATCCTCGCCAGCCCAGGACGTTCAACAATTCATATCGACAGGAGCCGACATCGTAATCGGCACGCCTGGTCGAATAGAAGAGTTTTTATTGGGTAAAGGCAAGGACATCGTGAATGCCAAAGAGTTGGAAGTGCTGGTACTTGACGAGGCTGATCGGTACGTTCGCCCCTCGGCTATTTCATTAGCAGTTGGAACTCATGATTGATTAGACTGCTCGATCTTGGCTTCCATGCTACACTGACACGCATATTAACGCACCTACCAAAGCAACGTCGTACAGGCCTCTTTAGCGCCACTATGACTGATGCGGACGCGATGTCTGAATTAGTCCGTGTAGGGCTCCGAAATCCTGCGCGTATCGTAGTGAAAGTACAGACAAAAAAAGCAAAAGTCAAGCACAACGAAGGGCATTCTCAAGCGAAGCGGGAATTAGGGGATGTAATTGAAGAGCGACGAATACCTGCCAGGTGTGTTGACATGTCTATCTTTATGTTCTCATACTGATGACGTTGTAGTCTACAGAATCTCTGTATGATTTGCAAATCGTCCGAAAAGCTCCTGCAGCTGGCGCGGATTATATCTTTTGAGGTGACACGGCAACAATCTTCAAGATTCATTGTGTATTTCTCGACGTGTGCATGCGTCGAGTACTTCTATCGCGTAGGCGGAATGATCACTTCTATCCGCACTTTCTCATAACCATATGCTGCAGATTCTAACTCCATTCCTACCACCCAATACCAAACTGTACTCGTTGCATGGTCATCTGCCACCGGCAACACGTGAACGCACGCTGTCCAGTTTTGCGTCTTCAGTCGCTCTGCCCTTGTCGCCTTCTGTATTACTAGCCACCGATGTCGCCGCGCGAGGTTTGGATATTCCCGATGTGGACGTTGTATTACAGTTTGATCCTCCATCGGATACGAAATCCTTCTCGCATCGCTGCGGACGTACGGCTCGGGCTGGACGAAGCGGGAAGGCTTGGGTCTTGTTGGTAGGTCGGGAGGCTGACTACGTGGGTGAGTGATGGAATGGAGTTCTGTTTCGCTGAGATCGCCTATCTGCCAAATTTACTCAATATCCATGCTCACAGACTTTTTATCTATTCGGAAGATACCTCTTATCGAACGGAAGCCGTTTCGTGAAGATGGCAGCGCCTATGACGATCCCGCTGAACCGGAAGATGAGAATGTCTCCGCCATGCAAGAGCAGATCAGGCAGGTGCTGCTGACTGATCGGGGTCTGCACGACAAGGTATGGTTCTCAACACACGCAAAGGAACGTCTTGACTTATCGTTTGTAAAGGCTGTGAAAGCGTTCGTGTCGTTCGTTCGGGCATATTCGAAGCATGAAGCTTCGTACATATTCCGAGTCAAGGATCTGGACCTTGTTGGCGTCGCCAAGAGCTATGGACTGCTGAGGTTGCCGCGAATGCCGGAGTTAAGTGACTCATTCAGAGACAGTTGGAAAGACGCTGAAGTCGATGTGAGTTCTGTCATGGACGATTCCCGGACGTTCGTTTCTCATTTGTGAATGCTAGTGGGATTCGTACGCATACAGCGATAAGCAACGTGAGGCGAAGAGGTTAGCAGAACTCGCCAACCGTGCCGCCTCCGAGTTGGATGTGAAGAGGCGCAGGGAAAAACACGCGGAGAAAAGGAAGACCAACGCTGCGTGGAGCGATAACGTTTCCAGAAAAGACGAGCGCTTGAAGAGGAAGGAGAAAAGGGACAGAAAGAGAAAGTGGCAAAAAGCGAATCAAAAAGAGAAAACAGAGTCGAAGGGCTCAAGGCGAAGTCGAGATGATGCGGCCCCCGCGTGTGATGATGAGGATGATTGGGAAAGGGAAGAGCGCATGGCGAAGAAGGTCAAGCGCGGCGTCCTCAGCAAGGAGGAATTTGACGGAGAGTTCAATGTGATATAGTATAACACGTCATCATTGTATCTGTATACAATACCCCCTCGTACACTTGCTAGTTTCACAACAATGCTGAAACGTCGACGACACGACCAGGCGTTGAATATTGAATATTGAAGTTGTCAGCCACATGGTCGGGGAAAAGCTGGCGATCGTGTCGAGGCAAGCGAATGACCATCCCACCCCCAGTACCTGCAGTCGCCGTAGCGTCACAGCGACTCGACCATTTCTGATCGTCTTGAACTTTGACAACACTTCAAAAAACATCCGTCTTTCTGACGTTCGTGGACGCGGCTGGAAGCAAACAATAGCGTATCAAAATGGCTACTCCCAAGCTCAGTGCCGGCTTCTTCAATCGACGCTGTTTTGTGCGTGCTTGCCATTTTCCATTTCTTGCTGTCACGTCTCACGGATTCTGCAGTGGTATGATGACGACGGCAACCCCCGACTTAATGAGGATGGAAGATATGGCTGCACACGACGTGAAGACCGAGGTCGAAACTGTTCATTCGTCCACCCAGACGATCCGAGGTGGTCTTCTCTGAAGCCAACCCACCCACCTGGTCATGAGAAACTTTCAGCAGCCGAAGCACAGCGGAAAGCCCATTCAGCTCGCCCGTCAACCTCTGACATGAACCCCTGGTCGCGTACACCTCCTCGAGCTCGTAGCCCGCTGCGTACATCGGTGCATCGTCCTCGTTCTCCCCCTCGCCCCAGTAGCCCTCGACGCTCTCGTACGCCTCCACGCGCTAGGTCGCCTCGTTCTGGATCACGACAGCGCCCGTCCTCACTCTCAAAGTCTGCTGAGAATTTCGATCACCGCGACGCGGCCCAGCGTCCTACCACCACGACGTCCTTTTCGCATGAAGAGCGTTCCCGCATCCCATCGCATAGCTTCACGATACCTGTTCCCCCTGTTTTGAGATCGTCGACGCTTTCCAGAGGGTTTTCAGGAGACAGCGAAGGTGCACACATGCCATCCAAGGACGCATCGCTTGAACAGAAGCGCTCTGCCTGGAACGAGCGCATAACGTGAGTCATGGCCTGCGCTTTTGGCATGCTACATATTAATTTGTGTCACTCAGACTTTTGGCTGAAGCGACACTTTGTCGTTCAGAGTTGTCCGACCTGCTGAAAGATGTCGAGAACTATGAACGTATCTCACGCTCTTGGATTCTCAATAACCTGTCCGAAGAGAGCCGGGCGCGTATCAATACTCAGTTGGCCGATGCCATTGCGCGCAGTGCGGCAAAGAAGAGCGATCTCAAGAGGATAATCGTACGGTTAACGGAGACGAACTACTGGCCAATCGCTCCAAGCGCTGTACCTGCTGAGCGCGACGGTCGGTCCGACATGAAGGAGGCAATTATGGAGTTGAAAAAGGGTATGCAGGACTTGCATAATCAGCTGCAGGAGTACCGCGTTGGGCATGCTGCCGTCGACTCGAAACCACCGCCTCCGATCAAAAATGACGAGAGTCATGTTGCAGAGCCTCCTGCGAAGCGTCTAAAGCTTTCCGTCGACGATACCACTGGCCCATCTGGCTGGGACAGCGAATTATACGACCTACGCGACCGATTGCTTCGATTAGAAGAACAATCCTCTGACCTGGAGCAAGAGATGGTTCAGCATGATCATGAGCTGAATACGCTACAGACCAAGACAGAGGAGATCCTAGGCCTAGATGCAGCAGGATCGGCGGGATCCTCTACGCGTGACTTGGATATGCAGCCGGTCGAGCAGTTCTCCAGGGAGCTTGACATAGCCGGCAGGCAAATTGAAGAGTTGGCTCTGGAGGTAGCAAATCTGATCAAGCAGACAATGAAGAAGGATGCAGAACTTGAACAGGTGCACTCAGAAAATCGACAACTTATACAAAAAGTGGAGGTGGTAAGGAATCGCCATCATCTAATCACTGTGATGTCGTTGATCATGGAGATGCCAGCAGTTGTCTTCACAATTGGCTGCAAACCAGCTTGAGCTGCAAGCTCTCAATGCAGCTGTAGCAGCATACATTTCACAATCAAATGCAAAACCATCCTCACCTCAACTGCCAGCCATGGAAGACATCATAAGCTCTGTTCAACCAGCACTTCTTGAAATGATTCACAGTGGTCTACAGCCAATGCTGTCCAATACCCATCACAGCATTGAAACCATGATAGAAGACAGGATCAAGAATGTGTATACCACTGTCATGTCATCGTTGACACCATATCTACAGACAGTTGACACCATGTCAGCATGGATGGAACACACCCATGAAGGAAGCCATGAACTGCATGACCAGCTGAAGGATCTCAACAATGGTGGGATCAAGTAGCAATTTTTGCATTCAATTATTCATAGAGCAAATAATAAGATTGCTCTTATATGTTCATCGTCTTGCACTCATACATTCATTGTCTTGCACAAATAGATCTATATGTTGATATCCATTGTGCCTTTTGCTTCATGCTTCCATCTATGTGTTTCCCATCAAGTGGATATGTTTTTATGTGCATGGCAAAAAAAATGGACCCTCCGAGGATCGAACTCGGGACCCTTGCATATTAGATATCCACATAAGTACAAAGCTCTACCAATTGAGCTAAGGGTCCAACAGTCGATTCGTCCATTCTGAACATCATAACTTGTTTCGTTCACGAAAACTCTTAAAAGATAGCTAATTACAATGTAGATAGGTCACCAACGACATCAGACTGCCGCGCCTGCGTCTTCTTCCTGTATACCTCCTGCTGAGAGCCGTATAAACCTATTGCCGACTCTCCTGCCTTGTTCCTCAGAATGTGTCACCCATACCAGCGCCTTAAGTTTCGAATCTGCTGCCTGAATTTGAGACTTCAGGAAATTTTCGACAGTTGCCGATGTGTCAGGGTCGAGCGCGGAGGTTGGTTCTAGTGCAATTCGACGTGAGCCAAAGACATCCTCTATTGCGCGAAGATGACGAACCATCGAGTAGGAGCACTTCTGCGGTACTCATACCCATAGCTATGGCGAGAGCGATCCGCTGCATCTCTCCACCACTTAGGTTGCTCCAGTTGCGGTCCCAGAGTTCTTCGTCGATGCCCCACGATTGGGCAAGTTCGATTGTTTCGTGCGAGAGCCCATTGGCTGTGTTGTTGTCCGCCTTGTCCATTCTGGACGCCTTGCTGTGTGAACCGAACTTCGAGATAGCTGCCATGAAGTCGCGAGGAGTCCCTGGGAGGAGGGACGCGCGCTGAGGCACATAGAGCACGCGGGTGCGGTACACAGGTATACCTACAGACCTTTCAGTCAATCCGAAGGTACGGCGAGCGTGGGTTCTTACCGTAGGATTTTGGTGTCCTAAATACAAATTCAACCATGTCAACGGCTGCCATCACCATCAACTGCGAGTACTGATACCAACTTGCCGCGATAGAGTATTTCGCCCTTGTAGATATTGAGGTGCGACAAGCATTTGAGCAGGGTTGACTTGCTGGAAAAGATCCCGCTCATGGAACGCTTCCTCGCGTGAAAAATGATCTGCTTACCCCACACCGCTCTTCCCTTGAATAACGACGATATCACCGGCCTTCACCTCGAAGTTGACATGAGAGAAGACCGGGTCGCCCTTCGTCCTTGGGCATTCGAGATTCTTGATGACAAGCAGTGTCTCCCCCATCCTGTGGGACGTGGCAAGAAGGAAGCGACGTCCGTGCGGAGGTAATTTCGACCTGGCATGTCTGAATGAATGGCGACGGAAATAAATGCAAGCCGTGCTACTAGCTAAGACGTCATCCTGACTGGGCGGACCCGGCGGTTATCCTCACGTGCAGGCACGGCATACGGAACTCATCCTCAGGCCTTCAGGAGGCAGGAGACGTTCGTAAAACCTGGGATGCTTCGAGACACAGCTATTATACCTCTACCAGACATATAATACGATAGCTTATATAGGCTGAGGATGCGGTGGAGGCAGCATGCCTATCTCCTCGGGAGTCATGCTAGGGCTCTCAATCATCACGCCCACGCCGACCTTCGCCGCGTTCTAAATAGGATACGCGTCACGACGGTACTGATAAAAGTATAATACCACGCACCTTGAAGTGGTCGATCTCGCCCGACACCAGGAACGCAAATGAGGGCGCGAAGCGCTGCTCGAGGAGGGCGGAGACTTTGCCTGTAGAGTCTAACTGTGCTCGGAACGTTGACATTCGAAGATCGTATTTGGCTCCCAGCGTCGCAAGTGCGTCGCGTCGCGCCGGAGCCACTATCATCTGCAGATCGGCAGCGACTTCCACTTTGTCGCTGAGCTTGTGGAAGTAGGTCGTTTGTAGGATGCCCGCTGGCTGGACTTGCGCAGTTGCAATCCAATTTTTGTCAGAACTCGTGTACTTCGCGAGGTATGAAGCGCTGGTATCCGTAAGCTCGGGAGTCTGTCGTTGGTGCAGGAATTCGATTCCCAGCGCAAGGTTTTTTGTGACAGATTGCAGATAACTGCCCATGTATATGCCGGTAAGGTCTACTGGGGAGGGATTAACAGCCTTGATATTGAGCGAATAATCCTGTCCCAAGTAGTCGTGCTCTATTTGCAGCATGCTATGCCCCACTTGCGACGATAACTAATGAACGGAGCGAGATCGGCGTTTATGCCAATGTGAGAGAACAACACGACTCACCTGGCCCTGTACTTTCGTCACGTTGCTAGCCGACCAACCTTGGTTGAATCGTCCGTTCAAATTCCCATCATGGTCGATACCGCCTTGCATGAAAACCTGTCTCCCTAATCAGCAACAGTCGAATGCGCAGCTAAGCCGCTACGCACACTGTTGTTTGCAAAGACAGCGCCAAAATTGTACGAAGGCGGCGCGGTTTGGGATCCTAACGCAAATGAATGCGTCACTTGAAAGATGGGGTTGACCGACAAGCTCTTGGAGAGATCAGCCCTCGCTCCGTCAAAGAGGAAGTTGGTCAGATGCGTCGCTAAGAAAAGTGTCAGCACGTGTAACAGATGGTTAGAACGCGAACTTACTTTTGACCTCCTTCTGGAGATTCTCTACCGTGCCCGGGTTGGGCAGGTCGAGCGATTTCCGCCATGCCGAGAAACGGTTGAAGAGATTGACGAAAGGAGAGCCGGAAGTTGGAAACGGCGACGCTGCAGGCGGCGGCGGCGAGTCGACCTGGGTCAACGACGGAGATGAGGCCATGAGGAGAGGGTGACGATGGCCGATCCTCAAAGTACGCGGCAAAAATTCAGGGCACGCGGTTATGCGTGTAAGTTCATAATAGGCAATTCAAGGCGTGATAACTGCCGCTCCGAAGGTGGCGGCGATAGGCGTCCTCATTCATTCAAGCGGTCACCGTCGACTCGGACTGCTTCAGACGAACAGGCATCTCGGATTTTTTTTTCGAGAACAAAGCTGGCTACACGATCGAGCACAGTTGTGGTCGAGCCCTGTCCCAAGGCGCGCGACGGCGATCACTAGTGTGGCACTATACGTGCGTCTGATTAAACATCGTCGATACCGACCGGGGGGCGCGGTGGTCGCTGAAGCTTAGGTACTACTACTTTTTATGGAGACTTGTCAAGGCACATCAAACATGGATTGTCGGGCACTTCTGGTGGCAAGTTTGCGCGATGAAGGCGATAAGTCTGGCCCGCCCTGAAAGTCAACCTGAGGTGGCCACTTGTGTGTGCCGTGAGTTATATGGACGTATCCGTTATGGTTACAAGCAATCACAATATAATGAACAAGAACAACTCGCAGAGCAGTACTTACTTGACTTAATCTCAACGCCGGTCAAAACGAAATGCACAACAATGATAACTTGACATCGTACACCAGACACATTACATGAGTCACAGCTATGGGGCGCATGTGTGTCGGAAATGACGGGTGAGCAAGTGATGATGCATAAAGTTGACGCAAACCTGCATATGTTGCGATACTTTCGTCCCCAATGACACGCAATAGGTGGAACGGCGGTATGGAAGATGAGTGACTACCCCCGTCATAGGACACCCGAGTCTGACTTGCGTCAAGCAGCGATACGAAGGCGAAGCAATCGCCAGGAGGTTTAACGGGCAAAATGCAGCTGGCTGACATGTAAGTCAGACGCAGACCGCCTCACCAGCCCCGTTCATTTCATTCCGTGGATGACAGGGGCAGTGCAGTAGGAATGGCTGTGCAGGCTCGTAGAGCGAGGATATCCAGATAGAAGCTCAACTCTTGCGGAACTCCGTATGGGTACAGAGGATCCTGCTAACGGTAGGTTAAAAAGAGATGCATCAGACTGAAGACAGATTGCTCACCGTGCACTTACAAGATGGCAGGCTGTCCTCAACGAGAAGCACTTTGACGCGCAACGTCGCACAGATGCAGGCGTAGATAAAGCACTGTCAAGCAATCTCGAAGTATTTGTCGCTCATGAAGACGCCGATGATCACATTCCACGAGGCAACCATGAGTAGGACGATCGTCTTCGTACTATTGCCATCGAAGCTGAGCAAGCTCTCGGGACTTCTCCCTCCTCTGGAGCAGAGAGTATTTATGCTCAGTTTATCGCGGTGCGCGCGAGCGTGGTGAGGGAAAGGCCAGAATGTAGATGCCAATAACCATCATGATGAACCTGCATCCGTGATCGCCCACAATGAAGTAATGCCGCCAAGCTGCAGGTCCAAAGTCTAGAGAGTACCGGGAAGAGTTAGGAATGGGCGAGATGCTGCCTGACGTTGCTTGAAGTCCGGAGCGCTGGGCTCATGTCACGTGCACCATAGGCGAGATGCGTGACGCGAGAAACACCTGGAAGGCGTTCCGAACAGGAAGGAAGGTGCTGGAACCCCTCAGAACTCAGGCCGTATATAAGATGGACCTCGGCGCGCTCTGTCCCTCCACAGCTTTACGTTTGTACACCTTTCTCCCTTCATTTTCGCGTCCCTTACGCCCCTCATAATCTTTTGCAATACCCATGGCCACGTCCAAGGCGATCGGTATCGATCTCGGTACCACTTACTCGTAAGTATTTGCCGCCTTTTCCGTTTGTCGAGCGAGCATTCATAGGAGCCTACAGCTGCGTCGGCGTCTGGCAGAATGATCGTGTTGAGATCATTGCCAACGACCAGGGCAACCGTACAACCCCTTCATATGTCTCCTTCTCCGATACGGAGCGTCTGATTGGTGATGCCGCTAAGAACCAAGTCGCGATGAACCCCCACAACACCGTTTTCGATGCGAAGCGTCTTATCGGCCGCAAGTTCAGCGATCAAGAAGTGCAAGCCGATATCAAGCATTTCCCCTTCACCGTCTTCGACAAGGGTGGCAAGCCCTACATCCGCGTGACCTATCGTGGCGAAGAGAAAGAATTCGTAAGTCTATAATAATGACAGTCGTTAGTGAATTCCGTAGCTAACTTCGATCTACTTCAGTCGCCCGAGGAGATATCTTCCATGGTTCTCCTGAAGATGAAGGAGACCGCTGAGTCGTACCTTGGCACGACCGTCACTAATGCCGTGATTACTGTTCCTGCGTACTTCAACGACTCTCAGCGTCAGGCGACAAAGGATGCGGGTGTCATTTCGGGTATGAACGTCCTCCGCATCATCAACGAGCCGACTGCTGCAGCCATTGCTTACGGTCTCGACAAGAAGACGACCGGTGAGAAAAACGTTCTTATCTTCGATCTTGGTGGAGGTACCTTCGATGTGTCGCTCTTGACCATTGAGGAGGGCATCTTCGAGGTCAAGGCTACCGCCGGTGACACTCATCTTGGTGGTGAGGACTTCGACAACCGTCTCGTCAACCACTTCGTCCAGGAGTTCAAGCGCAAGCACAAAAAAGGTAAGTTAATTGCGATGCACCTACGAGCTCCCTTACTGACTTATGCTCAGATCTCTCATCGAATCCCCGTGCTCTCCGTCGTCTCCGTACCGCTTGTGAGCGTGCCAAGCGTACCCTTTCTTCTGCTACGCAGACTACGATCGAGATCGACTCGCTATTCGAGGGTATCGACTTCTACACGTCACTTACCCGTGCACGGTTCGAAGAGTTGTGCCAGGACCTCTTCCGCAGCACGCTCGAGCCCGTTGAGAAGGTCCTCCGTGACTCGAAAATCGACAAGGGCAACGTCCACGAGATCGTCCTTGTCGGTGGTTCGACTCGTATTCCCCGTATCGTCAAGCTCGTGTCCGACTTCTTCAACGGAAAGGAGCCCAACAAGAGCATCAACCCCGACGAGGCTGTCGCATACGGTGCCGCCGTGCAGGCTGCTATCCTCACCGGTGACACATCGGAGAAGACTCAGGATCTTCTGCTGCTCGATGTCGCGCCGCTTTCGCTGGGTATCGAAACTGCTGGTGGTGTTATGACCGCTCTCATCAAGCGTAACACGACTGTCCCCACCAAGAAGTCTGAGATCTTCTCGACGTACTCGGACAATCAGCCCGGCGTGCTCATCCAGGTCTACGAGGGTGAGCGTGCGCGCACCAAGGACAACAACTTGCTTGGCAAGTTCGAGCTTTCCGGCATTCCGCCAGCGCCCCGTGGTGTGCCTCAGATCGAGGTCACCTTCGATATCGACGCGAACGGTATCCTTAATGTCTCTGCCGCTGACAAGACGACTGGCAAGTCGAACCGCATCACAATCACAAACGACAAGGGCCGTTTGTCGAAGGAGGAGATTGAGCGCATGGTTTCCGAGGCCGAGAAGTACAAGGGTAAGTCTTATGGATCTAGATGCAGTTCGCAGTCAGAAACTGACATGACTATACAGCGGAGGATGAAGCAGCCGCTGCGCGTATCACATCAAAGAATGCTCTCGAATCGTACGCGTACAACCTCCGGAACTCGCTCTCGGACGAGAAACTTGCAGGCAAATTTGACCCTGCGGACAAGACCAAGCTCGAGACTGCAGTGAATGAGACGATCTCATGGTTGGATGCGTCGCAAGAAGCTTCGAAGGAGGAGTATGAGGACCGACAGAAGGAGCTGGAGGCGGTTGCCAACCCCATCATGCAGAAGCTCTATTCCGCGGGTGGTGGTGGTGCGCCAGGCGGCTTCCCTAGTGGTGGTGCGCCAGGCGGTTTCCCAGGCGGTGCGTCTGCAGGCGGGGAGGAGGGCCCGAGCGTCGAGGAAGTCGACTAGTGGGTTTGCGTATGATTGTTGATCGTTCATGATCGCGGTGGACTTGCACGCAAAAAAAAGTCTTGTACACTATCTGCATTGTAGACTGCTATTTTATTTGCCTTCGTTTATCTCTCATAATATTCCGTGATCAACTGTGTGAACCTTGTTAAGATGGGCAAGTGGTGAGCTGGACAGCGTATTTTGCGCGTCACCAGCGATCTTTGATCGGGTGTCGACTCCTTGCCACAGCGGACGCTCGGGGATTGTACAAGTTTTCACGGCCTCTCTTCTCGCTCCCTCCTTGGTTCTTGGACATTGAGGTCTTTAAAGTTCAACTTGCATACAAGCGATCTCGAGCGACATAACACCGGTAACTGGACGCCGATATGCCAAAGGCATTGCCGAGTCTGCCGCTATCAGCATTGTTCGGGGTCAGCAAGCCATCGGGGCCGACCTCAATGGCGATCCTCGAACGAATCAAACCTTTGATAGCTAGTTCCCGTTTGTTCGTTGAGGCTGGCCAGACCAAGGAGAAGGGAAAGACAAAGAAGGCGAGACATTCACGATATGCCTTCAAGATCGGTCAGGGAGGCACGCTGGATCCCCTCGCGGACGGAGTGCTGGGTAAGTCAGTTTGTCTTTTCTGCAGAGGGCTTCGTGTAACGAGAACAACACTCAGTTGTCGGTATTGGCAAAGGGACGAAAAGATTGGGTGAATTCCTCGATTGCGTGAAGGTTCGTCATCCCTTCCCAAGGTCATAACTGAGAATGCTAATTAGGCTTCAGGAGTACCGTACGACGTGTCTGCTTGGTTGCGAGACAGATACATACGATAGCGAGGGCGCGCAAGTGCGGGTGGCACCATGGCGACATATTACTCCAGAAAAAGTCGAAGAAGCGTTGAAGGATTTCACTGGAGAGATCATGCAGGCCCCTCCAATGTACGTTCTATGCTCAGGCGATCGTCGATTGATGACAATCAACTACGTGTAGATTTTCCGCTCTCAAGATGGACGGAAGGCCATTATATGAATATGCGCGCAACGGTATTCCATTGCCGCGACCCATCGAGAAGCGCAAAGTTACGGTGCACTCTCTCGAGCTAGTCGAGTGGAAGGGCAGTGATCATACGTTCCAATGGCCCGAGAAGAAATTCACAGAAGAGCAGAAGCACGCTGTCGAGGCGGCCCTGAAAGGAGCTGAACAAGACGTAAAAATCGAAGACGAGCCGGATAGTGAAACCGACATTTCCGCCGACCTCGCCCCCGCAGCGTTTGTGCTACGGATGAGGGTATCTGGAGGAACTTACGTTCGTTCCATCGTGCATGACCTCGGACATGCCTTGGGCTCAGCAGCGCATGTCGTTACGCTCACCCGGACACGACAAGGGCGCTTCGCGCTGGAACCGGCGGACGGCGGGGACCGGGCGTGCGTGCCATGGGAGGTTTTGGAGAAGGCGACAGATGATGCCGGAGAAAGAGACGGTGAAGGATGGACGCAGTGGGAACGGGAGGTCGTGGATAAAATGGAGATAGTAGAGGGCAAATGATGGTGCCTCGACGGTACGACAACACTTAATGTCGGCAAAATGCTCTTTACTCACCTGCTTATGATTTATCACCTCGTTGAAGGCAATGCCTGCCTGTCTACCAGCTTCGCATGCGCCTGAATGATTATACGAGACTTCTGCTCTCCGCAGTGGTGCGTGCTGTCGCATGGAACTGAATCTCCGCTGGGCATTCAGGCATGTCTACGCTTTGTAGTGACTGCGTGCACGATCAACGTTCTCACGCACTGCTGAGCAGGCAGCACGGCTACGTAGCGTAGCCGTAGCAATTGTTACTTCTTCGGAAGTTCCATTTCCGCGCATACATTTGGTCCGACAGAACCACCACCAGCTCTCACAGGTCTTGCATTGCGGCTCAGCAGCTTGCCAGTGGAGAGTAACTGGCGTAACCTTTCGCTTCGCTAGCCTGTTGCAGCTTATCCATCTCTTCAATCCGAGGAGGAGCTCATGCAATGCAACGCCTGATATTATTGAAAAGAGAGAATTTTCTAATACACACTACATAGGCCATGGAAGCGAAGGGGGGAAGATACGTATTTGCGGATCGAATGTCCGGAAAGAGGTTGCTTCGACGTTATACTTCTCCCACTCAAGTTCAACCCACACTGGTCGATTACCAGATTGGCAACAAAACGCTCAGATTGCGTTCAGTTTGAGATCCACCGTCTTGATGGCCACTTTGGTCAGAAGGTATGTCCCTGGCCGAACCGGTCCGGCGTTTCACCGAGTTGAAGAGCCTCAAAAAGGGTAGCGAGCTGATGTTACAGCTCACCACTTCTGCAACGAACATGGCAACCAATGCAACGAGCGCACCTGTCGTCTCTCGTCCGCTGAAGCCCGGAATTTATGCTCCGATACCTACGTTTTTCTTACCAGGTTCTGAGGATTTGGGTATGCCGTAACGTACATCATGAAGGTGACAGAGGACGCTCATCCCCTCGTATTTTTAAGATCTTGCTTCGCTTGAGTCACACACCGTCCGGCTCGCCAAGGCTGGCGTGAGCCCCCTTCTTGCGGGAAGCATGGGAGAGGGGCCGCACTTGACCCATGCAGAACGGATCTCACTGATCAAGACTGTTAGACGGGCCTTGGACAATGCGGGCTTCAAACAGATGCCAATCATAGCTGGCACCGGCACGGGCAGCACGCGCGAGACTATCGAATTATGTAGAGAGGCCGCACAAGCTGGCGCGGATTATGTCATTGTAATTGCCAGCGGATACTTCGCGGGAGTCCTCGCTGGAAACAAAGCAGCGCTGAAGGCCTTCTGGGCGGAAGTAGCGGAGGAGAGCCCGATTCCTGTGCTGATTTATAATTGTAAGTTGTTGCAGATGTCTCTGAATTCGTATGGCGTGAAGCTGAGCCATCGTTAGATCCTGACGCGACTGGAGGCATTGATCTGGACTCCGACCTCATCATCGAGTTGGCGCAAGAGTGTCCCAACTTGGTTGGCGTGAAGCTGACGTAAGTGGACGACGTCCTTGTCGTGATTTCGAGCCGTTAAAAATCCTGTAGATGCGGTAATGTCGGAAAGCTCACCAGAATCTGCGCGACTGTCTCGAATGCCTCGTTCTCATCCGTGTATCCTCGCAAGAAGGCAGATGCATCATTCCTTGTCTTCGGCGGCTACTCTGATTTCCTGGTGTCGTCGACGTTCGCTAATGGCCACGGAGCTATCACCGGGCTGGCAAATGTTGCACCTGTGAGCGATCTAGTCCTCTTTTTGGAAGGAAACCTGTTGAATTTCGAGGCATCACTAGGCCGCCGTTGCCAAGCTCTTTGAGCTAGCACAGACAACCCTGAACGACTGTTCCCGCCTTCCTGAAGCTCAAAGTCTCCAAGGCGTTGTTGCTCGAGCGGATTATACAATAGCCAAGGCGTCCATTGCAGGGACCAAGGCTTTGCTGGAGACGTTGTACGGGTATGGTGGACGTCCCCGGAAGCCCCTGCCACCCGTTGACTCTCAGTCCGCTGAGGCTCTGTGGGAGCATCCGGATGTCCGAACACTAGTGGCAGTTGAGCGTGGACTGCATGACCAATGAGCAGATCATACGGAGGTAATTCCTGTGAAGAGGTTGCGCAGAGGGTTAAGCAATTATCCTCGGAATCGTTGTAAACACCAGAGAGTCAATGAATAAGCTCTCACGGTGTGCGAACAGGCTGTATGCAACGTTGTGCTCGGCGCTGTATAGGGGAGTGATCTGCATGAGACTAAATGAGTTCCTCGGCAAAGTTGCAAGGGACTTGGTAGTCGGGACGATCTGGATGCGGGGTAGTGTGGCGCGACCGATCTGGTACCACCAAGGCCGAACCATTGATCACACGCGCACATTCGCGACCATCGTTCAGTATGATAGCATGTGGATTGCAAGAAACATCGCCGCGCAGAGGATACGCGCAAAGCAACAGAATTACTCACGGCGTGAGATAGTGCGTGCTTATATGAGAGTGTGAGGCTTCCTCTTACATAGACTTTGATGGGAATGTGTTCCTGCTTGATCATGCATTTGCCACGGGCATCGATATCAACTGTGGGCCAGGTGACCTCTTCGGCAATTCGTCGACCGTGCTCACGAAGACGGTCTCCTCTTACCACCGACTACCGGGACAAGAGCACCACCCTCCGCTGCCTGCGATGCGATGAGGATGAGCCCACACATGACTCTGTGTTGTTCGGCTGCTGCAAGGAGGCTAACCATCAGGGCTTCCTGGCGTCTACGACAAGGTGAGCATCTCCGGAGATTGAACGCGGATAACACCGACCGTCTTTAGTCGCATACCCTGCCCGACAATTTCATTTATCGGCGCTCGCGCGGGATGCAGCGAAAGCTAGTACTAGTGCGGAAGCAAAGAGCTCTGTAGAGCAAGGATCGACAGGTACAGTCTCCGACCCGATCTTGCATGTCAACCTGGTGCTCAATGTTGAGGTGACAGTTGAGGGAAGACCATATTCTGAACTCAGCGTTGGAGTGCCAGTAGAGACGTATCTCAACGAGCGTCGGGTCGCGGTAACTCCCCAGAATGTCGCGCTGTTGCTGAAGAAGGGCTTCTCTCGCGTTCTCATAGAGAAGAACGCAGGCGCACAGGCCGAATTCTTAGACAATCAATACCAGGCCGCGGGCGCTACAATGGCGGATCGGGAGCAGGTCTTCCAGTCGTCAGATATTCTCCTCAAAGTGAGACCTCCAGTATCCGAGAAGGAGGCAGAGGCGGTCAAAAAGGACGGCACGGTCATCTCATTCCTATACCCGAATCAGAACAAGGCTATCGTCGATGCTCTGGCTACGCGGAAAGTCAATGCTTTCGCTATGGAAATGATACCTCGTATATCCCGTGCTCAGGTATTTGACGCACTGAGGTACGTCCATCTTCGCTCGTTCAACATTGAGAATCGGCTGCTAATGCATTGACTGGATGTTCAGTTCGATGGCTAACATCGCAGGTTACAAGGCCGTGCTCGAGGCTGCAAACCACTTTGGACGATTTCTCACTGGTCAGGTCACTGCTGCTGGGTGAGCAAATTGCTTAGGCTACAACCGCGAAGTAGAGCTGAGACCGTGCTAATTGCGACGCAGAAAGGTAAATAAGATTTACATATTTCGCCCTGTTGTCTGACGAGGTCTGTCCAGATACCACCGGGTAAAGTACTGGTCATTGGTGCTGGTGTTGCAGGCTTGAGCGCTATTGCCACGGTAAGCTTTGCTTTAGATTCAGACTCCGGCACACTATAAACACGACAATGACCAGGCTAGGCGCATGGGTGCTATTGTGCGAGGTTTTGATACCAGAGCCGCTGCCAGAGAACAGGTTCAGTCGCTCGGAGCCGAGTTTCTAGAGGTTTCAATGGAGGAGTCCGGTGAAGGTGGCGGCGGCTATGCAAAGGAAATGTCGAAGGAATTCATCGAAGCTGAAATGACCCTCTTCATGGAACAATGCAAGGACGTTGACATTGTCATCACTACGGTGCGTCCTACGCGCTGCGTATATTGTTGACTGTACTGAGCTAGAGACAGGCCCTCATTCCAGGCAGACCAGCTCCAAAGCTCATCACCTCCGAGGTAGGTTGAGCGTGCTTTTGCAATAAAAAACCTGGATCTCATGTCTCACGATCAGATGGTCGCCGCAATGAAGCAAGGCTCGGTGATTGTTGACCTAGCAGCTGAGACAGGAGGCAACTGTGCTCTGACGAAACCCGGAGAGATACACGTTCAAAACGGCGTCACGATCATCGGTATGAGCACACAAGTAGATGGAGCGGCAGTGGGCACTGCTGAAAGCACATGTTATAGGATATACCGACTTGCCTTCTCGCCTGCCGACACAGTCGTCTACGCTCTACTCGAACAACATCGTCAAGTTCCTCCTGTCAATTGGTGGTAATGGTCAGTTCGCCATTGACCTCGAGGATGAGGTAGTCCGCGGGTCCATCGTCCTCCATAACGGCACCCGTATCCCACCGGCCCCTCGTCCCATCCCGCCAGTCGTCACTGCGCCATCAGCGAATAAAGCAGCAGAAGTGGCGGAAACCAAAGCAATCACGCCATGGCAGAAGGCTACTCGTGAGGTTGCCACGGTCACCACCGGAATGGGCACAGCCATTGCGCTCGGGAAACTTGCGGGACCCGCCTTCATGAGCAACTTTTTCACCTTCGGGCTGGCAGGTCTGATTGGATACCGAGTTGTTTGGGGTGTCGCACCCGCTCTTCACTCTCCCTTGATGTCTGTGACGAACGCCATCTCAGGTATGTGCGCATATATCGAGCAACGTATGTCATACTGAGTCGAATTTCATAGGAATGGTTGGTATTGGAGGCCTGTTTGTGATGGGAGGCGGGTACCTACCCGGAACGGTACCGCAAGTACTCGGTGCGATTTCCGTGCTCTTGGCTGGCGTGAACGTTGCTGGAGGATTCGTCATCACAAAGCGCATGCTAGATATGTTCAAACGTATGTGGTGCATGGCGTGAACATGCAGGGACATACATGTTAACTGAGCCATGGTTGGTGCAGGTGCTACTGATCCGCCTGAGTACACTTGGCTGTACGGCATTCCGGCAGTCGTGTTCGCAGGGGGATTCCTGGCTGCTGCGAGTACGGGTATGTCCGGTCTGGTACAAGCCGGATACTTGACTAGCAGCGTCCTGTGCATAAGTGCGTATACCTGTCCTCGATTCGCTAAAGTCTCAATGAGAACCTCTTCAACGCAGGTTCGCTATCCGGCCTGGCTTCCCAGGCCACTGCGCGTCAAGGCAACATCCTCGGTATGCTCGGTGTCAGTTCGGGTATCCTCGCCTCCCTCGCTGCGGTGGGCTTCTCCCCAGAGGTTCTTGTTCAGTTCGCTGGTGTGTCTGCAATCGGTGGGACGATCGGTACGGTCATCGGACGACGAATCACTGCCATTGAGCTGCCGCAGATGGTGGCGGCGCTGCACTCAGTAGTCGGCCTCGCTGCTGTACTCACTAGCATTGCCAGTGTGCTTGCTGATGTCGGTCATGCTTCGACTTTGCATCTCGTTACAGCGTACCTAGGTGTCCTTATCGGTACGAATAAAGTCAAACATACACTCGGCGGCTCACTGACCTGCTAATCCTAGGTGGAGTGACGTTTACCGGATCTATTGTCGCCTTCCTGAAGCTAGCAGGCCGCATGTCCTCGAGGCCGCTGACTCTTCCTGGACGGCATATCATCAATAGCTCTCTGCTTGGCGCGAATATCCTGTCGATGGGAGCATTCGTGTCTATGGCCCCATCAGTGCCTCTGGTGGCAGCCGGATTTCTAGGAGCAAACACGCTTCTGAGCTTCATTCAAGGCTTCACAACGACTGCTGCAATTGGAGGAGCGGATATGCGTACGTTTACCAGGAACTTCCATGTCATGACCTTGCTAATACATTGTATTGCATAGCGGTCGTGATCACGGTGCTCAATGCGTATTCAGGCTTTGCGCTCGTAGCTGAAGGTTCGTTGTGAGAAAGAACGCCCCTGCAATAGACTCATTTCTCGACCTCTCAGGATTTATGCTCGACAATTCCCTCCTAACGACCGTTGGCGCATTGATTGGTGTTAGCGGATCTATTCTGTCGTACATCATGGTAAGTTGCCGAGACGTTTTTACTGGCCGGTGCTGACTGATACATCTGTCATAGTGTGTGGCTATGAACAGAACGTTGACCAATGTCCTGTTTGGTGGCATCGGGTCATCGGCAGCACCGTCTGACTACAAGATTGAGGGTGCAATCACGAAAACGTCAGTGGATGAGACGGTCGACGCGCTGGCCAATGCGGAGAATGTAATACTGGTATGTAACTCTTCGTCATACTCTCATTTGACACGAGTGTTGCTGATGTTGTGGTTATGTCTGTTATAGGTGGTCGGATATGGAATGGCTGTTGCCAAGGCACAGTATGCGATCGCGGATATTGTCTCATTGCTGAGATCGAAGGGCATCAATGTGCGATTCGCTATCCATCCTGTGGCTGGACGGTAAGTTGGTAGGGATGGCAGGATCAAACTGGGCGGCACTGATGGTTCATTGCGCAGAATGCCTGGACAGTGCAATGTCCTGCTAGCGGAGGCTTCTGTGCCCTATGATAGTAAGCAGTCTCATCACAGGACGCCCCTTTTGGTATTCACCATAATTTCCAGTCGTCCTGGAGATGGACGAGATAAACGATGATTTCGGTGACACGGATGTCACCCTGGTCATTGGCGCAAACGACACTGTTAACCCCATTGCGCTGGAGCCGGGCTCTCCGATCGCTGGTATGCCTGTCCTGCACGCATGGAAGAGCAAGCAGGTGGTCGTGATGAAACGCGGAATGTCCAGCGGATACGGTCAGTGTGATACGCTGGCGTTGAGGCGGTGACTGGGCTGAGACTCTACACAGCTGATGTTCCCAATCCGATGTTCTACATGCCGGGCACCAAAATGTTGTTCGGTGATGCGAAAGACACTTGCGAAGGTGAGATGTTTCATCACTGGATGGGTTGGACATCAGATGATGACACTTGTTTTATCAGCCATCAAGAAGGGTCTCGATGCAAAATACTCCAGTTGATACACTCTCGTATAAATTACATCTACGCGGGCTTGCTTTCTTGTAATACACCACTGACTGTGATATCGATCCGCTCATATACTAACATGGGAACTGTTATGAACTTGGATTGTCCGAACTCTCATTGACTTTCCGCTCTGACAGTTGTTCAGTGTTGTAGTGATCCACACAAGCATATGTACAGTAGGATGTCAATGAGAAAATTATAAGCCCGGGACATGGAAGCCGAAGTCCACTGGGCTGAAATGAGATTGGGATCATAAGGCTAAAGTCCGGTATGGAGTAGGGTAGTAGTACTTGGTGTGTACGCGGGTGGGCAGGCAGACAGTATGCTCGTGCAGTCCAAAGCAACATCGAAGGTAATAACAATACAGTCCTGTACAGCGGTCCATCGTTCACGCAGCCAAATCCCGGATCGTCGGACAACTGGGGGTAGAAAGTGTCTAGGCTGACTGAGGCCCGGACTGGTAGTAAGGTAGACACGGGCACGGATGGGACGCGCTAAGTATAGGGTGTGACTTCGGCCGTGGGTGCGAATAGGGCATGGTTCACCGCCAAGAGAAGAAGGGCGAAGAATAGCATCATGAGGTATGGTGCGGAGCGAGACATTCCGATGACGCGGACGCCGAGGGAGCGACTGCGTGCCCCACGCTCTCAAGTCGGCCCAGCGCACTTGGCGGTCGTGAGGAGAAGGGATACGACAATGATGACGGAAGGGATTGCGTCTGGAATGCCGGAGAGATCGTATGTGAGGGTAACGCATACGGGTGCTCGGACGCGACGAATCCCATCGGCGCAGACTGCGAGTGCGCGAGCGATGTCCGGACCAAAGGGCGGAACGGCGAGAACACGGCAGCGAGCATATGTGCAAAGCGCGACCGTGCGGGGTCGTCCTCCTTCTTGCTGTTGAGCAGATTCTTCTCGATCAGCTGGCCCAACATCGGCGCATCTCGCTCGACAGGAGAGGTCGGGAACGACTTTTGCGTGGCGTGGAACGAGGCGAGCGATGAGAGCGAAGATGTTGATGCGCGCCGCGAGAGTGTTGCGCCGGAGAACTCGAGCGCAGAGGCGGAACGCGCGGGCTGTGATGGCCTGTGCCATCTCCACCAGGACTTGCCGCACTGTGAACCTGCTGCGTCAGGCTGATTGTACATCCATGTCGCGACGAGGACGATTGTCGATCCGAGTACAAACGTGAGGGACATGCGGAAATCGAACAGCGCGACCGATGCAAGGAACGAGATAACAATGCTCAAAGACGTCGCGAAGCCCTTGAGAATGTTGTCGGCGTACTTGATGACGAGGGCAGTGAGCAACCCGCCGAGCACTTGTACACCGACGGTCGCCCAAGCCCAAATGCCGAAGTGCGCAAACAACTGCAGGCTCACGGGTGCAGCGCCGGTCTGCGAGAACACTATCGGAAGCAGCGCAGGGAGGAGCGAGAAGAGCGAAAGCTGCACATTGCGGACCCAGAGATCCGCAGGCGAATTCTTCAACACCATTTCGAAATAGACCCCTGCAAGACCGGAAGTGAAACAGGCAGCGATGACGGCCATGAAGCCCTTGAACGGCTTCATCTCGTGAGACAGGATTTCGGACGCAGGCGACGCGCCACTCTGAATCTGCACGATACCCACACCGATTGCAAGACAGAGGAGTGCGAGCCATTTCGTCGGGCTGAGCTTACGACGCAGGAGAATTACCGAAAAGGCCGCAGTGGTGAGGATCTTCATTTGGTAGCTGACCTGGAATGTCGCAGCCTCCAGGTTTGATACGGCTACGAACTGGAGATTATTTTGTATAACGTATAGAATAGCGGGGATGGATAGTTTCCAACAGTCAGGTCGGAACACCTCCTTGCCGAGACGTCTGAAGCGGTAGAGGAGGGTGCGGGGGTTCCATGGCGACGTGCTCGGAAGAGACGAGCAATCCAAGCGGGTGAATGCAACGACGAGGGAGATGGAACCCTTGAGGAGCTCTGTGGTGAGCACGGCTGCAGCGGCAGAATAGGTTTCTGAGGGCGCAGCGGATACCCGCGAATAGTGCATTATGAGTGTTAATAAGGCATTTTGGACTGCCAGAGTCACTAATCTGCGAAGGAAATGAGATTTTGTCAGGACGCTCGCATACATAGGTGAGGGATGTCCCGAGAAGGCAAGAGAAACGCGGTCGCGTGCGAGGACGCGCAGTCCGTAGAAGGCAAGTGAACGTGCTTAGGATGCGAGTACTCACGAGACATATTTGAGCGGCATGCCGCAGACGACGGGTACGATATTCTGCGACTCGGGTGGAGGAAGTGCGAGCTCCTCGCACTCTAGAGCTTCGAGGTCCTTCATGTCGAGCTCATGCTGGAGGTCATCGTCGTCGTCGAAGTCCTGGTAGTGTGCCATGGTGATTAGAGGAATGTAGAGACGCGGCTATCGAGCAGGAGAGAAGGTGGGAGGAGGAAGGAAGGACCGACGAGGGGACGAGGAGAGGGGGGAGTTGGACTTGGCCAGCTCGCTGCGGAGGAGAGTCTATGTCCAGGAGAGGAAGCACAGCGGGACGGAGGCGGTTCGCGGCTTTTTCAGATTTGCCCATCCGACACCGTGGGAATTGTGATTGGACTCCCTCTGGCCCCGCCCGCCATATCATTCTCCCTCCGCTCTCTCCCTCCCAAGCATCTCTAGAGCGCCGCCTCGGTGGTCGCCCGACTGCCCTCTGCGCTCGCTGCATGCGGGAATGTAGCCGACGCTCTTGGCAACAGCGACGCTATGCGCATGCGCTTGCAACCGCCTGTGTTCGCTGTTGCTGCTGCACCGTATCCTAGCGTTATCATCTCTGCGCTCACCGAACTCACCCTCGTTGCTAAACCTGCTGCGCAGCGTCACCCGCCATAGTGCTGGCCGATCGGGTAGCTGCCAGAAGCAACTTGCACTTGATCTTCTCTCCATCTTCGTCGCTGTCGCCCGTTTCTCCGAGCCCGCAGCAAGCAGCCTGTACATATCCTCTCCGCTCAGAATGGAGTATCTAGTATCGCAATCATGTTCCACTTGCACCTGATATGACGTTGAGCGCTGAGATCTGAGCTAAATGTAGAACTGTATCGTTGCAAGTTCCCGAGTCCTCGACGCCGAATTCAGCAATCCGCAGCTCGTCCATACTCCGAAGTAATCCCGCCTAGTTCGCACTTGAGCTGACCACACGCAACCAGCCACAGCCCTCCGAGATACAACCCGCGAGGCAATCCGCTGCGTATGCACCACCGGCCCAACGGTGCGACGATACTAAGCGTATTCCAATGCTATTGAGAATCTCCGAAGCATCGATTTTGACGAAAGGAACAAACAAGATAGGCAGAGACAGAAAATAATGCCGAAATGCATGCAGATAAACTCATCGCGCACGTCTTCAAGCCGGCCAAAGCTTCTCAAAGCTCGCCCTCAATCTCGAGGATCACCGGGCAGTGGTCACTCGCACCATAAATTTCGCTGCGGATCTCGCACAGCCGCACCTTCTCAACCAGGCGTGCACTCACCACGACTGCACAATGCCAAGAATGCATGATTCAGCGCAGTACACGAACGTGATGAGAAGAACACGTACACATGTCGAGACGCCACCCGATGCCCTTCATTCGACAATTGAATCGATATGAGAAGTACGTGTAGTGGCGCGTGTCGGGGTGCAGCTCGCGCCAGATGTCGACGAACTTCTCCTCGCTCGTGCTGTCTTCACCTTCCTCGTCTGTCCCCTCCAATATCCGCGCGAATGCGCTCGTCTCCGCTTCGGTATAGCCTGCAGTCTTGTTCCAGTTCGGCTTTGGGTTCGACAGATCTGCGCGCGCGTTATCGCATGCAACACATGCAATGTTACACAGCAGGTACACGTCCCACGCGGTCATCGACACCGCGCATACGGCCACCCAAAGATTCCATTTGACCAATCAAAGCAGCAGCGAGCGCGTGGAAAGGCCGAGCGCAAGGATTGAAAGCCGCAGTAGCGGACGTGTGTTGAATTCAGAAGCGCGCGCGCATCGTTCACAGACCACCGACAAGGGAATAGGCAGCCAAGGAAGATCCGATGGGTTAGAAGATGGAAGAATGTGCGCGTCAGTCGGATGGGTCGGAGCACGCGGAAGATCCGCGCAGATGGCGCACGCACCCTTCTCTGTGGGCGCGACGTTCAGATCGCCGCCCCAAATGACCGGCTTCTTCGCATCAAGTGCACGGATGTACGCAGTAAAGTGCTTGTTCCACTCGTTCTTGGCGTCAAGTGTCTGTAGATAGACAGGCAGCGGCAGTCAGATTCCATGTTGAACCATGTGTTCCACCCCTATATCAAATCCTACGCGGACGTAGACATCTATGTGTGATTGACTCAGACAAGGAAGTCGCGATCCCATTTACGGACAATCGTCCGAGTATCCGGCAAGCGAATATAGATGGGGAACGAGAGGAAGCGCACGAATAGTGAAGCCCGATAGGGGCCGGAGCGAAAAAAGGGGGGAGCGAACAGAGAGGGAGCGAAGAAGATGGTTCAGGAGAAAGGGATAGCACGAATGGCTCACCTTGAGTCCTCGGCCCGCATTGACGACGTAGGTTCCGACCACGTAGCAGGTCTCAAATTCGAGCGTGAGGATGCGGCCTTTTACCGAGGTAGGGTCGGGGTGTCCGGGTAGCTCAGTCGAGACAGAGAGGGGCTTGGTCTTCGAGAGAATCGCGGTACCCGCTGCGTGTTCGCCATAGAACAGATCATGCTCCGCATGAGTACCAATATATCCTTCTTACTACTGAGTGGAGGGACGCACCGTAGCCCTTGGTCGATGAAATGGACCAGTAGCGGTGCGAGAACCGTTTTGAGAGCAGAGGGTTCACAGGCTCATTGCCCACCTCAATGATGTGCCAGAAGAAAGAGGCACAGATGTCGACCGTATTAGCACATGGAATCCGGCGTGTTAACGGTGAATACACGTCTACCTTCGTCTCGGTCAGAATGAGCAAGTCCGGATCTTCTGCCTCTAGGTAGTATCTGAAGCCCTGCAGGAAATTACGACATGTCAGCGCAGCTTTTGAGAGAAGTGCTTGTGTCGGAAGGCCGCAGCAAGAACTTTATACGAGTAACATCGCAGATAGTCACAGGCGACTCGAACGAAACAATCAGCGAGTACTATGCGCAAAGGAGGACCGGACCGCGATGAACTGAATAGCAAGGCAACGCGACACACCTTCTTTTCCGCAGCGGCGAGCCCGCTCACGTTCCATGAGGCGATGCGGATCGTGCCAGGTGCGCGCGGAGGGAATGAAATGTGTACCGGAAGAACCTTGTTCGTCGGCTGTTTGTTCGACGTTGTCTCTCCCTCCTTCTCCTCCTCCTCCTCCTCAGACACGTCTGCTTTCGCCTTCGACTTCGCCTTTGATCTCACTTGGGTTTTCTTTCCCTTCTTTGAGGTGGATTCCTCTTCGCTTTCCTCGTCCTCCTCGACCTTTGCTTTCTTCGACGCGCGCCGCTTCGACGCAGGCTTTTCGACCTTCTTCTTCTCGCTAGGGATGTCCTCCGGAAGAGACTCCTCCTCTGTCAAATCAGAGTATTCGTCGCGACTATCCTCTTCTTCCTTCGTCAACTTGCGCTTCCGTGACGGGCTGCTCGCACTGGCGCGTTTGGGAGACATTGTCGCGAACTGTCTGCCCTGTATGGGATGTACTGCGGGTAAAGGAGGGCGTACACGATGAGCGGAGGCAGAAATGGTCTGAGGGTGACCCAGAGCGAATGAGGATAGAACCAAGGTCGAGATCAATCTGAACGCCATTAAGTCACGCTCTGCGCGCCACAGACGCGTCGAGCGCTCGAGTGCTCAATCACTTGTGGTCACAGCAAAGAAAGTATGGATTCTCATTTAAATGCATTTGCATCAAACTGCCTGTGTTCACTTATAAATGATAGCATGAGGTAGAAGGGGGAAAGTCAAAGTTCTCCACAGATTTCGACATCTTTCTCAAAGGTAAAAATCTTTGACAATGGGTGATCTGAGGAATTGGGAATCCGCTCGGTCCATTTCAGAGACCAGCGCTCGATGGTACATAAAACATCTGAGCATTCGTAACGTATTAGTGCAGTACTAAAGACGTAAGGCCTGGCAGGATGACGAATCAATGACATAGCATACATAGCATGGTCGATCCATCACAGCGTACAGGACAGCTTTACAGATACATCGTAACATGAACGTGTGAACCGCCTTCAATATTCTCCAAACTGAACATGTCCAGTCTCTGATGCATGTGCTCGTGCTTCTTTCTCTCCTTTCAGACCTTTGTTGCATATCTAGCGTGACGTCAGTGATGTAAGTGTAGAGGAACATAACAAGCAGGTCGAGACGCACCTGACACCTCAAGTCAAACGTTGCTGTGTTTGTATATGCCTTTTTCGCGCGCAGAATATCCGCCAGCTTCTTCGCTGCCGCGAGCACCGGGTCGCTATCGCCTTCCACAGTCACCGGCATGATTGTCTGATGAAACTCAACTGGGGCGTCCTCCATCGGCGACAAACTTGCGGCATCGTAGTGGATACCAGAGTAGATCAAAACGCAGCGGTTGCCAGAGTTGCGTTCCGGAGGAGGCGTGAAGTGATCGATGCGTCCAGTCTCGACGTCGATCGACGCAATCTCTGTGGAATAGTGTGTAGCTAGGATGGTCAGTTCAATGGCTCCACCCCACGAAGTTGGCTTGAGGATCGTCGAAATGTAATCTTCCCGTGGGCGGCTAGTTCGAGCCGGCGATTAATATAGATTAATGATGCGGCAGGGCAGACATACCCGAGGATGGCGTCGTTCCAAGTCACAGGATCACTTCGGATCGCGTCCGCTACAACTGCCCGCCACGGAAGACAATGCTTCAGCCTTCTTTTTGTCCGTGCACACAGACGACGACGGTACACACTCTGTCTCATCTTGGGGGCCTTGCTGATATCCTGCTCAAACACGAGCGCTACAGAGGAAAATAGACAAGAATTGTCGTCTGGGACGATCTGCCTTGCATGCATATGGTCAATGCATTTGCACGAGAAAGTGTACGCGTCGCACTCGCCCGGTGTACAAGGTACCCGCCCTCCATAGGAACCACATCTGGTCCAGTCGAGCGACCCTTGCTAGCGGGTGGCTCGGGACTCCGCGCTTGCGAAGCGGTCATGCCAGTCATTGCAGCTGCTTGACTACCCAACGAACTGACTGCCGCAGAGGTTGACTGGAACGTAGCCGGAGCAGAAGGAGCGGATGCTTTCTGTATCAATGTCAACTGATCCCCGGCCTTGAGACCCAGGCTTGACAGAGGTAGCTCTGGTATAAGTGTGAGGGGGTGTGGAGGGTAGCCGGCCTTTACTAGGATAGCGATTGAGTTAGCCATTGTTTACTTTAGCTCTTTGGGTCCATCATGCTCCCACTGATGCCAGAGTAAAATTCGAAAACTTACAATCTTGCTGGGATGGGGGGATTTCAGTAACGGAGAAGATCTGTTGCTGCAATTCAAGAACGGTCGAGTTCTCGAGGTCTAGCTGGAGAGTCGAAACGCCTTTCGGATGGCGCAGACGGATAGGAGCCATGGTGATACAGCGTGCTGGCAACAGATGGGGAGATGGCAGCAGCACAGACGAGAGCGTTGCGAGTCCGGGAGATCTTATAATAAGAGGGAGGAGGCAGGGCGAAGCTGTCCTATCCTGTCTCGCGTGTCATAATCGTCCACGTGGCTTGTAGAACGCGGTCATGCACTGCGCGAACACACCGCACGGACGCGCTTGTCGTGGCCGTAACTCATCAAACAAGTACTAGGATACCCAAACTATACAGCAGAGCCATGTACAGGTTGTAGCAGACAGTGCATGGGTGGGCATGCACCGCCCCGCTCATTCTGTATGGATCGAGATGCTGAGTACTCTCAGTTTGGCTGCCACGGAGTGTTCGGGAACCAATTTTGCCCACGAGGATGCATCGTTCTCTGAGAGCTCATAGACTACGTCTCTGAAACTGGGTGAGGGATATATCTGTTAATTATATTTGCATCCAGCCTATTTCACTGTCCTGAGGCCACCAGACTGTCCCGCAAAGACAAAGCATTGCACACCGACTCTCTGGAGCACATTGCGGAATGCCACCTGTAGAATAGGTTATCGACGAAGAACAGTGATCGCGACACTCGCAACTCACCTGTGTACCGCAGGGAAATCCTTCTCGAAGTCAAATTCGTTGTAATCCACCGCTAGGCTTGTGACTGCAACATGGTTCCATCTTAATGATTCACATTACATCGATCAATGGCAATCAGTGCGACATCTAGCGATCTTAATCATGACCTAGCAACCTACATGACAAAGGACAGATCTGCGATGGTACACTTGCCACCGACGAGCCATTCCTGCTTAGAGAGTACGCTTTCCAGGACTCCCAAGACACGAATGATCTCCTTCTGGTAACGCTCTATGGCGCTGGGAATTTTCTTCGGGTGGAACAGTCTAAACCATCCGGCCTGGCCGAAATATGGTCTAGACGAACAGCTGTCAGCAACTATCGAGCAGCTCTAGCGCTACCAGCGAAACAGACCCTTGACCGGACGACTGGAAAAACAGCCACTGCAACTGGGCCATCTTCTCGTTGAAATCTGGGACAGAGATCTTGTGATTTTCGTCATACTTCTCCACGAGATACACTATGATTGCATTAGATTCCCTGGGAGAAGCTGACGTTGGTTTCGGGGAGCTAATTGTGAGTTTCGCGGCCAACGTACCAGATGGTAAAGTCATTGTTCCAGTGGTCGATCAAAGTGGGTATACGTCCGTTCGGGTTGTACTTTGTGTGCTCCAGAGATTTATGTTCAAGCTTGTCGAATTTAAGATATTTGCTTTCATAGCTCAATCCAAGCTCCTCCAAAACAAAGACGACTTTCCTATAGAACGACTGAAGTCAGCACTCACCACCGTGGAAAGAGCGACAAAGGCAATCTCACCACCCGTTCGGTCCCAAACCATGCGAATATAGCGTGAACTGCTTTCCGTGGGACATAGCGCGCACGAATAACAGGGTGAAGGAGGTTAGAGAATACAGCTCATCTTGGGTCCATTTATAAGCAGGATCCTGCTCGCTTATGGGTTCTTCGTGGTTTTTAGGGCCCGGGACAGTCGAAGGTGCGAGAAAACCAATTATCGGCATGCCGTTGGACAACACAACCGCACCGTAACCGATGGCTCATCGTAATAACAACTGATTAGCAAGCAGGACATGCGGAGATCCCGAATGACCGAATATGAGCGGCGTAGAGCCATTGTAATGCAATGCAGCCGAGGGTGTTCTCACCGTTTGAGTCACTCGCCTAATTAGTACGAGCAGGAGCAGGACGAGGGTGAATGAGCGTGCTGAGTATTGTTGGTGTAGGCTTTCGTTGGAGAAACTGTCCGTAATGGCATCGCAATGCGAGGGCAAATTCAACACAAAGTTTGTGCCGGTCTCAGTTCAACATCGCCAACTGTATTGTGAACCTTGAAATGAGGTCAAACTAGAGCTATGTCCGGGAAATCGGGATATGAGTAACGGACTGATTGCTGCCGGGATCAAGCAAGCGCATGACGACTCAACAGCTACGCTCTTGTGATCAATGTAGTGAGGTCATGAACGTCGATTACCAGAGACGTTTTGATGCTGCATATTGGAGCCTGATACTGGATTAACCATACGAACATATTCACGAATTTTTGGCCTACATCATTTCGTCCCGGTCGTGTCTATGAAGGTTTATGTACTTCCTCAAGCGAGAAGTAACACCTGCTTGAGGGCAGCAGCAGCCGACGAGTGGACAGACCATACGACATTCGTACCCACGACGAACTATCGGTAATAAACATCACAAAATATTCGTATCGATTCAAGCGTCTTCTTCTTCGTCCTCGTCGACGTCGTCCACGATTTCATCATCCTCTAGAAGCGCTCCATCCTCCTCATCGGTAGTCTCTTCCTTGCCGTCATCCATCACGACAGCAAACCTGATTCCTGGGCCCAACCCGAACAGGCGCAGATAGATGAGCAGTCCTGCAGTAGCCAGGCTTACAAAGCCCCACCGAACCAGCGTGTACCGCCGGGCTTCATTCGACGACGTAGATTTTTGTTGCCTCCAGGAAATGATAAAGGGCCGCGGGAACAGAGAGCTAAAGGATGTCCTAATGTCTGTTTCCACAATTGAAAAAGAACCGGGATCCGGGAAGGCGAATGATCCAACGGCAGTAGCATGTGCAACAAGGCTGGGGAACGATTCCGAGAGAAGCGACTTGATCAGCGTATCGGTAAAGGGGAGACCTATTAGAATGTGCGTGTGCGCGGCGAATAAGACATCAAGAGAACTTGGCCTGTTCCGCCCGAGGTGAGATGGAGTGTTGCAATTTTTGGACGTGATGAAAGGCTCACCTTGCGCTATTCGGATGAAAGAACCGTTCGTCTCCCAAAAGCCGTGCATACAAGGAGAAGAATGCACGAGCCTTCTCCAGCACCTGGTTTCTGTATGGGCGATAGAGCTTCTGTATTTGCTAGCAATGTCGTACCTTTTCACGCTCAAACACCTTTTTGAACTTCTGATCACGAGTCTCCTTTTTCTTTCGTCTTCTCTCGCGGAATACTGAGAATCTCTCATCGTCTTCCTGCTCGATCCCTGGAACATTCCACAGCCCCGCGAATTCGAGTCGAGGTCGGTATGATTCCCGGATGCGTCCGGGGACGAAGTAGCGCTGCGGAGCTGGCAACATAGAAACCAAGGCGGGCCTTGTAACGTTCCACCAGTTGGCGTGCAAGGAGTACATCATATGTGCCTATGGTGAGCGGACGTAAAAATTACACCCATCATTGGACATTTTGAAGGACACTCACCAGCAAGTCCCCATATTCAGACTGGACGTGGGCCTTGTAAGCAGTGGATTGAGCTTTCTCGACAGGACCGAGCGAATGATCCAGATTAAGCGCATCAGCTAGGTTCTCGACGTACTTCACGATGGACTGCAATCCCGAGACGTTATGCAAACCATGCGTTAGGAACGGTAGCTGACCTATATAAAGAGCAGGTGCATGTTCATTAACAAACGGAGCAAGAAATACTCGTCAGGCATTGCCTGTGATTCCGCGAGAAGTAAATCAAGACAGACCTACCACTCGGCGACAAGTCAGGGTTCGCGCTATAGGCTACGAAAAACCGCCCCGGAACGGCGAGCTGGAGGTGGCATAGCGCCGCTACGCTGGCGGGATCAATTGATAGCACAGAAGCAGTTGCTGGCCATATGTGCAGCACGAGAGGTGTTGCTGAGAACCCGTTCGACGTCGACATGGCCCTGGACAGGCGTCACACGTCACGCGTCTTCATAAACGTGATGCACCGTGACGCAGTTCGATCGAGGGCTCTATCAGCCACCAGCACGTCCGTCGATCTCCCTCACAGACAAGCATGGAAGACGACCTCATCGTTGTTGATGACATCGACGAACAAGTCCCGGGTCCCTCGACTCCCAACGACCCCAACCATGCGCACCATGCGGATCCGGCAGACCAGGCAGAAGAAGCGGACCAGGACTACAAGCCACCTCGAAGTGTAGCTGCCCGCGCAACCCGGACCTCTTCCCGTATCCACACTCCTGTGTATGTAACCAGCATGGAACATAATGAAGCGCGAACAACACGCTCAGCAACTCTGAGGAATAGGCCACAACCCAAGCTGAAACTCAAGTTGAGCGAGAAGGCTGCTGCTCAGGCTCCTGGAATGTCTTTCTTGGGCCCATATGATCGAGAACTGGATTCAGATGATGAGGATCTAGTCTTTGAAGAGCAATTTATACTCAGGATGCAACCAGGAGAAGACTGTGAGAGGTTGAGGAAAATGGTTGCGGCGAGAGAGGTGAGCGATGATGTATGGTTCAAGTTCAAAGGCGAGCTCTTACCAATTACATCGCAAATCCTTCCTGATCGCCTCCCACCTATAGATTCCCGAAGAGCCGTATTCCACATTGGCAACAACACGTACTCTTCCAAGCTAGTCGACCTTCCCTGTATAATAGAATCGCAGAAAACACTTGACAGCAAGCAGATGTTCAAAGTCGCGGACATATGTCAGGTTACGTAGTTTGTCGCTATGGCCGGCATGCAGTGCTAACGTATAAGTATAGATGCTTGTTCTCGGGGATCGTGTAAACGACGAAGAAGCTCTGACAAATCAGAAGAACTTCAATGTGGACGAGTTCATTTGGCCTCATGGTATAACACCTCCACTGCATTATGTCCGAAAACGTAGATTCAGGAAGAGAATCAACAGACGCGTATGCACATCTGTCGTTTGTCGCCTCGACGCTCGTGTTAAAACATTTGTTATAGACTATTGAGACGGTCGAGCAGGAAGTAGAGAGATTACTGGAAGAAGATGCATTAGCTTCTCAAGTGCAATATGGTGCTTATCTCCGGTTGTCGTCGCTGTTGTGCGGGCGCCTGACGCTTGTTTCTCAGATGTTCTAGAGAACGTCAATCCGGATCTGTCAGACTCAGAGTACATCGAGAAAGAACCCATGGACATGGGCACCCCTGGATTCATTGGATCCGATGCCGGTGAGGCGCCCACTCCTGGTCCTGACCATGGTGAGGGCGAAGAAGAGGAAGAGGGACACGAAGAAGGAGAGGGTGAAATAGACGAGGAGCTTGCGGCCGAGTTGGATTTGGCTCTAGGAGATGAAGAGTATGAAGGAGACGAGGAGGAGGAGGAAGAGGAGGAAGAAGAAAGCGAAGAAGAGGACGACGACGATGACGACGAGATTGTACAAGCCAGAAAGTTGCTGAACGAGGAGATCAGGGATCTGGAAGCCGCCGTCGCCAAGAAGGGTAACGAGATTGCCAGCTCAGGCAATCCGCTTATCAAGGTTCGTGCTTGCTTATCCTCTTTTCCGTACGATGACTTACTCTGTTTTACAGCGACGATTCGAGGACGCCTTGAAAAAGTTGCAGGCGGACCTTGACATGAAGCTTGCGCAGAGAGACGAAATGAAGGAAAAACAGCGCATGAAGAAGGAAGGTATCGTAACAGAGGATGGTGACGTCGAGGGAGGTAATGAAGAGGCAGAAAGTGATGATGAAGAGGGCGATGATGAAGAGGATCTTTTTGGGGACAGCGCCGGTGGAGGCATGGACATCGACTGAGCTACGCGCACGCTGTGTTTCCGCTTTCATCCATTCGTTACGGGATTAAGATTACAGAAGTATTGCATCATGATGCGTCTTGCGGCAAAAGGCACACGATTGCGGCCTGTAGCATCAAAGGCACATATACAACGCATACGAAAGGCGCGAACCATACGCGCAATAATTCCCAATCTATAATCGCCCTCCGCACTTCGTCGTGCATCACGAGAAGCCAACCCAGAGCAAGCAGAACATGAAATGCATACTTCAGAATCCGGATTCGCCAATCTGGCGAGGATGATGAGTAACAGAGCGGCAGACCCAGCGTGGCAGCCAGCGTAGCGGCAAGCGAGAAGTTGAGTACTGAGATGACGGATGTGACGGTAGAGGCGAGACATAAATTGAGTGACTTGAGTAAGCAAATCAGGGGTGCCACCTCGCTCGACGGGGGCTTGGTGAACAGAAGGCAGGTAGATGAGAGACCGAAGATGACGCATAACAGGAGCACTGAGTATACCTGAATGCCAGGTAAGTTCGAGTTTACATCTATCCTTGAGGACACCTACATTCTGATTGATGAGAAACCACCTGCTGTTGATGCAGCAAAACAATGCGACACCCAAGGCATGCGTGGCAATCATGACAGTCAGTGCACGCAAGACCGGTCTTCGTCTTGATGACCGGTGTCCCCGCTTTGGCGGCACTTCGACGGTTCCCTTCTCTTCGACCACACCGAAGAATTCTTCTGTCAATATTGAACCTGCGTTGACCCATTCCCGCAGTCCAGCGAAGAGCATTGCAGCGCTGATAAGAACGGCACTAGGCAGGTAAAGGCCAACCTTGAGAAACATTGTCGTTCCTACAAGTAAGTAGAAGAAAAACGAGGCGTGAAGGCGCTCAAGCAGATTGTTCATGGTGCGAAGAGTGGATTCAATGATCCTGCGATTCGATGTGAGCTTCATGAGAATTGTACAATGAATTACGAATGCACAAACCGTCCTAATGAATGGAATCCATGAGGTCCCGGTGCCGGCACTGCGAACAGCGTAATTGCGTCGATGCGATATCTACATACATGTTAGCATGACTCAACGAAACGAGGGATTAAGCGCACTGATGCATTAATCCATGTACTCCGCTTGCCCTCCCACGAGCCTGATATCCCATATGTCGCAAAATATTCCGCATGCGATAGCAATATTCATTCAGGGCAGGGCTCTGCTTGAGGAAAGAAGAGAACCAGTCCGGAAGGAAGCTACATCCGTCCTTACGAGCATTGTCTTCACGGGTATCTAGATGATCGTAGAGGACAACCGGAACCCCTCCCGAGTATCTTGAGATCAATTGAAAGGAATTGAATAGATCCTGGTTTGGAAGGCGACCGTTCAGCCCTTCTATGCACAGGTTCAATTGCCTCACGCCGGATAGAAAAACAGCAGGCCCGTACCGAAGAACACGCCAAGATGCGAGAACGAATGGCCAGGATAATCGATGTTCAGAGCAGTCCAAATAACACCGGAGGACAGATCGAGTGGCTCTGCCTGAAGGTCTACCCAACTGTAAGCAACCATCCCCGTGTCGGGCAAACGAAGTACCCACTTTCTTGGGAGGTACCATGATATGCGGTGACCCATGCACGCATTCCATCTAGATACCCATCGCTGATGACGAAAATCAGGTCCTTCGCCCATAACGAATACCCTGCGAGACATGAGGACACTACCTCGACAGAGATGCGCGAACCGACCTTTGAGAAAAGCGGCCAATGACAGGACAGTAGACACGCCTCGTAAGTTGAGCGTTCCATCCCCTTCACCTGTCCTGCTGAGCCAGGAAGCACTTATGAGCATGGCCTCGCTACCTGAGGCGCGCGGAGAATGGAAGATGCCGTATGCATTCGAGCCCTCCTTGAGCTGAAATGTAGACGTTCGGCTGTGTACGTGGCTAATCGTCATGAGAATATCGATGACTGACCCCTGCAAGTGTGTGGAATGTGTAGTGCTGTGTTGAGGCGGGTATACCTTGCTTCTCGAATTCGGTCTTCACGAATTCGGCGATCCTACACCATCAATGACTCAGCGATGACAACCGGCAGGGACATAGTGTGCGACCCTACTCCTCGCTCGTGGCGTTCAGGTCTCGCAAACGTTCAAGCTCAGCCAAATATTCGTCGGCTCGTTGGACATCCGCCCAGTTCCAATTCATGTTTACCTGCAGATGAAACTTAACAGGGGAGCCGCAAGACGAGGAATACATCCATACCTGTCCTGGTTGTAACGCGTTCTCATCGATGTATGTCCTCTGACCTAACATGGGCGAAGCAATGGCCAACAACCATGCATAGCCTACGATCAGTAACACCAATCTGAATATGGATCAGCTGGTGTAAGACATGTTCAGATGTCACGACGTGAGTACGGACATTACGGTAGGCAGACTGCTCCATAGGTACCCGACTAGTTTCCTACGCCTACGCAATCTACTCGCATGACGGTCCCCTTGTGGCTGGAAGTAGTTGCGAAGTTTGGTGGTAACCTTACGCACAGCGACAGTAAGCAACATGAACGGTCGTTAGAGGGGCGATGATTGTGGACAAGTTGACCCCAAGCGAAAGTCCAAGGCAGGTAAGAGAATCGTACAGTCGCAGTCAGTACAGCGCGCAGGACGAACGCGCGGTGACGAACGCGTTCTATTCACGTGAATGCCACGAAGTGCGACAACCATCCGCTCCGATAATGTCGGTAACGACTTCCATCCACCGACTCTTTTTTTAAGACATTGAGAAACAGCAAGACAGATGGAAGACCCAAGTACTACAAAACATATTGTAGTCGTTACGAAAGCAGCAAATAGTCATCTATTCAATATCTCCGACGCCCAGCTGGAGACCTCGACCGGTCCCTTCTTCGCTCACTGCAGTGCAAGAGATGAATATTGAATGTCAACGGCTGACAGTGATACGGGTTTTACTCACTCGTAGCGAGAGGGATGTCTCTCATAACCACGGTCCCGATCGCGATAGTCATCTCGGCGGAAGTCACGATCACTACCACGAGGTGGCACACCACTTGATGCTGGAGGGACGCCACCGCTCGCAGCGCCCGAAGGTGACCCCCCAGGCAAGGAAGACGGTGGAGCCATCTTGCGCTTTTCGCGCTCTTCCTTGAACTTCACTAACATATTACGAAGCTCGTGATAACCAAGATGCATCTAGCAACAAGGATTAGCAGAACAAAGAGTACTGGCTGAGTCCTGAGATTACCTTTCCACCGAAATGATCGGCAAGACGACGATCGGAGTCGAGAACGGACAAATATGCACCGCAGACATCGCAGACACGCAGCTTCTGGTGGCCTGATGCTCCAGACGTATCCGTCAATTGTTGCAATTCACGCTATTTGTGACGCTGTCAGGATGCATATAATGATATGGAAATGGCCAAATCAACACACCTCCTTGTCCGCCTTTTCACTTTTGAGGGCTTCAATCGCAGCCATTTCCCTCATAGACTCCTCAACTTTACCTTGTTCACCTGCAACAAACGTGAACTATCATGAATGACTGAATGGATACCGCACGTACCTAGTGTCTCGATCTTCTCCGTTCCGCCTTGAATGGCCAACTCAATCTCGGCAATTTCTCTCATCTGACTTGTGTTAATATCACGAGCACATACAGAGCTACCAGATCTACCCACTAGGTTGGTGGTCTTTGCATTCTCCTCAGGCGTTTTCTCCAACCTTCTGTGTGCCGCTCGGATTCTTCTATCACATTCATCGACGAAGGCGAAGATGTTCGACTCGTATTCCATCTGGAAGCGGGCAAATATAGGATCATTTGGATTGGCTTCTCTGGCTTGCAAAAATTCTGTCTTCAATCTCTCCGTATGCGATTTGGGGCAAGCACCGAGATCCATTTTCTGTTGTCAACAGGTTAGGGTGAACAGGTAGTATACGACGAGAATCATAGCTCACGGTATTGGTAAACAGGGTATGAGGGCAAGTGCCACAAAGGAAATTCCTGCAGACTTTCTCGTCTGACCATGTCAGATTGGCATTGGCGACCCCCATCGCCTCAGGACCCATCATTTGCTACGCCGAGAATCTCGTTAGCTGCTGATTCCCCTCAAACGAACCCATCCTCACCTCTAGAAGCTTCCTCTGCATTTCTGCCAAGCGACCCATGGTGTCTGATATTGTTTTGAGGGAGCACAAAGAACGTTGCAAGTGGTTGCTTGTGAAGGTTGAGTCTACTCTACTTCGTGTGTAAGCGCGCGCCACACCAGCAGCGCCTTACGTAATACCAGCGGACTGCTTCTTCCCAAGCAGTCCCTCCTGGACGTTTGCCTGGGGCCAGCTGGGGTCAAAGTGCTGACAACCAGAACAACAATGGTAACTTTGAAGCACCATCAGACCGCACGAACATACATGATGTACAAACGCTACAAGATTTACGAAAATCTACCATACAGTGCTCGACAAGAAATACGACATCGTGAGAAGACAAAGCAGGACACAGTGCATGATTGGAAACGATGAGGGCGAATTCGACAGCTGGCGAAGTGATCAACGGGGCACGATATATACAGGTGGTCCGAATGTCGGATAGTGATGACAAGGAAAGGATTTGAATCACGATTCATGGAGTTGCGCGCCCTCTTCCACGGACCACGACCACGACCCCTGCCTCTGCCTCGTCCATGTCCGCGTTCTTCAGCCTGAGATATTGTTCGCCAGAAGTATATGAAAGGAATTCTGGCTTTCCGGCGAGAGCTGTGTGAGTCGCTCAGCATGCGCAGCAGAGTCTTTGGAGGGAGGTTGCCGGAACTGCTTGAAGATCCGATTGGGACTATGCAGGACACGCTGCGATATTGGGGAAGGAGCGGGAGCTGAGAATCCCCCGTAGCTCATGAGAATATCCAGGATCTCATCATACTTGTCATCCCCGTTTCGGGTGCCTGTCCCGCAGAGTGCCTCTTTGCCTTCCGTAGAGATAACATATGCCCGTTCCTCATTTATATCTTCCTCGCTTGCGAAGCCTTTGTCCAGTATCATCCGTATGGCTTCTGGCTTGTGAGATTCTAGCGCGAGACTTAACAAAGACCGAGTTGCAGAACCACTATAGATATGTTTGTAGTCAGGATCTTCCGGACGGTACGTTGTATAGAAGTGCTTCAGGACTGAGGTATCACCGCGTTGCAGGGCAACTTGGAAGGCGGTCATTCCGCTCTCATCGCACTCTTCAGGGTCAGCATCTACGGAACAGTTAGCCAAATCAAACTCGAGAGTAAGATTAGCACGGACTGTGACAGTCCAGCCATTGCACCAGCTTTGCGTCCCCATTTTTTGCCGCAATGTGCATGAGAGTTTCCTGCCTATCTTCGGGAATCCTTCTAGCATACGCTTCTGATCCTGCTATAATCTCTCCGCCCGTTGCGTCCACGTTATCTTCGTAAATGCCCTTCCTAACTTTGTCCCCGTCACCCCGTCGAGCTGCGGAAAATACTTCGGAACGTAGTGTTTGCAGACGTTCTTGCTCCGCACGAGCTTTCTTTGCCGCAGACTTCTGAAAGGCCGCCGCTTGAGCTTTTCTATGCGTGGTCTTGAGCCTCTGTCGCTCTTCAGCCGCTTTTTTCTCTGAATGACAGATTATCCAGCTGTCGCATGCTATACGGCATGATCATGTAAACTACCTACCTTGTTCGCGTTCTTTCTCCAGCTTTGCTTTGCGCAGAACGTCCTCCCTTGCACGGCGTTCCTTCATCGCCTCCCGTTCTTTGCGTTCTTTCTCCAGCTCTGCTTTGCGCAGAACGTCCTCATTTGCACGGCGTTCCTTCATCGCCTCCTGTTCTTCGCGTACACGCCTCATCCGAGCCTGTAATTGCTCAGTGGTCTCCGAATTGCGTGGATTGTACCGCTGATAGCCTTCGAAGGGGTCTGATCAAAAGCACTTTCGAACATATCCATCACTCACGCATGTTTGCGGACCAACGTCCTTTCCCTCTCATCAACTGCTCGTACAGAAACCTATCACATACTTCTAGCCTGAGCAGCGATGCGCACGGATGGCTCTTGACTCACATGTAGAAGGCGAGGTCTTCGTCGTCATCATCGTACACATCGCGGTATTCGTCATCATACTGATCGTCGTTGTAATGACCATATGAGGAATACGAGTGGGTGTACGCATGTCTATGGGGTGAAGAGGACGATTGGTCATGGTGCTTTATCAAGACATTATATGCCTCGCTGAGCCTTTGGAACTGTGCAGTAGCATCCTCATTGTCGGGATTCTTGTCTGGATGTGTCTTTAGAGCCAGCTGATGGTGTGTCAATGGACAGTGCTGGTCTCAACGCGGCCACACACGCGCACTTACCTGCTTGTAGGCGTTTTTCACGATATCAAGCGAAGAGCCCTGTCTCATATTGATCTCGCCATTAAGGAGCCAATTTTGCTGGAATGGCACTGACCTGTTCCAGTCCAAGGACGGAATAAGCCTCTAGGACAGTAGAGTATCTGTGTGCCATCGGGTCGAGTAACTAAGAGTAGGGCGAAAAGACGCGTAGTGGCACCTCGGAGGCGTCGCGTCGAGAGCAAGTGGCTCGGGGCAGCCAATCGAGAAGATAGCTTTATAAACGCGTCTATATATAGAGCTCACAGAGCGCTCTTGTTTACAGGAGACGGTACATATAGGAATCATTAATCATTCCCCAAAGACAAGAAAGCATAACGTGCACGACGCGAAATTGTACAATTAATATTGGAGGGCCAATAAAATCACATAGTACATTGTCCATACCGTTCCACGGAAAATGACGATCGGAGTGCAGTGAACGGCTGGTCATAAACTCAGCAGAATCGATCACTATATGCGAACGTGTATTAGCTTGGGTTGCCGAAGGATAGCGATACGACTAGTGCACCTTTTGAGCTTTGATCGCCGATCCAGCAAGGCCTCCGCAAGTCTACCTTCCTTTCGCGCACGCTTGAGCTGAGGCTAGGTTAGCATACACACTTAGCAGCTGTATTATGAACGCACCTCTTTCTTGTCCTCAGCAGACACGATCGATCTGCCGGCTCCCCAGGCCTGATACACCTTACTATAAAAGTCGGCCAGTCAGCGCGATTCAGATGTCCTGATTGAGGGTGATCTCACTTTGCACTGGCTTCGTCGAACTTCGTCTCGTCCGTCATTCCCTCTTTCTTCTTCTTCTCCTCTTCATAGGCTTCGCGCTTATATTTGCTTTGAATCTTCACCCAGAAACGCTCTGGGAAACCGACCTCTTCGCAATCGCCACGAAGTGCCAAGTTTCCACCAGCGACCTCGTCTATGCCTAGATATTTCTCGTAAACGTTCTGGAAAGCAACCATTCCGTCTGGGAAGACGACAGGCGTCCATTCTTCCTGCGGTCCGCGAGCCTCTCTGTCTGCTGAGACCAAGCCGTGCTTGTCGCAGGACAGAAACTTCCCTTCACCTGTCCCCGTACGCAGGTTGATCGTCGGCGAGCCTGCTACGCGGGTCGTCACCCAGACCTGCGAAACTTCTGTTGGTGTACGATCCAGTATATTGACCGACTCCTGCACGTTGTCGGCCTTGTCTTTGTCCAACGCATGCAAGATGATACGACCACGGGTAGAATCATACGTGATGCAGATTGGAGACGGATCTGAGGGATGCATGATGAAGGTAGGCCCGCGAATCTCACTGCCGCTCTCAGGAAGTACCCATGTCTCAGGGCTTTCTTCCTCCTCCTTTCGGCGACGACGGCTGCTGCTTTCCTCACCGTCCTCTCTCTTGCGCTTCTTCTTGCTCTTCTCGCCTTTGAACTTCAACTTTGTCGACCGCACTTTATCTTCTGCAGACATAACGTCTTTTCGGGTCAGAAGTAGATTCTCAAGATGACAGGTAGTGGAGAGGCTAAGTGGTCAACGATATGCTTGTGGTGAGAACGCTATAGCGTACATGCGACGTAGCGGCGCTTATGTGTGCTCGTGGGCAGTGTCGGGGGGTCTTGTTCTCAATCGGATACTTACCCTTTTTGGTCATCAGTTGAAGTCAACGGCCAGACTACCCACCCGCCGGAATCCCTCAAGACCTTCAAGATGAAGTTCAATCCCGGTTAGTTACCGTTCTGATGTCTCCAGGACTTGCCAGAACGCCAGAGCATGAACAATGTAACGATTCTGTTCAGCAATAGGCTGGATGCACGCTCTGCCTTCTGGATGTGCCTTGGGATCTTCTGCCTGACTGGGTCGGCCGTTTTGCTGATTACGCCGCCTTGCATCGTCTTTGTTTCAATATAGACGTGTCCTCCTCCCGGCGCAAGTCGCGCAAGGCGCACTTCTCGGCACCTTCGTCCGTCCGGCGAAAGATCATGTCCTCCGCGCTGGCGAAGGAACTTCGAGCTAAACACAATGTGCGTTCCCCTGCTTAATTCGATACTGTTGAGCTACTTACGGGAGACTAGACTCGATCACTACCAATACGTAAAGATGACGAGGTCCGGATTGTGCGGGGAAAGTACAGGGGTCGGGAGGGCAAGGTGACGCAGGTGTACCGTAAGAAGTGGGTGATCCACGTCGACCGTGTTCAGCGTGACAAATCGAACGGCGCAACGGTGCCTATTGGCATTCACCCCAGTAATGTGGTTATTACTACCATCAAGCTGGACAAGGACAGGTGTGTTTGTAACAGGGTACCTAGCTTTTCCAGTGTCTGATTGTCACTTGGTACAATTAGGAGGGCAATCCTGGACAGAAAGGACAGGAAAAAGACCAGCAAGTCGAGCGAAGATGTCGAGATGGTCGACGTGCGTATCATATACTTACAGACTCTCTGTGGGCTGACGTTTTGCGTAGTGATTCATTTACTTGCTTGTCCGTGTTGTTTTCATTCCGGCTGCCGCCTTGCATCTTCCAACCTCACCATGTATGTATGGGTCGCTATACACACGATATTTGATATGAGCCATTGGTCATTCGTCAACGGCGGCACACAGCGGCGCAGAGCGCGAAACTTGGAGTTGCAGTGGCGGAGCGCGTACAAACTTTCGATACCAGCTTGTCCGCTCATGTATTCGACGATCAGAAAATGACATCCTCGTCTTTACTACTCAGTAAATCGCCACCTCCCTCAAATTCCGGCGTAAAGTCATCGGAAACCTTCGCCTCTGCAATCATCCTCCGTTGGGCTTCTGCCGCCTCGGCATCACGCTTTTTCTTCCCTTGCACCTTCTTCAGGCTGGGGATCATAAACAACATGAGCAAATGCTAAAGTGGCCGCTGATGTGAATGAACTGCTGACCGGAAGAACTCTTCTCGATCCATCTCGTCCAGCTCACTTATGATGTATTTGATTGTATTGTCCAACCGGGGTATGATGACATGTTCGATGGCATTAACACGGCGGTTGGTGGCTCGAATGACCTCGTCCAGGATCATGAATGCTGTCTGTAGAGACGCCAGCTCGACCAAGGTTTCTACAGCCTTCGCATAAACCTCCTTTGCCCGTAGCACCTGTTGTCCCCCGCGACCGAGACCAGTAAGGTTGAAATCTGGGCAGTGTGCAATTATAGACTGTCCGGTCGGATAGAGTAAATCCACACTCTACCTGTGCCTGCCACTCGGTCGACCTCGAATGCGGGGAGCACTACACCAGACACATTCTCTTGTTTAGCTTTGACTCGAAACGATGCCGATTTGGCTTGCTCTTGCACAAGGTATGATATGTCACCGGTAGCATAAGTGACTTCTGCCAGCGAGAAGGATGCGAGTTGCATGACTCGGCCCATCTTGCGCTTCGCCTTAATCAGATAGAGTGGAGGTCGTCAATACTATGAGAACGTTCGTTCGACAAGGTAGAGGCAAGTGGTTTGCACCGCAGGATTCACAACCAAGTGAGAGGCTCAACATACCTCGTCGACCTTCCCTAAGATTGCGCGGAACCTGGTGGTTAATGCATCGCGCTTCTTCGCAAGCAGTGAATGACCAGTCTGTGCGCCCTTCAGACGGAGCTTTGTGTTGGTGAGAGCCATCCGAGTGGGAAACACATTTTCTCGGGGACCAGTGCCAGACATCGTGTTAAGACTGTAACCTTTACGAGCGATGCAGCAGCAAGCCTGAGGTTCCGAATGACCTTAGTCATTCGGGTTATAACATTGCACACGCGCAGTGGGCGATTACATAAGGAAAAACGGTTTCGTCACACGTTACATTTTTCACGCCTGTGGCTGGACATCTCTTGTGCTGCGTGTGACGCCGTGGCGAAGCTCGCCATCGCCCCCGTCGTTGGAAATTCGGGCGCTGCTCTGTTCCGTACGCTCGTTGTCTGTTGCTAGGCCGATCATCCCGCCTGCGACTTTGCTGTCTTTGTGGAGAGCCGTCGTATCGCCCACATGTCTGTATCTGTGAAATGCACCCCTCGCCCGTCGAAGGGAGTTGCCGCTCGCCGCTGCTATCGTGCATCAACGACAACGACCTCGTCATGCTCGAATGCACCATCACGCGCTTCAAATGCAACGCAACCGGTGTTGCTGTATACGACGGAGCATGGAAGTACTGGCGCACACAGCTCGAACTACTCACCGTCACCAAACTTATTGAGGGACCCGAAACGACGGTCGAAGAGGACCTCGGCGTCCAGGACAACGTCCACATCTAATAACTTCTTTGCTCACTTTCCTGTCCTACCTGTATTTGTATTGTCATGTATAACGTACTGAACTCCTCTTGCTAACGAACTCTGTAACTTTGTACCCTCCATGATGAATTGTAACTCATCCATCGTTCTTTCACTATCGCGCCGAACACACTTTCCACCGGTCATTCGGAACCCGGGCGTGCGGAACGCAGCGCTGACACCCCCAAGTCAGCGTTGACGATGGAGGATTGGTGACATTCTGTGACATAACACGTCACAAGCGCTCAGCAAGCATATAATAAGATTTTTCTACTGGAAAATCAGTAATGTATTATGATAACTCAACGTCAATTCTGTCCTGATTATTCTAGATGAATCAATCATAACCTCGTGCTCTGTGACGCGTTTCATGACCCGTTATGACGTCGAGCCGGAACCGTGCGCCGTAGCTTCCAGCATGGTCGAGATTTATGGACAATGCATATAAATATCGGTGTTGCTGACGTTCAGCATCCCCCCCCCCTCCCCCCCGAGCTGTCGCCTTGGCTCACAATCACTGCCTTTCTTCAAACTGTGTACAGACATGTCCTCCGCCATCACGAAAGTCGATGCATCGCAGATCTTTGATTCTCGCGGCAATCCAACCGTTCAAGTCGACCTCTACGCCGAACATGGTCTGTCGAAGCGAACGACGTGCACATAGTTGCGCTAATGCACGAATTTCAGGCAAATTCACAGCAATGGTTCCCTCGGGAGCGTCCACTAGCTCATACGAAGCATGCGAGCTCCGTGACGGCGATAAGACGAAGTATGGAGGCAAAGGTTTGTAATGGTATGTCTGCAACGTCGACCGGTCATTAATTCCAAGGGTATAGGTGTCTTCAAGGCCGTGAACAACGTTCGTACCGTGCTAGGACCAGAGCTTGTGTCTTCAAGGCTTTCGCCCACGTCTCAAAGCGAGATTGACGCCTTCCTCCGCAAGCTCGACGGGACCCCGAATAAGAGCAAGCTGGGTGCCAACGCCATTCTTGGCGTCAGCATGGCCGTTGCACGAGCTGGGGCTGCCGCCTCTAATATCCCTCTCTACGATCATCTTGCGAATCTATTTGGTGCCAAGCCTGATCGCGAGTATGTGATGCCTGTGCCTTTTTTCAACGTCCTCAATGGAGGAGTGCACTCTGGGAACACTTTGGCGCCTCAAGAATTTATGATCGCCCCTGTTGGAGCGACCAGCTTTGAGGAAGCTATGCAGCTTGGCACTGAATGCTACCATCAACTGAAGAGCCTCATCGCCGAAAAATATGGCAAGGCTGGTGAGTATCCGTCCCTACCCTTCCTTTGCTCCGTCCCTACCCTTCCTTTGCTCCGTCCCTACGTCTCTTTGTTACCCCTGAAGCACGTATATAGCCGCTGACACATTGAATTACGACGCACGTAGGCACTGGAATTGGCGATGAGGGCGGTTTCGCACCACCTATCAGCACATTTGAGGAGGCATTCGACCTCCTTACTGCTGCAGTCGAGCGCGCTGGTCACACGGGACGCGTAAAATTTGGTATTGACCCTGCATCTTCCGAGTTCTATTCGACCGAAACATCGAAATACAATCTCGGCTTCAAGGCAGAAGTCAAGAAGGAGGGGCAGATACAGTCGTCTGCACAGATGATCAAATTGTACAGCAGTCTGCTCAAGAAGTACCCCATCGTGCTGCTTGAGGACCCGTTCGCGGAGGATGATTGGCCTGCGTGGACGGAGTTTTGTAAGCTGGAGGGGGGCCGGGTCGAGCTAGTGGGCGACGACCTCTTGAGCACAAACGTAGAACGGATCAAGACTGCAGTGGAGAAGAAGGCGTGCAACAGTCTCTTACTGAAAGTCAACCAGATCGGCACCGTCACGGAGTCATTGGATGCGTAAGTGATCTTCTGAATTTGTATCGTTTCTTTGCGCGGACAATGGATGCCAATATACTGATACATCTCCTGTAGCGCTCATCTCGCTCATTCCAGCCACTGGTCGACCTTCGTGTCTCACCGCTCTGGCGAAACGACTGATAGCTTCATCGCGGACCTCGTCGTTGCGCTTGGCAATGGTCACCTCAAGAGTGGCGCACCAGCTCGTGGTGAGCGTGTCGCGAAGTATAATCGCCTTCTGGAAATCGAGCGGGAGTTGAAGCAAAGTGGAAAGCGCGTTCGATATGCCGGAGAAGGTTTCCGTACGGCTTGGGGTCAGTAGCTTGTTCAAAGCGTGGGAAGAATCTTGAAGTGACAAACAATACTGTACTGTACTAGAATGGTCTTGAAAGTGGTGTATTGCACATCCTCCTATACTGCCTGTATTATCCAGTTGTTGCTCTTGACGATACTGTGCTCGAAAAAACTTAGAGAGTTATACGTGGCAATGACTGAAACTTGAAGTTTTCTGACCGGCACGCGTTCACGTTCAGCTTCGATCGCAGTTGTCAAAACCTCGATACATATCCATTTATTAGAGAGGAGAATACAGGCGTGGTGCAGTACGCTGATATCCCATAAGCCGAATTGTTCGGACGGTGCTGTCTCCTCTCAGACTTGGCCAAAAAGATGATGGATCCACACGCATCCCAAGTTCCTCAGCGCGAGGGTTCTAACCTTATAACGCCGGTGTCATGCAATGGTATACTTTCCATACTTCCTCTCCGGATCATAAACCTATAGAGAACATGTGAACCTGCAGCTCGCAACGGAACCAAAACATGCTTACTTCCCATCGCGAAGCCGGGAAGATATGCTTATTGCGTTGATAGTAGCTTCTCTCAACCACTTTTCCGGCATGCGACTCGTCCTTCTCGATGGTTGCATCCGCCAGCAATCGCACATCATCGTGTACGTCAAAGTTGAACAAAGGCCCCGACTTGCCACGCGCTTTGTTGACGATAAAGTCATAGAAAGTATGATGCTGGCATGAAAGTCAGCAATTGCGTCGAAAGAACACTTTTGTACCTACGTGTGGGATGATAAGATCCTCCTGATGCGCACACAATCAGTGATCGTGTCCAAAACCAACTATATGCGCTCGCCTCACTTTGACATACATCAGATTGTCGACACTGACAGCTCTGAGTTCGGGGAATTGCTGTCTACACTTCTCCAGGAAGGTAGAGATGGAGTCACCCTTCTTGCACTGCGCAGGCGGGATGGTATTCCGTCGATACATGCACCTATGTGGTCAGGCCGTATTCTCGGCAATACAGAGTGCTAGGATGCTCACCATCACACTCTTTCGGTGTCCGCTTCCATCCCAATATGAGTAAGTGATCTCAATGTCCTCTTGCTTCAGCTCTTCTTGTTTCTTGAGCCATTCTTGTCTAAGCTCCTCTCGCTGCCGTCGTTCTGCCTCCTCACGATCTCTGTCAGGTAGGAAGGACGTATCGACATTGGGATTTTTGCGCAGTTTGGCGCGTTTGGAACGCTTTCCGCTATCACCAGTTTCAGTCTGGGACGAGGAGCCGTCGCCTTCCTCATCTTCCAAAGCAAACGACAGCGTGGATTTCGCCATCTTCTTCCGCTTCTTCACCTTCTTCTGCTCCTCTCTAAACAGACACTCAACTTCCGATCAGCGATCCGACACGAATCAAGAGATATTACGAGAAGCTGACATACTTGAGCTCGTTCGTCCTCGCAGCTTCGCGCGCTTTGGCCTCCTCGAGTTCCTTCCGCCTTTGTTGAAACTCCTCTAGTTTGACCAGACCAACGGTGCTTTTCTTTAGCGTATCCTCCATCGAGTCATTCTGCCCAACAAAGCGGTTGGAGGACGGACGGGCCTTCTCCGTCTCGTTAATAAGTGTCTGCTTCTGCCGCTCGAACTCCTCTCGCATCTGGGTGCGTTGTTTCGTGAGTGCATCCTCGCGACGTCCCTCGGCTTTGCTATTAGACATGTGCGTGGAGATGCTATTCGTTGTAGACGAGGTATGGGCGTAGATTATAGAAGGGTTGACGGCTTGACGCTGCTAGACTTGCGCGTGACTGAAAGTCCGACTATGCGATCTGGGCGCCTATTGGTAGATCTCCCATCCAGTGACCACACGCTGAAGAGCAGTCCGCTTGCGATGGTGCACATTCTTGGTATTATGCTGCCAGAGAAGCAGCTGGTGAACGTGAGCGTCGAAATCTGTACTATACATCTGTGTCGTTGACATTCTCGCAGTATGCTTTGACCCATTTCTATGGAATTGGACGCAAAACGGCGCAACGTCTCTGCGCTCGTATCCAGATCCATGAAACATGCAAAGTTCGTAAATTATCGTCATCGCAAATCACGGCCATCACTGCCTTTCTGTCTTCGCCATCAACCGCCCCAATACTACCGCACCTTCCCCTTGCCAGCCCGGACTACGTCCCTCCGCACCCCTCCCAACCCGTACCGGCTCCAATTCCCCCTACTACAACTGCAGAATCATCGGGCAAAAAGTTGTTGCCTGGAGACAGGCTTAGAACTATCAAGATCGAGTCCGACTTGCTGAGGGAAGTTCGGGAGAATATCGCGCATCTGCGGAATATTGGCAGTTATATCGGGCGTCGACATGCAATGGGCTTGCCAGTGCGAGGCCAAAACACACAGACAAATGCGAGGACGGCGAGGAAGCTCAACAGGATCGACCGCTTCTCATAGACGTTATCGCAGACCACTTATTGCCGAATATGCTGTAATTAGTATGTTGCAGTGGTATTGTCTGTGGATGACATGTGTAGTGGAAGGTGCTGGGGTATCCAAATGGTAGGGCTGGAGGACGTAATAGAAATACGACTTTCGACAGTAAAACATGCATGCGATCAATCGTCTCCCACAGGTACCTCCTCCTCCAGATACTTCACCAACGTCACTCGAATCTCAGTCGTCTCATCACCGCGCAACGTATCGGATACAAATGTAACCTGCACTTGCATTTGTATCTTCAGGACGAAAGCGTTGTCAGCGATCTGCCTGGATCCGTTGGGACGGGACATACCATCTCCAGCGCCCCCTTCAACACTCCGCATAGCACGTTGCTGAACCACAGTCCTCCTTCGAATGCCTCCTCAGGGAGTTCTACGAATTCAGCGAGGGGATTCTCGTCCAGCGTGAGTGTAAAGGAGGCGCCTGACGTGTTGGGCTGGGTTGTCGGAGTACTACTTCGAGCAGGAGCGGTTTGAGGAGGTGCAGCGTGCGTGACGGTTGGTGTGATGTTCAGGAAGGACTTGAAGCCAACCTGCGAATAGGTCCGGCCTAGTAAGTTTTGGCGAAGCACATTGCCATACGCAGGCCATGACAATACGCGCACACCTTAGCTACGACTTCTCCAACCTCCCTGAAGTCTGCACAACGCCCGATGGGGGTGCGAGCGAGGAAGTCCTCTATCAACCGCGTGCCAATGTTGTAACCCATCTTCTCAAGCTGCTTGTTGACCTCCGCATAATCTTCGTAGTCCTGTATGAGCTGCACTACCAGAGCACCGTAGGTCAACGCAAATAGCTCTGCATTCTTACTCCAGTGAGTTGGGACAACACCTCATCCTGCGAAGTCGTGTTCACACGTACGATCTTTTCAGTCCTCCCTTTCCACATGTCCTCGCCTATCGCCTTGTATTGCTTGCTCGTTGTAGCCATCGCGAACCTCGTGTGCAACAGGGATCGGCAATGTGTGTCGTATTGGGTCAAGACCGAGACATCAACGAGGCAAACGGCGATACACTAGCTCGCCTTAAGCCTTAATAGTACGCAAGCGCTCAACGTGACTATACGATCGGTCCAACCATGGACATGCTTTCACGCAATACGGATGAACTTCCGACTATCTACACAAGTACTCGCCGCTTCTATCACACGGAGTCATACCATATTACAGTTCGGCGGTTTACTGGCTGTACATTTTGGCTTTGGCAAGTTTCTGTTCAACCCCGTTCGCACACATCGAGGCGCAACATGTCCAACAACCGTGACAATCACCGCTGAAACGCAACCGAGACTACGCGTAATAACACACATACAAGCGCCACGAGCACGCCTGCAACCATGAGGAAAACATACGAGCCCGGATCTCCAGTCTGTGAATTCCGCGTTCCGATCTCTGCAGTAAACGATGGCGATAACTGTTAAATTGGTTCTGATCTTGACGACGCGCGAATCAAAGCTAAGCATGGCATCGTATGGGGGCTGTGAGCATAGCACACCATGCGAGCTTGGAGGATATGGAGGCGAGACCCGGACGCACGCTAGATGAAACCTGATGACTCACACTTATCGTCGCGCCCATCGTGGATAGAGACACATCTTACAGATGGGAACGCGCGGCAAATATGCCTCTCGTACTCCTTCTTGGGTCTAAAACCAATCGCCCGTCCAGGAGATGCACGATCCGCAATTGCGGCATATCAGACTAGACTGATGAAGCGCGTAACACTTCCGTTTTTGGCATAGAACAAAGCGCGTCGTGTAACCACTGTTATCAAGGAGGAGATGGAAGAGAACGCGTCTGAGATGTGGGAGTGGTCTCACGATGAGACGAGGGTCTGAAGGATGGGGGAAAAGGTAAATGGTAAACCCTAGGCTTTGCCGAACCGCATCCAGCCGCGGCGAAGGGGCACGTGTGGGGAGGAATCGACGACAGAAAGGGCATCCAGTTCCGTGATATATGGCGGAAACCAACGGGAGAACATTGGGAGAATCTGGGAGAGGATTGAAAAGGCGAAGTAGCAGCTGACGGATGCTGTGGCTGCTATAGTCTATTTGTTTGCGTGTATTTGTGCGGACGGAGTGTGCAAATCTCAGAGGCGCCCTTGCCAGTGCAAGGCCTCGACCAATTAATCCCTCCCGTAGCCTCGCGTCCTTGAGGCTCTCTCGGTCGTAGTCCTCGACATCAGCTCGCAGATATCCCATCCCAGTCTTCTCGTCGATCCGCCTCTTGCCCTCTCGGTCTTTCTTGCAGAGTTATTCTTGTCCACTTCTCTGCAGGCAAGAGTGACTTGAAGTACACCAGCACGATCCTTCCGATTCCATATTCGCGCCAGTCGTACTGCTCCGTACCGGTGAGTCTTCTGCGCGTCCCCGGACGGCTAGACCTCGCAGGACTGAACTCCAATGCCCTTCTTTGTCAACAAGGTTTACGAGCCGAAAATTCTCCAAGTTTCGATTGTCAGGCTCATTAAGCGCTACCTGCTTGTCACTAGCTAGAACTATTGAGCTTGGCCGGCAACCGCTCTGCTGATCCTGATGGCTTCCCCTCAGGAACTCCAGACATCAGCACCGCTAGACTCTCAGTCCTTCCAGCAGTTCCAGACCAATGACGGTTCACCTGTTTTCAATCCTATGATCCCCCCCTCACATCCTGGCACTTCTCTTCCGCCAAATCCCTCCTCACATGTTCACGCCGCAATGCCTCCCGTGTATCAGTCAGAAATTGATCATGGTCACGCGCTTTCCGTGTCAATGGAGATGTCGCTATCCATGATTCCCCTGCAGGCCTCGGACACTTCGTCCATGGAAATTGTATCCGCAACGCCTGTAGATCGCACAGTGAGCCAAACAATCCTGCCAGACTTCACGTCGCATGGCTCCTTCGGCGTCGACCATCGTGTTAATGGGCTTGACGGCCTCGATGGTCCTCGCCAGCTAGCTTCTTCTCCTAGTGCGACTACTTCCTCCACGAACGTGTCACACACTTCTTCCCCTGCCATGAGCGGCATGGCCTCGACTTATTCATTAACATCTTCTTCGCTTGCTTCAGCTCTCGACAGTATGGCCGCCTCTCGAAGCCGCTCCGGCTCCTCTGCGTCGCCGCCGAATCTCTTGAGTTCCGCGTCGGATCTGGGGTTCTCTTCTGGCAACGGCGCAACTCCAGCGTCAGCTCACGAGGCAGGATTCCAATACACGCTTCCGTTCGATGAACCCTCGTCTGCAAAGGAGAATTCGCCCGAGCAGTCTGGAAGCAGTACATTACTCGTTTTATCTGACATGCTGAAGAAGTGAGTGCTATCGATGCCCTTCTCATTTCATGAACGATCATTAATGAAATGACTAGCATTGCACGTACAGCCAATTCCGGAAGTGAAGCGTGCAACATGGGGTCCACGACGGATGCACAACAGATTGTCCAGGCCCTCAAGCAGAACGTCATGGCAGTAGTCGACCTCGTTGCCGCTATGCAGTTGGCAGATGTTTCAGGTTCGTTATCCCATCCCATCTCCACGGATGCTCGCTTAGCTGCTACTTCCGATGCTGCTGGGACAGATGCATCCACGTTGGCCGGCCTGGACATGGCAATACCACAGCATATAAATGGACTATCAACATATTCCTCATCTACCAGTACTTTGGACTCCAATGCAATGTTGGATGCTTCCGACACGTCCCGCAAACGATGTGCTTCCTCTGTTGCCGGCGACAGGATGCTCAAAGCCATGAAGCTTGAGCCTCAGGATGACGCTCCCTCGCTACAGATATCCTCATCTACGGGGATGCATATCTCAGATCCTGCTATGGCATCGCCCGCATTCTCTTTTGCGTCTTCAATGCCCTCGATTCCCACATCCGTGCAAACTATCAGTGACATGCCGTCAATATCTGCTCCAGTACAGCCTGCAGGAGCAAATTCTCGACCACCCAGTTCAGCTGAGATGGCAAATCATCCTCCGTTGGGACCCATTCCAGGTGCTGAACATCAATCTCACCCGTTGCATACAGTTGTACAATATCCATCATTGGAGCATGTCCATCAGGTTATGCAAGCGTCCGCGGAATTTGTTCCTCCGGCTCCCCCCGTCTCATCGAGTGGTTTGCCATCTACTACCTTCAACCCCTCTTTGCCGCAAAACATGTGGGGGGACAATGCGGTACCAGTTCCAGTACAATTACAGGCTGCCCATCACCATCAACACACCCTCTCCAGCAATCCAATGTTGGTGAGGATCCCAGACGCGGGTGTACCTATCGCGGGGCCATCGACCTTGCAATTCCCTCCTCAGCCCGTATACGGTTCCCCTACGCGAGCCACCCATATGGCCCAGCCGTCGATCCCAGTGCCTTTAACGTCCTCGGCCATCCATCCTGCTCCCCATCACTCTGTTCGTTCGTCCAGATCATCCTCCTTTGCGCATGCACAGGGCGAGCCACATCCCGCTCTAAATTCGTTCGATATGTTGCCGTCCCATCCTACGTTGTCGGGACTGCATAGTTCTCGTGCCTCAACACCAGATTATGATGATGACATGGATACGGGCCATGATTCAGATGAGAACGATTATTATGGTGATGTGCTGCAATCCTGGAATGGGGTGGCCGGCGGGTCGGAGATCAAGCCTAATGGCGATGCCGTCTCGGCCGCAGGACCGCATAATCACGTCGGCCAGCGGAGGATGAGCCACGGGTCGCCTTCTGCCGAGGGTGGATCGACATCTTCGGGACACGGTAACGAAGTCCCGCAAGAGTATCGAGCCGAGGTGGAGCGAATCTTCTTCGAGTTTCTCAACAACATCTGCTCCAATCGTAAGCTTCCCCGTCGATCTTAAGATCCAACAATATGACTGATATCTCGTAATTGTAGTCGATGCTACAGATGCGAAGGGGGAGCCTATTCATCAGACGCTCATGGCTAAGAAAATGCAGCGGCTGGACGAGTCACCGGACTTCCGTCCGTTCAAGTTCCGTATACAGGCCTTCACGAACGCCTTCCTTGAGGAGGTGAGTTCAGGCAACTGTCAATTCAGTTCTTTTACTAATGCGACGTAGCTTGCGAGGCAGGGTTACCCTGAAGAGAAGATACCCATGAAAAAGGTGAGATGCGGAAAGGTAAATGCATTCTCGGTCTGAAGCTAATTTACATTCCATCTTACAGATTCGTAACTTCCTGTGGAATCAGCCGTATATCTCCCGCTTCAACGAAGACGGCAAGAAGTCAAAATCAAAAGGCAATCACATCTGGCATGTAGATGCCAAGAAAACCGAGGGCGGTTGGATGTTCCGCCCATTCAAGCGGAGGCTAGCTGGCACGCCCCCAGGAGTGGCCTATGTTGGACTTCGCTGGTCGTGGCAGCCGCGTATCTGGGATCCGCAAGCCTCCCGAGCCAACATGCCTGTGCAGTATAGCTCTCCTTCCCTTCCATCTTGGCTATCATGGAAGGACGAAGTCCTATCTGGCATACCGACCCCTGATGCTCAGAGCTGTGACGTTACGGTTGAGGCCAGGGTTGGTGGCTCGTTCATCTTCTTCGCAACCGTGTTTAACTTCAAATGATAACTAGTTCATACAAGATGGCAAGGAGGAGCTTCTCACACATACAGTTCATGTGACTATAGCTCCTATGGCATCTGTTGATGCCTCCTTTACTCCTTCGCGACGACCATCGCTGGTTGGCGATGTGCATAACCCTCGTCGGGTGATGAGCGATTCAGTAGTGGCGCAGACAGCACAGCCTCGGTACGTCCGTTATGTTCCTCGGTTTTGAAATCACGCTGATCCTCTCTCAGTATCCTCCGTGCGCAGTCTACACTGGCGCCTGCTCAGCCTCTGGTGGCACCGGATTCGCAGGTTGTGCAAGTGCTCACTACTGCTGCTCAACGAGTTGCACAAGAAGCCCAATCACAAGTAGTTGCATCTCCCAACGACGTTGGTCCTGAATTACAAGCCTTGGCCAAACAACAACACGTACTCACGGTCACCGCCCAGGCTTTCAGTTCTAAAATTGCTGCGGAGAGCCTTGATGGTGCTGGGTCACAGTCGAATGCTCTCACTGCTGCTGCTCAGCAGGTCGTATTGCAAGCAGCGCGTCAGGTGGCAGCAGATCGCACTGTCGTGGCCATGTCATCAGGCATTTCCCCCTCACAGAGCCCTGCCGCACAAGTCACGGTGAAGGATGTCTCTGTCGCAACCCAGTCAGCAGTTGCACAAGCTGTCGACATGGTGGGGCCACTTTCCAGCGAGGTCGACGTCTTGATGACTGCGAGCTCGCTCCTTCAACAGCAGACGCGTGCTCCGCTGCCTCCTGCCTCAATCATGGACTCGCAACTAGCATCTGCCGATGTGCTCCATGCGACTGGTGCAACGCCTCCCGGTTCATTCAAGATCGCTAGCGCAGTTGCATCCGCACCTAGTTCAATCTACTTCCCATAGTCGTGATTTCTGCTGTTCTCTGTTCGGGGTTTGTTTGGCCACGTACTTTATCATATGTGACATATTCTGGGATGAATTAGACCGTTCACTCGCTCAATGTATACTCATATCGTCGCGTCAGCTTGCCCATGGCCCGTTGCAATCATGTAGAAATTAGTGGCTGTCCTCATCGTTCGAACTTTGTACGTATTTCACTGTATGTCAACAGAACCTCTTTCCAGCTCAAGCATGTATTTTGGCTGCGAGAAAGTCATTCACTGTATCCTGAAGGGAGTCTCACAGATAGTGCAGACAGTAGCACTAAGTGAGTTCTCAAAAGTGCAAGCACAACAGGATTTGGTTGCTGGGCTTGTCGTGGTCGGTGAAACTGGAACTTTACTATCGTGTGATGTGACCAGTCCACCGAGTAGCGTTCCTCCGAAACCTTGCCCTTCATGTGCATTCTTCCGTCGCTCTTGATGCACTTCAGAATCGGACAGCAAATCGACTATTTCCTCCACTTCTCGAAGGTCCACAACGTCGTTCGAGAGTATCCCGAGCGATGTAACTGTTGCCGCGCTGTCATCCAGTTCCTTTCCACGGTAGAATAATCTCTGAGAGATAATGGGGGTTCCAAGTTCTTCTTGGATCTGTAAAGTGCACTGTTCAGGACAATGAAGTCTTCATGATGTAAATCATGGTATCTACCAGAGTCTTGATGTCCTTCACTGCCATCGTTTTGCTGATGATTATTCTGTGGCATTTTCCTTGTGCTTTCACCTGACGGATGCGCTTCGATTGTCGCAAGCCACCAGCGCTGCGAGATCCATACGTTAAAAGCGTCGCTTGGGATGATGAATTCGACAGTGGGTGAGAAAATGCTTCAGCGTAGCTTTCAGCATTGGGAAGAGGGTCGCCAGCAGCGAGGACGCGGACAGTGATCTCCGTGAACTCATAGTCGGACTTCCTGAAACAACCATCAACGAACGAAAAGCGGCAATGCTTAGGTGGACTACGGACCTCTTGAGGCGACAGTCGGTACAAACAGGAATGTCGTGTACCATCTTACCACCACAGTTCTCGACAGCTATCAGTGGCCCGCCAGAGTACCTATGAGATGTTTCGCTTGAGAAGAACTTTTCTGCACATCGTAGAACTTACAGCTCTTCAACAGTATTCCAGTCGGTAAGCTTGATGATGGCCACAGAGGAGTTTAGATCGATAAGTTCGTTCGGATCGAATGAAAGATGTCCATGTTCGCACATGAACTGGGAGTTGTCGACGCTCGTTGGACGAGATATATCTCCGGGACGAACAAGCCACTGTCGCCAAGATCGCACAAACTGAGCAGGAACGATGGCACACGGCACGTTCTCAAGTAGTGCAGTGTTGCCAGTGAGCGCATGGTCATGCATATGCTTCAGTTTGGCCTGTATAGAGGCGGCTCTTTGAATAGAAACGCGGCCGTTGATAGAGAATCAAAACCGACCTTCTCTTCTTCGGCTTGTCTGCGAATCTCACGTTTGTCTTCCTTCGATATATGAATCAACGCCTCGCAAACGGGACAAGGATCAGCATCGGTGGATATTGCCTCCCAAGAAGGAAACAACTCTCGCAAAACATCATAAGCCTGCAATGAGGTCAGCTCCTATCGACTTCCAAGCATAGAGTTTATACTTTTAACGAGATCCGCCTCCGAGCTGTGATATTTGCAGATAGACCACCATGCTCGCATTTGACGTGCTGCACGTATTCGGGACCATCCGGAGAGGGATCTTGCCTGGAAGCTACATGCATTTTCGGTTTCATGAGTCTCCAGTCTCAATGTGCGCGCATGATTAGCAACTTCGGCAAGACATGCTGAAATGATAGCCGACCTTTCAGCCACGCTTTAGATATCCAGAATCCGGGTTCATCGTTTTCTATGAAACAAACTTCGTCAAAGCGGCTGACCATGCGTGGATGTTCAATCTGATACAGCCGTTCTGCACATAGTAAGAACCAATTTGCTGATGTCGGCGGTGCTTAGATGCTACCTTGGAATTCATTCCGCACGCATTCCTCGCAAACGTCACCACATGTCAACACTGGCAACAGCTCGCAAAGATCTTCACACGCGATGCGCTGGCGAACTGCCTATAGTGATTAAGTAACGTCTCTCAAGTAGCTCAAGCTTCTGTTGAGCTCACTTTGGTGATGAGTTTCATGTCGCCGGCCCTGTCTGGATGGAGCAGTCCGTGATCACAGAGGATCTCGTTCATCATGATCCTCATCTGATCTGGCTCACAAATCAGGTCACTTCGGAAGTCGCATGTTCATCTAGCGACGAGACGGACTCACCCATGTCAGGCGCCTTGTGCCCCTCCATACCATTTGATGGTTCTCTTAATGCTAATGTAATCTCGCTTCCTGGCTTCGCGAGATGGCGCGATAGCCATAATTCCAGTGCTTGACGGCTGACTACGACGGCATCCTATACAGGCCACGTTCATTGCACTTGTGAAAAGACGGTTTACTTAATGATGATATTCACCTTATCGTGGGCGCCGACGTTCCACGTTCTGTAAACATCCATGACCATGTTCCTGATCTTCGTAAAACGAGCTATGGCCTGCTTTTGTCTTGAGAGGACATCAGCTAGCAAGGCACAAGGGAGGTCAAGGTCGCTCACTTCGTTTCGTAAGCTTCGCAGGCCTCCATGTGAGAAATATTTAGCGTTTTGACTACGTCCAAAGCTGGAGAAGGAGGCGTCGGGGTATAAGGTATTGGCTTCTGGAGACCATTAGTCGTGGACTTCTGCTTTGACGTGGAGCTCTCATTTTGAGCAGTTGCGAGACTCCGTGCATCCACACGAGAATATACCAACATGTAGGCATCCTTAGATGAGATGTACCTACGCCATCCAGGAGGGAATCAGCAAGTACTCCTACACACGATGGGATAGTGCACAAACTGAGAGACGTCGGGTGCTTGGTTGTACATAGAACCCGAAGAGGGCGACTGTCTGTAGCAATATCGTCAGACACGTTGGACGAGATGCATGCAACGTTCGTACCCCAGGATTTCGATCTCGCTGTCACTGTCTTCTGCTCTCCGCTTCCTGATCTGCTTTTGCTGCCCCTGTGTTCGGCCATTCGTCTTGCTGTAATATAAAGTTGAAGTGGACACGACGTTTCAAGAAAGTCCGAGAACTCTACCTTTTGTTTTCTGAGCCGGCCCTCGCGTCATCTTGTCCACTTCCGTTCGCTCGCGGCTTGGGTGTCAGAGCATCGGTGCTGGTGACAACCTCGTCATTGAACTGATACCACGACTGATTCCTTTTGGAGAAATCAGGGAAGCATAGGCCGACTGGCGAGACCGAGCGCACCTAACATCGAAAACCTGAGCTTCGTAGTGGCCGTGATAAGCACTGGACCCCTTGTGAAATAGGACTCCCCGCAGCTCGTAGAGGTCGCCCCCACTTGCAGCGGATTTCCTCCGACTAGTCTTGCGTGATTCTGGCGAACCAAGAAATCGGTCCATGTCAATCGTAGTCGGAAAGGATATGTTATGTTTGCTCTTCTTGCGCTCCATGGATGAAAGATCATAGACAAATCGGAGAAGCGAAAAGTGTAAAACAGGTGGCAATTCCCGCAACTCCGTGTATCTCTTGGCATCCTGCAGGCTATCACATTGAGGACAGAAGTACCTGCATACACAAGGCTCCGTCAAGCTCTGCGAAGCGGCTTCATCGAGCGTGGACGCACTTGTTGTCGCCTGACAATGTCTCTGGCTCTAGCATAGTCGCAATGCGATCCTCCAGGGTGGCATTGTTCTAGTCATCACAGAAAGAAGACCTTAGCATTCACAATCTCGCGCTGAGAGCTAATGATCTACCTTGATCGTGAGTTCAACTTCTAAGAAGTCTGCCGTCCGTTCCGAGCGATGGTGGCAGCGTTCACAAATCGTGCCATATATCTGTTTGCCTTGAAACTGAAGATTTATCAGTCAAATCTCACGTTGTCGTGGCTGATAGGACGTACCTGGTCAGGAATCAGGGTCTTCAGCACAGGGTCCGGCTGCTTCTGAAATTCCGTATCGAGATGGGCCATGAACAGCTTTGAGAATCTGTACAACAGTCTGAACACGTCTTCACTACGAAAACTCATCTAAAACTAACTCCTGGGCGTCCTGCTGCTCTGTAGTCCTCAGCTTCAAGCTCTCGACCAGCTTGATAGGATTGAACATGTTTTGATTGCTTTCCTGCATCGCAGAGAATGTCACTTGTAGCTGAAATATTGGGGAGTCCTGACAAAATGATGGGATAGTCAGCCGGCGGCAGCGGAAGTTCGATAGGACAACGGCTAACCTCGAGCTTCGTTCGCTCGACATTTGGTAGTTGACAGCTGAAAACTCCAGTTCGGAAAGGAAGGTCCTGAAACCACACCTGCGGAGAATACCACTGTCAGCAACATCTGTTCATGTCTGTTGACGATACACTCACTTGAAGATATGCATTTGCATAACATGTTGCGCCTAGGTTCTGCACAATTTGAGGCGAGAATGGCGCCTGACTGGACAGAGCCGCTCACTTTCAACCCAACGGGATGGTCAGGCTCCCTCGAGTGACAGGACGGATCCTCCCCAAGATTTGCTCCCTTCAGAAATGCTTCGCGCGCTTTGTCTGAGAAGGTGACTGAACATGGAGAGGTGCATCTGCGCTCAGAATTGCCCACCTTCGTCCTCCCATTTCTCCTGTCCAATATAGTTCAAGCAGTAAGGATTGGTTTTGCAACTTTTATTGCTACACGAGAGAGTCTCGTCGTCCGATATGACGATCACATCGTCCTCTAGCTCTCCTGACACGGTTTCGCTCTTGCAGTTCTCTCTCTCTTTTGCCAATGTCTCTGTAGCATACCGATTCATGCAAATGTGTTTTACGCTTCGCTCTGAGAAACCACATGTGGCCAAACGCTGGTCCCAAGTAATCTCGGATGCGCTCGACGCTTCGGTGCCCACCCAGCCCCACGTAGAGAAAGTCTTGTTTGTTGCGGTCTTGGCGCGCTTGAACTTCTCGCCTGCATTCAAGCCGGATGCTCCTGGAGATGTACGTCGGGTTCGTTTAGGTGGCATGAGAAACGTAGAAATGAGGAAAGGAGCACCAGGGAAACGGTATGCACAACCGTCGTGGCCCCCCTTAGGCGCGTGCGCCTTAGCGCCTGTGATCGGTCAAGCGTACACAGTTAGATCTTAGATCGGCGGTCGATTCTTTTCCACCACTGTGCCCTCCGGATCCTGCGGTAGCTCGACGTTCAACATTCTACACCAAGATGTCCAGACCGGAACTTCAGGCTCCTCCAGAGATTGTGAGTGACTCCGGTGAAACAATTCTGATTCTCACATGCGGCTGTAGTATTATGGCGACGCCGAAGCCAAAAAGTATACCAATAAGTGCGTTCGAGTCCACACGACGCAAGGTTCAGTATCTCATCTCACCCCAGCTCTCGTATTCAGCAGATCCAGGCGGACATGACATGTCGTGCTTTGGAACTATTAAACCTGCCCCCGGACGAACCGGCAATCCTCCTCGACATTGGCTGTGGATCAGGACTATCTGGGGAGATCCTTGAGGAGCAGGGCCATTTGTGGGTAGGCGTGGATGTATCCCCGAGCATGCTAGGTATGTCTGGAGTATCACAGGTCGCCATTCGAACTAACGAAACTGTCAGAAGTGGCGCTGGAACGAGAGGTCGAAGGCGACTTATTCTTGCAAGATATTGGACAAGGGCTTGGATTTCGTGCAGGAAGCTTCGATGGCGCAATAAGGTATGTAAGTGATCAACGCCAAGGGCTTATTCTTGCTGACACATGGACAGCATCTCCGTCATTCAATGGTTGCTGAATGCTGAGACATCACATCCAACATCATCTCCTCCACATCGCCTTATGCGGTTTTTCACGACTCTACATGCTGCTTTGAAAAACCCGTCGCGCGCCGTTCTGCAGTTTTATCCCACATCCGATGACCAGGTACAACTCATAACTTCGACAGCACAGAGGGCTGGGTTTGGCGGTGGTGTAGTCGTTGACTACCCGAATTCAAATAAGGCACGCAAAGTGTTTTTATGCCTCGTCATCGGCGGGGAAGGAGGCGCGCAACAGATCCCGAAGGGCTTGGAAGTTGACGGTGCTGAAGCGGGAAGCCAAGCTCGGTTTGAGAGAGGGAGAGAGCGGCAACACAAGAGAGACAAATCAGGGAAACGTAAGAGTATCAAAATTAAGGAGTGGATTTTGAAAAAGAAGGAGGTGCGAGGATCAGCTAGGGTCTCCGAACTTCGCTTACACTCGCGTTCTATCTCAGCTTTATCGACGACGAGGCAAAGAGGGAGTCCCAGAGGACTCCAAGTACACCGGTCGGAAGAGGAAGGCCTTTTTCTAACGTATTTCGTTTATTATGTGTTCTGTCTCATTCCTCACATTCTTCAATCTGACATCAAGTCTTTCGTCTCAATCAAAAGACATGCCAAATGGTGCAAAGGCTGAAAGGCTGATGAGTACGTACTACGCTACGCTCACGTGAACCATGAAGAAGACGTCCAGACCTCGGTCACCCTCCGCCGCGAAGCGTCCACTGTGGGAAGCACCGATCAGGTGCCCGATGTTGAAAAAACGAACATGGCCGTCTTACGTTCAACACGACCATCATCAACGTCTCCTCATACAGAGCTTATGGCAGGAGCTGCCGGTGCATTCTCTGCTGTCCCAGGAGCTATACCCAAGCCGCTCCTTCGGGCTGAGGTTGTGAGCGAGTCCTCCGTGGGGAAAGTCACCTTGCGCGAACAGATGGGCATCGACATAGATGAATTTAGGATATTCACGGTGAGAGTCTCGCGATGTGCCTTATGTAGCTATTGCTGATTAGATTTTACGTGCGATCGCATTGGTCCAGCAAATCGTGCGGGATTCCACAAGTCTTCATCTTGCTGCTCACAGGACTGTGAAGAAGCAAAATCCGCAGAGCCTGATCAAGCACTACAACGAGGTGATGTCGAACGTTGATCGAGCATGAGTTGCATAGCTGAAACCTCATCGATGTTCATAGATAAAGCGCAAGTGGGCGAAAGCTGACCTCTACGAGAATGTATGGCCGGCCCATGCATATACTCAATTATATCTTGCCGAACGAACCGCTCATTATCACCACCTTTACCGGACCTCGGGTAAGAAAAAAATGGTAAGCGCCACATTACATCTTCTTGCACATTGGCAGTCTGATACTCAAGTTGTTTAGCAGGGTTCTGCAGTGGCTGCTCACCCGATGGCACCTGTGCGAGAGCAAAACAGCAGAGGTTCACACTCTGCTGGTCCCAGGATTTTCATAGGCAAGCTGCCACCAAGGAAAGTTTCCACTTCCAGTAGGTCTACCACGGCGCGCAGGACAGTCAGCTCGGTGTATAGCCCACAACCACGCCCCATGTCATCGATTTCCCGCCCACCTGCTTCCATGGCGCCGTCTTCCACCAGTAAGGTTTCGTTGCAGTGCGGACCACCTGGATCCGCCAACAACGATGTCGAGGATGAGACACAAGAAGTTTATGTGTTCCTGCAGTCACTCGACCTGCCGTTGGGACACTTGCTTCCTTCTTTCGTCTCTTCCGGAGTCAAAAACATGATGCGGCTTCGCCTACTGACGAAGCACCGTGCATGGGAGGATTACGTCGAACGACACATAACAAAGGACCGCTTCGAGATTCTGATGTTGGAGAAAGGGTTCAAGGAGCTTGTTGCGGAGAACTAAGATGTGCGGCGTCACGGTCTTTTATTTACGTTTCCCCTTCTATGATTCTTGTGTAATCGATGTAGTTGTTGATTTGCTAGCTCTCGTGTAAACATGTCCCATGTATTATCGCTCAAAAATCCATCTATAAATCGCAGTCTCGTTGATTCGATTGTAATACAAAGCGTGCGACATGAGGCAATTAACATGTCAAGAAGTGTCATACCACAATGACCTTGGGAAGCATCCAAGGCAGGCTTCCGCTCTGACAAAGCAGATCATTATAATATGCAGGCCTTGAATAGCAATTGCGACTGAATGTGTACATGGAACAGAGTCGGATCACATAACTGTACGAAGACAAAGTAGACAATTGACAGCGGAAAACGAAAACGTGCGCGCGATCGAATGGATTACAAATCCTCGTCTTCCTCAGGCAGAGGAATCGCCTCAGCCTGTGAAACAGATTAGATATGGTGATGACACCTGCAACGTATGCGAGACTTACCTGCGCCAATTCCTTCTGGTACTGCTCCATGAGAGCAGCATCGACCTGCACCTCAGCGGGCGCCAGAGCAGGCGCCGCGACGAACTCCAGTGAAGGGTTACTGAAGAGAGATCGATTAGTCAGACAAAAAAAGCGACGGGATCAAACGCAATACTTACCCAACAAGCTTGCGAGCGAGCCACAGGAACGGCTTCTCGAAGTTGTAGTTGGACTTTGCAGAGATCTCGAAGTACTGAATGTTCTTCTTTCGGTGAAAAGTGACCTGGCCAGTCTTCACTTTTCGCTCCTGTGATGCGTTATGAGCACCAAACGGACGTAGGTGACCTTTAACAACGAGGAAACGAACCTTCACGTCAACCTTGTTGCCGCAGAGCACAATTGGGATGTTCTCGCAGACACGCTCGAGATCACGGTGCCAGTTGGGGACATTCTTGTACGTGATACGCGACGTGACGTCGAACATGATGATACCGCACTGGCCCTGAATATAGTAGCCGTCCCGAAGGCCACCAAACCGCTCCTGCCCTGCCGTGTCCCAGACATTGAAGCAGATCGTGCCGAAGTTGGTGGAGAATGATAGAGGGTGTACTTCGACACCGAGAGTGGCTATGCAGTGGCGTGTCAGCGACGCGTGGTCCAACGACTCTCAAAACGGATCCGGCACTCTATACGTACCAATGTACTTCTTCTCGAATTCACCAGTCAAGTGGCGCTGCAGCAGTCGGGTGTATCAGCGAACGATCAGCCAAGTTCGACAGGCTACACATACCTTGACAAAGGTGGTTTTGCCAGTACCTCCGTCGCCGACTGCATCAGCGCCAGTTCATACCACACACAAGACGCGAGCATAAGCAACAAAGTTCGCGAAAGACGCGACAGCAATCCAAGTTTGAGGGCATCGATGAAGACAGTGCGTGAAGATATAAATCAGAATCAACGCGCGACAGCAAGAGAATGTGGACCATACCGAGGACGAGCTTAAAGGTAGGGATTGTGTTCTGAGCTTGTGACTGATCAGCCATGATGTGATTTTGTAAGAGCGGTGGTGAAAGACGAGAGATGAAGAAGATGAGTGGTGGTCCTGTGGTGAAAACACGAACCTGGAAATCTTGCAAGCAAAGAATTAGATAAGGCAGCTTATGTAAGTCGAGGTCATCGGTGGCTGTATTTGTATTTGGTAGCCGCGCCACCGCCGTCTCGACTTTGGATTCTACCTCTTCCTACGCACCGCGTGCCCCCTAGCTGCAATGCAATTGCCTCGCAGCAACGTATTTCGACTACTTTGCGGAAACAACGTCGTCACCTAAACTACCAGCAGTCTCGAAGTATCTTCGTCGTGATGCTCACCGACGACCGCGACCAGTGCGAAGGAACCCTCAAATTGGCAAGCCATACTCCCAGCGTGATGTATGAGACCTTTTGAGATGTAACATTTGAGCGTGGCAGTTATGAGTTGAGCGTCGTTAGGATGACTCACAGGTGTGGTCTATTCATTCTGCCTCGTGGGCGCCTGTCGTGGACTGTTATCTCGCATGGCCAATCTTTAACCCGGACATCATGCCGTGCTGGCCGCAATATGTAAGCTATGGAGAGTCGCACGCAATGCGGTATTTTGATGCGCACACATGGCGGATGGTTGGACCATCGCCAGAAAAGAGCTCATTTCTGCGCGCAGCAGACGGCATTTATAGAGCCATACGATTTGCAGAATGGCCGGAGGATTACGACGCCGTGTCAACGCTCGGCACGGCACAGCTGATCATTCACTGTTCTAGTTTCGGCATCTCGGCGGCGCGGGGTAGGCAAACATCTGGTGGGACCTTGCTTACAAGTATCCCTGTCCTATATGAAGACTCACCTCCCGCTCCGCGTTTTCCGTTCGCGTCCCTCGGTGCCCATCCTAGGCCAGCCTACTGCCCTTGTTGCGGATCGGGATAGCAGCACATTTACGCCCATTTACGAATTTATCCATGTCGGAAAAGCAACCTCAGGACGCCGCCGCGCCTTCCCCGCAAAATGACGAAAAGGCGAAAGAACACAAGTCATGGCGAGCTAATGAGCAACAAGTGCTGCCAGAGAACCGTTTGGGAATCGTGTTCTTCGGTCTCATGGCGTCAGTCTTTCTATCCGCTCTGGATCAAGTATGTTGTGCTCTTCGACTTTTCGCAAAGGAGCATTCCTTTAATCCTTGGTGACAACAGACCATCGTCTCTACCGCGTTGCCCACCATAGTGGAGAAGATTGGTGGTGGCAAGGACTACGGCTGGGTTGGAAGGTGTGTCGTCGACGGCATAGCTTGCCACTAGCCAAATATCAATCAAAGTCACAGTGCCTACCTGCTCGCTGCCGCAGCGCTGTCTACTGTTTACGGGAAGCTTTCGGACATTTTCGGTATGTCGAGCAACTGTATGATCAGTTTGCTGTGCTCATACGTTTCGTCAGGACGAAAGCCGGTGCTCTTCGGTTCCATATTGATATTCCTAGTGCGGCTCAAGCCCTACACCCACAATGCCACCATATTAAAACACATATTTTGCAGATCGGCTCGGCGCTGTGCGGCGCCGCACAGAACATGACATGGCTCGTCATCTGCCGTGCTGTGCAGGGAATAGGAGGCGGTGGCATCATGCAGCTAGTGCAGATCACCATATCTGACATTGTATCCCTGCAAGAGTGAGTAATCAATACGTGACCTGACGGCATCGACTGATGTTTCAATGACAATTAGCCGTGGCAAATATGCAGGCTTGATTGGGGCTACGTGGGGGATTGCTAGGTAAGCAGCCGGATGAGCCCATTTCAACAAGTTATTCTAAAGTATCGATATACAGTGTCATTGGTCCTTTACTTGGAGGAGTGAGTTATGAACGCTCCTCGATGACCCGCACTGTCGCATATTGAGTGCCAATCCCATAGGTCTTTGCAGAGCATGTCTCATGGAGATGGTATGCCACCCGATTTCAATATCGAATTCCGCTAATTGTGTTTTTTTCCAGGTGCTTCTTCATTAACCTGTAGGCTCCCCCGCTGAAGCCATTAGGCTAGACATTCACAGCTTTCTTCGTAGTCCGACAGGAGGCCTCGCGTTCGCGATCCTCTATGTTTTCCTCAACCTCAATCCACATCAGGGCAAGCCTTTTCGCCAGCACGTCCGGGAGTTCGATTTCTCAGGCCTGCTGCTCATCATCGGAGGCGTGGTCTGCATCCTCATTGGGTTCAACTACAGCGAGACAGCATGTCGGTCTCTCGTCTTAGAGCACTGGTGGATGTTTGCTGACGATGGCCATTAGGGCGATCCGCTGCGACTATTGCGCCGCTTGTTGTGGGCTGCTGCTTGCTGCTAGGTGCCGTGGCTAACGAGATCTTCACCCAACGTTCGCCTATCGTACCACCGCGTCTGTTCAGAGTGCGTCCTGATCACATTCGATGCATGTGCGATGTGTTACTGATCCAACGACTATACTTCGTGTAGGTCCGGACAACTGGTTTCATCCTCGTTTCCGTTCTCCTTCATGCGATTGCGTTCTTCTCCGGTACATTTTATCTCCCTGTCTACTACCAGGTGCTCGGAGCCTCGGCTACGATGTCGGGTGTCAGGTAAGTTTAGCGTCGCTACCGAGTGTGCATCACATTCGTCTCTGATCTTGCAAATAAAGGATGCTTCCATACTCTCTGGGGTCGGCTTTTATGTCCATGCTGTCTGGCCAGATCGTGGCACGCACCGGCCGTTGGAGGCCAGTGATGTGGGTGGGCTGGTGTGTGTTCACCGTAGGGTATGGTCTGATGATTATGCTGAGTGAGTCGTCATCGACGTGAGTTGTCTTTTCTCATATAGGTGGTGCTATGAGTTGAGCCGCGTTCCGTTCATGACAGCGCTGAGAAGGAGATCTTCCCTCTCATTGGAGCGGTCGGCTTGGGCTGTCTGTTCCAGGTGTGTGCGAGAGTTCATGTCAGAGATATACGTGCATAGTACTAACGATGTCTTCGTACAGACGCCTCTAATTGGTCTACAAGCTGCGATGCCTATCAAGGACATGGCTACCAGTACCGCAACGTTCGGTTTCCTCAGGTGTGTGCTCCGTTCACCTTCTGCCGCTAACAGACTTTCTGACCTGGATCACTTACAGGCTGCTCGGCGGCTCCATTGGAGTGACCATCGGAGATGCTATCCTCTCTTCGGTAGGTTAGGTATGGTATATATGCACAAACCTATCGACTAAGCAGACCGCCGCTAGGTTCTCCAACGAAAAGTCAAGGACATACCGGGATTGACCATCAGCACAACTGCAGCGTCGTTGAATCAATTTGTTCCGCAGATCAAGAACATGAGTGTCAGTGAAGTGTACTCCTTTGCCTCCGCCTCGACTTACAAGCTGATGCCCAACAGAACACAACTCAGAAGATAGCGCTAATGAAGGCATATTGCGAGGCTATCAGTACAATCTGGATCGTCGACACCCCAATCATTGGGTGTGGATTCATCTTTGGTGCGTTGATTTACATCTCCTTCTTCATAGATTTAAGGTTCTGACTGAGCCGCATCCAACAGTGTTGTTCCTGAGATCATACACACTGAAGCGCAATGTTGTCCGGGGAGGCCAGCCAGCAAATGCGGATGTCGAGGCTGGTCAGGCAGAGCAGACCGCGACAGAAGACCCATCTGACCTGCCGCTCGATCCATCTGCTGGAGATCATCAGGCTCACGATGCTATCGGTGAGAGACGACGGTTTTCCGTTTCCAAAGACGATGCGCGGACGATCGAGGCCGTGGATGATGTGCAGAAGCTGCAGTCACGGTCGACAACGATCGACGAGCCTTGACCGGAGTTTCTGATGACGGAGCAGGCTCGTAGTGTAAGGTTCGGGAATGATTACGATTTTGGCTTTACGACGTGGATGATTCATAGATTTACTATATCACGTTGGACACGCTAGACAACACATTGCATTGATTATAACATGAGCTGTTTGCTTTTGCTGCACATGTGTTCAGCCACAGAATCGCCTATCGAGCGCATTCGATCAGAAAGTACCGATTCCTACAGCGAGAAAGGTGTGAAAAATAATGGTTTTTCTTTTACTTTCCCCTGCTGCAGCATCCTACCATTTTCTGAGCCAATTATGGCTGTTTCATGCAAGTTCTTGTCCAGGAAAGGCACAGAACATGCTTTTCTAAACCTTTCCCCAAAAACATTCCCCTTGATGGGAAAGGCTGGGCTATTCAATTAAATTCTAACACCTTTTCTGCAACAAGAATCTTTGCTGTGACGACAAGAGCCCCATCTGTCAATATTGGTCGTTAATCACCCGAAGGTATGATCCGAGCATTGCCGGCACACGGCATCTACTAGACGCCTTGAGATGGCAGATGTATCCTTGCGCCGGAGACAGATACATGCTCTGCGAACAGTGCGAAGATTTTCTGATTGTGATTTGATACTTGAGCCTTGGAGGAATGCGATAATTGGACAAAGTACGTATCGTCATTACAGAACTTGACAAGGCGGTGATATATACATTGCGAAGCTGTCACGGGTGTTCCTGAGCTGTGGCTGGAGGGCGAGCAGATGAGATTTAATATGTCGATGTGCATGTCAGTTCAAATGTGGCGGCCGGAGCCTGTCTGGGAGGCTACCGTACTGGCCTGTTCGCTTCCGCAGCTGATGGAAAAAAGGGCGTCAAGAGAATAGCGCAAGGATACATACAGATGCATCGAGGTCCATCGATCATCTCAATTGCAAGCACAATGTGACCCGACTCATCTGACCCACCGCGAGAGGTTCCTCGGGCAGGCGTCGCTTCGCGATGGAGATGAAGGTCATGCATCGATGCAGCCTTAAATCTAGAGGCTGGCAGCATCCTAGAATAACCCTCGGAAGGTGTAACTGACGGTCCTGCGTACTACGAGACGCCTAGGAGGCGGAGGAGCTCGCGAGCCGCCTGAGTGCAGCGCTCGGAATCGCCGTCGACAGGCTGAAGCGAGAAATTGCTGCTCTCGACGTTGATAGATTGCATGGCCACCGCAGGGCGAGATCGTCAGACAGATGAACAGAACGAGCTGAAAGGCGGGGGCTGGGGAGGATCTAGCTCAGCGTCGACTTATTGCCGCACGTGCCATTGCCAGAAGCTCGCCACCGCTCAAGCTCCCACACGTCCTCCTACCCACGCTCAACTGCCTCCTCCTCCGCTCTGCTCTCCTTGTCGCCCAGCTATCCTTACTCGTTGCCACAATGCCATCCGAACAGCCTGCGCCCACTATCCATGACCAAACTCCACCCGAGCAGCCCCAGGGGCAGGTCAAGCTCTGCACCGCGTGCCATTGTCCGCTCTCCGCAGACTCAGTCAACACCTCATTTGTACTTCACAGCGACACTGACCCGAACGAGGCTGGCATCGTTTGCGGGCCATGCAGCACCCGGCTTGTGTCCCCACGCTCAGAGCCGCCCACCGTCAGGGTAGAGTTCTTCGAGATGGAGCGCGAGCTTCTCCGCCGCGCGGCTTCCTTGCAAGGAGGACACAATGAGGCTGCTGCGTTTCGACAGGATTCAGCTAATCATGCCTCACATATGACTGGCGCACCGTTCTACGATCCGCTTACGGATATGGACATCTCAGCGTCCAGCTCATTGTCGTCCGTCTCGTCCGACCGCAACGCCTCATGTGCACTATCCGGTACTCTGTCGGTAGCAATGCCAGCATCTTCATCACTTTCCTCCGTTCGCCCTCTACTGAACCCGATTGATATCAAGTCTGCTGTCCCACATTCAACAGTGCGACCGGTTTATGGGTCACAGCTTTCGGCAAGTCCGCTTGCTTCAGCATCTAGCATCAAGTCACGGTACAAGGCATCCCATACATCTTCGCCGGATCCGTTGGTGGATATCAGCCGATTGCGAGTACGGTCACAAGGTCATCACTGTCTGTATCCCGGTGCAACCTTCCAAGGCACTCAGAAGAGTGGCCGGAACAGCTATGATGTCAATGTTACCATTGTGGTCAGTACTATATCATCGACACCTAGACTTCCATACGACCCGATGTTGAGCTTTGTCTAATCTAGGATGTCGATTTTGCGTCATCTCACCTCTGTGGCTATCTTCGCATCCGTGGATTAACGGACGATTGGCCGGAACTTACCACATACTTCGATGCCGAGATTATCGGAAGTCGGTACGGCTTCTTAACTCGGAATTGGGGAGCGAGCGAGCAGGAGGATATGGTGCATTGGGCCCGCTTTCCCGCTTTCCGGCATGTCAGGCACGAGTTGAAGAAACCTCACTTGACGATGAAGGACGGGAATCGTGGCGCCGTGTTCATGAGGTGGAAAGAGAAATTCCTGGTCCCTGATCACCGTGTGCAGGATATAAACGGTGCCAGTTTCGCAGGTACGTTTAATCACCGGCGCGATCCATAAGGAAGCGCTCAGTTCATATCTTCTGGTGAACTGAAGACATGACTGATGTATGTGTGGTTGTCCAGGATTTTATTATGTCTGCGTTGACTTCAATCCTCAACAATCTGGGTCCTCTGTCATTCACAGCCCGCAGTCGTCCACCTCACCTGAAGCGTCTTCGCATTTTTCTTCCTCCCAGCCGACCGCGAAGCCTGAACTCAACAGCCGCGCACGACGGGCATCCATAAATTCCGGTGCGCGGCGATCAGGGCGTTCACAATCTCGAGGCTTTCCTCCAGCGCCCGTGGCTACCATGAGTGGATTCTACTTCCATCAGAACTCAGAGCCGTAAGTCGAATTCGCACACCGCTTGTACTGTACTTATCAGCTGATCAGATACCAACAACTGTCGTTGATTCATGTGCCGGAGCACACAACGTCCTGTTTCGAGTTCAGATGAGGCATTCGATGACGATCGTGACATGAGATACCCGCTTTGAAAAGCTGTCCTGGGTTCTCAGTGAGTGAGACAGCGCATATTAGCATTGGTACTATTCTCGTGATCTGGCATCCCGCTCTCGAAATATCTAATGCGCGTTGTGAGTTCTTGTACGTACTTGAGTTACCCCCCCACCCTCACCCCCTCTTCACGGACCGCACATCACGCATTGCTGGCTACCTATCTCATATGTCCCCGCCTCTCTACGCATCGTGTCACGACCAGTCCTGTACGATTATTGTCATGTCCATATCAGTACTTATAATTGTTGTGGAAAACAAACTCGTGCATCCTGCGTGCAGCGTCCCCAAGCAGCAGCGTCACGAAAGCGGCCAGCTCGGCTATAGCCGATTGATAATAGGAAACAGTTACAGCACAGTCTCGATACCGGGCCTCTGGCCTTCCTCCCTCCCTCCTCCATTAGAGCCTTCCTTGACCCGACAATGTCCTTGCACGCCAGCTCGTCCGCGTCGACCGCGAACATCGTCGGTGTGCACTATCGTGTTGGCAAAAAGATCGGCGAAGGCTCGTTCGGGGTCATCTTCGAAGGTGCTGTCAAGGCTCCGTGCTGTTCTCGTCCTGGCTGTAGCTCATACGACGTCCATTCCTCTCTCATCTAGGAACCAACTTGCTCAACTCTCAGACTGTGGCCATCAAATTTGTAACGCGCTGTCTTCGTGCACACGGCATTACATACTGAAGCCCATGGCGACCGTCTACTAGGAACCCAGGAAAGCAGAGGCGCCGCAACTTCGAGATGAGTGTCGGTCATACCGGATATTGGCAGGATGTCGTGCGTATGGTTCCGTCTTCTTGCTGTGCTCCCCCTAAAGACAGGTTTGGACACAGCGGGGATACCCCAAATATACCACTTCGGGCAAGAAGGCTTGCATAATATCCTTGTAATCGACCTCCTGGGGCCCAGTCTGGAGGACTTGTTCGATATGTGTGGCAGGAAGTTCTCAATAAAGACGGTTTGCATGGCAGCACGTCAGATGGTTGGTGCATTTGCTCTCTGATGGCGTTGTAACCGTCTCAGCGTCCCCTTGTTATCCTCCAGATCACTCGGGTCCAAACAATACACGAGAAGAATCTGATATACCGCGATATTAAGCCCGACAACTTCCTCATTGGCCGTCCCGGCACCAAGGCAGCCAATGGTCAGGACCATCGCTTCCCCCATATTTCTCGTACGCGAAGCACTTAACGACCCTCTGATCGCCAGTGATTCATGTCGTTGATTTCGGTATGGCCAAGCAATACCGCGATCCGAAGACTAAGCAGCACATACCGTATCGGGAACGGAAGAGCCTGAGCGGCACGGCTCGTTACATGAGCATCAACACTCATTTAGGCCGAGGTCGGCTACCTTCATACGTCTCTAATGTGATACGCTAACACGGGTGATCCTCAGAACAGTCTCGGAGAGATGATCTGGAGTCGCTTGGTCATGTTTTCATGTACTTTCTGCGAGGAAGCCTCCCATGGCAAGGTCTCAAGGCCGCGACAAACAAGCAGAAATATGAGAAAATCGGCGAGAAGAAGCAGACAACACCTATCAAAGAATTGTGTGAAGGGTTCCCAGGTATGGATGCTCCTCGTTTCCTGAACATTCGCATCGTTCATCGACAATTCAGAGGAGTTTGGCATCTATCTCAACTACGTTCGAAAACTCGGTTTCGAGGAAACGCCCGATTATGATTTCCTGCGCGAGCTTTTCGCGAAGGTCATGAAAAACAATAACGACGTCGACGATGGTGTATATGATTGGAATCTGCTCAACGGTGAGCCGGTCTTTTGATATTTGATGAACGTGGGCTCATGTGCGATCAGGAGGCAAGGGCTGGGAAGCATCTCTTGTGAGCATTCTACAACATGCGACATGGTCGTGAATCTAAACCTTTGTCTTCTTAGGGCCAGAACCAGATTCTTTCCCAAATCCAGAACACGGGACCAGTTCCGCAGGATCGTCGCAAGGAGGCGGAGCGCCAAGCACGCGATGATCCAAGACGAGCATCCCAAGTTGGTGGCGCTGGCATTGCGCCCCCATCGCCTGCTCTTGTACGACAAGGATCCAAGCAGATGCCTGGAATCCAATCACCTGGAGGTGGTAACACTCCTATGTCCTCAGCCGCGGCACAGATGGATGTCCCGATTGGTGCAATGCAGCTGCGGATGAGCCAACAAGCCAGTGCACAACATCCTTATGCAAAAGCTGGCCGTGAATCTTATGCTCGTGATCAAACTCTGGAGGAATATTCTGCGACGCAGCAGCCATACGGACGGGCGTCTCCGATGGTCGCATCGGCAGCCGCGCCTGCAATCAGTGACGTCCGTGCACAGGGAGGCGAGATTGGCGCATCAAATGGTGGTGGTTACCAAACTCAAACGGAGGCCGAGCCGCCGAAGAGCACGCTTTGGAAGATCCTGACATGTCGATGTGGTTGACCCTCAGACTCAGTCTCTCCTGTCCGTTCGTTTTGCATTATATGATTCCTCACTCTCGTTACGCGCTGTTCTCGTCCAACTTATACCTCCTTGCATTCATCATTGCTATCACATGTTCGGATCGCTTCTCCTTTGCTTCACTTACAGATACTACGCTCCATAATGTTTTCCTTAATCATTTGCATGGCTCGATTGGCTTACATCAGGGTATCGTTGGTATAACACAGAGGTCACATACATCATGAAATTTGTCCATCTCGCCCATCTCGATCAGTCAGGTCTGGTCACCACAACTCGTTTGCTCTCCGCCCGCTCAAGTCGCTTCGTTCATATCGCCACATGGCGTCGCCCCTCGCATGCCATACGAAGACGCAGGCGCATGTACAGGGCATTCTGTAGCAACATTAGCCATGAATTGCTATGTTGAGGAAGAGCGAGATCATACCAGTACCCTGTTGGTAGAGGTCCTGGCTATACTCCTCTGGCTCTGCTCCATTGCTTGCATGAGCAATCTGACGAGGCGGTGTCCTCGCATGGTCAGAATAATAGTCCGCTGCGTTTGTGACTTCACGTCTGGCCGAAACATCGTGCGGCCATTGTTCTTGAGGCGGCTGCGCGTTCGCATATGCTCTCTGTGGTGAGTGCTGGTTGACTACGGCTCCCATGTCATGGTACCGACTACCTGTACGATGACCATTCTGAGTCTGACTGCGGTTATTTAGCTGAGGACCATTGTATGGATGATTGTTTGATTGTTTATAGTTTCGTAAGGCTCTTTGTGGCTTGCGCATTCGATCGCCTTGCTGACGTGAATCTGTCGTAGGCCGATTCTCGTTCAACCAGTACCCTCGTGGGACTTGAAACTGCTCCCTTATCTGCCCAGTTCGACCGGGGAAGCTTTGTGCGTACGTACACTGGTTATTTTCGTGAAGGTCCGGCTGGTTTCCCTTGAGACAGCGCGTGAACATTGGTGCTATGAAGGAGCGGAGAATTAACCTGTCCAGACCGTGAAGGCTGTGCTGTATAGGCATAAGACGGGATATTGCGCGTATGGATATGCTGATTGCTTCTGTCGCAATCCTGTTGCACTCCCTTGCAACATGTCATGAGCGAAGTTGCGACAGGAAAAAAAACCAGAGATCTGACCTGTTTGGACCACAAAGACTGTTCTACACTCGCACGCGGTGCAGTATCCCTCTCTGTCGGCGGGAAAGGGATCCCATGAGCAGTTAGGGTCCGGTCCGCGCGCGTATGCTCTGTAGACTCGTTCTGCACGACTCGACGGAGTATAGGTACTATTAGCTCATTGAAGGACTCTTGCAAGGCACTCCTGATCGTTGCAAGGGAATCAGACGCGATGTTCGATCCGTCAAGAGGCGCCATTTTCAGTGTACCGTGCGATGAATTTGCTTCTCTCGCGAAGTTCGAGCGCGAGGAGGTATCTACTGGCAATCGCGCGGCGAATTGACTTTTTAGAAGAGATATGTTCTGTTCCAGCTTTTCGAGCTGGTGCCATCGATTGATCGTCTCCTCAAGTTCCTGGATTCGTTTTCTATGTGACTCGGGTTCCGACTGGCTTTTGCGGGATTCCAACTCCGACGCTGCAGCTTCTTGGTATTGTTTTTCCTGTCTTTCTAAGCGGCTTGTTGTCGAGTCCAATTGCTCCTTTATCGAACTCAACTGTTCAGCGCTGAGCTTCATCTGTTCCTGCATGGAGCCGAATCGCTCATTGATGGATTGCAGCTGCTCGTTCTGGCGTTTCAGTCTCTCGTTGGTGGATTTCGATTGCTCATCGTAGCGGCCCAGTCGATCCACCGTGGATTTCGATCGCTCATCATAGCGCTTCAATTGCCCATCGTAGACCTCCAGTGATTCCTTGTAGGATGTCAACTGCGCCTCGAGGACTGTCACCCGCTTTTCAAGCCTCTCCTTCGCCTGAATATCTTCTTCAGAGCATGCCGCCACCGTCTATGGATGGTCACCTTAGTCAATTTTAGCCTGAATACAAAAATCGGACACACCACGGGAGATCTGCTGCTATATTTCGTAACACTCCGCTGGACGCCGGTTTTGAAACTTTGTGATTGCACTTCATTGTCAGGGATGCCTGGTGGCCTCCCAGCTGGACGTCTGAGCAATATCGAGTTTTTCACCGAGCAATCAGGCGTAACAGGTGTAGTGGGTGCCATCAAAGGCATTTCATGTCGTTGCATGACGTGATGAGATGGTGATGCCATCCGACGTCCCTGTGCTGACAGGTTCAGGGAAGAACCGAAAGGGCGCGACGAGGGCATCTGTCTCAAGCTGCCTGATGCTTCTGGCTGACGATTGGCTTCACGCGATGCAGGCGACGCGATGCTCGAACCAATTTGCACACGAGAAGAAATACGTTGATTGACTCGCGGTGCTCTTTCGTGAACAGATGATGATGTAGGCTTCAGGTTAGATACTTGACGGGGAGGGTTTACTTTGGCCTGCGGAGTCCGACGCTTGTCAACAGTGCAATCTTATCTAGGTGAACATGAAGCAATGACTCACAACGTGAGCGTTGCTTCCCGTTTCGGAGATTCCGACCTTTCTATCGGCACCCTTTGTTGTCCGCTTCGTCGGCCGTGGATCAAGTTCAGGCGGGAGAACACGTTTAAGGCGCAAATACTCTGACGGCAACGTCGGTATCAGCACGTAGAATTTTGGTCTTTCCTTTCGTGCTTCTATTCTGGAGTGCGTGGAATGGATAGTGGTATCAGGAGGAAGCGCCGGCGCCACCTCGTCCGCAACCAAACGTGTGGGGCTCGAGGTGCACTTCGCGTCCTGTGATGTCTGCATTTCTACATCAACATCGGATTCTACCTCTGTAAGAGGTAACCCGCGGGCATCGCCAGAAGAAACCCGAAGGGCCTGCTCGTCCATTGCTATCGACGGGTCACATTGCCCAGTCACAAAGTCAGTGATGTGCGCCTCACTCTCTGTATCGGAGCCGGGGAGTTGTACCTGCGCGAGATCAAACTTAGAAGGCAGTGGACAAGCAGGCAGATTCAAAACCTACTTCGTGATCTGGGCCGTCGTACCAACCTCGTTTGACAAGTTTTTCTGCAATCGGCTTGCATTGTCGATAACACTGCGCCATAAGTACGAGCACGTCCCTTTGAGACGAGGATTTAGCTGCCTTCTCAGCCTCTTTCACAAGCGACCGAGTCCGCTCAAATGCGGCAGCATTGTCTTTGTGCTGCTGGTGCCAAAGCTGCTCGTTATGATCTCCGCTCATGTCAATGAGAGAGAACGCCTCAGCAGAATGTACTCCTTGTTGTAGGAGGTGCTCAAAGCAAATCGTATCGCGGCAAGGACCGTAATGTACGGCGGAAAGGTAGGGAACCTCGTGGGAATTCATCGTTCCACAGTCTCGAACGAATTGACATGTTCGAGTCTCGTTTAGCTGAAGTGCAGTTCAGTATGGCAAGCACCGCAGAAAACGAGACATAACACTTCACCTTATCGCGGAAATTCTCCCGAAGCTCGCGCAAAGCACATGCAGCCTCAAAAACCCGGATATGGTCGCCGTCGGTCAGAGAACTACGCCAGCACTTCAATCCCAATTGAATGCAGTAAAGTGGGCAGCTTACCTCTCGGTAAGCTCTGCAACAATTGTCGCTATAGAGCGAGATTCCCCTTCTATGAGCTGTTTCAATGCATTCGCAGCGTTATTACGGTCCTGCAGGAGTTCTACAAACGGTCGGCATTGCACTGGTGTCATCACACCACATCGACAAGAACGGCCTTCGACGTAGCAGGGTGCACATATCAAGAGGCCATCTCCATATCGGTCGGGTTTCTCTGCGCCCTGCGAAAGGCAGCTCTGGCATTCAAAGAAGCTCTGAAATATGTCGGCTCCGCAGAAGTCGCAGGCGACGTTGCGCGATTGCTCAATCTTCTGGCCCTTATCATTCTGCGGAAGGGAGGGAGGTCGCGCCCGCAAACCCGGGCGATTCTCGCCGAGCACGTTGATCTGCCGTCCACGCTTTGATACGAATTCTTCGCAAAGGAGCTCATCGAATAAGTCCAAAAGACATTTGAGGGATTTCATCCGGCTTGAGATTGAGGTAGCAATCGAAGTAGATGGCGATGGCTGCGGCTCAGCGGTGTAGTGCAAGAGGGAGTGATACAGAACAGCCTTGACGCGATATTGTTCCGGCCGACAGACCCTAGAATTAGAATCTCCTCAGCCCTACATCGGACCAACTGGCCAAGTATGCGCACCGGCGATATATGGGCAGCTCATAGTGCAGAGCAGTACGCAAGCCTTTGAAAGTCATTCTTGACCACGACATCTTCATGGTCAAGCCTCCATGATTGACGACTTGGTGACAACTCCTAGGAGGAACTAGCACCAGGTCGCCAAGCCTCTGTTCAGTTACATACACATTGAATGGTGCATTTGCGAATTCTTCTACAGTCGTCACATGGGTTTCCCAATCGAGCTCCTCCCCGAATTCCTTCTGGAAGTACTGGGCAACGTCGGGCGCAACGTTCGATGCAGTCATGAACCAGAAGGAAGAGCCACCTTTCTCGACGTAGCACATGATGTTATGGCCAGAAGAGCCACATAAGTCTTTGTGACAAGGAGTCAAAGTGTCACCGATGCCATAGTAGCACATCAAGGATTCAACGGCTTCCTGTAGAGCTCTGTTGAGCAGGCTGGAGAGCCGTGTTATCGGAACTTACCTCTTGTGGCAAGTATTGTAGAAGGTCATCGGTACCCTGAGGGAGCAGATCATCGGGCAAAACTTTGGATGTTTGCAGCCATGACCTCCATTCTTCTGGGCACTCGGCATCCTTTGCGTAGAGGCGTTCGGACTCTAGCGGGGTAGACTCAGCCTTGACATGCACGTCTGACGCTAGGGCAATGATCATACCCTCTGATCGGGTGAAGGGGTCCATTGCTCGAGAAGTGGTAATGAATTCCCGAAGCGACATGTACTTGTCATTCCGATCGTGGCAATTCCTCACGGATACTCCTGGGTACGGTCATCATGAGCCGATAGACCTTTATGTTCTCAGAAGCTACAACATACGGTTGTTTCCATATTTCTCCAGCAACCAGTCTGCATCAAAGATTTGTTTTGCCCATTGTGCATGTTTATGCCAATCTTGGATCACGAGAGGAACTCCTTCCCGTTCATGCTCATCAATGGCCTTCCGAACCATTTCAGGGTGCTCCATCGAGACTCTACGAATATTGACGAAGTTTTTGCCCTTTTGAAGCAATCTCTCGAGTTTCCAGCCTTTGGCGGTTATCGATGAGTTCACTATGAGAGCGGACTCAGGGTCAAGTTCAATGCGATGAGATGCCGAATCCATGCTGCTACTTGTACTGGTGGATGAATATCGCGTATCCGTAGAAGATGGAGCACGCGACATTGGTGTAGAATGTGGCTGGGTATCACGTTGATCAGCAAGTCTCGATGTTGCTCTTAAGTTTGGCGTATCAGAGGAGCGCGTTTGATTATGCCAGCCTGCCAGATCTTTGCGCCGGGGATCCTCCATGAGTTGGCGTCGCATAGCCTCCATTGTCTTCCGTTCACGTTGTGCGCGTGGGTTCATGTCTTTGACTGGCTAGTGTGGATAACTTGAGTGTCTCAAGCGAGCATTCTTTGCTGGTCCTCGTACTCACCTACAGGTGGAGAATGTACCGAAATTCAGTGCAGCAATTCGACGAGGCGGTCTTGCCGTGGATGCAGAAGGCAAAGGATCGATAACTTAGGGTCGAATATATATATTGCTTGCCCGTAGGCGGTGCCCGGGCAGTGTCACTGTGGCCCTCACCGCGGCGCGAGACATGTTGTGACAGACGCGCTATGTCACGCGAGGTGTCACGTCTTATGCTCGCAGGTCGCGTCTACCTAATAGCCTCGAGGTATCCACGACAATCGACGTGCATCAACTGTTGTCGACTGTAAACACTGTTGACGACTTCACTGTCTCTTCTGCGTCCAACGCTACGCCCATAGCGATGTCCCATGCATCAACGTCAACCCGGGAATTCGACTTCTGGGAATTTGTCAACTGCTCCCGATGTCATTTGCCCTTTGCTGCGGAGGCTGGGGCCCCTTCTGTCCCATTCTGGCTTACAGAATGCGGACATGTAATATGCAATAACCATCTCAGTAAGCAGTGTTGAATGTAACACCCTCATGCTATTAACTGGTCGACTTGGCTTCTCATAGATGCTGATCAGAGCTGTGCTCAATGTGAAGAGCGGGGCATTCAGTTGATGCCTTTGCAACAGGATGTATGTTGCCGCGGATTATGAAATGCCGTCCTCAACTCTGCTTCATTTTGACCAGATGGAGTTGCCCATGTCGGACTGGTTCAGATCAGCACCTTCTGCACTGGATAGCATCGCTTTTTCCACCAGAGTAAGCCTCTTTACTATAAAACATTCAAAATGCTCGTGATTAATGATATATCAACAGTTCCAGATGGATACGCTCGCTTCGCTTGTGCGACATTATAAGAAGAAGTATAGCCACCAACGATTGATTTTAGAGCGTCTCAAGGGAGAATACAAAAATCTGAAGAGGTACCACCCGTATATGCTCATTGCTGTTCTTACTTCATCGTGCGATATTTAGAACAGTTGAGGACCTACAGGCAGAGAATGAGCAAATACGACGTTATGCTGAATATGGGCAAGGAACATCTTCAGATATCAGAAACGACAACGGGAAGCGACGGATGCTCGACAGCCACTAGTGAGCTCTACCACAGCTAATACAGTCTTCGGGATACTTATCGCAGCAGCCATCCAGATGGAGCTCGAAATAGCTCGAGTCCAAGATCCATCGTGACTCCTGTTGGACCTGATCGACTCACTCTTCCGCCCGATCACCAGCAGCCTACCTTTACATCGCGTCGTGCGTCCCATAGCGATGACCCGTCGCAAGCATTCCAGGATCAGAGCGGCAGGCAGCAAAGAGACCGACCAGGGTCTAGGCGTTTTGCCCAGTACGCTCCTTGTTGATGCTTGATGACCCGCAAATCAGGACCGTTGTATGTCTTGACTCATCTATTCAATTAGACAATACGCATACATGCCTCCGCAAACTCCCCAAACCCGAGAAGGCCCTATCGCAACACTCTCACATGCGCAGATGGCTCCCACACGGCAAGCGCAGGCACGCCAGGTTCAAGATTATCCAAACCCATCCATGATGCCACCTCTTGCCACCCGTCGCGAAGTACAAGTTCAGATGATAAACCAAGACTTCGGCACGTTGAAGGGAACTGCTCAGCGGGACCATCAACGACAACAGATGCCCCCACCGCCTGTGCCTCAATCACAAAAGAATGGGCTGCAACAACGCGATTCCTTCCACCTTCTTGGTTCTGGCTCGTCTCAACCGAAGACAACAAACGCCAGCTCCCTCCGCCGCTTCGTCCCCCCCACCCCTGCCCGGACTGGAGATACCTCTACATCCAGCCGAAGATTACTGCAGAAGCCCGCTCAGCAACACGGATTTCAGCCTCAGCGTTTCTTACCTCCGGCTCAAACTGGCGGCTTGCAAGGCTTGTCTGGTGTCTCGACTGCCGATGTCCATGTCAACCAAACACCAGTCTCTGTATCAAAAGTGTCATCTCGTGCGCCCTCCGTGGGTATGCCTGGAGGTCAGCGCATGCCATTTGTTCCTGGATCTTAGATCCGTGCCGGTTGTTGTTCCCTATAGCTTTTGTAGCTGCACTTTCTGTCGTGTCGAATGTTCTCACTTGCCTGAGTAAGATCTCAGAGTTCACTGGCCGCTGTTGTTGAAATCCGCCGATCGCTCGTGAGTTTAAAGTCCGCCTCGGAGTGTGGCGGCGGGCGCTTCCCCCGCGCTGAGGCAGTGGCTGCTGCGCCCGCAAGTGCAACGCAACGCGCTGTTCACAGGAGTGCTCCGCAGCTTACAGCTTACCGGGCGCAGGTCGCCACATTGCTTCCTTCTTCCAAGTCCTCCTCTCGTCCTTCACCGCTGCTAGCTTGGTTGTCATGGCGTATCGTACGAGTAATCAGCAATATCCACCTGCTCAATATGACTACAATCCCTACGACCAATCCCATAATGGCTACAACAATGGAGGATACGGTAATGATGGTCACAATATGGGGGAATACAACAATGCAGGATACCCTGATGACCCGTCTGGAGGTGCTAAGGAGAGGGACAAGGGCGTATTTGAGGCTGATGATGCCATTCCGGTCAGGCCCACAGGCCCGAAGTGCGTATTGAAGTATTTTTGAGTGTGCATTTCACAGCTGTTACTCTCAGGACGTCAGGAAACATGAGGAAGTGGAGAAACGACTACAACAGCGATCTCTGGGGCAGAGGTGGATTCTGGCCTTCCTTTGGCAGATTTCTCTGCTGCACGGTCATGATCGCCGTCTTCATAATCCTGAGCATTCTGTTGTCCTTGGCTTTGGTGGGTCAACGCGCAGTCGGTTTTATCACTGAGCTTATATTGTACCATCGTACCAGTGGATCGAGCCTCCCAGTGTCTCCATAGGCGATCCTACTGTCAACACCAGTGGGGTATGTCCATTTACTAGCAGAGGTCGTATGATACTAATACTGGCACAGATCACAATTGCGAGCGATGCATTGATTGTGCCGTTGGACATTAATATCAGGTAGACTATTTTGTTATTCTCCATGTCGCTATGCCTGACGATTGTCGCAGCGTGAACAATCCGAACTACTTCGCCGTCGACCTCACAAATCTCCAACTCGATGTATGTTCTATGAACTACTTGTCTTCGTGCACTTCTCTAATCCGCTGTCCATGCAGCTGTACTATCCTCTCGATGGCAATAAAACTGCCGTCGGGAGCGGTGAAGAGAAGAACGTCAAGTTCAATGCACATGCAAACACGAATTTTACCTTCGACCTTAATTTGCAATACAACATCACAAGTGGGGATTCCGAGGATGTCCTTGTGAGTCTCGCACAAAAGTGTGGACTCCTCGGGTCTTCCACGTCGGATATCACCGTCGACTACACTGTGCATGTGCGTGCCATATCGTGTTCACGTTAGGTTCATGCTCATATCCTTCTCAGCTCGGGGTCAAAGTTTTGTATATCCCGGTCAATCCGACAATTAGCAGTAGTTTCAGTTTCGCCTGCCCGCTCAGTAGTACTGAAATCGAGGTTTGTCTGCGCAATCATCTCGCAGGGTGTTTGATGCTCATCTCAGTCTCAGGAGTTGCTCAAAGACGCCGGAATAGATCTCGGCGATTTAGGTTCGTTGCGTAAGAGACGATAGGAGCGGAATCAGATGCAGAAGAGGAGCATCAAAACGTACAGGTCTTAATGACGCTTACAACGCCCCTCCCATGTACGCATTGGACTTCACGTCAGATCTGCACCATCTGCTACTATATATGATTGCCGCCGGCCACGAACTTATGGACTATTTGATGCCTTTGGACTATAATTCATTCTTACTCTACTCTTTCTTTCTATACGCTCGATCTCACATGTATTCTTGTTGTATATTGGATCAGTGAAAGTTTTCCCAACCCCATCCATCTGCCATGAGATTATGCTCGCCCTAATGCCTATAGAAAGTAGGGACAAATTGAACTGATCAGGATCCAATCAACTACGCAGCGGGCTCTTCCCTTAGGATTTCCTGTACATTCAGGTCACACAGATCCATGTCTGCCTCCGCCTTCTTGTCCCTCTCATCTATTTGCTTCTGAACTTCTCGCCCCACAATTCCTGGCGCACTGCAGGACTGCAAGCACTGCCCAACCATGCTTCTCCATTTGAGGTGGCCGTCAACGCTTGCACAACTCACGTTCTCTACGCCCTTGACGCTAACTGGAACTAGACCAGCCACTCCCCAGCTCATATTTGATACCCTCGAGAGGACGGCAAGGATATAGTCGTTGGAACTGTAGCCGTTAACGAGTCGGCCCGCAACAACTCGCCGCACAGCCGTCCACGACACTTCATCGGAAGATACTGGAGCACCGAACAGGTAGACATCTTGTATGAGATGGCAGGTCTGGGAAGGCGGGAGAGTAGCCAAGAATTGTAGTGCCTCAAATATGACCATCGAGCCGAGAGAATAGCCAACGAGGGTCACAGCGCGGTTGCCCAACACGCGTTCGGCTAGAAGCTTTCCCAGCACCTTCCCTGCTTTGGTTGCGAGAGACTTAGCAGTCATCCATGGATTGTCTGCTCACGCTAAGTTACTAAGCTGCGCTTAAACTATCTGCAAAGAACACACCGATAATGCGAGTGACTTGCAACCAGGCGGTTGGCGAGAGCGCGGCGAACAGCGCGGCAAAGACGGTCCGCTTTACGATTTCCGCTTTTACGTAGTACATGGCTTGCGCCTTGATGAGATCATTGAATGCATTTGAAAGGTTCTCCAGAGCATCTACTTCCTGACACGATGAAAGAAAATGAACGTCGTCTTTCAGTTTGGATCGAGTGGCTTGCGCACCCACTGTAGTGCAAACGTGTCGTCACCATCAAAGACGGTCCAAGGAGCTACGACATCCTCCGGAGAATCTAGCCATCCGCTTACACACAATCTAACAGCTAGGGTGCTGCAAGGTTGACGGACGGGCACAACGGCCAAATCGTTGACTTCCCTCAGATACCGTCCCACCGTTTCCGCAGTCTTCTTCGATCCATATGCACCGAATAGCGCACCGCAGACGGCAGATGAGCTGGCCAATCCGCTTGCAAGCAAACCAGCCGCTGTGCCTCCCACTCCAAGCCAGCCGAGTACTGTCGAAACGGCAGCACCGACTAAAGGCGCCGCGAGTCCGCCCGATACTCCTATAAGAACACCGCCAGCTACTGCTCCGAGTCCAATCCCGATATTGCGTAATGTCTTCGACTGTTCGGAGGCTTCTTTCTTGGCACTCTTCATCTTCTTTTCAGCTTCCTGCACAGCGTGCTTTGGGTCTTTGAGGACGGCTGCAATCGCTGCTTCATCTAGCGGAGCGAAGGAAGATAGGAAGCAGCGTGTACGAGCAGAATATGTCTTGCGCGATATTATATCGAGAAACAGTGCCGTCGTGAGCACCTGTGCAACCTCGGGACCCACAAGCATGGGGGGGAGACCAACGAGAGAGGTATCACATAACGGACCCAGAATTGGAGGGGCGCCTAATGGAATCTATGACATGGGGGCCATGCAAGCAATGGACTTTGAAACCGCACTGACCTTCGCCTGGCTCACTGCAAGCCATCCATATGTGTTTCAATAAGTCCTGTCCCCATTGGGTCACTTGGATGACGAACAATCGTCTGATGTCCTCCTTCTCGTCGTCAGGGAGTGTCGAAAGGCTGTACTCTGCTACAGCGTATAGTTCCGATGTATTGCGGTATGCCGCCAAATGACGGAAGACTTTTTCGAAGACTGCCCGGCGCTGAGCTTCGCTAAGATGACTCGGTGGTGCAATCCTCGTCAAGTCACTCATCTGCAAATAAATAAGTGGGAAGGAGAGACAACAAGGATGTACAGAGTAGACTGGTGTTCAGTGGAGTTCGTGCGACGTCGGGATCTACGTCACATGCGATTGACTTCTCAGCGTTGAGTTCATCACGGATCGTGAAGCACGTTGTTTAGCACACTGCAGAAGGTTGATGCACTTGTCCAGGATGACGAACAAGCAGCAACTGGACCAGCCAAACAAGAAAGCGTCGACTCACACGCAAGAACAGGCACATGTAGGGGCCACCGGCACATCCATCGGTGAGCGCTCGAGCGATCATCGCGTCGACCGTGTTTGAGGCCTTGCGAACAAATTTTTGTCATACTAGGCAACCCAGAGTTGATCCATTATTGGCAAAGGCATCGCAGGCCTTTCGCTCGTCGCGCGCTCGCCGTCGAAGGCGGCCGCCGTTTGCGTCGCTGCTCGGCGTGACGCCAAAGCACGTGCACACGTTAGAGCCGACGTTCCGCCGCTTGTCCAGCTTTCTGCTCAACGACTACGATCCCGGGGTGGCAGATGAGTTTGTCGTCGTTGGTGGGTTCGTTTCAGCCTGGATACAGGATCGTACTTTTGACATGTTCTTGGCCAACAGTTGGGGGGTGCACTCCGCGCTCAGTTGCGGTGTACAAGACCGCCATTACTACATCCACTATTGCATGCTCGCTCCCTTACGCTTGCAGCATCCACCTCAACAGTTTTGCGCTTCGTAGGATTTTCTCCTCGGACTCCCCCCTTCATAGTACATTATGTTCGGCCGTTCTCTCTCTCCTCCATCTTCTCACGTAAGCCCTCGCCTACACCACCTCCTGCGGTCGTAGCGCAGGTTGCCGCAATGGAGGCCGATGCAAATGCCAGTTCGAATGATGTCCAGAAACAAGTTGAATTGTATGAGGCGCTGGTTGGGACAGGCGTGAAGCCGGGATATGATGTGGTCATCGCACGATGGGAGCGGATGTGCGAATTCGTGAGCCTGCCTTTGTCGCCGCCGTTAACAATCTCTTCTCACCATGCTGACTCCAGGATCCGTCAAACCCAACGATACGCTCAGATATCGCCTTTCAGCTATATCTCACGGCTTTATTGAAGAATGGTCTTGGCTCATCTGTCGATGCTGCGGTTCGTCGACGCGATTCTCTGCTTGCCGCTGCTGGAGCTGCTTCTCCTGCTACCTCCTCTGCATCCTCTGGTACATCGTCTCTGGCTGCCGAAACACCAAATTCTGCTTTTGAACCCTCGTCGGCCCCGTCTTCTTCGACACCAACTGCTGAATCTGCCGCGCCCACCCCCACTTCCAGTAAGCAGGTTGCACAAGCTGTGCTTTCAGGACTAGCTCCTGCAACACGCCATGCGCCCTTAAACATGGACGTTGCGAAGCTCGCAGCTGCACTTACTAGTGGGATGGGCGTTCCTGGGAACCCTATTGCGGTGACGATCAGCGAGCGTGAGTATCATACTTCTTCACATGCTTCTTGCTCCTTCGCGAGCACCTTTCATGTCCACGCTATATTGTCGGGACCGTCATGGTGCCTGTTTGGTACGGTGCTTTCAGCTTGTGAGAATGTCTTGAACGGTCTCCGTGGTCCGTCAGAATAGTTCTCATTGAATTGTGCACAGTTTGTAGAGTTCTTTCCATTCTCACTGGCTGCCATTACTCGCCCGCGTCTCTGCTGAGAATGCAGACTGCTCGAGATTCATGGAAAACTAGGGCATTCTCTCATGGCCGATGATGTTCACCATGTGGAGCATAATGGCATCCTCACGATGTCCCTTCTAGAAATCGGGTAGCTTGCTGTCTGTTGGGCTACTATCCGACTATATCCGTTTCAATCTTGATATGATTTACAGCATTTCTTAAACCGATACCGTGACATATGCTAATTCGTGCATTTGACAGCAAAGGGCTCCTGGATCCCGCGACTTGTTAGATTCTTGGTACTTACGGCACTCTCTGGTTTCTGTAAGCCTTTAATCACTCTAGTCAAGTTTCATGCTAATTGTTCGCAGTCATTCTCGTCATGCTTGCCGTTCTTCTTGAGAACTCCGGCTTGATGAAAGCTGGACCTCGCCAAGCCGAGTTCGAGCCCGCACCAGGAAAGACGTACAGGTTCAGCGACGTTCATGGTGTGGATGAAGCGAAAGAGGTTAGTCAACGTGCTCGCTGTAAAGCCAGCTCTTGATCTGATCAATGCATCATAGGAACTGCAAGAGGTGGTCGAGTTCTTGAAGGATCCGACCTCTTTCGCGACACTGGGTGGCAAACTGCCCAAGGGCATCCTTCTTACTGGTCCTCCTGGAACGGGTAAGACCATGCTTGCTAGAGCAGTTGCTGGAGAGGCGGGTGTTCCATTCCTCTTTGCCTCAGGGTGCGTGATACTATGTGTTATTCGGAAACGTCCTAACGCTGTCTGAGATCAGCTCTGAGTTCGACGAGATGTTCGTCGGCGTCGGTGCCAAACGAGTGCGCGACCTCTTCGCTGCTGCACGGAAACGACAACCGGCGATCATCTTCATTGATGAGCTCGACGCGATAGGAGGCAAACGCTCGAACCGCGATCAACACTACTTGAAGCAGACGTTGAACCAGCTCCTGGTGGAAATGGATGGATTCCTGCCAAATGAAGGCGTCATCGTGATTGCTGCCACGAACTTTCCTGATAGCCTTGACCCGTCAGTTTGTTTCTCTAAATTTTGCTTACCCTTGAGGCCAACTCCGATATTTGTAGTGCACTTGTTCGACCTGGACGTTTCGATAGGCATATCGCCGTCCCTCTGCCAGATGTGCGTGGACGTGTTCAGATTTTGAAACACCATATGAAGGACGTGGTTACGGAACCCGGTACGTTGTAAGGCGCTCCCTAAGTCCAGTGTCTAACCGCTTCATGACGAAAAGGTGTTGATCCAATGATTTTGGCCCGAGGCACGGCTGGATTCTCTGGCGCAGACTTGCAAAACATGGTAAAGTACGTGGTCACGATACTCTACAAGACATATTGGTCTTCTACTGGAGCTAGATCAAATGTTCACAAGTGCTGACAACATGGACTAGTCAGGCTGCAGTACAAGCATCACGGGAGGGCGCCAAAGCCGTGGGTTTGAAGCATTTCGAGTGGGCCAAGGTACACACACTGAACATATATCCTCCTGCGAAGATGCTCATCATGGTCGATAGGATCGCATCATCATGGGAACTGAGCGAAGGACCGCATACATTAGTGAAGATGTCAAAAAGATGACTGCATACCACGAGGTTTGCTGCCATGATTTCCACTGCTGTGTACGGCGTAATCATCTAACTGTCATCTTTCGTCAGGGTGGCCACGCCCTTGTGGCATTGTACACTCAGGGTGCTATGCCTCTGCATAAGGTTACCTGTGTACCACGTGGTCATGCATTGGGTGTGGTATGTCCATTCGCAGATCTCCCCTCCTCGATGTGATATTGACCCTCGGCCGGCAGACAAGCCAATTGCCGGAGGATGATAGATATTCGGTCTCTCTAAAGGAGTACTTGGCGCAGATCGATGTCTGTATGGGTGGGCGCGTCGCTGAGGAGCTGGGTACGTGCCCTCAGTTTCGACGGTGCAGATCAGCTGATAACAGTATCCACCTCATGTCTGCTTGTTGCAGTCTACGGACCCGAAAACGTTACTAGCGGAGCATCTTCGGATCTGAAGCAGGCCACTCGCACCGCTCGGGCGATGGTGAAGGTCAGCACTTGCGTTTGCCAGCTACAGCGAACCTTTATTGACGTTATCTGGTGATCCATCGTGCCATAATCCGGCTATAGAACTGGGGTTTCTCTGATAAAATTGGTCCGGTATACTATAGTGATCGCGAAGATCCGATCAGTCCTAGCAAGAGCGACGAAATAGAAGGGGAAGTACGCAAGTAAGTCTAACCTTCGTCTACCAATTCTCGGAGGCTTGATCACCTCGCGTGGAACCAATGGTTCGCTCGGCGGATGCCTAAGCAGCCCATGGGAGTGTATATGTTATTGACTGACATTGTTCCCTCTGTGAACTCGCAGTCTGCTGATAGCGGGCGAATCACGAGTTACAAGTCTCTTGAAGTCGAAAGAGGAAGAGCTGCACAGGGTGAGCTTCCTCGGCATGTCAGCCGTCAGGGCACTGACGTGATCTGCTCCGTTTCATCTCATCTGCGCCCATGCCAGCTGGCTTCGGCGCTCATGGAACATGAGACACTAGATGCCGAAGAAGTGAAGAAGGTCGTCAAAGGAGAACCAATACGGAATATCAAGGAAGTCATCCAAGAGGACCTCTCACGAATGTCGGACGAGTCTAGCTCATAGCATGCATGTATGCATGTACTTTCCGTAATACTAGGAGGCTCTATTTCCGTACATTTTGCTTTGTACTTGTTACACGCTCCATATCGGGCATAATTTAACCTACAAGCATGTCGTAGGGGGAACGCCCAGCTGACGAAGGCCGAGATAGCCAGAGCCGAATGCCGGCAGATATTCCCGCATTCCAAGATATTCCAACGGGAGCTCAGCGCTCAATCCCCGTTGGGAACACCGGTTTCTCGCTTAGACATGCTTCTAGCAGACCGCGCCTTGCATCATATTGTGGTAAATGGGGCATGACTGCATACGCACCTGCAATGCGCAGTCGCACATGTACTTGCACCAAATAGAAACGTTCACGAGGGCATTGGAGCGAGATTGGGACCGTATCACTCCCTCGCTTGACGAGCCGGGTGTATATTGAACGCGAAGCAACAATGCGAGCGTGGAGCTACTCGGGCTACGCTCAGGCGTCCGACAGGCAACGTACGCGGCAATGCGGACTGCGATGATGCACATAAAGAGCAGGGTGTTACTCACTGAGAAACGCTCATGATAACCTATCGCTTGCCCGACATGACTGGGTTGCGTGCACTGCCGATCATGACTCAGACAATAGCCTCAAGACTAGAAAGTTTGACGCGATGTAGTATGCGCTGGGACTGCCAACTGGCCAGCGCACGTTATGCGGAGCAAGAAGCAGCCTGCGAAGAGTTCATGACTGCTGCGTCCAATGCGGCAATCCACGAGATCTGCGAATCTTCGTTTCTGAGATGACACGATGCTGCACGTCTCCGCGATTAGGCCAGGAACCGGTCATGACCGTTGTGCTCCACGCGAAGGGTGAGTGAGGCTTCCGTACCATATTTCAACTTCTTTCTGTAGCAACACGTCGTCTGCACCTGCTGTACAAGCGGATACGGTGAGCTCGTGAGATCTGAGAGACCAGAAAGCTCTGTAAGCCAACAGGACTGTACATTCTGTTCGGAATCGCTCAGATGTTGCTTCATGCGAGAAGCCTTCTTTGGTGGTTGGACAGATACCGCGAGTCAACTCGAGGTACAGCGCGCTCACCTGATAACGCCATCAGTGGTACGAAGCGGGCAAGCATGGAAGCCGTTCTACTGGTCGGTGCTTGAATGTACATATGGCTCTGACAAGGAGTGAACGCGACGAAGATTCTCAAGCGTGTCGGAATCTTGCGATGGCGATGGTAACTTCATGTGGTGATAGTTTGTGCGCATGTAGTACCGATACGAAATATGGGAAGGCCGCGTGCTTTTTAGTTTGATTTACGTAGCGCTACCATCATTGCATCACAGCGAATGAGATGCAAACGCGAGGGGTGCTTCCCTGAGTAGACTCAGTAGAGTCTAAACGGCTTGATGCACGCTGCCGTCCGCATGAGAGAGGCCTTATGACCATTTAGTGAGCACGGAGGGTGATCATTGGTGTCCATGAGGGTACTAGCGCGAGGTTTTAATGATATGGAAACTCAAACACTAGCATGAGCGACCATCTCGCGCAAGATTTCAACTGAGGTATGAATGGAACTTGGACATCTGTCCCCGAGATTGGACGGCATTTGACGCCCAATTTCAAGAGACCGTATTCTGATTCCGGCGCTGTTTGCTTCCACGTGCTTGGCAAGATGAGGGCACGGGGATTGTTCTGTTCGTGGGCATCGGCTGGCGTCCTTTTCTGATTCTGTTGGGATCCCTAGCGCATGCACCTCATGGTTCGATTAGATTTGTCTCACCAGCCGTTGAGGAGTCTGCCGCAGAAAAGGCTGAGTCTGCTCCGTAATACCGTATCGAATTTCGGTCCGTCTTGGAGCTGGCAAAATATGTAGCATTCCTTCTGGACCTTAAAAGCAACCGCACGCGCCCTCGGGTCGGGAGTCCATGTCGGACTATAAAGACATATATTCCTGCTAGCCAAGGCAAGGCAAGCTCATTTCATTCGCCGGGCCATCGCCTCGATCACAGTCGCCGTGGACTTCGATCAACGTTGTCGAACGCAATCCCCCCGACCTCCTACCTCCGCCGACCATCATAGCGCCCAATGTAAGTCGTTCTGCTTCCGGCCAGAAGTCCGTCTGATGAACGATTAAGCTCGCAGATGTGTCACCGACAACTGAGGTTCTACAAGTCAACACAATGCGGTCATTTGACTTTCACCGGAGACACCTACATCGATTGCAACTCTCCAAATTGTCGCATCAGTAGCGCACATCCCGCCACCTGCGGAGGGCCGGGGACAGTCTGCCGTTGCAGACGCTATTATACGTGCGTCAAGCTAAGCAATTCGAGGCAATACGCTTATATTTTTCGTAGGCAACCAGAGCGCATCGTCACACATGAGGCTAGTTGACGCGCTGAGCGTAGGCCGTTGGTTCATTCATGCTGATCCTTTCATCCACAGGTTCCAGGCAAATGTCCCCGCTGCCCTAAAGACTCGTAGCGTTTTACTGCGAGTTAAAGCGAATACAAATTGTACATAACATATACTATACATCAAGATCAATCTCTCCGAGGACCTGGTCGTCCAACCCTCCGTCCCCATACTCATCGTCTTCATTCACAGTTTCGTCGCGATATTCCTCTGCCTTGTGAGCGAGCTCTTTCTGTTTAGCTTGAGCCTTCTCGATATCTTCGAGGGTCCACAATGATATCCCTGTCTGATTCTCGTTTGGATTCTGCGAAATCGTGCGCATGAAGAGCTTGGACAGAGTCAGCGCCATATCCGTGGAGAGGTTTGACGCAGTCTCGGTAATGTATTGATTAATCCAACGCGGTAACTTGGCACGCTTATCCGCACGTGCGAACCGCTTTGACAAAGGGAGGCACGCAGTCAGCAGCTGGATTATTCCGGTCGATAGTCTGAGGGCTGACCTTATCCGCGAACACCATGAGGCCCCAATCAGTCTTCCCTCGCAGAACACGTCCCACACACTGTGCAGCGGTGCGCATTGCATCGAAGCCAAGGAACTCGGACTCTCGGATGCGATATGCATCTCTCAGATACTCCAGGCGTGCCTTGAGGATCCGGCTCTCGGTATACTGATACGGAACCCTAGAAGCTAGTGAGCTTTTGACGTCAACGACCTTGAGGACAGACACGCACCCAAACATGATGACAGCTCTTCCATAGTTATGATCAAAGTCAATGCCTTCAGAAACCTTGCCACGGGCAACAGAGAGTAGGACAGCTCCTCTACCATTATCACATGCCTTCACGACATACCGAAATGTCAGATAACGAAGCTCAAGAACACATCAAACTGGCATACCTTCCGATAATTTTCGAGCGCGATACTCGTCTCATTGGCGTCTGGCGTCTCCACAAATATCAGTTTGTGTTTCCACACTTCGTTTAAAATACCCTGACGGCATCAGCAACGTTGTCAGCCATGAGTTCAGAAGCAATTGCTACAGGTTCAGCTGACCATGTCATTCCACGCTGCGACAATTGACTCCATGTAGAGATAGCTCGGGAAGAAGGCGACTATACCGTCTGGTACGATCTTACTATATTCTATGAGAATGCTCCCGAAGTTGCGGACAACAGCCGGGTCGTTCCTGACTTCAAAGCGAGAACTGATGGCCACCTGGTCGCTGCCCCGCGTGATGACCTAGATTATATTCAAGTAATCGATAATAGATGTAATCAAATAGGCTGATACCAATGGCAAGAATGAATTTCGTGTGAGGGTCATTTGATACGATTCTTGAACGACAGGAGTGAATTGCAACATTTTTGGGTACATGTCCAAGGGCGAGATCGTTCCGGACGTTATCACGACTGAACTAAATCTTTCGAAGACTGGCTTGATCGCTATGGCAGGATCAAGGCATCTGAAAATTGATTTAAATTATATTGCCGCAGGCTCAAAGAACACGCTTACGTTAGGTGGAATATGGGATTTGGCACGGTAGAATTGTCGGTCTCGAAAGGCTCGAGGATGAGGAGAAACCCTAGAAACGTCTATCGATCACGGGTGGACAGTTGTCGAGAACCGCCAAGGTTACCTTTTTCATACGTCGCGACTAGAGTCGCAAAAGATGCCACTTTCTGTAAAGCAGAATATTCGTCCAATCTGCTCAACTCCAAGGTTCTGATTAATGATTGCAGTCGCTCGGCGCAGAACCTGCCGCATTCAAAATGAGACTGACTAGCCGGCCGCCCGGCATGGCGCTCACCGTAACGGCCTACGTTCGATGTACGTAATATCCTTGAGGTGCTGCAAGAACGATAAGGGTGTTTCCGCAACAACGTGAAGAACACGCATCCGCGTCTACCGACATGGTCGCAGTTTAGGTAATATCACCGATGGCGCCAAGAGACTAACCTTCAAATATTCTACGAAGCGCTTTAAGAATGCCACGAAATGCTCAGCCTTCCGTATGTTTCCAGGAACAGCCTCCTTGAGAAGGTCTTCGGGTAAGACTATGGAATGGAAGTCGCCTAAGGTCTGATGTTCGCACATCCCGAGGAGCGCGCTGCTTGCCTGGGTTGGACATAAAGGTATCCTCATCGCTGGAGGCTTCCTGCAGACCCTCCACGAGTCTTGCATACTCATCTTGCAGTTTCGAAGCATCCGTCTTCTTGATCCTAGGTCAAAGACCATGAGCAGACACATATCTGAGTAAGCTTGCGAGCCTACTCTTCAATCTTCTCTCCCAATCTGCCAACGCTTCTTACAGCAGAATCAAGCATCGGTCTTGTCAAATCAATGCTCAGTGACTCGATGCAGACGTTGTCTATGATATTTCAGGTCACTGACAGAGCCTATGGGCCATCGCCAATTTCAAATACCTATATTGTGAGCTTCGTCAAATACCACGATGGAGTCCTTGGACATTTCCTTCGAGACTTGCTCCGCAACTTTAGGATCGAGCAGGTAATGAAACGAATAAATGATCACGTCGACAAACGGCATCTATTACGCACAATCAGCACGACCCCGGATATTTGTTCAGGCCACTCACCATTCTTCGAACAGTAAAGTAAGGGCATGTCCTATGTTCATGCCCATATTGCAAAACGTCAGCGAGGGTCCAAATGCCGGGCGGTATCAAATTCCCAGGTTCGAGTTTCCCCAGGTTCTATTCCCCTCGTGAGCCGAACAGACCAGCCGAGATACAAATCATTGGGTAACAAACCTCGTGCCATTCACACAGCTCGACAGATCCGGGGTTCTGACGGCCCTTCTCACAGACGGCTGAGTTGGTGAGATCACGGCAGCGTGCATCCACAACCCTGCCCTTCTTCTCTTTTGAGACCTGTGAAACGATAAGTTTGAGATCCGATTTCGAGCCATCATGGGGCTTGGTCGAGACAAATGCTCAAGGCCAGAGTCTGAAGCTCTATTTCTGTCCTCGTTCGTGGCGGGTGACCTTGTATGTGACCTACCTCGGGGTGTATGCATAGGTTCTTGCGGCTCGTCAAGCCGATACCATAGAAATTCCGCTCCTTTTCTCTTTGCTCATCGGTCTCAGCACACGATAATCGGTATTCCATCAGTCTCTTCAGCTCCTCTAGAGCCTTCTCAATCTCCGGGACCGTCCGTGAACAGTAGATGAGCTTCCGCTTTGTGGGATAGAACTATGGGATGTCAGATATGGACTTGGATGTCCTAGTGACATTGCAATGTACTTGCTGGTATGAAACGATCAACGACAAGAGGGAGACGGTCTTGCCAGTACCTGAAGGCATCTCGAGCACGCAATGGCCCTGAAATGAGATGGGCAATGAGCAGAGTGTTGTATTAGACGTACAAATACTCACGGCTGCATCAAGGGTACGCTTAAGGTCACACATATAGGAATATTGTTCTATGTTTCAGCCATGAACTTAGGCAGAATGGTCTAGTGCTGTCCGACACACCTGGGTATATTCTGTCATAAGGGAAAACCACCTGCAGACGTGTCAGAGAACTCCATGTGGGCACGACCGACGGTGTACGAACGGGCAAGTCGTCAATGTGGAACTTCATTCTGGCTGGATGTGTTGCCGCGGCGGTTGCTAAGTGGGCTACTCAGAGCTAGATTGATACAATTGTATAGCGTGGCGTGCAAACGGATAGGAAGAAATTTCCAGCTTGGTCTAGTTCCGGCAGCCTTACGGCATCAGGTCAAAGCGTGACCCAAACGCGTCGCCGAATGAGTGTGACGCGGGGCCACACGTCCTCGGTCACTGCGTGCTCCTGTCACGCGCCTCGCCCATCGACTATGTTGGCGAGACATCCTCACAGAGCAGCTCTTCTAGTCCTCCGCCGCTTCACCGTCCGTCGGCGACATCCTGCACTCTGTCGGTTTGAATCGAATGGAAACCTTGAACCTGTATCCCCGCAAACAGGCCCCCAAAATGGACCGTCCACTAATTTCATACAGAATAGTTTCATCAGGGACACTGCTTTCGCGCTAGATACTTTCAGGCGGCTACTCAAGTTCTCTCTTATTGGCGTTGTTGGCATTGGAGCGACCGCGGTCACTGCGCTAATGGCGGCTCATTTGTGGGTGGAACAAGTCGAGCTTGCACCGGAGACTGACGAAGAAGTCCGGAAGTGGGAGTGGGATCGTGAAGCGGACAGATGGACAGGCGGGGCTACAGGCGGGACAGATCCTGGGTTGGGAACGAAGGGCAGGATGGCTGTCCGCAGCGCGTGGATTGCGCAGAATTGGGGGACCGGCTCTGCCCCTAGTGTCGTCGGTTCGAAGGCGTATAGCGGCCGTGTACGCTCAGGGGAGGGAATGCGTGCCGTCGAGGCTCGCCTGGAGTTTGCGCAAGACTTCCTCAACATTGCGATTCATACTGCATCGCAGAAGAGCCAGTCTGGCAACCTCCGACCGGATACCATCACCGAGCTCATTGCTCGGCATGCTAATGTGATGGAGCGCATGGGTACAAAGGACGCGTTGTTCGAGGCTAGGTCCGAGTATGAGCGGGTGTGGGCAGGGCTTCCGGGCAAGGGAATCGACTCGGCTCGTATCGCTCTGAAGTTGGGAGACCTGAACCACCGCCTTGGCGACCCGGAGGATGCATTGGCCTGGTGGGCGCGTTCTATCCAGCTGGCACAAGGCTCCACTGTCCTCGCAAGTGTGCCACCTGCTGTACCGGCATCTGTGCCGTCAGCTCCTCTCGCTCAACGCACACTTATCTCGAATCTAGTGTCTCTGTCCGCACACTATGCGACGTCGGGTCAGCTACGACAGGCCAGGGCGGTCGAGGAGGCTTCTCTTGCTCTATTGCGGTCTGTCAAGCAGCCGGAGTCATTTGAGTCCACGACACCCCCACACGCATTGCACGCCTTGTTCATCCTGCACCGTTCGTCGTTGATATCCATTCATTTGGCTGAGGTTCTGTACGCCCTCAAAGAGCAGCCTGCAGTTTCTGTCCAATGGCTCTCTCGGGCTGCTGAGTCGGCTGAGCGAGTAGCATTGGTATTGACCGGTCTTCCTCCAATCCACCCTGATGCCCCTGAATCTCAGATTCCTCACCCACCATCGTCTGAAGCCCCGTTAGTCCCGGCTTACGCCAAGTCACGCACTATGTCCCGACCGGCGGGGAGTCTCCTTCGTGATTCCAGGCGTACAGCGGCTGAAGCTTGGAATCTGATGGGTATTCTCGTGGAGAAGTCGCGTGCGAAAGGGGCTACAGAAAAGGCCTTGGAATGCTACGAACGGGCATTGGGCTGGGCCGGTGTCGCTGCGGACAAAGCGGGAGGGATTGGCAAAGCCGGGGAAGGTACGTTGGAGACGGAGTGGAAAGCTTTGTGGGCAAATTATGTACGCGTTCGCGACGTTGTTCGCAAGGAGACGGAGAATGGCAAGTAGTGCGGATTATGAACATCACTTGTGCTGTGTCCGGTGATATATGAATTATTTACTTGGCTTGTACAATGTATTATTAGTTAGTGCCTCTTCAATAATCGACTCCGGCCACCGCTAAGTAGGTGCAGCGAACATCGTTATCGCGATCGAGATGCGATCGGAGATCTCCACGCGGCATTTGCCATTGCTTCCTCGAGCACGCTGCCCCGCGTCCGCCACGCCCATGCGAGGTCCTCTTTGGTCCGCCGCTCGTCTGCGCCCATTCGCGTCTTCACCTCGTCGAACAATCTTGAAGCCTAATCACTCATCGAGAGCAATGTCCAACGTCGCGTCCGAACGCTTCTTCGCGGATCGTGCTTCTCCGCTGTGCAGCCTGCAGGTCGCAAAATCGTTCGCGCAGTTGACGTGAGCAGCCCACGTTGATCACCGTATGATCTACGGCCGATGATCAGCCGATTGGTGTAGTCCGAAAGAGAAGAAGTATGCGCACTATGTTGGAGAAGCGTCCTGGGCCGGCGCACGCATCATTCAAGGCCAATGGACCCCGCAGGCCCAGAAGTTGTACGACCTATTGATTTTGATATTCAGCAATGATGGGAAGTTGGGAGACCTTGATCGATTGAAGAAGCAGTCAGGCTCGACGGACGAGGAGTGGGAGGACTTGATGCAGTATACAAGCCAAGTAAGCATTGACAGACTTCACCCTCTCTCGAAGATCGTCGTTCAATGAGGCCCCGGCGCAGGTCTTGAGCAACCTCGTGAACTACAAGTCTTTTGGCTTCACCAAATTCATTCCACGTATTTCAGAGGCCAGTTTCGCTGCCGTTGTCGAGAAATCTACCAACGCTACCGAGGCATTGAAGCTCTGGAAAGAGGTATGGTCCACAATATGCCTGATGATGCCATACATTGACGCACATTAAATGCCAAAAGCTCAAGGAGCACATCTATCAGTTGGTACCTGAGTCGAGCAATTTCATCGGCAAGCGTCGCCTCGGCCACATATCGAACTATTATCTTGGAAACCCCATCCTCGACGCTGAGGTTGCTGCTGTACAAGCGGGCGCTGAGAAGATCGGTGTCGATGTCCTAAATACACGGTCTGCTTTCCAGCCTCTTATGTCGCGATACAGTGATGCTGATGAGTATACCTTTTCAGCGTGAGGAAAGATGGCCCAGACAGTTTCGCCCTGCTTGTCGCATCAGCGAAGCCACAGCCCCCTGCGATCCATGAGATTGAAATCCTCAATCAAGGTGATAAGCTCACGGTTGAGTATGGTGACTTTGCAGAGCCTTTACAAAAAGCGGTGGATGCACTCAGAGAGGTACGGCGACAGATCACACCTACCTGTGCAGGTAGTGATCTGGCCTTGTATAGGCCAAGAAATATGTCGCAAACGACCGTCAAGCTGCCATGGTCGACTATTATATTGAATCGTACGTGCCGATGTCAGGCAGTACCCACGCGTGCAAGCCACTAACCTCGTGATTGGATGGGCAGCTTTGAGACAGGCTCGATTGACGCTCACAAGAAGGGCTCTACCGAATGGGTCAAGGACATCGGTCCCGTGGTTGAGAGCTATATCGGTTTCATTGAAACCTATGTCGATCCCTACGGCGGTCGTGCTGAATGGGAAGGTCCGTATACGCCTTCTCATATTCACTTGTCGCTGTCTGACCCTTGAGTCTGAATTCGATTGTTTTAGGTTTCACGGCCATCGTCAACAAAACTTTGAGTGCAAAATACGACAAGCTCGTCGCGAGCGCGCCGGTCCTGCTCGAAGTGCTGCCGTGGGGCAAAGATTTCGAGGTGGATCAGTTCCGGAAGCCGGATTTCACTGCACTGGAGATTGTTACATTTGCGACAGGAGGTAAAATAGGGCGCTTGCGAGTATGTAATGTGATGCTGATTTGGATTCGCTAGGCATTCCTGCTGGTATCAATGTACGTGGTGTTCTTCATCTGCTTCTGCGCTGAAGTTGACTGTCATGTCCCAGATCCCCGTGAGTTGATCATGATATCTGCCTGAACGGTTGCTAGAAGATATGCGCAGAATTACTACGAAATTCGGGAGTCAGTCGGGTTCAAGAACGTGTCGCTCGCCGTAAGCTATGCTACCTCCGTTTCGTCGCGGTTGATATTAATCATCGCCATACAATAAGAATATCCTCGCGGCCAAAGCTCCGAGTATGTGTCACTGCGATTGCAAGATTACCGATGATGACAACTCGGTTAATCAATCGTTCTCTTGTCCCCTCCAGACGAAGAGCTTACCTTCATCCATCCGGATGACGTCGACCTCTACAATGCGTGGGATTCACGTGCATTCGAGCTGCAAGTTGCCAATCATGAGTTGCTTGGCCACGGCTCCGGCAAGCTCTTCCAGGAGAACGCCGACGGCACGAAGAACTTCGATCCGACGAAGGTGCGCTCGTCATCCCTCCGCTGTTCTGGCCAGATAGACTTATTTTTGCACCATCCAGGTCATCAACCCTCTGACCGGAAAGCCAATGTAAGTAACAATGTAATGGTCAGAACATCGGTCCAAAGAAGTGAAGGGTGAACGTGATTTTCAACCTGTTCTTTCACACAGCACGTCTTGGTACAAGCCCGGCCAAACACCTGGTTCGGTTCTCGGAGAAGTCTCCTCTTCGATGGAAGAGTGTCGGGCCGAAACTGTCGCTCTATATCGTCAGTGCCGCATAGATCATCCTGTACTCGTCGCTCATTCTGCCTTGGCGCAGTCGTCAGCAACGCGGATATCCTGAAGATCTTTAGCGTAAGGCAGACTTCTTTTGGGGGCGCACGCCATCTGACGAGACCACTGCGTGCAGTACGTCGATCAAAAGGATGTCGAAGATGTCCAATACATCACTTTCCTCCTGATGGCACGAGCTGGCCTTCGTGCCCTGGAGTACTACGACCCTGCTACCAAGAAGCATGGACAGGCACACATGCAAGCTCGGTAAGCCTCCTTCCGCTCAGAAGTAGCCAATCAGCTTCATAATGTTCTCGCGACGACACGTGCAGGCTCGGAATTACCCAGTTCCTCATGAAATCTGGCATCGCTTACTTGGAAGAGGTTCGGGACGCGAACGGTGTGCTCGAGAATCTCTACATCCGGGTGAGTGCGCTTCTCGTGGGCGGTCTCGCCACGGCTACATGATGATACGCGGGTCTGCAGGTCGACAAGCAGAAGGTGCTCACGCAGGGCCGTGAGGTGGCCGGAAAGCTTCTCGTAGAACTGCAGGTGCGCAAGAGCGCCGCGGATGGTCCAGGCGCTCGTGCGTACTACACTGAGCTCACGACACCGCTGCCTGGATGGGACGGTGAGATACGGGACTTGGTGCTCAAGAAGAAATTGGTGGGTGGATGAGGTTTCGTCAAGTACTTCAGCATGTCTAACTCAGTCTTTTCACAACGTGCAGCCGCGTAAGATCTTCGTGCAACCCAATACGTTCATCGTGGACGACGAAGTGGTGCTGAAGGAATACCCGCTCACACCGGCCGGTGTTATCGAGAGTTTCATTGAGCGCCGATTGTAGGTGGCGCTGCTCCATCGGCCGTTGTGGGTGTCGACGTCAGCGACGTGCATAGGGAAAAGGATTTCGGAGAGTCGGCTCCTACCGGTCATCGAAAGGGCGAAGGGAGGCTTCCGCACAGTGTGAAGCAACTACTGTGATCAAGGTGTATGCATCAACGGCCGACAACCTGTATATTACTGCTATATGCGCGGCGCAATGCGATCTACGTGTAAAGTACCGTTAGCTATTGGTTATTCTAGGAGCCATAGTCCATGTGTGCGGATACCGGCTATGTTGATGTCCGGAGGTATTGCTACCGGCGGGTATAATACGTCTATCATCCTAGGCTGTAGTGAATGTTACCGGAGGTCCGAAAATGAGATCCGGCTCACGGGTAAATGAAAATGGGGAGGAGCGTGATAAAGAAAGGATTATTAGTATGAACGATCAGAGCGTCTCGCGCACCAATGCGACGATCACCGTGACGCTGCACGACGACTCTTGCTTCAGCCATGACCTAGACACTTTGAGCGAAACACTCACTCGTCGACTTTCTACGGAACGAGAAAAAGTGCATTAGCTCGACTCGCTGGACAACGTGTGACGGCACTTACCCCTCCACGGAAATACATGCCTTCCCTCGCCGCCGCTCTCTCGAACGGACTAACCCTGGTCTTGTTCGCCATACAACCTCGTGCATAGTCGACGAGACGTTCCGCCACCGTTTGGACGAGTTGATCCTCAGAACTCTGGTAGAGGGCACGCGCAGTTAGCTCATTACAGGTTCTACGTACGTCGAGAACAGCATTACCTCTTTTACCACCTGCTCCCCTTCTGGCTCATCACCATCTGTATGTCGCGGTTGTGATGCTTTTGGCCCTATGTTGAACCGCCGTGAAATTAGGGAGCATATTTTGATAATTTCTGCCGGGAAAACATTGTCTGACAGTCCATCCGTCTAGCCAATGTATGATATTCCTTTCAACAATATTTCATTGAGGATATGTGAGCTGACGTACATATGCGATGATGAGATCTCCATCGCGAAGCTTTGTCTCATAGATGTCGGCGTCTCTTGGTGAATCGACGCAAGCACGAGAAAACCGCGGAATGGACGTTGGCAGCTTGGAGAGTTGCCTGAGTAAGGGTTTCATCAGATGGTGGACGAGGAGCACGGAGGTGAGTGAACGAACTTTGGACAGTTGAAGAAGTGCTGTTGTACAGGCTGCTGGTGTATCACTGAAGACGAGCGAAATATTGCGAATCCGCTGTCTCCCAGACTACGATGGATTCTGTCAGAGAATCTGAGGGCGCAGGGCGGTGAGACCTACTTTGCTGCCCGAAGAATACCTGACGATGCGTTGAGAGTGAGCAGGCACGCCGTACTCGATCCTGCGCAACACCGGACACGGAGTCCCGCCTTTCCGTCAGCCCGCAGTATCGTCAAGTCAGCGCGATACTCACCCGCCTGCACGTATCGCTCTCTCAGGACGGCACCGTACGCCAACTCAAGGCACTCTGCGGGCGTCATCTCCCAGCCCTCGACCTGCTCGCGCTCTTCGTAGTCCTGCGTTGGGTCCGTCTCTGGCTCACCGGCCCATGCATTTTTTGAATATCGATGCGCGTGGTACATGAGGGCTTGCGAGAAGAGAGAGGGATCCACACCGGAGTCGACCCAACCGCCAACACCGTCCGCGACGCCAAAGGATATCCCCTTCATAATCCACAACGACCGGACCCAGCGTGCGAGACGCGTCAGGACTCAACGGGACCACAAGACTGCGACGGCACCCACCGACTCGTTGCGCATCTATAAGCGGCATGTAAGGGTAGTGAGGAACGTAGGGTACAGATCGAGAGCTTACATCCTGCACATAAAAAAAATCCTCTCCAATATGTGTACCAGTCGATGAATGATACTTGGACATTATCTCGTCTCTCCAATGGCCTATTTCGCTCTCTGGTGGAAATGGCTTCGTCTTGAAGCGGCGGGTCTGTGGCTCTGGGGGTTTGCCTGCCCAGTTAGCACCGACGTGGAAGCGATACGGGCGAGGGAGAGACGACATGGAACGCGACCTGAGTGTCGGACATGATTTCGGAATGGCGAAGGTGGATCGTATGAATGTCATTGAGTTGTGCAGGGTCGTTGAGCTCAAGAAGATCTCTAAGACTCACAGCCGCGTCCCACGTGAACTGATGTCACAGGGGAATTATTTTAAGCGCTCGTATGCATCCACCATTGCCTTTGTGGATAAACTTATATGAATTCTGGAGTACATAAACGCTAACGAGGTCGACGAACACCTACATCACTCCATCGTCTCCAGTCGAAACGCCCATCCGTGACATGACCCTTGCTCGCCGCCTTCCCACCCTTATCACCCGGCCTGATTTTCACCTTGTCAATATTCGAATGGTCCTCGTCTGGCTTTGGTGATTTCACTTGCAATGTCTCTGTGCTGCGGGCCTTGATCAACGCTGGTAATGTCGTCTGGATGCTACTCCGTCTCTTGGACAGCTTTGGCGCGGTAGTTTTGTCTCTTGAACGCGGTCTGCACTCAGCAGGAATTGTTGGCACCTTTAGCTGCGAGATCGGCTGCAGGGGCTTATTTGTGCGGCCAGTGTTATCGCTGGAAATGATGGCGGCGTCTTTCACTGATTCGCGTGGGAGTACACAATCCCGGCCTTCCCGGCGGGTGCTTCGCGCAGTTTGCTTTTTTCGAAGGAATGGATTGGCAGAGGGTACCTTCTGCCCGCTCGCACCGCTTTTTTCCTCCTGAATACGTGCAGCAGCAGCTTTGCGCGCTCGAACTGCTGCCTGCATCTTCCGCACGTTCTGCTCGACTCGTGCGTGGTTCCGCGCTCCATCCGAACGCACGGCGTTTCCATCTACCAGCCGATCTCCCACACGAGCTCTCTTGCTCGGACGCTCCTGCGATTCTCGTATCCTCGCCTTCCATTCGGCGAGTGACTTGGGGAGCGAACTCCACGGTGGTGGTGGACGTGCAAGCATGAATGGGTCCGCAGCTGCCTCCTGCGCAGCATGACTTCGGGATCCCGCCGGCACAGCACTCGAGTCCACCCGTGGAAGCATCGATGATAGGGATGGCATCCGCTCGGACGGCGCTGTCCTTGCGGCCGAAGGGTTTTCGTAGAATCGCAGCGCCGCTTGACGTTGAGCATGCAGGTATGCTTCTTGCCCCGCAGCGAAATTCTCCTCGGCAGAGTCAATGTCATCGTCGGAGAAAGTAAGCCCATATCCATCCTCGCTTTGCGACTCATCATCACCAAATTCATCGTCCGTTCCGTCCTCTTCCCCAGAGACACTAGCAGGACTGTTTTCTGCGCTCGAATCATCATCATTATCGGACGTGTCCCTCGCGTCATCGTCAAAGTCATCACCTTCATCACTAATACCTCTAAAAATATCCGGGGAAGGTGGGCGAGGCTGATATGGCAAGAAAACGTCCTTTCGCCCTCGCGATAGGAGCTGCAGCTCGGTTGTTTCCGATGACTCCAACGACCCTCTCATCGTGAACGGGGTAGCATGATGATACAGCGAGTCGATCAGAAGGAAATATGGATGTGGATTCGAGAACAGAGAGCTAGGTGAATGTAGTTGTGCAAGCTGGTCGAGAGCTTCTGCCATAGAGGCGGTGTTAAATAGAATAGATTCCTTGCTTGGACGAAAGGGACCGGGATTATTTTGTACGCAACGTGTGCCCCTGAGATCTATGAATTGAATCCAGATGCAATGAACGGAATGAGCGGAGATGTAGACGACGTACCTACTACGCAGAGCAAGGGGAAGTTGGTGAGACAGTCGAAGACGTCACTCTTGATACTCATGCAGTGTCTGAGGCCGAGGATTCGTAGACCCCATGGACCTCTCCGCGCAGTAGCAGAAGAATCATCGCCTTGCTCTTCGTCTTCAGCAAAGGTCAAAGTCTTAGATAGCCTCTTGATGCCCCAGGCGCTGAGCGCTGTCCCACTTGCGTCAAATGCGCACAGGCCATGCAGCGCTTTGAGCTCAATGACGTTGTCATCTGTCAGTTCTGCACAACATGGTAGCTCGAGCACGGTGAGCAATGCGAACTCTGGGGTAGACGGGATGCGCTGTAGCAAAGGTAGGTGTTCGTCCGATAGCGGAAGAACATAATGACGGAACGCGTCCGGGACACCATAATAAAGCTGAACAATGAGAGACCATAGGCGCGGGTCAACCCTTGTCAGATCGAAGGACTTGTTGTCGCGGTATTCAGGTATCAGTGCACGCAGAGGATCGTATACATCCGGGGAACCAGCCGCTCGATAACTTAGTCGAGCACGACCAAGAGCATGTACCTGATCTGGGAAGTCAAGCACCTTCTGTATGCAGAAGTAGGTGAGCGGAGGGACATAGGAAAGTGGCCGACCAGCCGTGAAGGCAGAATGATATGGGGCGGCAGCGGAAGACGTGGTTGGTAGAGCATACTTGAGGATGGTGGTACATGCGTCGTCTGAGCTTAGGATTGCTTGTGGATGCCATAGAACGATGGGCTTGCTCATACGTACCGAGTTGTTTGGTGGCTGTCGGATGGTAAGATATAGGCGCCGGATAAAACAGAGTGGCTGGACCGTCGCGGCCACGTGATCGTGTTAGAGAAGGCGTAGCGAGGCGAGTGAGTCTCCGCCGTGCTCACGATAGCACATGCGTTCAGCTATCTGTGCCGGCTGCTGAGTTCAAGTTCTTGCAAGGTCCATCTGATGCGCGGCCCCCATCCCTTCAACAATATGGCACATATGAGCGCGATATTATATTTGATGATGAGATACGGATACAACTGTATATGTAGCGTATATGGAAAGTATAGATTCAGCGAAATAATCCAAATCTTTGTATAATCCGTGCAATGTAATCTGATGAAAGTAATACGGGACTGACAATTGTTAGAGGGAAGATGCGTATGGAAGATGTGCGAAACAATTCGAATCTCTACATGAATCCAAGCAGTCCAATTCCAATCCGACGAAACCGATGCAGACCGACAGTTATCAAAGCGAGACACGCACATCCGACATCTAAATCTTCACCTTGGCCCTCTGCTCGTAGGTCTCAACGTCGATCGTGTTCGTGCTGAGGAAGCGATAAATGTTGACAAGCTTCGTCTGCCCGTATCGCCTCAGCCGCCCGATCGCCTGCGTCTCGCACGCGTCGTAGATCTCTTGCGTCGCGGCCAGCAGCGGCGACAGGAACACCGCATGGTTGGCCGACGTCAGGTTCGCCCCGCTCGCGCTCTCGTCCATAACGTTCAGCAACAGCACACGCTCCTTGCTGTTCGTCTGGAATTGCTCAAGGCTTTTGCTCTTCTGCACTGCGGTTCCTCGGATCTCGAGGAACTTGACATCGTTCGCGGCGAGCGCCTCCGCGACCTTCTTCATGAGATCGGGGAACTGAACGAAGACGAGGACTCGTTCTTCCTTAGGTATCTCCTTCCTATAGAGAGGACTGATGAGCATCCGCGATGATCTGGAGATTGCAACTTACTTGACGAGGTAAATGACCTTCTCGAGCTTGAGGCCGTAGTGCTTGCCCTGCCCGTCGCGCTGCTCGTCGTCGACACCCAGGGTGTCGCCCTTTACAACGTTCAACACACGAGCGGCCGCTTTACATGCGCCAGATGCAGCATATACACACTCCTCCCTCTCCGCATGCTCTGTTACACACGCGATGCAGCCCATATGGCCACAAGACGAGAGCACCGCGACCTCCTCAATCGGGACTTGATCACGCCTACACGATGGGCACGACACTACAGGTGCCACATCGGCCTGCTTCTGCAAGTCCCGAACGGCAGTGAAGTATCGCAACGACCGTACGCGGCCCACAAGCTCCTTCGTCAGACGGCGTATCACATGGGTCTTCTCGCGGTGCTCCCAGATGAGCTGCTTAATGCTTTCCGGCAGGTCGTCATCCTTAGACTTGCCCTTACCGCGCGCGTCGACCTGCTTGTTCGTAATTGTCCGAAGGGGTGCAGCGACGTTCGCCTGATCGAGCAGCGTCCTCGTCTGCTCCGTCGCGTCCTCATCGCCGACGCCCTCGTTGCGCGTGACGCGGACGTACTCACGGAAAAGCGACTCGATCTCCATCTTGCCGATCTTCTTCTCCATCTTGAGTGCCTCCAAGATCATCTTCTCGAGCTCAGTCTTGCAGTCATCGAGTTGCGCGCACCGTTCGCGGACGATGACCTCGCATGCTTTCATGGCGTTCTCCTTGTCGGAGGAGTCGAGCTCAAAATGTGAACAGCGTTTGAGAAGGGCTTCTTCGGCAGTGCTGGAGAGAAAAGCTGAGAATCCTGAAAAATCCTATTCTATAAGACGACGTACCTGCTTTCTCCGAGTGCTTGGGCCACTCGCTTTTCACGGTCGCTTTCACTCTTCCTGCTTCGCTTGACGGTCATGTCTAGTGCACGAAGATGGTGCTCGAGTTCCAGGTAGATGGCACGCTCAGCTGCAGGCAGGTCCACCTTCCTGATTCCTTCGCTGGACAGGATCTCGTCGATCTCAGCAATGTTCTACCAAAGCGATTAGAAAAATGCGGCACGCAGAAATAAAGTACTCACTTGACGAACGAATTGATCCAAGAACGCTTGCCCAATTTGATGGCGATGAGCATGCCACTCGAGACTATGGACCTCGCGGAAAGAGTGAAACTTTTCCACAGCTGCAGTAGTTGTCAATACAAGCTCTCAGATACTAAAGAAAAACCAGTGCTCACCCGTCTCTTCCTTGCGGCGTTTCTTGACCTGAACCGACTGCCCTTCACCATCATCGTCCACGCCAAGGTGCAAGTTGAGGAATGCAGAGATGGTCTTGAGAGCGCGGAAATCGTGGATTGGGGGAGTACCAGAAAGCACCCAGTGTCGCTCCGCTGTGATGTTCGTTACCATGGAATGAATCTTGCCATCGAGGTACGTGTACTCGTCGACGACCTTCCGGGAGAAGTGGAACATTTCGAGAGGCGGCGCCTGCATCTTCGTCCAGTCTTTCTTCACCGCGGTCGACCCCAGCTCCCACGGGCCCTCGACTTCTTTTCTCTTCTTCGCCGGCCTCTCGCCGTCGTCCAGAGCCTTGCGCTTTTTTATGGCCCTCTTCGGCTTGTCCTTTGAAGACGACGATTCATCGACGTCCATAGCATCAGTGTCCGAAGTGGCCGCAGAGTTCCTGCTGCCCTTCACTCCTTTTCGTGTTGTTGATGCTCTGGACGACCTGCTAGAGTAGTCGTCGTCCGATGTGACGACGTCATCGATAGCCGTGTCGTCCTCGGACTGGGTCTCTTCCGCCGAAAACTCTTCGTAATCAGAGTCCTGCGACTTCTTAGACCGCCTGACGTAGACTGCCTTCTTCGCGGAGCGTCTGGCTTTTGGCTCGTCCTCATCCTCGTCTGGCACATAGTCGTCGTCAGACTGAGCCTGCTCGTCTTCGTCGTCGGAAATCATGATCGGGCGCCTCTGACAGCTTCGACGACGACGTGGCCTGAGCGCGTACGAGTCGTCCTCTCCTTCTGTCGCCTCAAGCGCGGAGGACGATACGATGCTCATCGCCGAAGGCGACTTTCTGAGCTTGGGCAGAGGAGGGATGACGACCTCCATGATCATCCTTGTTCGCGAGTTTTTCGTCTCTGAGGGTTCCGGCTTCGGCTTCGGCTTCGCAGCATCCTCTACGACCTCGACTGCCTGACGGGAGGTCTTACCCTTGAGTCGCTTTGCGGAAAGCAGGAAGTTACCTTCGTCCTCGTCTAGTACAAAAGACTTAGCATACAGTAGCAGGACACTAAATATAAACCTCATACCTAGCTTCCTGCCTTCGTTGATCTTCTTTATCACGGCTTGTGCACCCTCTTCTCTAAGCCGGTCGACTTGTCCACGGAGCGATGCAAGCACAGTCTCTAACCTCGCGTTGAAATATCTGCCTTCGTGGACAGGGAGACTACCACCGCCAGCGAAAATCTCCAGGTTCCCCAGATAGACGTTGCTTTGGAACAAGTTGGAGGCGACGACAACAATGTCTGCTTCCTGAACATCCTCGATGGTCAAGGAGTTCATGCTCGTAGCAGTCATGAGTATAATAACTTTAAACCGCTTTCCTGTAAACTTCTTCACCTCAGAGCCCCATTGTCTAGTCAGATGAGGAGGAACAACTACAAGGGTCGCCTTGACTGGGATCTTGCCCTTCATGCCCTCCATCTTCTTGAACTCGTCCTCGACGCTCTTCGAGGTGCAGTCAATAAGACCCAACGTGATGGCGGTCTTCCCATACCCAACCTCATCCGCAAGCACGCCTCCTCTGACACGAACCGGCCTCTGTGCACGGCCTTCCGCCCTCCATCCAAGCGGCTCCAAGATCGCATCCGAAATTTCCTCCTCGATGAATGGAGGCGCGTCCGGCTCCTCCTGCACCAACATCCACGTAAGCGATCGCAGCTGCTCCGGGCGCAAGTCGATGACGAAGCTAGGAGGTTGGGCGTGTCTTACGTCATGCCGGTTGCTCGAGAGCTTGAATTTCGGGAGGTCGATTTTCGCTGCCGGGAGGAAGTCGGTCGTCAAGCGCCACGAGGTCTTGATTTCTCCTGTTCGACCGGCGGAGGGAAGACGAGACATGGCCCGGTGCATGAGCGACGTAATATTCACACCGATGCGGATCACACCGACGCCACTTTTCTCGAGCTTGAGCTGCGTGACGAACGGTGCAGGGCGGCGCTTCAGCCTGCGCTCATACTCTCCAGCCTGCGCCGTGTCCTCAATCGCCACGATTCTGTTCTTGTTTTTCATCCAACGCAGGTCGGGCGCAGTGGGTGCGCAGCGCTCGCAGTTGACGTGGTCACATACTATCTCCGCGTCCTGCCAGTGGCCGAAGTGGTCGCCGACGTTGCGGATGCGCTCGATGAGCCACGCGAGGGCCTTGAACGTGACGCGCTCGTGTACCTTGTCGACCTCCTGCCAAGTGCCGCGCGGCCACTCGGGGCCCGCCTGGTCGAGAAGTGGGACGCGGCACACAAGGAGGGCGTTCGCGCTGGAGCAGGCGTCATTTGAGATGCTGACGTTGAGGTGGTCTCCTGGCACAGCGAAGTGCGCTTCGTGGCCGGCTACAGGCTGATTCGAAGCGTAAGCCTTAACATGGATTGATTTGATAATGATACTACTTACCGTCAGACGCGTCTCAGGCGACTCGACCCACCTCTGCGGAATATGGCACTCGATGCTCTGCTCTTCCACAGTGTCGGACTGCCTCCACTCCGAATCAAACTTGCAAACGAGAGGCCGAGTCTCACCGTACTCGTAACGCCGCTTGCTGATGGAGATCACAAAACAGTCATCCGCGGGATCTCCACACCGCGTTGGGTCGAGGAACAAGAATAGCGGCGGCAAGTGAGAGTCGCGCTCGTCAGACATCTTCTTATGCAGCGCCGAGTTCGCGGTGCCGCACTTGTCTAGCAGCGTATAGACACCCGAAATGTCCCTGTCGAAGTGTACCATGTCCTCCTGGGGAACGCTGATCTCCAACCTCGAGTTAACCATCTTGTCTCTGAACTCGTCGCCCTGCAGGCCAAGCTTCTGCTCCCACGACGGAACGGGCTCGCTACCAGAGATCATGATACGCACAGACGTAGTATGCGGCAGCGCAAAGTCCCAGCGCCCCGCACACAGCCCGCCCCGGCAAGCCATCCTGCCTACGGGGGTCTCCAGCAGCCTGCGGAGCTCCGAGTTCGCCGGTTCGCTCTCCTCCGGCTTTGCGAAGAGGCGCCACTCGGGCTGCTGGGGTAAGAGCAGAAGCTCGAGATACGCCACGGGTGACTGGTACGTCGCCACCCAGATGTCTTGTCGCTTGGGCTCGACGAACCGCAATTCGTGCTGGGAGACGCGGAGGACGGCTTCGCACCAGCTCGACCAGCGCTCGCTCGGGATAGAAACTCCAGACGCTTCCTTGAGGCTGTCGAGTAGCGCTTGGGAGACGTTCGACAGGGAGACTGACATGGGGAGCGTCGACTTGAGCTCCTTCGCAAAGGCAGTTGGAGGCATCCGTGGGTTTGCCTGGACGTCGATGGGCTCAGGGTTGTGCTCCGGCCGACCGCCACACTTGACGCAGGACGACGAGCCGCAGTCCTTGCAGCGATTTACCTGACGATCAGTAATGTCCTTCCGGCCCTCGCACTCGCACAGACGCGCGCTCTTCACCGCCTTGTCAAGAAGAGTCACAAGAGGGACTGCAGCGGTTGACGCCAGGTCCAAAGGCTGGTCCACAAGCTGGTCTACCCCGGAGACACGGTCTTCGATGGCTATGTCGTCGAGCGCCTGATCGACGTCCATCGAGTCATCCCGCACTTCGTCCCTGTCGACGTCCATCGACATGTTGTCTCGGGACTCGTACGTGCTCGTATCGTTGCCCTCTTTTAGCAGCTTCCTGCCCACGATGAGTGCGGCCATGATACACGCGCCGACGACAGTCGTGGACATCGCATTCCCCGCGAGGTCGGCGAGCTGATCCTCCGTCTCGCGCGTCAGGAGCAGCTCGTCCACGGGCAGACCCTGCATGGAGAGCGCCTCAATGCCGACCATAGGTCCGCCGCGATTCGTGATGTACGGAATCATGGCGGGTGTCAGGCATGTACAAATGCCGACTTTGTTCGACCCGATGGTCCGATCGACGTTCTGCGAGAGGTTCCACACTTGCCTGAATTGCATGTCAGTCTGTATAGCCGTGCAGTAGAGTGAGTGGCATAGCTTACGTTTTGTATGACGGATCGACGCCTTTCTTGGCAGACCGGAGGAGACTAATGTCCATCAAGTCCCAAACACGCTCTACTTGCCCAACTCCCCAGTCGTTCCACGCAAAATCTGGCAACTTACAGAAACCACCTGAAAAATGATAAGCACGCACCACTCAGCAACACGAGACGTGCAGACTAACCTTCGTCCCAGCTCGTTAGCGGGCGCTTCGAGCCGAGCTCCTCCTCCAGTCTCGCGCGTTGGTGACGGGACTCGCATCGGCCCCAGTCTGTCCGGCCTCTCCGTCGGTCGACTGCGTTGTAGCTTTCGGAAACGAGCTTCTCGCGTGCCTGATGGATACGGGGGTCGTCGGAGGGGAGCAGGAAGGCATCGAGAGTGGACGATGCGGGTCGCTTGAGCTTGTTGAGAAGCTTCGCCCACTCATCTGGAAGATCCGAGTTTCGCCGGTCGACAGCGAGGAGATATACACGGGTACGGGTATGAGGTATGTAAAAGTCCTTTGTATCAACTCGTAAGAACTGGGAACTATATTTGTTCTTCTCGAAGTATTCGACCACGCGCTCCCAAGGTGCCGAGCACACGTTCTCCAGAATGACCAAGGGTGGCCGGTGATTCTTCACCCAGGACATCATCCCCCGAAATGTCCTTCCAGACTCGCCATTCGCGTCGATATCTTGATTCTCGTTGTTGAGGTTGGAGTAGTCGACGCAGGAGGTACCCGCGATGAGGATGTCGACGTCTCCGGGGACGGGCGCTAGGGACCCGTACGCTGTCGTACTTCATGACAAACGTCAGGTCATATAAGATGAACGAAAAATACCTGGCGTACGCATGTGTGTCCCCAAGCTCACAGACATCACGGAACAGCAGGGGTGGTTGGAAGTTCCGCTCGATGTACGCCTGCTTGAAAGGCTCGATCTCGCACGAGAAGACGTGTTCGCACTCGAGATTCACGTCATAGTGCTGGAGTATGGATCGACGAATGAGGTCGAGCGCGAGAAGGGGAGACTCTGTGCCGGAACACATTGTGGCGACGCGCATCTTGCGGCCTTGCAGGTGCTGCGCCACTACCTTGATCTGGGAAGCGCGTGCGACTAGATCAGAGAAGATGGCTGGTATGTTATGGATTGGGGGCAGGTCCGACGCATCTGGAGCTGAGCTCTTGCTTGCTACAGCAGTGGGTTTCTTAGCTTCTTCCTCAGGCTCAGAAACCTCCGAGTCACTGAGCCCGCTGGCTGTGTCTGCGTCAGATTCAGACTTTGCGGAACCCTTGAATAAGGAGGCGATGGACTTTTGGCCATGAGCAGCAGCAGACCTTTGTGCTCGTGCCATGTCGAGATGACCAAAGGGGGGTGAGGAGAAAGGCGACGATACGCGTCGCGCGTGTAGGCGCTCAATTACGGAGCGTCACACTCGCGATCAGTCATGACGTGACATGGTCGTGACCGAACGTGTATGCGGTGCTTGGCATCCCTAGGGCCTACCACGATCTCTTAGCAGAGGGATATGAGTGAATGGGAGGTATGGGAGCTGGAACTGTGCAATAGGCCTAGTATAACGAGGAAATGTATTAGTATATACCTAGGCAACTACAGTACAATAGTATGTGTAAGATACTTTCAGGTACTAGAATGATGATAGTACTCACTGGGCTCCAATTCTCTGGTAAAATCAGGAATTGAAGCTCGGGGGAGAAACCATGTCTGAGACACATGCTAATGCCCGAGAAGTACACAAATGAAATAGTACTAGCTGGTAATTGAAATATAAGTCCACACATAACTTCATCTATGCACTGCTTTGTTCCGAATCCACGTTGCATACCTTTGACGTTGAATACCGTTTACACGGCAGACATGACGCGATTTATAAATGTGGAAAATCGTGTGGGAATGTCAGCTGATGTCTTACATTTGTGGCAAAGCTTTGCCAATTTAGCATTTAAACAGCAAATAGTGCACATTCACAGCCAAAGTGAAACATTTTCAACATGAAATGCCATGGTTGCAAATATCTGTCGCATGTGTAAGAAATCAGTCGACATTCACACACAATTTCCCACATTGATAAATCGCATCATGTCTGCCGTGTCAAACGTTAAACCTTCGCGGCGGACGCGGAATGGGGTTCATGGCGAATTTACACTCCGCGGCATACAAAGCATAAGATCTCGTGACTGAGCGAGTCAGATCAGGTGCGTTAATGAGTCGCGTGGGGCTCCGATATCGCGCCGATCGACCTGCCAGATTCCGTCGAGGCTGGCTTCCACCGATACCTTCCTGTAACAATGTTCCCTGTCCTCATCTCGCACACCTCTGATTCAGCTCACGCCATCTCTGTCTACCTCTGTATTACTCTCGTTACTCAAGACTGATGTAATGGTCGGCTCTTCTCCCGCTGGCTCATGGGCCTCCTACGGCTATCAGTCCACAATAGAACACGATTTGCGTGGCTGAGCATACGTTGCTCCAAAGGCCACTCCAAGTACCACAGAAGGAACATACTCGTTTCGTTTATATTTATTGCTGGATATGAACTTTGCACGAGGCGGAGTCGATGGCATATGCGTGACATGCAAGGACCATAATGTAAATCGCCATTGCTCGTACTAGTCCCTAATGCACTTCTTAAGGTTTTCTTACAGTGTTTTAGTGTGGCAGCGATGATGATGGCCATGTTGGAATTGCAGCGGCATGGGGCGATATGCATTGTTCTATAACATACATCAAAACAAAGATATAGGACAAAAGACATATGTATGCATAGCCTCGCGTGAATTAAAATGAAAAAATAGCACCGACATCTGCTCTGGGTCAACAAGAATAAACGCCACTTCGTTCAACTTGGACATGCGCACAAATGCAGAGTTGTCTGCGTCTATCCGCGCTGCCACGACCGCGTGTAACTTACGACCGCTATCAAAATGCACATCTTAAACAATCACTATGAATATCGAGTTGTGTGATTGAGTGAAAAGAGAAATACAGAGCCATCAATATGCAGAACAACCCAGCTTCGACTCAATTTCTTTATGACGACATGGTATACAAGACGAACCAGATGCCACTACTCCACGAAAAAGGTATGAGTACAAATGATCCGAGCGGCATATATGCAATAAACACGAGGATTTTACAAGAGAATATACAGAGCGACGACGATACTTCAGCAAAGCACAATCTCATAGGAGACAAGAACTATGTTGTGTTATCAATTCAGCAAATGCGAGAAGGTCAAGCAGCAACAGAGAATGTGTGCGGATGATACGGATGGGGATCCAATATATCCGATGCCAGTCCACCAAAGCTGCGCCGAACGACATCATGCTCATCCGAAGAGTCAAAACGCGGGACCTGACAGCTAGCATGCGACGAAGTGTACCTTTTAGATGTCTATACGACGGAAGGACAACGTAGGGCATCGAGAAAGCTAAACAAGCACGAAAACAGGAAAAGGGGGCCCACGGCCAATGCCGCGGCAAGCATCGGTTGGAGGATGATTATCAGTTCGTCTTGGAGTTCCTTGATGCGAAGTGCGGGTAGACCCTTAATGCCAAGGCCCAGGGATGATGCATCGTTGTTGAGATTGTCTCTGGTAGGGCCCTGACAGCGTGCCGCCGGACCGTCTCAGTCCCTCATACTCGCGTTGACGACACTTTCAACTCACCAACGTGAAGATGCCTCAATGTCCCTGCGCGAACTCCCCGGATGTCGGTTTAAGCCTACAAAAAGCCTTCATAAATTTTGGTGGAGCAGTCCTTATCTATAGAAGACGCGAGTGCTCTATGGTCGAACAGGGGGTGGAATCTTTGTCCGTAGCCTGAGCAGCAATGAGGTAGCGGTAAAGAGCAGCCAGCTGGACAAGGAGGCATCTTCAAGCAACATAGCAAGAGCGACTTGAAAAATCTGTTCAGAAGGACATCTACAAGACGTGTCCTCGCACGACCTGATGCGCAAATGAGACAACAAAGACTTCAAGGCCGCACGCTACTTCAAGTTTGCGGTTATTGCATAGCGTAGATGGGAGGAGGAACGGGCGTCCTAAGCTGTTTAGAAACCCATGCTATCGTGCACGATGCTATCGGTTACGGGAAATCGAGAGAAGCGGCTGCCTACATTTGGATGGTTGCCGTCCATTGAGGCGATGAACTTAAGTTCCGTGGCTGCGACGCGCCCCTCTCATTTTGCTTCCGCGATCCTCCCCCCCCAAAAAAAATGCTTCCGTGAACATTGCACAGCGGTCTTACCTCTCTGTTTGCACCTCCTCGGGCTTTGGCACAGGCACTGTCAGTAGCGATGTCGACCGCGGTTAGAACTATGAAGACGGGCCATCAATGTCAACAAGATGGGCGACATTGTCATTGATCAATTCGGCGCATGTCTTGTGGGTTGTCCGTGATACCTCTCGATCCGTCATTTTCCAATGGACTAGGACAGAATATAGATCTGCCTCAATCTACCTCCAAGCACGCAGAACGCGTATGAGAGTTCCTCGCTGCCGCTGTGGACGGCGCATTAATCCATAAACCTATTAGCAGCCCACAAATTTATTTCGGTATCGCGCAGCGCCAAAATATCATTTAACCTATCATTGTGAGCTTTCTTCGCACTTGTAGAGCTAACCATTTGTTTGTCAACGCTTCAACGGCGCTACTCCGCCGCGCCGCGGGCCAGCGACGACGATCACCGACGCAGTGACAGTGACATATCACGCATCACCCTGTCACATCACGAGCATAGCGCACAGACGCCCAACAGGCAAGTGGCCGTTTGATGGACACGACGAGCAATAGTATGATTCTCTTCCCGCATGGAGACTGTCAAAGTAAATAATGACAGCATGCACAAGGAATACGGAAGGAATGGGAGACATGGCAGAAGCGCCCTTGACGGCAAGAAGATTATCAGGAAGGCTCCCGACCTAGCAAGACCAGCACGTAAGAAGCTTCCGAGACCTCGATGGATCAGGTTAGCTGAGGCACCTCAGCGCCGCAGCCATTCCCCTGGCTATGCACGACAAGCCGGAATGAAAGAATACGGCAACCTCATAAGCCTCCTCCCGTCGGCTAATGGTTTCATTCATCTCACCTGCATCGAACCCACTTCCCCAAGAGGAGATCAACGGCATGTGTAGTACTCTGATGTAATCAAACGACAATGCGTGAGGCGCACGACGTACCTCTGTCGACCCGGCCGATGCAAGACAAAGACGTCGCATGCCTTAGGCTACTTGCAAAACGCAGAGCGCGTCCAGAGTGGCACCGGACATATTAGAATATTCTCTTCAGATAGCTTGCGATATCGACCAAGCGAGCTGCATGTGGAGCTGCGAGACACACCGTAGTCATACTCATTCAAGTTGTCGCCTACTCCTATGTCAAGCAATCATTTGCCGCGCAGCTTTGGCCATATGACGGGAGACTTTCGCATCCAGAAATCCTTGAAGAGTGCCAAAGAGCCGCTGGACGTGTCTAAGGGGAAGTTCAATAAACCGTCAAGTCAGCCTGGCAGAATTCGACGAGCTCGACAGCGATAGACGCCGCAAAGAATAACATCGATCATACGCCCGCCGATCAGTTTATTTCCTAGGCACGCTCGGAAGACGCCCGACGCAGACGGCAAGCTTTTAACGACAAACAAACATCAGATATCTGGAGGCGAACGAGCGTTGTGGAGATGGGCGCGCTGGGCAGAGCGCGAGAAAGTCCCACGCGAGAAAAGCTAAGTCGCGCATCAAGCCCACCTCGCGTCGTCGATGGCCGACATCGTGCCATCGCGTTCGCATCGTCCTAATATCTGTTCCTCGCACTTGCGACCACGTCGAGGATTTCTCGTGGAATCCGGCCTGCACCTACGATTCTACTTTGATAAATCCCTGGCCGCAAGCCGCCATGTCTGCTCGACACGAGACGCCCCCATCGCGCGGCGGCTCTCCAAGTTCAATGTCCCTCGCAGTTCTCGATTACACACCACGAGTTCTGACAATGCCAATGACCGTTATCCTCATTCACTATACTCGGGTTCCTCATCACCATCGCTTTGCACTCCTACCCTACCCACGAGATGTCCCTTCTTCCGTAATGTGAGCCATGAAAGCGTGCAATCTGCGTAGACGAGGTCGCATTGCATTTCTGATCCGCAGTGGACCGCGTCAGACGAGGATTATTGTTGTTGTGCTTCAGATTGGGAGAGACCTCTTGTTGTAGCGAAGACGGCTTTCTTTCCTTTTCCCTCACGGTCGATCATTGTAAAATGATCAGAGAACGCGCATCTCACATTCGCAAAACTGGATTATCCCGACGAAGTCAAGTTTTCGCCGTCGGGAAGGAAGCTCACTGGAACATGACGACCTACTCCGAAGCTGAATGTTGCAAACATTGCAAGCCAGCAGACGGTTGAAACGGCCTTGCGGCTGGTGAGTTTGGCTCTTGCGCAAAAGTGCTAGCGTGCATCTAATTCTTCCACAATCTTAAGACCGTCAGATCCTGCTTCGTCTACAATTCTGCCGCCAGCCGTAGACGAATAGAGAGTCGATGGCCCTTTACGAGCAAGCTTCTGCACGGAGATGATACACACTATCTACTCATTGGCTTGACATTCCCGTAGCGGTTCATCAACTCACTCGGAACGGCCTATCAATAAATCCGTGATCATCGACACACTTCAAGGTAGGTGATCTAGTCTCTCGATTCCTTGATCTCAATTGACGTCTTGCGATCCCGAATGTACTTTACAACCTGTCCTCGCTCAACATTACGTCTCGATTTGATTATCTAGAGTGTACTGCCTCAAGATGAGTGAAGGTTACAAGCGCGAGACTGAGGAAAAATGCAATGACTGGACAGTTGTAAGTGTACTCTAGCGAGTCGTCAGCATCTTGGCTATGTTTACTCCTATATTACGACAAGAGCATGCAGGACGCAAGACCAAGTTGATTGGATCGGGCGATTGTCGCCAACGACGTAATTACCGGACAGCGGTGGGTATACGCTGACGAATCATTCAGTAGTTGATTATACTGATATAAGGTGATATAGGATCGGAAGGGATATGGTTAACCGATGGGATGTACGATGGGATGTACGATGGGGAGGCGGAATAAAATCAGTATCAAATGAGAAACTCGGCCGACGATGCGAACCTGAGACAAGCTTCGACATCTGCAAGCAGTGATTGCGACGTTGAATTCAATGTGGCTTGGAAGGGCCAAATGGGTTGCGTGATCGGCATGGCATGGACCGGCCCTAGTAAGTTGGGATCTCCATCGCGATCGTTTGCAGTGAGTTCGCCAAAGGTGCTTAAGTACCCGGCATGGCAATAGCAGATGTTTCGTCGATCCTGCCAAACAATTGATAGCGCGCAATATGCATACAATGCGAGACATCAAGCCTCGATTTCATGGGGTTGCTTCGGACCCGAGAAGAGCAAGGCGTCGGAGGCGATATGAGCGAGAAATCCCCAGTCCTCCCCGTTCTATCAGTTTGAAGTCTCATGCAAGCTTCATGAGCCGAAGGTGTTAAAGATGCGAGTAACTGCTCATTCTACTCTCTTCCCCCCACCCCCGTCATCTGTCAATTCATTTTTCTTGAACCCCAGTATGTTGGCTGAGTTAATGGCCCAATTTTGGCAGATGCCGAGTTCTTCACGGCGTGTGATATTCGCGAGGCCTCTACGTACCGCGTAGACATACAGCACCACTCAGCCTGAGGGGAACTCGAGCGATACCCTCGCTGATGAGTTCGCTGCGAAACTCGAGAGATACAAGATTTGATTAATTGATTTGATAAGATTGATATCATGTCCCGCTCAATTCGGCGCCCACTGTTTTAAGGTATCACTTACAAGGTCGTTTAATTACAATTCCAGTAAGGAGAACAGTATAACCCTTCGGGAAAGGCCACCGCCTGTACGCATCTTTGCATTTACAGCTTTCCGAGATATTTTTATAAAACAGGCATGTAAACTACGTTCCTCTCTGCGGGCACGTTTTCTGATTTTGATGTACACATGTCACATACCCACTCGCACTATGCACACGATGCGAGTAGTGCGCCGCAGCGCACGAGTTCGATCCGAACAGAAGTTGAGCCCATTCAATCCCTGGCGCTAAGCTCTAAACGGACAGCCATTGGATTTGGGTTAGTGGAGACCGTCATTTCAACGCAGTAAGGCTATGTTCGTGAAGCAAGTTTTCCAACCTGTAATAGATTCTGATATTTGCCGTTCCACGCTCGCACTGCCTGTCGACTGCGCCTTGGCCTTTTGGGGCAGAGGAGATCCTACGTGCTATTACTCCTTCGTCAAGCGTGCGCGTTTACCGTCACTGACGAATTGAATAGTCGAACTGGCGGCAAACAGGGGCAGCTGCGCTGATCCGCGGAAATTTTCCAGCAATGGTGAAATGATACTCCACGCGCCGTTATGCTGTGGTATGTGACGAGTGTTATTCGAAGAACGATTGGTAGGAGAACAACAGGCGAAGCCTCCCATATTAGCCGAGAGCTTCTTCCGCGGGCCACGAGGCGCGATATGGACACCGATCCGGAACAGCTAGCTATAAACGAGGGCGTGGTTTCGCATGAACGAGTGCGAACAGCAATGCTAAACCGGACCTTGTCCGCATAGAACCGACTATTAATCTTTGAAAGGGCTTTAGGCAGATGGACAGTACTATACATGAGAGATACGCGGTTGATCGGGATGCAGTTTGGCCACGGAGCGGGGTTTGTATTGTGTGTGACAACACAGCGTGTTCCGCAGAGTAATAAGTTCTGAGACATGAGGCCGGGTGGATCATCCCAGCCAGCTCAGAGCGACCCACGCAGCGACGACGCCACAGAGGACGGCGACCACGACAGTGAGACGACAGAAACGACATCCCGCATACCAGCGAGCGCTTCCACCACCCGAGCCAAAGCAACGCGTTCCCACGCGTGGCTGTACGCAAAAGCAGCAACCTTCCTCGAGACAACACCATCACGACTGTCGACCTTCGTCTTCCCTTTTCTTCTTCCTCTCTCTCTCCTTTTGACCCAACACTAGCCTGTTGCTGGTCGTTCCGCTCCTTACTGACCATCGTTGTCACCCAATACCCGCGGCACCTCCTCAGTCGCCGACCCATCCATGGCCGCTCCAGGATATGGACCGCCCAATCCGCAGAACTCCTTCGTCCAGCAAGTCTCTCCTTACGGCCCAACCGTACGGCAATATCCACAAGACCCAGACGGCGATGACTATGCCAGCCGTAACGCAAGCAGCGTTCCCTTGACCAACGCTGCCTACTATGATTCTCAGGCCAATTCCAAATGTGCGTAATTGCTCTGATCGACACATGACATGCCCAGCGGGGCGCCGGGCAACGTACATTGCCTACGCATGCATCTGAATGGGTCAGGCCATACAGTTCGTCCATGAGTGGTACACTGTGTAGCGGGTCTGTCGTTCTCAGTGATTTGGCGGTCTATCAAAGGTCTGAATTGCAGTTCTCCGCTTCTCAGCGGGGTTGTACTGTGGGCCTTACGAGCCGTATTTGTTGTGCACTAGAATGTGGATATCAGCCAGATATACCCGCCACAACTGCGAAAAACCTATGTGACATCTTGATGACGGGCCACTGGTACGCGGTCGAGCGAGCTACCATGTTAGGTGGCGGAACATGCTGGGAAATGGCGTAGCCTAACGCGTCTTCAGGGTACTAGGATTGACCGAGGACCCTGTGCTCTTCGTGCATGCATGTACCGCCATGGCAAATCTGTCTCTGGATCCTGGTCAACATCGATACTGACTTCTCATCATCAGCTGCGACCAACAGCGTCGAGTCTGTTGACCAGTATGGACGCCCTTACAGTGCTTCCGTCGACTCCCGCATGAGCAGCAGCACTGTCGCTGGATACGGTCCATTCGCGGATATTCCCGGTTCCCATGAGCCGTATCCCGCTTGGTCTTCGGATCGTGACATACCCATGTCCGCAGAGGAGATCGAAGATATCTTTCTGGACCTCGCGCAGAAATTTGGCTTCCAACGCGACTCCATGCGTAACATGGTGAGAGAACTGTGTGACGTTCCTTTATGGTAGTATGTTGACCTGCTGTGCAGTATGACTTCTTGATGACGTTGCTCGACTCTCGTGCATCGCGCATGTCGCCGAATCAAGCTCTCATAACCGTGCATGCGGATTACATCGGAGGGCATCATGCCAATTACCGCAAATGGTATTTCGCAGCGCAGCTCAACCTGGACGACGCAGTCGGACAAGCGCAGAATCCGGGGTTGCAACGTCTCAAAAGCGTTAAAGGAAAGGTGCAAACAGCAGGTACCAAGTCACTTGACAATGCTCTCAGTAGATGGCGCAACGCGATGCACAATATGAGCCAGTATGATCGCCTTCGGCAGGTCGCTCTCTACCTGTTGTGCTGGGCAGAAGCAGGCAATGTCAGGTTCACGCCTGAGTGCTTATGCTTCATCTTCAAGTGCGCGGACGATTACTACCGCAGCCCGGAATGTCAGGGTAGGGTTGACCCCGTTCCGGAGGGTCTTTATCTGGAGAGCATTATCAAGCCGATCTATCTGTTCATGCGTGACCAGGGTTACGAAGTGGTCGATGGGAAGTTTGTGAGGAGGGAAAGGGACCATAACGAGATCATCGGCTATGATGACATCAACCAGTTGTTTTGGTATCCTGAAGGCCTTGCGAAGATAATCTTAGACGACAATGTAGGTGGAAACATCTTTTCATCGCTACTACCGCGCTCATACGGTCATCTTGTTAGACGCGACTTCTTGATATCCCCCCGGCGCAACGTTTCATGAAGCTTGGCAAAGTGGCTTGGAACAGAGTGTTTTTCAAGACGTTCTATGAGAAGCGGTCCTTGGCGCATCTTTTGATCAACTTCAATCGGATATGGATTCTGCACATTGCGGTGTACTTCTTCTACACTGCGTTCAACTCACCGGCGGTGTACACGGCATCTGGCAAGAGTCGGCCATCCGCAGCGATGTCGTGGTCGGCTACAGCTCTCGGTGGTGCCGTTGCGACCTCCATCATGATTGCCGCCACTTTGGCCGAGTTTTCTTTCACGCCTACGTCCTGGAATAACGCATCACATCTGACAACTAGACTCTGCTTCTTGCTGATCGTTCTCGCCCTGACTGGTGGTCCTACCATCTACGTTGCTATTGTGGATGATTCGGCATCCAACATCCCTCTCATTGTCGGTATCGTCCAGTTCTTTGTATCCGTTGTGGCCACGATGGCCTTCGGTATCATCCCCTCTGGCCGGATGTTCGGTGATCGCGTAGCAGGGAAATCCCGGAAATTCATGGCATCGCAGACTTTCACTGCATCCTACCCCGAGTTGAAGACCAGTGCTCGCGCTGCTTCCATCATCATCTGGCTCCTCGTCTTCGGATGCAAGTATTTCGAGTCTTACTTCTTCTTGACATCATCCTTCTCCAGTCCCATATCCACAATGGCACGACGTAAAGTGTCAGGTTGCGACGACAAACTATTCGGGACTGCCCTGTGTTCCAACCAGGTCATTTTCTCGCTCGCTATCATGTACGTGATGGACCTCGTGCTATTCTTCCTGGACACGTACCTTTGGTACATTGTCTGGGTTGTCGTGTTCAGTGTCTGTCGCTCCTTCTACCTTGGGCTTTCTATCTGGACGCCATGGAAGGAGGTGTACACCAGAATGCCGAAGAGGATATATGCGAAGCTGCTTGCTACCGGTGACATGGAGGTGAAGTATAAACCTAAGGTGTGCTTCTGTGTTTATGACGCCGCACGCGCTCCATGTACTGAGAACGATAACAGGTCCTTGTTTCGCAAGTCTGGAATGCAATCATTATTTCCATGTATCGCGAGCATCTGCTGTCGATTCATCATGTCCAGCGCCTTCTTTACCATCAGGTGGATGGTCCTGATGGCCGACGTGTTCTCCGTGCACCGCCGTTCTTCACACATAACACCGGAAACGAGAGTGACTTCTTCCCTGCGGGAGGAGAAGCGGAACGTCGGATTTCGTTCTTTGCATCATCCCTGACGACCGCTTTCCCTGATCCTCTCGCAGTCGAATCCATGCCTTCGTTCACTGTCCTTGTACCTCACTATTCCGAGAAGATCTTGCTCAGTTTGCGTGAGATTATCAGGGAAGAGGATCAGAATACTCGCGTTACGCTGCTCGAGTACCTGAAGCAGCTCCATCCGGTGGAGTGGGATAATTTCGTCAAGGACACTAAGATCCTCGCCGAGGAAAACTCCGCCACAAACTCTCTTGATGGGCACGAATCGAACGAAAAGCATGATAGCCGTACAGATGATCTTCCCTTCTACTGCATCGGCTTCAAGACCGCGGCTCCAGAATATACTCTTCGTACGCGCATTTGGGCCTCCTTGCGCGCGCAGACCCTCTATCGCACAGTCTCCGGCATGATGAACTACTCGAAGGCCATCAAGCTTCTGTACCGTGTCGAGAATCCTCAAATGGTGCAGCGGTTTGCCGGCAACACGGATAGACTCGAGCAAGAGTTAGAGCGCATGGCGAGACGAAAGTTCAAATTCACGATATCCATGCAGCGGTATGCTAAGTTCAACAAGGAGGAGTTGGAGAACGCCGAATTCCTGTTGCGCGCTTACCCCGACCTTCAGATCGCCTATCTTGACGAGGTGGCAGGGCCGAAGGGGTCGGATCCGCGACTGTATTCCGTACTTATTGACGGCCATTCTGAGATCGATGAAACCACGGGCAAAAGGAAACCCAAATTCCGTATAGAGCTCCCTGGAAACCCCATTCTCGGTGACGGCAAGTCAGATAACCAGAACCACGCCATCATCTTCTATCGAGGCGAGTATCTTCAGCTCATCGATGCCAACCAGGACAATTATCTGGAGGAATGTATCAAGATTCGGAACATTCTGGGCGAATTTGAGGAATATTCCATTTCTGGTCAAAGTCCTTATGCTCAATGGGGCCATCAAGAGTTCAAAAAGTCGCCCGTTGCCATCGTCGGTACTCGAGAGTATATTTTCTCGGAGAATATCGGTGTCTTAGGTGACATCGCTGCTGGAAAAGAGCAGACATTCGGTACCATGACTCCTCGCGTCCTCGCATGGATCGGTGGCAAGTTGCACTATGGACATCCTGACTTTTTGAATGCGACATTCATGGCGACTCGTGGTGGCGTATCGAAAGCGCAAAAAGGTCTGCATCTCAACGAGGATATCTTCGCCGGTATGAATGCTATTGGCCGCGGTGGTCGCATCAAACATTCCGAGTACTACCAATGTGGTAAAGGTCGTGACCTCGGCTTCGGTACTATCCTCAACTTCCAGACCAAACTTGGAACGGGTATGGGTGAGCAGATGCTCAGTCGGGAGTATTACTATCTTGGAACCCAGCTCCCTCTCGATCGTTTCCTAACGTTCTACTATGGGCATCCTGGATTCCACATCAACAACATCCTTGTTATGACTTCTGTTCAAATCTTCATGGTTGTCTGTAAGTCCCATCTAGGTTCGTATCAACCGCTTTTACTGATTGCCATTCCAGTGCTATATATCGGTACACTGAACAAGGAGCTTTTGATTTGCAACCTGGATGTGGATGGGAACATTATTAGTGGACAAGGCAACTGTTACAATCTCGTTCCTGTCTTCGATTGGGTCAAGCGCTGCATTCTATCCATCTTCATCGTCTTCTTTATTGCTTTCTTACCATTGTTCCTGCAAGGTAAGGTGATCGTTATGCCGATTTGTTCCGGACTGACTATGTGGTATAGAGCTGCTTGAACGAGGGACTGGCATGGCGTTGGTTCGTCTCGGAAAACAATTTTTGTCTCTCTCTCCCATCTTCGAAGTATTCTCAACACGAATCTACTCGCAGTCAATTCTCAGCAACTTGACATTTGGTGGTGCTCGCTACATAGCGACCGGACGTGGTTTTGCGACTACTCGCATTTCCTTCACCATCCTCTACTCACGTTTCGCAGGGCCAAGCATCTATATGGGCATGCGCAACATTCTTCTCCTCTTGTATGCAACAATGGCCCTCTGGACCCCATATCTGATCTACTTCTGGTTCTCGGTGCTGTCACTCTGCATCGCACCGTTCGTGTTCAACCCTCACCAGTTCAACTATCCTGACTTCATCATTGATTACCGGGAGTTCCTTCGCTGGATGTCCCGAGGAAATTCTCGGACCAAGGCCAGTAGTTGGTATGGATATTGCCGGCTGTCGCGTACAATGATCACCGGCTACAAGAAGAAGAAACTCGGCCATCCATCGGAGAAGCTGTCTGGAGACGTACCCCGCGCGAGATGGAGGACTGTCCTCTTGTCCGAGATTATATGGCCCATTTGTGTGGCGATAATCTTCGTGAATGCGTACATGTTTGTCAAGTCGTTCCCGACAGCGGGTGCGGAGAACCCAAGCCCCCTTATCCGAATTATCGTCATCTCAGTTGGGCCTGTTGTGTGGAACGCGGCCATGCTGCTTGCACTATTCTTTATTTCCTTGTTCTTGGGTCCTGTGATGGCCGGTTGGACCAAATTTGCTTCCATCATGGCTGCCATTGCGCATTTCCTCGCTTTACTTGGTTTACTTGCGTTCTTCGAGTTCTTCGTGCGTATTCCGAATTTCATTTATTTCACCGGACTGATTTCGTCAAATAGTGGTTCCTGGAACTTTGGAATGCCTCACACGCGGTCCTGGGAATTATATCTATCGTCGCTGTCCAGCGCGCTATTCAGAAGATTCTGATCTCTGTCTTCCTGTCTCGTGAATACAAGCACGACGAGACGAACCGCGCATGGTGGTCCGGAAAATGGTACGGTAGGGGTCTGGGCAGTTCCGCATTCTCGCAGCCCGCGAGAGAGTTCATTGTCAAGATCGTGGAGATGTCCCTCTGGAGCTCCGACTTCTTGTTGGGCCACATATTGCTCATTGTCTTGACGCCGCCGACGCTGATACCTTTCGTGGACAAGCTGCACTCGACGATGATGTGTAAGTCTCCTTTTGTTCATCTTCACGCACCTTCCTGACTGTTGTTCTCGTCCTCGCAGTCTGGCTGCGACCATCGAAGCAGATTCGCCCACCGCTGTTCTCCACGAAGCAGAAGAGGCAGCGGCGCTGGATTGTATGTCCTCCACGTGTACTTATTCTGCGCGGATCACTGAGTGTCTGTTCTACAGGTGTTTAAATACACTCTCCTGTTCATTGTCGTGGTGTCGTTGCTTGCGGCGATGATTGTTCTTCGTACGTAAGCTTCTACTGTTGGAGCGTAAATGAATCTGACCCGTGCCCATCAACTAGCTGTGGTGTTCCACGACCGTCTCACTCTGAGCTGTTCGATCTGCCAGAACATTTAGTTCTTTTCTGATGTCACTTCTCCAAGAACTTTGGACCTCTCTGATGCGCCTGCAGAGCTGTCAATAGACATTCACTGTACATTCACATACTTACTCAGTCTACCTGTAATATCATAGACTCGGGCATATTTGCGCTCCCAGGCTTACGACAATCTATACTGTAGAGGTCAAGTTGGATAGCGTCTCATATACGTAAGCTGAACATAGGTGTTCGAAGGTAGAGGTCATGGGAAAGCGTGGCTAACCTATGCGGGCTACAGAATTCGCATTACAGGAACAAGGGGTGCCAACTACATCCCTAATTAATTGAAATAGTCGAAAACACAGAACGCCGCACCGATTGACCTTGGGCGTTGGTGCTCTCGCCTTGCTGTGACCGTCGCTATGATGCGCGTAAGCCCACTGATGAACTGAATCTTTAGATAGACTTACCCGTATCGCGTTGGTCGACTTGCGCATCTCGTCGAGTACTTTCGTGTTCCGGGATCCAATGCGATTCTCCTTGTCGTTGAGGATGGCAAGCGCCTCGCGTTTCTTGTAAAGCTCCAGTTCATCTTGCGTCTTTTTGAGGACGATCTGCAGATCCTGGACGATTGCTGAAGTTGATCCTCTGGCGAACGTATGCATCACTTTCTTCAGCTCGTCAACCTCCTTCTGCAGGGCGTCGAAGTGATCGAAAATGGCCATGGCTATCTCCTGCATATCTTGAGCGTCCGCGATCTTCTCCTGCCACATCTGTGCCTCGACGTTTATTTGCTTCTCGAGCGCCAATTTGGCTTGCAGCAAAAGGGCATTCTCTGTCAGAAGCGAGTTCGCCCTGTCGTCCGCTCGCCGAGCCTTGGCTTCCATATCACGCCGGAGCCCTTTTTCATTCTCCAATGCTATCATGGCAGCATCTACGCAGTCATTGATGTGTTTGACCGGATTGCGCGCGACACTTTCGAGGTGCGTCAGCTTGAGGGTCAAGTCGTTGTTCTGCTCTAGAAGGCTCTGAATTTCGCGCCTGAGGTCGTTCTCTGCACTCTGACGGGCATCCTGCTCTTCTTGCATCTTATCCATCACTGAAGTGAGCTGTTCCACGCGCTCGAACAGGCCGACAGAGATCACGTCCTCAAGTTTGGTCAATTGCGTGAACGCGTTGTCGCCGTCGAAGCACGGTCCCTCGAAAGGCTTTTGGAGCGGAGGAGAGGCTGTCAGAGTGCGTAGACTGTCTTCTGAGGTAGTCGTGGAAACGAGTGGCTTCCGCAAGGCGAAGGGGTAGGCAGGGGTAGGCGATGAGCACCAGCCGAGTTCTTGAGACTCAGAGTACACACGGCTCAAACGGTATAAAGAAGAAGCAGGACTTGACAGAAGAGACGGTATGGAATGGGACATTTGCAAAGTTGTCTGGTTGAGGGTGCTGCGCTTGCCGAGGCGGAACTTCGAAGTAGACATCGTAACCGGCGCTGGAAGGATAGACATAGTCCGACGCAGAAAGCAGGCGAGAGCAGCAGCGTTAGATCAGGTTGCGAAGGAGTAGAGAAAGCAGGGATGGTACACAATACTGATCGCCGCTGCACGCCTTAGCTAGCCCAGGACGGTTAGGAGGTTGACTGTTGACTCCAAGTCAGCCGTCCAAAGATCTTGAGGTTCTGACCAGCTGAATCAAGACCAGACATGCCATCGACGGTATGGAATGGGTGCTTCATCATCACGCTCTATAGCAGGGTACCTCGCATAAGCTCGATTGTACCGAATTGCAGCAGTAGGGTAATACAGAAATGCACATGGCCGGCAAGCACGCCCACGGATTGAGATCAAGCGCACCTCGGAATATGGAGAACGCTTGTCGGTGATTGCCTGGGATGCGTGCGCTTTCGTCGCAGAAAGCACTGAGAGACGTATTCTAGCGCAAGTACTGTGCAGGTCGGTGGCTGAAAGGAGATCTAGATCATCAGCCACGATCGTGTATGCGTCTCCACCCTCTGCTTGGCTACGAGCCATCGCTCCTCTAAGCTCCTTGCTGCTTGATGGATTATTTCTCGAAATTCTTGAGGCAGAGTATACAAGCAAGTCCTAAGATCGAGGTGTGCGTGGATTTTTGAGAACAGCGTCCAGTAGCTCAGCGATAACGCCAGGTCGACCATGCTCTGGAATTCCACAGATCATGGATGCTCATTAAGGTGAGTGGTACTAAACAAGCCCTCCAAATCCATTGTCTCATCTACTTTCAGAATACTTTGACTGAACCAGACGAACGACAATTGTCGCGAGGTATCAAGTCGACTGATGTGCCGGTACACTTGCAGTCCATGGTCGATGCTCTCGTGTGGGAGTCAAACAGGACCGAAGAAGGGTGTGTAGGATAGCATGACTGCAGGGTCTCACTGGGTCTCACATGCCGGCCTCCAGAGCCACAGGTGCTTGCCTCGAATACCTTCTAAAGAATGGTGAGGTGTCCTTCACCTGAAACCCGTCTTAACATCTTATTTGAACATGCAAGACGTGTTGGGGACGCTTGTCAAACTCAGCGAGGCAGATCGTCCATTCGGCGCTCAAGCTGAGGTGCTCCGGGCTGTCCAGAATATGGTAGTCCTTCTCGATGAACAATTTCTAGTACACTCTGCTGTACACAAGGCTGTCCTCCGTCTACTCAGGAACTGTGTTGGAGACGATATTCAAGAGCAGCTTGATGGCCGTAACAAAGTGATGGGTGCTGCAGGTAATGCAGTCAGAAGTCGACCTTCAGAGTATGAGGAGGACTGTACGTTGTTTCATGCGTCAGATGATAATATCTAACATGAATCGCAGTGGTCAATCTTCTGTGTATCCTTTGTAGCAGGATACGGACGTATCGGGAGCTGCTCATGATATTTTTCCACGATAAGCACTGGTATAGGCCTGAGCCGTTGTTTGCTGTGGAGGAGGATGACGAGGAAGATGAGGAAGATGAGAGGGAGGGCAACGGGCAACAGCTTTCCGCGGAATTAACGGATGTGCGGCCCTCTGCAGACGTCGCGAAGACGCATCGGACGTCGTCACCATCTCCTTCTGAAGACACATCAAATTCGGGCCACGCTTCCTCCACGACGAAGAAACCAGAGTATGAGTTTCTCCTGTTCAACTATCTGCTCCGGTTCGTTCACCGAGAAGGGCGTATTGGCGACTTCGCACGTGCAGGACTCCTCTTCCTCATGGATGTTGCAATGTCTCCCGGAGGATCAGCACGCAAGTCTGTTGAAGACGGCCTATCGTCATCGACCTCATCGGACACGATACATCCGGATCCCACCGTAGACGCTGCGCTTGCACTTGCCGAGTACATCATCGATGGAGATTTCTCTGAGGTCCTCGCCGCAGGAGTTTCCGCAGTATACTCGTTGCTTCCTCGGAAACTGGAGATACGTTCCGCGCCGCCTACGGAGTCTGCCCCTGGAGGTGGGATGGTGCTTGGCAGCACACTCGCAGAGGTGACCGAGGAAGAGAAGGGTAGACTCGAGGCTACAAGGGAGAAGAACCGTGCCATGGGTATAGAGGAGTCGTCAAACCCGGACTTCAAAGCACGCCTCGACCACTTCCTTAAACTCCTGGAGTTCCTGCAGGACGTGCTGCGTCGAAACGTCGTCCATGAACCTGTGGACGACAACGTGGAACCTTCAGCGCTCGTGGGTTCAGCGATCGTACAGTGCATCCTGGATGCCATGCGGCGCGTCTTCCTGGAGAATGTTCTCTACCCCTCCATTCTCGAGTGTTCGGATGCTGATGGGAGTGCTGTTGCTGTCATGTCTTACATCGAGATCATGATTCGCACGCTTGAGAACGGCCAGCTGGCGGACCTCTTGATAGACTTCCTCATGAGCGAGGACAACAGCGAAATGCCTCGAAACAGAGTTCGTCATCAGACACTCAATCTGTCAGGTGATGCCCCTCCAATATCAAGGTCTGCAGGTGTGGTCGACAAGGAGACGAAGTCACGGAGGAGGAGAAGCGCGGCAATGGTACTCTTGGAGATGGAGGCGCCCAATTCGAGGCGGCAGTCGGAATACTTCACGTCCATGGGCCGGTTCACGCTCAAGGACCTACTCCTAAGTAGCCTGCGATCCAAATCGCAGCCTACCGCCACTTCCGCGCTTCAGCTGCTGCAATCGCTGCTTCTACACTACTGCACGTTGTGCGTTGATAGACTACTCATTGTCATTCCCGACCCTCTCGCCACTAGCTTCCCCGAACCCCCTGCGATCGAACCGTCCCCAGAAGAGAGACCATCACCCACCGTAAGTGATGATGGCGATGACGATGACGAGACGTTCGAATTCCCCAGCTTTCAAGACGGTCTCAAAGTTACGACAAGCAACCCGATCATCGTGGCCCCCACAGGTTTTGTGCAACCAGACACCACCTATTGGACCCATGAGCGTGAGATGGGCTTGTATCTCACTTTAGTCTCGCGAGTCGATCCCCACCACAACGAGGATGCCTTCAGCACGGGATACGACCATTATCTGCGGGATGCTTTGTTCTCAATAGAAAGCCAGTTGTGTTTCCAGCAAGATATCGAACCGAGGGCGCGAGCAAAGCTGAAGCATCGCCTGAATCCCAACGATCCCGTGCTTTCGCTCGTGCTCGAATCGTTGCGGAAATTCTTCGCCAATACGCCCGAGATGAACATGGCGTTGACAGGTGTACTGGCCACACTCGCACTATGTCCGGACCGTTCCCTGGCAGGTTGGCTGACGTTTGCGCCGAAGGCAGCTGCTTCCTCTCCAGTTGGGCCGGATAGTCTCTCTGTGTATGGCGACGATGGGGATGACCGGTCCATGGACTTCCGGATAGAAGAGAAGCTCGCATCAGATTCGCATTTCCTCCCTGCCTCCAGTATCGATGACCAGTCACGTCCCGTGGTTCACTCTGTCTTCCATGGGCTCGTTTCGCAGTTGGAACGGTACAGGCAAATGGTTGAGAAGTTTGACCAATACCTATTGGAGCGGCGGCAAGGCCTGCTCTTCTCGGAAAACCTGACGGACGCGTTGACGCTCGCGCTGGACTTCGACGCGAATGTCTCACCGAAGACGAGTATCTCCCTCAGCCCAAGCGCGGCTGCAACAGAGTCCAGCACACTTCGCCTGAAACCGAGGTCGAAGTCTGCATCTTCCTCACTCGTGTCGTTCCTCACTCCCAAAAAGAAGCCCGCTAAGTCTCCAGTCGCGGAGGCCACCCCTCCCCCGCGGGGTGCAGACAAGACTGTTGAAGCCAGTCCCTTCGGTCCTCATTACCAGATGACCGGCGCTATTATCGTCGAGCCGTTCGCTGCTCCGGCTCCTTCTTCAGGGCCGTGGACACCCGAACGATCCCGCAAATACAACGCTGACGACGAGGATGTGCTCGCTTCTTTCGGGCAGTGGGGAGAAGGTCGGTCCGACGCAGAAGGCAATGCGGCCAGGGAGGATGAGGAAGAGGAAGAGCAGACGAAACCGGCGACCGTCACGTTGTCGCGTCTATTAGATAATGTGGTAATTCTGGAGGAGTCCATCAAGGAACTGGTGGCAATCATTCATGCGCGACGCAGCCTCGGGATCGACTCTATACGCTATCTGTAGATTCTGCAGTGTACATTCATACGGACAGGTTGGATCTCTGCTCAATACACATGGGTTACTATGGGAAGCCAGTATAAGGAAGTTACACGAGACTATAATAATCACACTAAGGATATACATAAGGGGATCAACGCAAGGGGAGGTTTGGGGGGTGTGCATAGGTCGGGTAGGGCTGGTATATGAGTTTCATTGAGAGAGAGCGCACTGGTGTTGATATCCCATCCATCACCTTCGTGACTTCTTTGAGGAAGAACGTGTCTTTGCGGCCTTCGTAGAGCCAGCATCGGCGGATGATTTCGCCTTGTCACCGAAAAGCGTTTGCTGAAGTTTCGCAAACTCTTCGTCGTCTATCTCCGGAAGCTGTACACCACCCTTCTTCAACTTCTTCTTGGGTGACGCCTGGACATCGTCCTCATCGTCCTGCTCCTGGATCCGTCTCTTTCCTTTCTTCCCCTTGGCTTGCGGTTTAGCATACTTCGCAGCGAGGCTGTCGAAGAATCCGTCCATATTGTTCTTTCTCTTCACAATGATGGCCTGCAGAGCAGAATGGTCCTCCCCATCGTCCTCGTCCGCTTCCTCCTCCTCCTGTTCTTTGCTGGCCTTGGCCTTTCCCCTGCTCTTCCTCGTGCTTGGCTTCGCATTGCCGTAGAACTCATCCCAGACCCCCAGCTCCTTTGCCAGCTCTTCCGCTTCTTTGGCCTCCTTTTGACCCTGTTTCGTGCGGACGAGCTTCGCCTTCTCATCCTTGACACTCGATTCCCACAGAGGGAGCGAAGATAGTTCGCCTTTATGGATGAGGCCAGAAATGATGACAATGAACCGCGCTTCGTCATCGTATGTTGAATGCGGGATATGTTTCATGATTTCGGCTATTGAGCCTTGGTTCTCGCTGTATGCTTTCTTGATGTCCGCGACCTCTTCCACAGAGCCTGATAGAGATGAGATGATATTAAAGATCACAGTCGTTAAGATCACCTTGATACTCCTTCTTCAGCTCATCAAGCTTCTCCTTCGTGACGCGATCGAACAAATCCTCGAAGTAGGCTTCCCAGCCGTCTTCGGGTGAGAGCTCAAAGCCCTCATCCGTCCTTCCCATACGGTCATATCTGCTCCTCTTCTTTTCATCCGAGAGTACGGCATACGCAAAGCCGATCTGCTGAAACTTGAGAGACAGCTCCTCCTTCTGCGAGTCACTCGCAGTGGCGTGTTTGTCGGGATGGTGGGCCAGAGCTAGACGGCGGTACGACTTCTTGATATCTTCAGGCTTTGCGTCATGGGGCACTGCAAGTACTTCATATAGATCAACGGATTCAGCATCTGGAAAGAAGTGCGAGATGGGATCCGGGCGGTCATCCATGGTGGGTTCAGCGTGGAAGGAAGGAGTGAACGCGCGCCGCGACGCGTTTAACTACGAAACGCGCCCCACGTGACCCGACTCCGTCGTGCGCGTCTCAGGAAGCGCCCAATCACACCGGTTTCATTCTGATTGGCGAAGATCACACAAGGCGTAACTTGGCTTAATCAATGCAAGGTTTTTACATGGTATATAGTTTACGACCCATTAGGGAACACATAGCCGCCTCAAGGTAGTCGTGAAGTAAGAGTATCAGCATGATGTCCGTCCAGCAGCCCAATCAGATGTAGCAATGGATATAGTACAATCACACAGTGAGAGATTACTCTATTGTTATTCGGGGTTCCACAGGTGCACCACCGGTGTAGGAGGACTTGCGATCAGTTAATTCTCCTGATGGGCGGAGGAAGGACGATAAGTACCGACGCCTCCAAGTAATACCTTAATGAGATTGGTTTACCGAATAAGTTCTCTCTCAATTGGACGGCAACAGGCTTGTAGTACTGACCACGGTTCTTTGAATCGTGCAGGCCCTTGTCAAAGTCCGCGAAGCACCGCACGCCCACAGCGAATGTCGCAAAGATCAGTAACGACGCCACAACGGCTGCAAAGAACCCGTGTCAAGCATTCCGTGACATTGATGAGGATCTCTAGATGGACATACTGAAGACGGTGAGCGTGGCTCGTGTTGAGATATATTCGTCTTCTGAATCGGGCTCATAGAAGCGCACAAGCTTATAGACTGCAAAGCTATGCATGAGGGGAAAAGCAGACACGGCGGTCAAGGTGGTGCTCACTGACTGATGAGCAAGAAAGAGAGTCAGCAGCATGCCCAAACCAGAGTATCCGGAAATCGCTCACAGTAAACCTGAGCGGCCAGCATCAGCACTAAGGAGATGGACATTAACCTAGAAGGTCGCAAGTCAGACATTTACATCTCCTAATTATGAGGCTCACGATTTGATCTCGCGCTGTACGGCGACACCCGCGATCGCCAACAATATCAAAACCACGGGAATAGCAGCGATCGTGAGCCCGAATTCAGCCGTGTTCTCTTGCAAGACCACGATGAGTAGCTGTATGTTTCAGCTGAATAATGCATACATGAGAGGGGGGTAAAATCGCATAACTTACTTGCATGGTGACTCCAACGAAGATGAAAAAATCGAATTTGAGAAGGCAAATCATGATCTGGTAGTATTCATACATTGCTACAAGGAGAACGTCAGCGAATACCGGATGTCACGATATATCCACCTGCTACTCACTCCTCATAGCAGGATTGGCGCCGACAATGTGGAAGATTGCCCAGCTATACCAGTCGATGAGATCCGGGCTCGATGCAACTACCGTGAAGACACGCACCCGAATTCGTGGTATAATTCTCTGAAGTAGTAGATCAACGCAATCCACGAGACACCGATTATGATGGGCGGGACAATCAGAAATGGCTCGATTTTTCGCCACAATGTGCCCACCCCACCGCCATTCTACACAGATCATGGTCATTGTCACATCTTACAAAATCAAATATTTGGCATACGGACCACAAATGGGTCTGCGCCAGGCCCGGAGTATACCAATGCAGTGTGGGTCTCGTGTATTTGGAGGGAAGCCATGACAATCATTGCTGCGTGAAAGGCTGGCCAAATATCAGCCACTGGGCCAATTGATGCACATAATCCAGTGCGTACATAGAATGCCAATCAATTGAATGACATTTCGCAACCTCAATGCGTCAAGTGCCATGAAGAGCTCGAAGAGCCTAAGCAGCTGTCAGACTACCATCTGCTGTTGATCACGGCCTAACTCACTCCGCCAGAATGAACAGAGCCAAATAACATGGCAGCGTCTTCCCGAAGAAACGTCAGTACAAATATGAGACTCTAACTCGGGTACTCACTTTGTATCTGCCATTTTGACTCTCAAACTCCACATGTTCTTCCACCTATATTTTATCATAATAAGTTGCTTGAGAGCCAGTGTGAGTGTAAAGGAACTCAACCAATCTGAAGGTGATCGAGACCATCACGAGCACCACAACCGCCTCTATACGTACAGTCAGAAGAGTGGCTCGCAATGATTTATCGAGCACGCACGTAGGCAAACTGTCAAGCGGATATGAAATCTCATCAAATAGGGCGCGCAGGCAGGTTCTCAGCACGTACTGGTGCCAATGAAGGCCCGTTGGGATCTCGTACTCAAGAGTGGCTCGGGAGCCATGATTACCCAATGACAGGCAGCGGATGAGTATGGGACGGGACGTCCTCGATTCTCAAAGTGCACGACGAAGCCAGCGGTGAAGACACCAGAACGAGGAACTTGTTCGAGCCAGCCAGCCTTTTGTATGTCGTGAAGCGATGCAGGAACCCGTGGTTTGAGCGCTGAGCGCTCACTGTTCCGCCCGAAACGTAGCAGTGATTACGTAAACGACTGGTTGTAGCACCGACCGCACCGCCCAAACATCGCCTTACAGATACTATCACGGTCTTGTCTCCTTGTACATGTGGGGTCTGGCAATTCGTCTATTTGGATTCCGTCCCCCCTTGAGCTATGTGCGTCAGCATCGTCGCCCGTGCCGAGTCTGGTACTCACTGCCTCGCCGTTGAATGACCAGTCGAGCCTATAATTGGCCCTGAGGCCCGATCCAACGTGACGCATGGCGGCGCTCATGGCTTCTCGCTAGGAAGCAATTGGTGCTTCGCTTGCACCTCGCGGTACACGTTATGCATATTTTGCTCCTGGCTTACCGAATGGCGCATTCGCGATTACCGTCTCGGTGACACATGATGATATAACAGATTGCAGACTGTTTATGATATGCGACGAGTTAAAACTCTTCTCCAGCCTGTACGCTACGTTTCACAGCGGCCGCAATCTCAAGTTCCTCTCGCCATAAGCACAGTATATTCCCTCTCGCCCACTCGTAGCAGCCGTCGCCATGGTCAAGATTGCTGCTTGCATCGCGTAAGCCAGTCTTAGCCCTCTTTGCCAAGTTGTCGCAGATGCCAAGAAGAGATTGCCTCCAACGAATCTCGTTTTCTGCGGAGATTATATCACGATGGCCGTTTACTACGTCTTTCCAGGGTCGTATCAAGTTGTCTTGCACGGAGAAATGCGAATCTTCCATAAGGTGGTAGAGGCGCAAAGCTGTGATGAGGCGGTACGAAGGATGCGCAGGAGGAGGAGCCGAGTCAAGTGTCCATTCACTGTAAATGCGGTTATACGTTGATTTAGCACAGCACACATGCATCTAATACGTATAATTGCATACCCCCAATACCCCTCGTCTTCAAGGATCGTCCTGAGCGGACGTCCAAATCGGCTATTTGAGAAAAGGTCCTCTACAAGATCTTGCACGTCGATCTCCCCGCGAAAACCGCCAGTGACTATTTCAGTCGGTTGGAAAGGGACCACAAAGCCATACTCGACAAAGAGCGTCCTGTTTGCATGTCCGCCGTATCTCAGGAACAACTGCTGTCCCTGCTCAATGCCGTTGTCATCAGAGCAACGGAAAATGAAGTCGTCCGGGTTTCCTCGAGTGCTGGAAGGGGCTTTTGATCTTTCCGGCATCACAGGAATAACCTGTGAGTTGTTTGAACAATGATTGGCGAAGTCAAGGACTGGACAAAGCGTCAGGTGGTCTTCGGTACAGCTCGGATGTCTCACAGGATAGTAGATGCAGCGTGAATTTACTGTGTTCGAATTGGTCAGGGTCGGATGGCAGCCGCGGGCTCACAAAATAACCACCATTAAGCCAAGCCCACAGGTAGTCCATAACGAACGCGTTTCCACCCATCGATCCCGAAGAGAAACCCGGACGCGAGGACTGGGCCGCTGGTTGAGGGTATTTGCGCTGTGTGAAGTCATGTTAACCCACGGCAGTCTGTCTTTACCATAAGGAGATACAACATACCAAATGTATGCGCACAGCTCTCTGATCCAGTTCAAAGCGGTTGTACAAGCTAGTCAGTGCTGCCGTGACACTCGGTGGGAGAGTTTCTAGCAGCAGTGTTTCTGGCATCTGTGGCTGCGATTGCTTCGACTTGACGAGCCAGCTTAGAGGGTGGCTATCGAAGTTTCGTGGCATCGTTGAGATGTACGGCCCGAATGCTGGGTCCAGAGAGTCCTCATCCTCGCGAGGTTTATGTAAGAAGAGATGCAGCGAAATAAGTTGTGTAGCTGTCAGCATTTGTCCCCGCCTCGAGGAGATATACATGGGGCCGAGTGTGTCAACATTGATGAGAGCCTTCGCAGGAATAGTGAAGAGAGTAGTTGAGGGCTATCTTCTCTCCATTAGTGGCTTAGAACTGAATGTGAAGCTCGAAAACATATCTTACCAGACAGCTCTTCGAAGCGAAAAGACCTCTCCCTGCACCTATACAACCCAACGTAAGGTCGTGTCGACTGATCGTATCGAGGACGGCATACCTTCGACACTCCCATATTTGACGAGCATTCGCTCTGTTCCAATATCCGTCCCGTGCGCATCCCTTAGCCAGCATAGCAGACGGTGCCAGCGTTGATCGTCGGAAAAAGCATCGTCGTGCGAGTAGTTCGTCTCAGCCATGGCGCGTTTACACCAGCCACCATCGCGTTATCTTGTCTGAAATCGTCGGGCTGCCGCCGGGGACGTTGTTCACCTGGTGTGTAACGTAGAGTAATCCACAGAGGTGCCTTTTGAGCAGACTTTGTGAGCTACAAGGGTCCCGGAACTCGCAGCACGCAATGCACGGTGAGCATTCGTTGGTCCGCCAAGAGGCACATGCGCATCCGGGATGATCACTGATAGGGCCCTCTAAAAGTGACTCGCCTGCGGCTCCCCTTCTTCCCACAGGCCTTGCAGCTACATAGGCGTATCGTCAAAGCAGCCATCTCTTGTCGCAGAATGTCAGTCTTCAACGCAACTCGCTTGGTCGGCAAGACCGTGCTCATCACGGGCGCTAGCGCGGGTATCGGAGCGGTGAGAGAACATTTCCGTGATGGGTTGACGGCAGTCTAAGTGCAGTGTCGACGTTAGGCGACTGCGATCTTGTTTGCAAAGGTGCGTGCAGGCTTTTGGTGTCCTGGCAACCTCACACCTATCGTACGTACAGGCTGGATCTAACGTGATCCTATGTGCTCGTCGCACGGACGCCCTGCAGAAGGTAGCGGAAGCGTGCACGACGGCATACAAGGAGTCCGGCCTGCGGCAAGGAGGAAAGGTGGCCACCGTCAAGCTTGATGTCTCGGACAAGAAGCAGGTCGCGTCACTCTTCGACCAGGTACCGGCCGAGTTGCACAATGTCGACGTCCTCGGTGAGCGACCTGAACCCATAATTGTACCTCCGCTGTCTAATGAGTGTTCTGGCTAGTCAACAATGCTGGCTATGTTCTCGGAACGGAGCGTGTTGGCGACATTGCAGATGCTGACATCGAGGGCATGTTCGCGACCAACGTCCTGGGTCTCATCTCCGTGACTCAGCTGCTCATCAAGGGTGCATAACATGCTTACCGTATGCGTTTGAGTCGTTGAACCTTGTTGGCTTAGGCTTCAAGGCACGAAAGTCCGGTCATGTCATCAACCTCGGCTCGGTAGCAGGTGCTTTGATAGCGCGGCTAAGTATTCGCATTTGATGCTCATTCGTTTCAGGCAGGGAACCCTACGCTGGAGGCAGCATCTACTGCGCTACTAAGCACGCCGTCCGAGCGTTCACCAACGCCCTGATGAAAGAGGTTGTGGACACTGCGATCAGGGTGACTGAAATTCAACCCGGTAAGTCCTCAGGATCACCAAGCTTCTGTTTATTGAATGCACGATTGTAGGTATGGTTGAGACTGAATTCTCTGTCGTGCGCTTCCGTGGAGACAAAGCTGCTGCAGACAAAGTCTACGAAGGTCTTCAGCCATGTGAGCGCGCACTATATTCATCCCTTTCATCGCAGAATGGTAACCCTTCGATAGTGACTGCCGAGGACATCGCGGAGGAGATCGTGTGGGCTGCATCGCGGCCACCACATGTCAACATAGCTGAAGTATTCGTGCTCCCTGTGAACCAGGCCTCCCCGACCATTAACTACAGGGGCGGAAAGTAAGTAGCTGAACTCTGCATAATGCATACTGATTCCATGATGCTCGAAGACTGTGAAGTGGTCATGAGGTGTTTCTGTAGCGAAAACCATGATATCATTGTAAATGGTATATTACGACGCGTTCCAACAATGACAGCCGAGTCTGCGACAGATTGGTGAGATACAGCTAATAAGGTACACACTAGCTTCAGACAAAGGAGAGGATGCGAGGGATAGTTTCCCTAACAACATCACAGACATGCCACGGTATTGTGCATGTTCATTCTACATATATGAACATCAGCTTTTGGACTTCTTGCTTCTGGTCTTGGAAGGTTTCGCTGTGGACGTCGAAGATGAGGCGGCGTTGTCAGTTTCAAGTAGCTCAGCCTCTTCGTCATCATCATAAACGAATTTCTTGATGATAATTTCCTCACGGACAAGAGTCGGCAAAGGCGTATCAGCATCTAGCACGTTACCGAGTATATCTAGTCGCATCGTCTCGATATATGTCCGCCATCAATGATGAAGAAGCTATCCAGTGGACAGGATCAACTCACCTTGGCAGTCTGAGCCAGACATCCCCGCCTGGTCACGTCAACCTTCGGCTTCCTCGGCTTGAGAGGACTATCGTCCAGATAAACAGTCTTTGCAAGTCCTCTGTCCCACTTCACCCTCTTATCCTCTTTCGGTTCAATAACATCCTCCAGCTTCTGCCGCTTCGACTGATGCTCGGCTCGCGGCGGCGTGACATAATCTTCTTCATCCCCAGGACCGCGACGATGTTTAGAGGGAATGTCGTCTTCGTCTACATCAATCGCACTTGAGCCGTTAATATCGGATTCTTCGTGGGGTACTGTTTCAGCGCTGCCACCGTCTCCCGACAGTCGCAAAGCTCTGCGCTGCGCGCGCTCTCGCCTCTCTTGAGCCTTGAGTTGCTTCTGCCGTTCGAGAGTCGTACGCACTTTCGTGGTCGGACTCTCTGGCCTCTTGCCCTCTTTGCGAACGACCTCTGTCTGTATGATCGCGACGTGCTGTTCATTCTTCTTGGTATTCAAGCCGGTGAGAGTCTTCAGCGCCAAAGCACTCATACCTACAAAAGCGGCAGGTTCGGCAGGTATTGTAGGCTTGCGGCGGGGCGCTCTCGAACGTACGGCCGCAGTTCCTGGTGCGGCCACATCAGATTTCGCGTCAGCGGATGTACGGCGCGAACGCGATGAGCGGCGTCTATCAGAGGGACTGATGTCCTCGTCGATGGCAGACGGCGGAGAGTGTGTCGCGTTTCCATGCAACAACGCGCCAGATCGAGATACTTCATCAGAAGGGCCATGTAACATACCAACACGGGCAGGACGTGCGGAGGAATGCTCATCGGCAATGGACTCGGTCGGAGAATGATTCTCTGATGGTTTCGAGTTTCCGTCGTTCGCCGGACTCTTCGTTGCAACAGGTCGCTTCCAATCTGGCACCTTGCGCATCATGATAGGAGCCTGTGGCTTCTGAATGCCGGTTTGTTTGTGATGTGCTTGCTTCGAGGCGCCCAACGTTGAATTTGTTCCGGCTTTGCGACTCTGAGAGAGCATGCGTGGGACGACCTTGTCTATAAGTACGATAGGCTGTGCTCCGGGCGGAGATGCGACAGATGGGCCGTCACGCTTTCTCTTCAAAGAATTAAGGACTGGGTTCTCCATAGAGGCAGCATTTGTGAGAGAGCGAGAAGCCGGGCGCTCTGGTGTCCGAGGCGCCGTCCTTGGGTTGTCTTCCTCAGAGCTACTTGAGCTTCCAACTTGAACAACACGTTGAGAGTGTAACTGTATTCGCTGTCTGTTAGATGCTATAGGCTAGTTAAGTTCGTGGACGTACAGCATGCGGGCCCATTGATGAAGCTGTCTTAGCTGTGCTTGCTCCAGTTGCACGTCTGGGGGTAATCCTCGGCTTTGTTTGGATGCCTGGTGGCGTCAGTTTAGGCCTTGCGTAAGGCTTGACACCTGGCCTAGGAATTTTGCTGCCTGCTCCCGCCGACGGCTGTCTTAGATTAGCTTGAGGTTTCTGTGGCTGTAGATCGGGGTCCTCGTCTTCTTCTGGTACGGTAGGCGGTATACGGCCAGAAGAAGCGACGACAGGGAACGGCAATACTGCACGAGCCTTCCTTTCCTGAGAACTGCTACCTGTCTGACCGTTATCAGGCACCAAGACAGAGGACGTTGCAACAAGACCGTCTCTGCGTGCCAATGCAGCAAGCGTTTGAGGTCTGAGGGGTTCAGCAGACCCACTTCTGACACGCACAGTGGCCGATGGGCGAGGCTCAACAGAACAACTACGTGCTCGATCTTTGAAAGATGCTCCAAGAGGAGAGGCGGGGCGAAAAGGAGCCTTACCCTTGTTCTGAGAAACATGAGGGAGTTCTCGCCTCCCCACGGGCTGTTCGTGTTGTGGCCGTGCCCTTAGTACAGGAACACGCTTAGCGGGACTGCGGTTGGGATCATTAAGATCGGGTCTTCTAAATACAGGCGTGCTCGTCGCGCCACCACTTGCACTGACATCGACGTCGAAATCGCTTGACTTGCTGAACCTTAATGGTCGCTTTCGAGGAGAGAACGTGCCTTGAGCAACTGCCTGTGAGATGGGAACGCGACGCGCAGGCGTGCGATTTAGATCGGCAGGCCTTGGTGGCGTCGATGGCGGCGCGCTGGGTGGATGGTGAATGTCGAGAGCAGAAGCTCGTGGTGGAGTCCGCGGATTGGGAGGCATGGATGTTGGCCGAGTGAGTTCTGACATTAATGCTTGGTCCTCTATCACAGTGTGGTCCGCGCGCTGGTCTCTAGCTTGCAACGCGGTAGGCAACAGCTGATCGAGCAACCCAGCTGGGGCACGCGACGAAGAGCCTAGCTCGTGATGTGCCTTCGAAAGCTGCACTGCCCTCGTATTTCTCTCGGGAGACGATAGGACGGTGGGTGCTTGCTCCTCAGAAGCTTTGACGACGTTTACGTCGACACCTGGCAAAGCATCCCCAGTTTGATTCTTTTTCTTGATGCGTAGAGCCACAGGCGTCGTTAGCAATAACGGAGTATTGAAGGGCCCTGCTTGATCCATGCCAGCCACTCTATCGCTGGTGAGCAGCGAAGCCTTGTCAGGGGTGATGCTCTGTTGAGGGCGGGTGGAACGTCGCACAGGTGTCCGTGGCTCAGGTTGCGGCTCAGCGGGTTGTTCCAGGATAGGTCCTGGCTTTTCCAGTTCGACACTGCCACCTTTGATGGCATCTGCAACTTGGGCTTCCTCCTCCATGGAAGGTACGGACGCGACAACTGGCTCAACATCTGGCTCTGGGATTGGGGGATTCTGCAAAGGCTCGGGGGAGATCGAAACAACGTTAAAATCGATGATGTCCGCCATCTGAACTTCCTCCCCTACAGAAGATCTGCTTTCGCCAGCGGCAGAGGGAGCAGCATCATCTGGCTCGACGTCTCGGAGCGGCACAGTTTGCACGGGCTGAGGGGAAATTGAAAGCAAGTCGTCGACATTCGTCGCGTGAGGCGCTAGATCACGAGTAGAAGGTGATGTGGAATGCACAGGCAAGGACGGCTGATTCTGGCGCGGGAGGGCAGAGACCGCAGAGAATGACGTATCAAAGACAATCAGATCCGGCTGTGAGATATCTGCGTATGGATTCATTTGCTCTTCGATGTGAGGGGGACTGTGACTCAAAAGCATGGTGGCACCGTTGGCGGGTGAGTCAAACACATCCACCAAAAGATCGAGCTCTGCTTGCACTGGAGGAAGGGAAGGCGGAGGAGACGGATTGCTATGGGCTTGCAAGATCTTGCTGACCAGAGCAATAGATGGCTCTGTTTGGTGTTCTAGCGGTTTGTTCGCACAGGCTCAAGAACTACAAACGTACCGTCTGGTAATGGATCATCGTTCGTGGGTAAAGGCTCGCTCTCTCCAGATTCCATGGCAGGTTGTATTTCTTCCTCAAGGCGCTCGGGGGTCGTGTCAGGAGCAGACGAAGGGTCAACCAACCTTTTCACGGGTGTGTCGAACTGCAGACCAGCGTATTTCCTCTCCGGAGACTGAAGCGGTCCGAAATACACTCTCGCCGACTCTGTGTTGACTGCATCAGAGTCGTCACTGGAAGTCGAGTGTGGTGAATGCATTCCGCCGAAATCGAGGAGAACATCTTCAGACATGGCGCAAACGAAGTGATAAGCGGAGGGCGGGAAGGAGACTACACGCCTGCAAGCAGACGCGTGGAGCGGGGAGCAAGGGCGAGCGCCCGTTGACCTCGCGTATCACCCCACGTGATCGACGCGACGCCGTGAGTTGAAACTCCGACTGGAATCTACACTCAGATATCTCCGCGACTGTGGCTGCTGTCCCAATTCTCCTTTATCCATCACTTGGTACTCCCCGATGACCCAGACGTGTTCTACATGTAGGTGAGTAGTTGGTCAGCACGTTGTTGTGCGCGCAGGCTCACGCATTGGACTGGAAAATAATCCAGAAGTCGGAAAGTGGTAGGTCTCGCACTCATGTGGCGCGCCAGCTGTTTGAGCCAAGTACTAGTAGCGGTGCGACGGGGTGCACCCCATATGCGGGCCATGCTCCAGAGCTCGGCGTTCAGTAACATGTAGCTATGTGAACTCGCCGTCTGAGGTTACGAGGGGTCCCCTTCTGCAGAAAGGTAATGCTTGCTACGCTTGCCGGTAAGTGTGAAGCAGCTGCATGCAGAGTCCGGCGGAACGGAACTAACTTTAGAGGACAGGAGGAAGAAGAAAGTATGTATTGCTTTATCTACAACAACAACGATGACACATCATGGAGTCAGAAATGTGACGCGAGACGGCCGTTTTGTACGACTTGCGAAGTGGCCGGGAAACAAGACGAATGTCAGTATGAGGAGAATGTTCAACGAAACTTGACCGAGTCTCTGATGGCCCGCAACCGAGCGCTCGAGGAACGGATAGCCGAATTAGAAAGGCAACAAGGGTCATACTCGGCTGCGACTGAACAGCGCAGTAGGTGTCATAGCTGGGTACTACTTGCGAACTCGGCTTATATTGCCATTCCAGACCAAGCCTCGCCGTTAGCTACTGCCCACGTGCTTGATCTTCTGTCAAACCCTGGATCAATGTCTGCGCAGTCATGGATACCTTTCCTTCCGAATCTCAGCACCTTGCCGGATCTCACTTGTCCAAGCATTCTCAACAACCTCGACTTTGCATTCCAAGTCACCGAGCATGCGAGTTCGACCGAAATCGTCTCACCTGGTGCAACCTTGATCGGCTATTCGTCTATTCAACAGTTAAGCGAGTTGTAAGTCACCTATCAGTCCGTCGCCATCAGACATCTTACCATGGGCAGCCGCATGACATTCCTCAATCATCACGGCCAACTAGGCATCAGCTTCCCCGAACCGAAAATGCGGGCCATCATGAACGGAGATTTATCCGGAACTTATGCTCACCCGGTTCTCATCCACGTCGCCCAGCTGATGGGTTGCCGTTTGTGGCAAGATCAGCATCGTATGAATCTCAACGGCACGATAGAGAACATCCAGCTCCAGCTTACAAACCGCGCCCTGCTCGAAAATCCTGACCCTGTCACGAAGCTGCAAGTCCACAGCGTGCTTGCAATTTACTTTCTCATCAAGCGAATGATGCACGAGGGCCGGGATCAACTCGTTAAGGGTGCACAAGTCGCTGCAGAGTTCCGTATGAGATTCGACATGCTGGTCGCCGGCGGTCTTCCGTCTCTTCAAGACGAACCCGACGTGGCGCAAGAGCACATCTGCGCTCTGAGCCAGCTGATGTACCTCGACAAAGCGGCGACAATCGTGCTCAATGACCCTTCACTGCTCGGTGCTGACTACGACCAGCAGTTCCGCACTCTCCCGGTAACACAACCATATTTTCTTCTTTTACCCGCAGACTGATCCACTCTCCCCTTGCTGCAGTATGTGTTTCCCACCATCTCCAAGAACAACCTCGTCGTTCTGCGCGCTCGTAGCGTCGATTTCCTGCATCGCAGCCGGCAACTCGCCGCGCGCTGGATGGAGCTCATCCTCAGCATCGGCGCCACGCAGGTGGGGTCAACGTCCGACGCGCAGATGCACTGGTACGAGGAGTACTGGGAGCTGCTCGAGGACGTGTCGGACCACATCGGGCACCTGAGTCCGATGCTGCTGAAAACGGGCTTCTTTCGCCAGCGCGAGTTTGCGCTGGCACTGCGGATGTGCTTGATCGTGTCGCTGACGGCGGCAGCGGAGCTGCACCGGCTGTTGGCGAACCATCATACGGAGTCGAGGCTGAAGTCTATCAACGTTATACTCGAGATCGTCGCCGTAAGTTGATATTTATGCATTGCACGTCTATCGGAACATTGCTGATGACGGCCACAGCTTACGAAGGGGTTACAGGATGAGGACTACATCTTCCTGGATCCCATCCTCGGGGTATGCTCGTTCCCTTCATGTTCCGGTATGCATGGCTAATCCAGTAGCAGGTATGCTGGTCGATGGTTGCTATCGTGCTCAACCAAGAGCGGATGTGTCCCATTGACGCATCTAGCAGCGTAGAGTGGAAGTCGTCCTTTACCGTCATTCGATATTCGGCACACAAGCTGGGGCATACGCTGCCGTTCATGGGTGAGTTTGGCGTGCGAGATCTCGTGAATGTATGACGTTTGCTGATCTTGACCTTTGAACAGAGAATTCCGTGGAGAGCATTAACGGCGTAGCTGTGGATTCGGAGGGCCCCAGCGGCAGCTTTGAGTAAGGAGCTTGATTTTACTTGGAATTTCTGTCTGTAATTACTCTATGATTTGTTCTGCTCTGCTGCTATCTCTCGTAAATTGATCTATCCCGTAATTGATCTATGCCGTAAATTGATCTAGCTTTTGGTTGATGTACACTAGCTACTACACCTTGTAACGCTTTTATTGCTAATATCGATGCTATCATTTTTGTCGTGTCTATCTCAATATATGATCGTTCGATGTTTGCTATACCGGTCAGCGTTGAGCGGACAAGCAATCAATTACGAATAGCATTACATTCGATCGATCCAAGTACAATTAAGCATCGCAGGAAGAAACATGCACAGTAGACACCGCGCAATGGGCTGTAGATAACCATTCTATCGTTACACATTAGATTCATTGCAAGAGACTATCGCTTGGACGGAGAGCACTCGGCATAAATAACGTACAGGTAAGCTCCGTCTCAAAGGTATTTCGGCGGGCAAGAACTACGTGTGTCGAGCTTCAGACACAGTTCGTGGCGTCGCCCGCGCCGGAAACAGCGTCAGTGCCATTCACCTGCGGCGGCGCACTGCCCGCGCCCGTCGTCACGCCCTTCACGTCCCTGGCGGTCATGCCAGGGCTCGTCGCGCCGACATACCCCTTATCAGTGAACTTGCCTGATGCGAACCCGAACCCGAACGCAGCCACGTCGACCTCGCGCATGCCGAACAGGAAGTAGAAGAGGAAGATCGGCCCGGCGAAGAGGTCGAGGATGCCGTACCAGATCATCTCGCCCGTCGGGGAAATGACGTTGCCGCCCTCGGAGCATGCCCAGCAGATGGGGTAGAGCAAGAGAAGGAGAGAGAAGTAGGCTGCGGTGGGGATGTAGCCGGAGTGTACGGTACCGCCTGCTGTGAAGGCTGTGCGTGGCCCGTGGCCGAGGAGTGCCCACCTACGGGAAGTAATGTAGTGTTACTTGATGTTCTGGTGTGAGGGAGGGTTGACATACCAGACGTAGAACAAGGCGAGGACGCCGAAGACGTAGAAGCCCCATTTGTAGGTGCTCGGAACGAAAGCGCCGACAAGGCCACAGATGACGAGGACCCAGCCCATAAAGATGGTCGTGAAAATGTCGGAGACCGTGAGGCCGGTGCCAAGCAGCAGCTCAAAGAGCAGCAGCGGCAGTGTGATGAACCATTGAATGTAGCGGACATACTGCACACATCAGTTTGAGTGAAGCACGCAACAGACGTCTGCCAAATCATAACACTTACAAAGATCTGGCGCGTCGTCCAAGGCGCATCACCGCGAAGGAACTCTTCACGGACAGGAGCAGCACCGAGATCGGACGCCATGGAGAAGTACGCGATCGTCGCGGTCGTGAGGATGATAACGCCGATTTGGTGGAAAAGACGAGTTCCTCTTGTTCTCTGCAATCGAGGAACGTCAGAACATATTCTTCTACGGCCAAGAAAGAGACAGAAGCTTACCTTAAATGTCCAAAAAAGCATAGCCAGGTCGCTGGCCGCCATGATGGCGCATACTGTCCAGAGCCATTTGGAACCGGCGGGGGTGATGTGGCGGCTGGCATCAGGCAGGTTATGGTCGAGAGAGTTACCCATGTTGCCGTCGTGAAGTTCGTCAGAGAAAATGCGAGAATGCGCGGATTCTGGAACGAAAGCACAGAAAACTCAAAAAGAAAAGCGAGGAACGGATGAGACGGACGGACGCGGCAGGCAAGCTTATATCGTGCAAGCCTGAAGGCCATTCCGCGCGTGTGAGCTGGGAATGGGACTCGGGAGGTGCGGTTGGGATCGTCGAACAGACAGAAACAAGATCATGCATGGCGTCAAGCAGCGTGTGAGGGCTAGCATTTGTGGCCTGCAGAAGGAAAAAGTCTCATGAGGATTCACGCTCTGCACCAGTTCCAGCGGTCATTCAGTCTGTCCTAGCGATTGGAATGAGTCGCATGGTCAGACATGTGTGTTGTTTACGACTTGCTATGGACAGGCTTACCTTCCCTTTGATCACCATGGCAGGCACCCGAGTCGCGGTGGCACTCCTCGTTCTGAAGGCACGCTCATTTGAAGTAAGACGCGGATAAGTCGATCACCGTCGGTCGCGGGATCGCTAGGCGCCTGTTATCTGTCGGGCTAGCAGACAACCTGATAGTCTCTGCACGGCTCGAATGTCAGAACACACGGAGTGTCCTTCGGATCCCTTGAGCGACCACTGCAGTCAGGGCCCGTACGCGCACCACCTCGGGGCCAAAGGCACCGACCCACCATTCCGTCGTATCGCAGTCCAAACATCCTCCCGGTTCCGACTGTCATCTTGCGTTTCTGGCGTCCGAAAATCCCTTTTCATATCTGCCATTTGGAGCAACGTACCCGGCCGTCCTAGGACGTCTATTCTCCCTATCGCAGCGTGATCATCGTTCGTGTCATAGGCGCCTCAACTCGTCTCGATGCTCGAATGGATAGTAAACCGCTGTTATCGGTATCTTGGAAGACCGTGATGTCCATTCAATGTCTCTGCTACGTGACGAGGAGGATCTGACATGCTTGAATACAGTTATCAAGCAAGCACCTATGGCTGAACGTCTGCCCTCGCGCTGCACCTCAGCCCAACGGCTCCGCATGGCCTAGCGTATGTCACCTGCCAGCCGTGGCCTCAAAATGTAAACTCCTTGACATCTTGACTTCGGACCACTTACGATTCCGGGATGCGAGTAACCGCCTCCCTCCCGCATCGCGAAACGTTCTTTGGGGAAAAACACATCTATCCATTGTAGATTGTAATTTTTCCTTGCTAATACATGTTCATGGTAATACACGGCTACACAATATCGATAAGCACTTCAATCACAGAACGCAGGGGAAATACACACAACAACACCGACAACGTTCCTTCCAACGCAACGACAACTCCACTTCATCACAAAACCTCTCGATGCTGCACCTCCTTACCGCCAGTACGTTGGCGCCTCAGCACCTACAATCAAGCGCGCATGGTCCAGGGCCTTGACCACCTCCTCGGGCAGCGGCCCCTTCTCCGAGTCCGTACAATTCTGCTCCAGCTGCGCCGCGCTGCTCGCGCCAAGGATCACTCCGTCCTCCGGCGTAAGCACCGAGTGGTGCTGACACCAGCGCAGCGCGATCTCCGTCAGCCGGAGCTGGTGCTTCTCCTGCAACACAATGAATACATTGTCAGCCACGACGACCGCAACGGAGACCGGCACACGCACAGCGATAGGCTTGAGGTAGTTGAGCGCCTCGAAGTACCCGCTCTTGAGGTATCGCGCGCGGTACATCGCGCCCATTCTGCTACTGGGATCGAAACGGCCGCCCTTGGGCGCCTCCGCGTTCGGTGCGGCCACCTTGCCCGCGAAGAATCCGCCGCTATCGGGTCGCCGGAAGAATGAAACAGCAAAGATTGCGGGTTATGAAGTGTAGAGAGAAAAGTTCACATCAACGGCACGCGACACAGAGCGAGAAGGCTGACACGCACGCGAGCGGGTTGTAGATGACGATGCGGAGGCCAAACTTGCGACAGCAGGGCACGAGCTCTGCTTCCATCTCACGCGTGACCGCGTTGTACATTCTACAATAGTTACGGTCAACGAAGAGTCAACGACCTCGTCACTGTTGCGGAGGCGGTCGCGTGGAGAAGTCACTCACGCCTGGTAGATCCTAGGCTGCACCCAGCCTTTTGCCTTGCAGATGCCGACAATCTCTGCTACCTGCGATGATGTCAGCGGGATCGCACGAGCAATGTTAACTGGAAAGATCGAATGCGCGGAAGAGACGGTCGCGATCGTTCAACTATTTACTTACCTCCCAGGAAGCATAGTTGCTCAAACCAAACGTCTGGCTACGATGACCATTAGCATCGAGACATTTTACGGGGCGCCATATAAGAGTGGCTCACAACAGCCCTTCCTTGTACAGTTCGTTCACTTCACGTAGCGTCTCTTCGAAGGGCACGCTGCGGTCCGGGGCGTGCAGGTAGAAAACGCGCACTTTGAACGGAGCGAGCTGCTTGAGGGACGTCTGAAAAGTCGCACGGAGGGCCGCGGGAGCATGATCGCCCGGGTTGGCAGGGTACGCCCTGGACGATGTGAGACACTAACGATCCGAGCGTTACTGTCATGCTCACTTGGTGTCAATGGTCACGTCGGGTGGCAGGCCGAGCCTCGAAAGCAGCTATAGTCGGCCTTGAATGAGCACGATGAGCTCAACTTGTCGTGTACAGAGTTAGACATACCGGCTCGGTGGTTCCTTCGGCATACATGCGCGCGGTGTCGAGCTCGCGGTGGCCGTGCTTGAAGAAGACATCGACGATCTCCTGGCACTCCTTGAGGTCGGAGGTGCGGACGCCGTTCTTGCCGGCCTCGCCCATGGTCATGGTGCCCTGCCATCATTCATTAGCGCGTCAATCAGCGCCGGACTGGGTGTATGCGCACAAAGAGGAGCGGGACGCGGGTGGCTGGCATGGCGGGCGGCGATTGTGCGTCGAATGCAGGAGCAGACGACAAAGTGCTCGCGGCAGTCCGACGGCCCGTGCCATGACATCACCGCGTTTGTCACGTGCTTGCATGGCGAACCACAGCGCCTGCCATATACGGCACGTGCGCCTTCCCGATCGGGGCCTCGGTGCGCTCGTCCGTAAATGAGCTCAGCGATCATGACAAAGCGTGTTTTCTCCGCCAATTACACCCGCATGGCTGGCTCGAAGCGCAACAGGTTCAAGAAGGCCTTCTCTCTCAAGGCCCCCGCCTCCGCCCCCGCCACGCCCCCCGAGCCCGCCGTAGACGACGATGACAACCTCGTGGACGACCTTCTGGCCGAGCTCGACTCGCGCGACAAAGCAGTGCCCCCCGCCGTCCACAGCGACACCGCCGTCGACAAGATCGCCGAGACGCCCCCGCCCGCACAGAAGCAGGACAGTCGTTCGCGGCACAAGGCACGCCAGGTGCGCCGGCTCGCTGCGCTCGTCGTCCACAGTGTCCCTGACCTGATCATCCATGCGCGCATACAGGCGCGCAGGGCCGCTGCGCTCGCCGAGCAGTATGCCCCGTCTAACCCCGAGGCGGACGCACGCTTGCAGAAGGAGGCTCAAGAGGAGGAGAAGACGATCAAGCGCATATGCGACGAGTTGGGGCTGGAGATGTACGAGGTAAGTGAACCGTTTCCGGCTTTGACTGACTTCTACATATGTGATTCATTGTACGCTAGATCACACCGGATGGCCACTGTCTCTTCTCAGCCGTCGCCGACCAGCTTGCCACTCTCAAAATCCTTCCCGCCGGTCAGGCTACCTACACCACCTGCCGACACGCCGCCGCCGACTACATCCACAACCACCCAGACGACTTCCTCCCCTTCCTGCCCTCGGTCGATGGCGAAGACGCCGCCGGCGCAACGTCCGACACTGGCCTCATGACCCCCGCGGAGTTCGACCGCTACTGCGCGACCATGCGCGACACCGGTGCCTGGGGCGGCGAACCAGAGATCCTCGCGCTCAGCAGCGCGTTCAACGTGCCAATACATGTCATCCAGTGCGGCCAGCCCCCAATTGTGATCCATCAGCCACAGGGCTCGACGGAGAATAGCAGCGTCTCGGACAAGAACGTCGTGCACATCAGCTATCATCGCAGGATGTACGGCTTGGGCGAGGTGAGGGGCCATAGTTCTCGGTCGCCGTTCCGTTATTGACGTTCCTCGTTTGAGCATTACAACTCGCTTCGGCCGAAATTTAGCTTCAAAGGGACAGTCAAATCCGTCTTCAAGCCCAACTCATAATCTACTCCGGGAACATATATCCAGCATATCCTGTCGTCACCCTGGGAACGCACTTCTTGCATGACTGTTAGCATATCATACCGTACTCATCCTGCTGTATTAGTAGGGAAGCACGTCCAGCGCTGTATCATAATTACCAGCAATCCACGGAATTAACGCACTAGTGACGAATATATTCAAGCCTAAGTGCATCCCATTAGCATGAGTGTGAATGATAAGCCTGTCCGATCCTTCGGTCCACCTCAGCACACCACATGACAAAGCCCCATTCCTTTCAGAACAACAGCCCGTGCCGATGCGGCTGCGGCTCATCCGCGACGTACCCACCACTCAACGCGCCGAGCGCGTCCAAGTTCGCATACGGGTCCGCAGTAGCCATCGGCGTCTGCATCTGCATCTGCGACTGCATCACCTGCCCGTGCGTATCGTCCGTCTCGCCATCGTCGTCCCCGTCATCCTGTGACGATTGCGTATCCAGCAGGTTCGCGGTGGGCACGTCGGAGCCGGCCGCAGGCGCTGAGGGCGGCGTTGGCGTGTGCCCGTTCGACTCGGAGCGCTGGGGCGTGATGAACGGGATCGACTTGCGCGGATCCGGAATCCCACCCGGCATGCGGATTGAGGTGGGCAGGAGGAAATTGCGAGTGGCAGGTACGAGGACTTGGCGGGAGAGTGGGTTGAGCGCGGGGCTGTCGACGAGGGCTTTGCCCGTCGCGTTTCGGATGAATGTCTGTGCGATACTGTCAGTGCCGCCGTCAAGCCGGATAGCCTCGTACTGACCTCAGGGTTCTTGTGGTATATACTCCCCAATGTACCCGTATGCAGCAACAACTGGTCGAGCGCACCTCGATCCATGCGATCCGCATCTGTGGTAATCGCGGGTTTATCCGCAAGCACGATCTCCCCTGCGACCGACGGGTTAATCGCAAGCAGCCTCCAGTACATAAACCCTCGGTCGCGGAGGTCCGGGTTGTCCACTTCCTCCGTTGCCCACTTCAGCACTTTGTGCACGAGCGCCTTGCTTGTCTCCGATTGCGCCTTGTAGATGAACAGTTTTACCGCTGCAGTCAACAATGCCAGTTGGACCTACACCGGACGGGCGTCTGAGCAAGCGAACGACACGGAATGACGCGAACATACCTCAGTAGGCTCTTCTAAGAAGGTATACGTCAGATCATCCATGAGCTCGTCCGCGTTCTCTATCCTGTCTGCGAACTGTCCTACGATCCAGATCATGGCAGCTTTCGCCTCCGGCTCGTCCAATGCATCCAAGTTTTCGCACAGTGTGGGTATGATGCCCTCATACTTGCCGGGGTACCGCCGGAACACGTCCTTGATGACGATCACCGCCTCCTGCACGACGTACGTCACCTTCGTCTCGATGAGGTCCAATAGCGCCTTGATGCACGAGTCCGCCGCCGGCTGCACTTTGATCGCGAGCCTGCCGATCGAGCGCACCGCTTTGCGCACAAAGTCTACGTCGACCTCTGAAGCGTATCTGGGTTGTGAGGGTCGGGGCAAGCACTCTGAGCAAGCGAGAGGAACACTTACTCTTGTAGCTCTGCTAATACTTCGTTGGCGTTTTCTTCGCGCGCTAAACGGTACATAATCTCAAGCTTGGCAAGCTTGACGTAGATGGGGTCGTTGTATTTGCAGAAGAACACCTTGACGTCGTTCTTCAGCACTTGTGGCCGTCGCTGGATAATAAGCAAGATGTTCCGCAGTGCAACATACTGAACCTCAGGCCCAGACGATAGCAACGTCACTGTAACTTCTCGTCAAGATTTGTCCTTCGTCCATTTCTCATGGTGCCCACCTAATGGCGGACCCATCTTCTTGCAAATATAATCCATCAATTGGCGGTCCTCCATGTAGTTCATGAGATACAATAGCACTTTGATAGCAGTGAGTACAACAGCCGAGTTGGCGTGCGATAGTTGTACGAGCACTCGCTCCCCCATTTGCTGGGCATCTTCATGCTTCTCTGGGACGTATCGTAATAGGGAATCCAGGATATAGATCTGGCCCCATCTGCCAAGAAGAACAGGTCATAACACTGGAAGAGAAATGTAGACGAATAGCATACTCCGAACTCTCACCCAGAGCTGAAAGCAGCTTGTTCGCAACAGTCAGATTTAGCTTGAAGATGACACCATCCTGTCGGTCGCCGATCTCCGAGAGCGCCGCAACGGCGTTCGATACCACAGTAGCATTAGAGTCCAATAGCAGATCCCGCAGAAGCTCCACGAAGCCGCCTTTCTCGGCTTTCCTTGGATCGGCCACATATAGCTTAGCAACGCATATTGCTGCAGTTTTCCGCACGTATGGATCCTTGTCTTTGAGGCAATGTCGGAGTGGGTCTTGCAGTTCCTCTACAACGACTGGTGTGTTGATGTAAGACATGGTGCGGATAGCGAGAGCCCGGATGAGAGGGTTACGGTCTTCACAATCCTATACCGCTTCAGCTTGATTCAAGGTTGAGTCAAGGAGTATGCTCACGTTGAGGAAGCTCGACATGACAAGATGGATGTATTCGGCCTTCTGGCGACCGTAGCACACCAGGAAAAGGTACACCACTTGAGAAAACGATGACATATGGCTTTGTGAATATGCATATATGCAGGCTGGGATAACTTACTCTTCTTGATCTCAAGGTTAGGGATTCCAAGACATTGAATGACGTCGCCAAAGAGGGGAGACACTATGAAAGATAATAGATTAAACTCCTGTCCGATAAAAGAGCATTAATTCATTTACTGTCATTCCCCATAGTAATATTCGCGACGATCTTCTTCAGCACGGTCTTGCGTTTGGTGAACTTCTTGTCCTTGCTCTCCGCTGCCTGTAGCTCGGCACGGAACTCCTGCCCAGTATGCCTTAGCATCGCGTTAGTGCTTGAACTAAGCCATGCTAACCTGGATCTTTCCCCGCTGAAAGAACTTAGCGTCCTGGGAGCCTTGTCCGCCGCTCATGTTGGCGTCGTGACGAACGTGGTGCGTTTAGTTGTGATGCTTGTTCCACCGTCCTGCGTACAGCGAGTCAACTCCAAATAAGTCCGAGCTCCTAAATGGCTGGTGGCAAACGTCTGCAGAACGGACAGAGGTACGGCGTAGTGAACAGTGCGGTATGGGTGCCGGCGGTAAGCGCGAGATGCGCGGTGGTGAGTGAGCAGTGTGTGGTAAGGGTGCCGGCGGTAAGCGCGTTCAGCTGGGATCAATTAGCTTAAGCGCGCGGCAACACCTTGAATGCTCCGGTGACCATCACCTTCCTTGATCGTATGGCTGCTCTACGCATTCTTGATCCTCCTCCAATAACCTATTTGCCGAGGGCGTCATTGCCTGCGGCTACGCATCCTGAAGTTGATGCGGTGCTCAAACGATTGAAAATATGTACACGACGATTGCACGCTGCTCTCGCAACCCACAGGCTGGAATTGCAGATCATTGACAGACTCTACTACAAGAACAATAACCAGCACCACACAGCTTTGTTCTGGCGGAAAACAGCCGAGATGAGGCGATTTGGCCACCGTCTAGTTGGAATGGCTGTAGGCGATTTGACTGAACGTTTCAGACTGTCCTTCTGGGGCGACAGTACTTTGCATACGTGAGCAAAACTTCATAGAACACTTGATGTAGCTTATGTGTTACACGGCTCTAGTCCCAAACTTCTCAGAGGCTCGTGGACCCATCTACCCGACGTAGAGTCAGTCATATTCACGATAAGGCGATTGTCAGATTGCCGCGAGTTAGTTAAGAAGGTCAGTGTATCCTCGATCCGTCCGATACATAGGCTGAGAGTCAGGCAGGCACAGGAACGCCTTATTGGAGCATATCAGTGAGCATGTCGAAACGTATTTCACCGTGTCCGCTGACGGCCTGTTTTAGTTCATTCGTTCTCATGATGCATACGGGGGCATTCTTGTACCTAATAGTGGTTCTGGTAGCAATCGCCTCGCGGTTGAAATATGTTCTCGAAGAGGTTCAGTCTACCCTTGAGCTTTACCAGGTTGCTTGTCACAAAGTACTGGCGCTCTTAGATGCAAGTAGCGTCCATGCGCCGTTTTATTTTTTTGACTGACGGATCCATGCTCTAGCCCGAGCAAGCATGCCGACTGAAACCCTTGTTAAAGAGCTCGGATGCCATGCCTGCTCCTGAGGTGTCTGTGACGGAAGAGAACATGCCTGTGCAACCTGCTCCTGCTAGTGCGCATGAAGACGCGGCCGACGAGGATATAGGATATGCCCTTCATGACTCTGAACGGACCTCGACCGAAGCAACTCTGGCGCTTACAACACAAGATGATGTTCAGATGTCGTTCAACCTCGAAGAGGCCCAGGGCGCTTCAACGGCAGAAACGACTTCAGTCATCACACGCAGTACGATCGGTTCGTGTGCTTCTTGCGTCTCCCATGAGTTGCCTCACCTGATGCTCGTTCTCAGTGAGTACCATACGAACGTCCGCGTCGCAAACGACAGTTCCTTCTCGTGCTCAAAGAGCGGATGTTTCGAAGCGGAAGGGCAACGATGAGCCATTGACGTCGAAGGCCAGCAAGAAGAAGAGGAAGAAAAAGGACGAGATCGACGATATCTTTGGATTTTAGCAAGGCAAGGTGAAGCCACGGCCCCATCAAAATGTGCATGTGTTTCTCCGCATTCTTTCTATAACCTTTCCTGGTGCTTCGTGGCCGACGTACTGCACGGGTACCTTCATAAAACCATTGAAGGTAAAATTTGGAATCCAGGTCCGGCTGAGCGCCCTGTGGCCCGATCCACGCTGCACATCGAGCACGCTCTGTTGGTAGATGACGGGTCGAAACGTAACATCATGTGGTGCCTTAATGCGATTCACGCCATCGACATCTATTACACGAAGCATCGAACCCGAGTGTCATTCTCGCCTGAAGCGAGGCAGACTTTCTTTGACGACAGCGGAATGTACCTACCACAAGCGTCGAGAATACGAGAATATCCCATTTCCAAACGTCATATCATGGAGGAATCCGAGCCGAGGGAGCGCGGAACGCCCCAGGCATCTGTGAGGACACGGCGGAATTTACTGCGGAGTGTTGGTATGTGGGAACTTGGGACGGAAGAAACCGTGCGAGCCGAACCATGTGCCCTTAATCTAGACGACGAACCATTAAGCATGCGTCAGCGAAGTTACCGTTATCAAGGGCTCACCATGTAGTTCCAGTACGCCCACGGGAAAAGATCCTTCTTCAAATGGTAGAAAACCCTACATTCGCCGCGCTATCAGTCTTACGTACGGGGCCACGTCCGTAGACGACATACCTGCGTGGCTTCTTTTGGTCACCGAAGTAAGTGGCGAAAGTTTCCTTGGGCTCCAGGCCATACTTGAACTCCGCCAACATCAACTGGCCGTAGCCTGTCAACAGCTGCACGACCATGTTTTGTAAGCATTGATATAAGCGGAAGCGCATACAGCATACCGGGCAGCTGGTGTAACCGTCGTAAGGCGTGTCGACGGTCTTACCAGTGGTCACAACTGAGAACAGGTTTTCCGTCAGAATGGGGGCCTGTGCCGTGATAGCAGCGGCAGTCTTGCTCGTCGGCAAGCTAGAGCAATCGCCCAACGCCCAAACGTTGCCGAATTTCGTATGGCGCAAAGTTCCGGGGTCCACTGATACCCAGCCCGCTTCGTCCGCGATAGACGACTTCTTGATAAAGTCGAGCGGCCCCATGGGAGGCGAGACGTGTAAGAGCGTGTACTCCGCGTCCACGGTCGAACCATCAGCCTTCTTGAACGTTGCTTTGTGGTTTGCAGGGTCAACGCCAATGAGGTTTTGCTTGAAGTAGCCGCCAACGCCCCGCTGTACACGAAGCTTGTCAAGCTCGTCCGAGTACTTCTTCACGCTGAACATAGTTGGCATGCCGGTATAAAAGTCGACGGAAATCTGACTTCCACGTCCGGTTTTCTGGAACCTGTCCCATGCCATCCACATAATTTTTTGAGGAGCTGATATGGACGTGAGCGATACGCATTTCCGTGGGGGAGAACGACGAGGGCCACATACCTCCAGCACATTTGATGACACCGGCCGGCTGCGTGAAGATCGCCTTCCCAGACCTCAAGGCCTCGATGTCGTGCCACACTTTGTCACAAGTGTCGTACGAGTAGATGGAAGACACTCCAGACGTTGGGTCAGCAAGTGCCTTTGGGAGGTTGGTAATGTTGCCCCAGTTGGTCTGGAGACCAGCAGCGACAACCAACGTCTCGTAAGAAATGGAGCGACCTGAAACCGTCGTTACAGAGGAGGATTCAGGGGAGAACGTCGACACATTTTCGTGCACAAAAGCAAGATGAGGAGGGATGAGGGATTGGAGAGGCCTCCGTGTCTCCGTCTTTTGCTTGAGTCCGGCGCCGACCAGCGTCCTACATAGAAACTTAGCACTTATCCGGAATGAATATTGGACTACAGTCTCTCACCATCCAGGCTAGAGGAAGTGAATCCAGCGTTAGCGGTGCATGAACGCGTGATGCAATGGCAAGCTTACCTGATAGTAGTGATATTCAGCGCCGTCGACTATGGCAATATCACCCTTGTTCAGTGGCGTGCCAGCTGCTCGGAACCGATTGTAGATCTGATTAGCAACGTTCAATCCACCAGAGCCTGCCCAACAAAACGACCATCACTTTTAGGTTCGAAGTCGAGATCGAGACTGATGGACGTACCAGCGCCAACAACAACAATTTTGAACTTGTCCTTGACGTCGGTGGACGCCCACCGGCGAGCAGACGACAAAGAGCGCGACTTGGAAACGAGGGTTCGTCGCTGCACAGCAAGCAGCGAGGATGACATGGTGGACGCTGGGAGAGGACTCGGAGAGAGATGGAACGTGAGAGAGAAAGGTATCCGCGACTGAATTTGACCGCGCTAGCCGTCCCAGGCTGGTCGCAGGGAATGTCGCGATTTATATGTCAGCGCCGCCCGTGATGACGCGGCGACAAAACAAGTCCACCTTGGCCAGTTTTCCGAATGCAAAGCTCTCAAGAACAAACTCCCGCACCTCCAGACCCGAAGTTTTGCAAAATTGGCGCTCGCCACCCGAGCGATGTATGGCGCGGGTTGCTGCTGCCATGCCGAACCTCATTCCGAATTGTCTCCTCCAGCAGCGGGCGTTCTGCAAGTGGCTATAAAGACCCTTATAGGCCGGATTTCAAGCGAACAGGGTACACGCTACCCAGCCTAGTTGCAGGAATTATGCGGAGTTCGGACAGCCTGGGTTGCAGGAAGGGGCAGTGCAGGGGCAGAGATGACAATGGACTCCGGACCGTCGATTAGGTGAGTGCGCCCGCGTCCAGACTATCGCTCAAGCCCGCAGAGGAAATCCGCCGATCTCGCCACGAATCCACATGGCGCACTTCTTTCGGACACCCCTCCTGGACGCAGGATAGTAGTAACGGTGATTCCGCTGACAGAGGGCCGGCATGACCTTGGCAATTGCATGACTTTGCGCTCAAGCGTTCGCGCTCAACCACAGTTCTATGCCGCGGCCGCAGCCTCGCGTTCGATACGTATCGCGAAGAGTCTCATTGAACGAACTTCCGTATCTATGCCGGCACGCAGCAATTGCTGCAAACGTCATTCTCCGTATCTCTCATTCAACGATATCAGACGCATTCCCACCAACTGTCCGGCGGTATGCGAGAACTGTGAGAGCGTAGCATGCAGCACACCGATACATGCGATGGAATGCCGTAGCATTGTGATTGTGAGTTCCGATTTGCGGCGTCTCCTTTGTCATCAGGATGTTCTGATATCTGGAAAACATCGGTGTAACACACAGCGCTGGTGTATGCGATAGGACGATTGATAGGTATGGAAAGCTATGGGCCATCCAGGATGCATTCCTACTGCCATGCGGATCATACCATGAGCGAGTCCTGTTGAAGCGTTCCATGAGTGTCGAAGCGAGTGTATATAGAGGAATTCATCGCGTACCTCTGATCTTACAACATGCGCACGCGCTCTTTGCTTAAGCATCTATCCGGCCTCGAGTGTTTAAATTTTCGAGACCCTTGATGCAGCGAGGTTTTCTGGAACTCAACGTGGCCAGTAAGCCCGAACAATCGGGGAATTATCGTAACGTTCGGTCACCGAGAACAATCAGCATGCATGATCTGTGCAAACTTCGTTAAGTTAAATCGCATCCTCCGCCATAGCCGGATATCTGTTGAAAGCCACAACAGCGCGGATCATTAAATTGTGGAATGTTCGTGCCAGGTTTGTGGTCGATGATGCGGCCTGGAGAGCCTCGTGGCCACCGCATGGTGGGATGGTACCTTCCCTGTGGCATGCAGTCGATATGATGATGAAAACAGATTGCTCAAAGGTACAACCGAACGTTGTCGAGTTCGTCCTGTCAGCGCTTTCCGAAGTTCCAAATGATGACCTGGAACACCGAAGCCGCTTCAGTGAATAATCAAGACGTACAGCGCTTTTCTCGTGGCCTTTGCCGATTCGACAACTCGACAACTTCTAGATCATTGGCACCGATCTTAAGCAGTGCAATCGGCGTTCGTAGAATTTGAATGACGACTCAGGCGGCCTAGCCCACGCCAGGGGCATTAGACGGATTGACACTCCGCGAGACGACGCACTTCATAATAGATTCATCTTGGTCTGAGAAGCGTCGTTGGAGGTATCTGCTTTATCATGCGTCAGATAGAACGCAGCCTGCCGTATCTATGTAAATTTCTTTAGCGGCCTGCTTCGCGGCTGCGCCCAGAGCGTCTCACGGTGAACTTCACAGCTAAGCGGTGAACGTGCAGTCGGTGATACGGTTTGGCAGCATCCTTGTAGTCACACACTGCTGGCGGAACTATCCCGTTAGTAGCCGTAGGCATCAGTCGGATGGATCCTAACGCGTGTGATGTGTGGATCGCACCACGGGAAACTCATGTATCCGGCAGCGAGCAGTGCAAATTAAGAACATCTATGTAGCACAGTGCGGACTTCTGTATGGAAGGCGTCCAGCGAACTCGGAGGTAAGGGCCACCGTACCTCGGCAGGCCAGATCTGGCGATCACGACGGTTACGTGATGTCGGCTACCGCGCGCTTCGACGGGGGGATAAAGACTAGCCACCAGAACCGTAGACATGCCAGCATCTGTGCCACTTCCTCTCTGCCTTCTACTTCGTGTTACCGCGTAGATCCTCCAAATGGCCTATTCTAATCTCAAGGTAATAATGTGAGCCTTTTGCAATTGAAAGAGGTCCATCGTGCCTGACAACGCATTGATGCAGCGTTACGGGCCCTTCGGGAACTGGCAAGACACAGGTCAGTCCGTGATATGCACCATCAGCTCAGGACTCGCCTCATAAGGACAACAGTTCATCAACAAAGTGGCCGATTCGAATCTTCCAGAAGGCGAAGGTTCTCTGGAGCCATGCACCAGGCAGATACAAGAGGAGAAAGTCAGCATCGATGGAAGCGCCGTTCTTCTCATTGACACCCCTGGATTCGATGCTGAGGAAGTGTCGAAAATCAAGAAGAAGATTGCCGAGCACCTGAGATGGAAGTGAGTCCTTCATATTGCACGTGCATTCCTATATGAACGTACGCAAACCTTAGATACAACGAAGGTGCAGACGTAGTCGGGATGGTATACATGCATAGCATGTCCGACAATCGCATCGGCGACAACGTCATGAAAAGCCTCAAGGCATTCCGCGATATATGCGGCGACGAAGCCATGTCGCACGCTGTGATTGTAACGAACATGTGGACAAGGATTCGCAAGGAGGTCGGCGAAGGTCGAGAGAGGGATCTTAAGTTGGGCGAATACGGTTTCCGAGACGCAATTGAGAAGGGCGCCAAGCTCCGCCGACATGACGGCTCTGCAGAGTCGGCTCGCGACATCGTGAAGCAACTCATGCAGAACCAAGCGATAGTTCTCCCATGCCAGAGCCCAGTGCCATCCGGAAGTGGCGAAAGCAATTGCTCAGAGAAATGGTCCGAAGGTTGCACAGTGACGGCAGAATCCGAGTCAACAACGTCATGTTGTTTCAAGTTGCCATTTTTCCGCAGGCGCAAGTAATCCTCCAGATAGGTGAATATCCCAATCGCAGCGATGTCATTCAGCATGGCTGACAATTCCACGTGCATAGCTCGTCACCTAGAAGGCGCTTGTTAAATTATTACGACGCACGAAACTAGAAGTACCTTACAGTTGACCACACGCTCGATAGTACATGGCTTGGGTTGTTATAATTATCACTATGTTTTATGGCTATGTGAGACCTGTACGTCGTCTATAATGCAATTAGATCACCTCTTACGCACATGACACACACCTGATGCCTTGCCTTCACCCTGAACGCCGATTTCGACTTCAATCCTGGGTACTTGAATATGAGCCTCGCGTCTGAGGCAACATGCATCATGAGCAGCACTATGAATCAAGCAGTATGACAAGGAGGATTGAAGGTATGCTATGCCCAGGCACCTTGCCTCTCAGGTCCCTACACCATGCATTCACAAGGCAATCGGGAGGCGCTCTGTGACCTGATGGAACGTTATGGGATCTTCAATGGCCTCAGATGCCAGCCTGTGGAATTGACCTTAGAGATGTCAACATGCTTCGAAAGCACAGCTTTCTCAAAACGACATTGAAGGATGATCGTTTCAGGAGGGTGATAGTCCTAAAGCTGCCTTGAAAGATTTGCTACAACTGTGGTTAGAAATGCATATCCGTACGTCTGCAGAACAATGCATTGAAGTCGGATGCTTGATGATCCTGCGTTGACGACCCAGTCCTATGGCTGATGCACTGGCTTGCTGATTCATTAGCCAGGAACGCAGCGATGAGAGTCACTCACCTAGAAACAGGATCTCAGACACTTTCGTAAGACCAAACCGTATTCACAGTGGGACGTCGCACTCGGAATTTGCCATGTAGACCGCGACCTCCTTCGCAATCAAGAAGTTGCTACATAACCTGACTACAACTTCGTTAGTTCAGACTGCCGGTAAAGTCGGTGCCGGATCTCTGGGAGCGCTTCCATTCCTCTTTGAACATACATACGAGCGCCACAAGAATAAATGATGTCGGATTGGTCGAGAGGACGCACACCGGCCATACAGAGGCTACGGAAGGTCCACTGCTTGGCAATTGGCGTCACATGAAACATGAGCAGACAGATGAACGTCCAGTCCAAGATACGTAGTCCGCAGGACGGTCATCTTCACCATCTCCGACGGTTTGACAACGACGTCGACTCGACGAGCGGACATCAGACCCGTTAGAATCGATCTGCTCCTGAACTAGCACAGCCTGCATAGATTTATTTTTCCACGGGAAACCTGATGCAAAAATGGTGAAAATATCTTATGTCTGGATATGGAAATAGTTTGGAAATCGGGTGGAGCCAATTGAATTATGTTACAATTGCTTCACCGAAACATATCAGTATCACATATTTTTGGACTGAAATATCTTCCTTTGGGAAATAGTTTCACTATTGCTGATACGTTTCGGTAAAACAATCGTAACATAATTTAATTGTCTCCGCCCAATTTCCAAACTATTTCCATATCCAGACATAAGATATTTTTGCATCAGGTTTCCCGTGGAAAAATAAATCTATGCAGGCTGTGTAGAGGTACCAGTATTCCGGCTTATGTGACTTGATCTTCCTCCTGCTTGAAGCGTATCAGACTGAACACACCTATATACACCCAACGCGTTAGAGACTCGAGCTGAGAATGATGGAGGAGTCTGCGACAGGCGCTTTAAAGTTTCGACGCGCAACCCTCGGGAAGCGCGTCCCACGATTGCCATGTGCACTGCCGTTGTCGTTCAACTGTCAACTCCATCATCAGCTTCCTGCATTAACAAAACTTTGTCGTGGGAGAGGAAGATGGACCATGAAGGCAGAATAGAAGGCACAGTGGGTATGTATTGGTCGTGTTTCCCAAGGTCGCGGGTCAGATCGTCCGAGGACTGGGCAGATACAGCGGAATGCATGAAATACAGCTATTCGAATTCTACTGCGGTGCCTTCATGGCGTCGCAAATGTACTATCGTGATGGCCGAACACTTGACATCGTGCAGACCATGAGGAGCGCCGACGTGCGACCGTCGTGAAGGCGAATGAGAAAAGGCCCGGCGGTAGCGGTAAGTCCTTTCTTCCTTGTCCTCTACTTTCACTTTCTCCTCTCGCCCTAGTCGGCTGAGCCTTTCGCACTTCCCTGCAGTCGAGAGCACTAACTGTGCGGTGTTCGTTCTCTTTCGCCAGCTGTGCTGTGCATCATCGTATTCGGCCGTCTTCGCTGCTGGTTGACAACGCTTCTTCACGCTATCGCGCTATCTGAGGTCAATGGCACTCTCAAGTCGTCCAAGTGTCCGCATCGGGCTGCCCGCTACTCCTGCACCTCGTTCTCGTTCTCTTTCCAGGACGAGACAGCCGATGCCTGACCGCGAGAGCATTCGGTACATCGAGAGCAACGCGGACGCATACATCCCATCTCGCGCAGCTCCTACGCCTCCTCCTGTTCCGCAGCTGCGTAAACAGCTTTCCATCGCCGATCTACGCCCCGGTCCTTCGCGGCGGTCGCGTTCGGTCAATCATGGTCGACATGACCGCCTCGCACCTCCGCCTCCTCCGCTACCTGTGCCGTCAGTCCCTTTACAAAGAGAGGAGCCCGCGCCTTCGGTGAGCCCGAGCTCATTCAGGCGCTTCGTCTCACTGCGGAAGCGATCAGACGGGTCCGTTTCATCGTGGGCATCTTCCTCCTCTGGGTCTTCCATCTCGCAAAACTCCTTGCATTCTCCCACATCATACGCGTCTTCTCGCACGAGTCTAGCCGAATATGACAAGGCCGACATGCATCATGGTGAAAAGGAGGAGACTGCATCAAGGTTTGGATCCGCCAGCAGTCCCAGTGCGACCGAGAACGGAGCTCTCGATGGGTATCGCACTGCATTCTGGAACAAAGTTGCCAGTGCTGCTGACAATCTGCGGGTGAATGTGAATAAGGCATTAGGGACCACTGTTTCCCCTGATGTTGATGAAGGTAATGATTTCGTATCAATCATATTCAACTTCGCCTGACCGTCATTTCATCCCAGAAACACCGCTCGGACAGGAGTCTAGGCTGACACGAGCGATGAAGGCATACCATTTGAAGAAGGCGCGAGACGCTAATGACCTTCCTGATTGGCTTTTTGATGGGCGGGACCGAGAAGTTATCAACCGGTTGCGAAACACATCCCCAACCCCGGCTGAGCAGATGCCCGACGTTGGAGTGGAGCGCGGGAGAACAGCTCTTCCCCATCAGAAGCGTTCCCCTTCTGTAGCCCATCGCGACGACAGCGTCTCTGCGTGGCGACCTTCGCACTCTCGGGCATCGTCTACCTCTTCTGTGCAGTCGCGTATGTCGGTACACGCGACGACACCGTCGCGAGATACCATGAACCGATTGAAGGAACTTCGTCTCGCGAAACGCAATGCCAGAGTCCGCTTTGCGGACGATGAGGATGGGGAGAGTGACTCGGGATACACGTCTTCTAGGGGTAGGCCGTCGCGCGTCACGAGGAATGATGCCCCACCCAGTTCTTTCAGAGCTGTGTCTCCACCTCCTCCAGGAGAAAATCCAATTCTCCGCAGACGGCCAACTGGTTATCGTCCGCCGTTGCCTTCCGTTGAGAGAAAAGCCTCGGGTCGCGTGGGTCTACCTTCGAGCGTGCGGCTTCAGACAGTCTGAATGCATGCTCACGACGATGTATGGGACTTCATGATGGTTTCACACGAGAATAGATCGTGCACAAGCACGTATTTATTGCCATCTATGTGCTTTCATTGCTGGGCTTGAAAGTCTTTCTGCTGCTCTGGGGGACTATACTTCATTCGTTATTCGTATTGCACACCTCTAGAAGGTATTTAGTTTAGAGTTCATTCTGCTCATGCCGTACCACGTCTCATGACCTACCATGCTGTCGTTCTAGAGATTTCTGTGAGCCAACTTCTATACGCGAGCGTCTTGGGTTGTTGACGTCGGGAATTACTATAGAGTGAAGTCCACATGTCTTGCTTCGTCTTGCATAGCTCTGACAGCTTCAAGCCTGATGCGCGTGGACAGTTTGCTTTATTACAATGGCTGAGCCGCACAACGAGCGATTGCAGTGACACCGGTGATATTTCGCCGGGACCTTCATTCCGCGTGGAAGACTCGATACTTGGAGTGCCACTTGTCGTCATGGAATCGCACTATGGTTGTAGTGTGCGTTCACATTCGACCAATCGCTATCCTGGATGAAACCTTCGGGAAGATGATGTCGATGGTCGGGAGACAAGGCAACCATCTGCGCTCTTGTCCGTCTGATCTAGTGTGCCTCATTGCCAGGTTCAATAACGCATGCTAGCCCATAGTTCAGGCATTCCATTTGTATGTTTGGCAGACAAAGTCCTTCGAGATGATATGCTGACATCAAGATCATGTTGTAGCAGATATCCTGCATCGGGTGCTTGCGACATGAGGCTGATACATCTCACCACATGCCAACTTCTAGCTGGACAATCATATCCTGTCAAACGTATCATTACATTCAAATGCATTTTCCACAGGTTTGGCGCTAAAGAGCCATGACTACGCGGAGCTTGCGATGCGCCAGATCCTGCCAGGTCCCGTAAAGGCGCAAGGTCGCCTTTTAGGAGGCTCGCTACCGGAAAATGGCATCTATCAGATAGTAGTCGCGGGATACTCGGGGATGTGAGTTGCCATTTCGTAGAGACAGCGAGCTAACTGCCTGCAAACGTCAAGATGCGATTGGGTACAGGGATGCCTCGCATGGATTGGTTGTAGCCCTGGGTACCATCCTGATGGCATCGTCCACCTACCCGCTCGGTAGATGCACACCATGCGAATCTGCCATGATATTTCGGTCTTCTCGATCGTCGCTATGACATTGGGAAGCCTCCCTCGATGGAGCGAGTACGGCCTGCTTAACAGATATAAGCTGATCCTGCATCGGTAAAGTCGTGTCCCCCCACCCCTCCCCCTTTTCTTCGTTCGTTTTCTCTTGTCATAGTCGAGTCGATCTCGACATTTCCTTCGTTCGAGGTAAGCATGGCTTACAACTGGTCATCAGTAAATAGATGCACTGATTCTGCCCATTGCTGTTTAGATCACCCCTCTTTGATAGAGAAGTCCATCGCTCATTCCTCTGAGAGGCCTTTATAGCGTAGAATTCGCTTTTCGACGACGCACGCCTCGAGGGTATCCTTAACTTCGACACACATTCCTTCTTTAGCCTGCTAGAATGGTAGGACTCGTTTCATTCGTTGGTAGCGCCGCTCTGTTGGCTGGTTATGCCTCCGCTCTTCCTCGCCCAGGATGGACCTGGGGTGAAGAGAGCTCTGCGGCTGTGTCGTCGTGAGTACATAAACTCGTTATTGTATTCAGCTCATGTCATGGATTTATCCCACAGAGATATTGCCTCCGCCACGGCCGCCTCATGGGGTGCGTCTGAGAGCGCAGACTCTTGGGATACTACGAAGGTTGCTGCCACATCCACTGCAGAGAGATGGTCATCTTCTGCTGCCGCTGTCATGAGCACCGAGGCATCCTCTTGGGGTTCCTCTGACTCTATGTCATCAGATGTAGTGTCTTCTGCAGCAGCGGCTGCTACTAGCTCTGCGTACGTGTGGGAATCCTCGGCGGCTGCGACTGTGTCGTCCTCAGATGATACATGGTGGTCCTCATCAGCGACTGCGGCGGCGGCGACCACAGAATACACGTGGTCCGCTGCTGCTACATCAACCGCAGCTGCCACCTCCGTCAGCGTTTCGTATGGATCTGGTAGCTCGAACTGGGGCGGGTACGAATACTCTGAATGTGTGCAACGTATGTACCTCTCACCCATCCTTCGATGCCACGATGATCAACCCGTCTTCCAGAGTGCATCGCATCCTTTGGCGCACCCTCGGCAACGGTCACCGCCTCCGCGACGTACGCTGCTACCACAGCGACTGGCACCTCCAGTGGCACGACACATACTGTTATTGTCGCGCCCACCCAGGGTGTTTTGCGGTTCGTGCCTTTTGCCGTGAACGCCACGCCGGGAGACACCATTTTCTACATGTGGAATGCGAACAATCACACTGTGACGAAGGGCTCAGAGCTTGAAATCTGTAACGAGACCACAGACGCGTTCGCCACCGGCGAGCATGATAAGGGCTTCACGTTCACGGAGATGGTCAACGACACGGACCCGGTATTCTACTTCTGCTCCACCCCTGGCCACTGGTATGTGATTCGAGTGAATCATGGTTTGACCCGAATCGCTGATAGGTTTTTGTGCGCAGCGAGAAGGGCATGTTCGGTATTATAAACCCCCCGAGCGTCGAGAACAACGCCAACACATCCGTCGCTACCATGATGTCCTCGATGCTGGCGAACAGCTCCACCCTCGCCGCGATGTACGCCGCAAGCAACATTCAGAACAACTCGGCTGCTGCCTCCTGGGGTGACAACATGGACATGGGAGCCATGCCGGAGTGGTCGCAGTCCCTGTTCGCTGAGAACGTTCTGTACGTCTTACCGATCCATCGTTGTCAGGTCATTGGGCTAACGTAAGGCAGGTACACGCGCGCATTCCTCGCTGCGAACCCGGAGGTCATGAAAGCCGACGGCACGATCGACATGTCTGCCTCCAACGGCACCTGGGTGCTTCCTCAAGATATCAGCCAGGCACTTAGCAACAGCACCACATCAGCGAGCGCATCCTCGTCGACAGCCGCGGGAGCATCGTCGACTGCTTCCAGCTCGTCCGCGATGGCCTCGACGGCCGCGGCCGCGACCAATGGCGCGCGCTCCACCGCCATGTCCAGCGGCCTTGTCGGCGTTGCTGCTATCGCAGCGGTATTCCTCGCCCTCTAAACGTGATTGCCAAAAATGTTATGGACGCTCATACGTGTCGTCTACTAATACTGTTTGTGCTCATTCAGTACTACTCTAGCCAGGATAATGCTCTGCGGACAGTGTCGATATTTTGATACCATTTCTCGCTTGCTGTGCATGGACACTACTCGTCGATTCTCCTCTCTGCGATTGGACATTTTGATCTACATTCCAAATTTGTTAGTTCACTTACTCGCATGCGAGGAAAGGAATGCCATGTTGCGCTATAGCGACAGACGATGATATAGCGAATCTCGCGATTTACAAATAACAACGCACAACAATCACTGAGCTACAGACACTGAGCATTCGCTTCAGGAACGGAGTGATCACTAGATCACAGACGGACAATATAGGTGAAACCATCCCATCCCTTCTCACCAACAGTCCCGATGGTTGTCGCATCCAACTCTTTATCCGTCTTCAAGTGCTCGAGGAGCTTACGAACACCCTTTGAGTTGTCGTCGTCGGCATTCGGATTGGCAACCATACCATGACGGACGACATTGTCGACAATCTGGAAAGAAAGGAATGGTCGAACCTCCATTGCAACGGCTGAAAACGAATTCTCTTACGATGACACCCCCTTTCTTGATGAGGCGCTTGGCCTCCAGGAGATACGTGAGATTCCCCGGCTTGTCGGCATCAATGAAGATGAAGTCGAAGGGCTGGTCAGGTTGCATAGTCTTGAGGGTCTCGGCGGCGGGACCAAGCAGGAGCTTGACCTTGGACGCCAAACCAGCATGGGCTATGTTGTCACGGGCGACCTGAATGCGAAATTCTCGCGTCAGGAGGGACGTTGTGACGCACTGCAGCGCGAATAGGCATACCTTTGCGTGCTTCTCAGAGATCTCGCAGGTGATTACCTGACCGTCCTGGGGAACGGCGCGCGCAAGCCAGATTGTTGAATAGCTGTTATACAGCCGTATGTGAAAGCATAGTATCAGAGATTTTGAATAATGGACAATGCAACTGACCCACCGAGAGTGCCAACTTCGAGAACCCTCTTCGCGCCGTGCGAGCGAACGAGAAGGTTCAAAAACTTGCCCTGCGCCGTGCTGACGGCGATGGAAGGCAGGCCCGCTTCGTCACTAGCCTTGCGCGCACGCTCAAGAGCCTCGTCGGGGGGGATGAGGAAGGAGTTATGGTAGGCGTCAGAGCGCTGCCAATCTTCGACAGTGTACGAGGTGGCCATGTTAGATTGATGAGCGCAGGATGCGAATATCGTCTAGGAGGGATATCACCAGTAGCACGTCCTTATATATGCTCTTGCTAGGGGGCCGGATGATTATCCGGCCGGAATTTCACCATTAGGAGGTCGTGGCGAACAGACAGCAAAGACGTCAGTTTGATGCTTCTCAATGACTCTGTCGACGTGCGCAGCCTTCGGATGCAGCTACGATGTTTTGAGATGGCGTCGGCAGAAGGGCGAACGACGCAGCCATGGTACGCTGGAGCGCACAGCCGAGGACGGCAAGCTTACGCGGATGGACGGCCAACAAGCGAGATCAAGTCCAATGCCGGAGTTATCAGATAAGATGGTCTCACGTGCCTGCAGTCCGTGGGAAACCGGACGCGCTGCGATCAAACATTCCCTTGCGCTCATCGTCACACACGGCGACCTCGCGCCTCCTTGCACAATGTCGCGCCCGACTCCTGCAGAGCTTATAAACTCTGGCAGCTACCTCGACCCGAAGTTTGATCCGTACTCCCTAACAATCCAGCAAATATTAGGCATCTTCGGGTACCACAACATCAAGTATCCTTCACAGTACACCAAGGGCAAATTGGTCCTGATATGGGAGGAGGAGCTCAAGCCCCAGATCGACAAGTTCAAGAAAGAGAGGCAGCAAGAAGAGAATCGCAAGGCTAGCAACCGCGGCATCAAGGATGGTGCTACCGGTAAATTGCTGAGCGAAGAGCCCCAGGTGCGCGTTCCTGTCTGCATCGTCGCCTCCAGTTCGCGCTGATCGTGGCAACTCTGCGAGCAGCCTGTACGTCGATCATCCCGTCGGTTATCTAAAGCACCAGCGGAACAAGAGTCTCCTGCACCTGCAGAACAGGAGCCGGCCCCTGTGCGTAACATACCGGACGACGGCGCTCGCTCATTGTTCCTGACCGCTCCTCCTTTGTTAGGCCAAACGCCGCAGGGCATCTGCACAGCCCTCTCTTGGCGGACCATCGCGACGAAGGCATGCAAAGCCAGCTGAGCCAGCCGTGGCAGAAGAGAGCGAGCCGGAAGAGGACATCATAGTGCACAAAGTCGGTCGGAGCAAGAAAAGCGTTCGTTTTATTGTAGCATCTCGGATGCACTTCGCAGCGCTGATCTTCTGCTGTTCGCAGACAACCGATGCAGCATCTCAAGCTCGACGTGTCTCGAATGCTTTCCCCGAGGATTCAGGGTGGGAAGATAACAACGTCTTCCAGTCTGGTGCCGAGTCATCACCGACCCGTCGGTCTCCAGCACGTTCACGAGCCCGTCGCACCGCGCCCTCACGAGCTTCGCTCAAATCGCAGAAGTCAATGTCCGCGCCTCCCGAGTACATCTCATCTCCTGAGAGGGAAAAGGGGCCAGAAGAAATGTTCAATATCAAACCAACGCCATCGATTAAACCTTCATCTCTCTTCAAGATATCCGCTGAAGTCAAGTCTCCTTCTGGTTCGAAGCTTGCATCGCCATCAAAAATTAAGCCACTTTCGGGCAGGTTTTCGCCGCGACTGCCACCCGGCATGGCGAGAGAACGTGCAATACCCAGTCCGAAGGCAGAGAGTGCCCCTGCTGTGCCTATGGCGCAGCCTGTGCCGCGAGTGTCGAAGCCGGAAGAAAGCATTGATCTGGAAGAGCAGCAACAGTTGGATGCACTCCGGACGGCGATATCAGAAGAATCGGCAAAGGCTCAGCCGGAACCGTCGGAGGAGAAAGCAGAAGGAGGAATAGAGAAGGCAGTAGAGGAAAAGGCGGCCGTGGGTTCAGATACAGTAGTGGGAGAAGAAGTCCTTGCGGTGTCGCAGCGAATTTCGGAAGGCGGGCAAGTTGCACCTGCGCGACAGCAACCTGCAGCTGGGGGCCATTCCTTACTGCTGCGGTGCTTCGTGGCCCTTCTCGCTCTCGCAAGCTCTGGTCTGCTATATCAATACAAGAATGAGTCGTCTGAGATTGGGTTCTGCGACACCGGCAAGACGACGAATGCGATTCTGGAGAGCCATAAGGAGTACTATGCAGCTGTGGACAGCTGCAATAGGGAGAACAGGACAACGCTCTACTTTCCAAACACTACGGCTCCGGTGGGGTACCCTACCCCTCCTCCGTCCGCTGCTGTTAGGAGCGCGAAGGGCGACTCGAACTACAGAATCGCCACGACGGGTGCGGAAGCTTGCCCGCTGCCGTTCGTCCTCTCTATTCCTCATCCGGAGACTTGCACGCCCTGTCCCAAACATGCAAGGTGTACGCCGTCCACGATGACTTGCGAGAACGGATACGTTCTGCGCCCACACCCGTTGCTCACTCTCCTGCCCGTACCTGGCACTCCCTCGCCGAAATCCCCATCTACCTCCCTCACCGTGTTCACGCGGCCCGGCAGCCTGTTCGCGACCGATGCGGATGTCCCGCAGCTCGTATACTCTGCCATCTCGCTGTTATCCGATGGCCTGCCCGGAGTCGGCCCGGTGGCATTGCCTCCGCGGTGCGTCGAGGACCCGCGGCGCAAGCGTCATATCGGTGCTCTGGGTAAGGCAGTGGAGGCACTCCTTGCGGCCGAACGAGGAAGGAGGTTGTGCGAGGGCGTCGGGGTTGGTCTGCCCGAGGGTGATGACCTTACGGAGGCCAGGCGATGGGGCTTTGAGCTAGACAAACTCAAGGACGAGTTAAGGAAGAAGACTGCGGTGCGTTGGTTCTCTGCTGCATTCCATCGATCTCCGAAGCTGACGCCTATTGTTTCATAGCCCAATCTACGTTCCACGCTAGACGATACATTCAACGAAGCGATACAGCAGCTGGTGAATTGGGGCGGCGTGTTCATGGCCGAGGATAAGGCAGAGTACGTTCTTGCATTCCGTGCTTGGGCCCTACACGTCACTGACGTTTTGCTTACAGAGGCAAGCGGTACATCGCGCACAAGACCCCTACGATGGGCTGGGACTGCATTATCAAAGTCAAAGCTCGTGACGCTTGGATGGAGTGGAGGAAGTCCGTGGTCGGTACGTTCCTTTTCGACAGCTCACTATTGTCCATTGTCCCACCTTCTATTGGTCGGATCATCATTCATGCCTGACCGAACTTTCAGGTACCGCTGTGCTGGTCATGGGCATACTAGCATTACGGCGCCGACGGGCCCAGAACGCAGTTGAGAATGAGCGCGTCGCGTCCCTCGTGCAAGTCGCGCTCGACTTGCTCCGGAACCAAGAAATGTCGCACCATACGGATCCTGTATCGGCTCCACGCCCGTACCTGTCCTCCGTGCAACTGCGCGACCTCGTTCTTCAACAAGAACACTCTGTGGGCAAGCGCCAGCGCCTTTGGGAGCGCGTGGAGCGCGTGGTCGAGGGCAATGCGAATGTGCGCACTAACCTCGAGGAGGTGGAAGGTGGCGATGAGCTGCGTGTCTGGAGGTGGGTGGGCAGCACTGGGCAGCTCAGCTCATCTGCGTCAGGTGGCGCGAAGGATACTGCTTCCGGTTAAGGAAGTGCGAGATCTGGGGGTTGTTTCAACAACAATTGGCGGCGATGCGAATCTTGAATTAGGTGGTTCACTTCGATTTGTATCTTCTCTAACTTATGTTAGCGTGTGAGCTCCAGACGCCCCTGTCTATCATGGTGTTCCCGATGCTGGACTGGAGTCTCCACCATTTTTATAATGCGTTAGCTAACGGTATTCCTTGCCTGCGATTCTACCTGTATGAGTATTAGGAACATTAGTATTTGCCATTCCTGTAACCCTTCGCGCTTGTGTGGTTTGTCGATATATCGAATTTCCAGAGCTTAGATTCTCCTGACCAGACCGGCCAATAGTGTGGCACACAATGGTGAGAAGAGGGTACGGTGTATGTACAGAGGCCTCGACCCGGACGCAGGAGTACAATTGCTACGCTAAGCCAAGAAGACACAGACGCTGCGGATCGGGGCCTGCGCGCGATTCTCCCTCGTAGCTTCGGCTCGTGTGAGCCCCTCGTCTGCTACGTCACGCCTCCGAAGCCGACCACAGATCGTCAGCAGGAAGCCCATTAAGAGCGCGCTGAGGAGTCTCGCTCCTAACGCTAATTTGTCCGGTGCGGGCTCGGGGGTGATGATGAAGCACGCCGATGGAGATGACGCCCCCTCATATGACACCACCCCATCAATCAACTGAGTTTGTCTGCGTTTCAACCTTGTAGGAGGAGGACCGCGAAACAGCTAAGCGAGTCATAGGCCCTGATCATTGGTAGTGCCAGCCGGGAGGGACCGACCATACAGCATCAGAATCATCCTGTGGGAGCCCGGCCTGGATCTTCTCGATGAGTGCGCGCTTCGTGAATTGTTCCTCCGCGAGCACACGCGCGGTCTAAGAATACGTGAATCAGACAGTGGATCAGCAATTCCTGACACCGAGAAGAGTTTCTGCCAAGAAGGAATGGAGGAAAATAGAACTCACCCTGATGAATCGCTCGAGATCTATCCGACCCGTATTCAGGGCGCGATGCAAATGGTAAATAGTGTCCTCAATCGCATTGTCTTCCGCGACGAGGTTGATGAGTCTGAAAAAGGATAAATGGCTCCAGTCAGATGTTATCCAACAGAATGCGCGTAGATTGGCGGTTCGGGAATCAAAAACGAGGACAGCTATTTCCGAATTGCAGTCAGCGAGCATCACTCACTGGTTATGGACAATGGTGGTGGAGCACACGAGCTCGTCCACCTCAGGGTCGCCCTTCCGACGCAGCTCCGCGACGTTCTGAGTGCCGGCATCCACGACCGCGCGCATGCGATCCGCCACAGTGAGACAAACATCCCGAACGGCCTCCAGTCGGGCCATCTCATCGCGAATCGCCGGCTCGCCTGCAAGTAGATCCGCCTGATGCGCACGCAGCCGTTCTGCGTCAAGTGCCATCACATGGGAGAGCGACGCGAGCTCCGACTGCATTTTCGCGTGGACCTGCGCATGCAGCCGAAGAAGCTCGGGGTTCGGTGGCCGTGGCGGGGCTGTCGGTGAGGACGGAGGAGAGACCGCCGCCTCTAATACAGCCGCGTCGTCAGCATCAAGAAGATCTGGTGGGGGATTAGAAGGTGCCGGTAGCGGGAGCGGAAGGGGCGCAGAAAACGCCGGAGGAGGAATCGAAGTCGGGGGAGGAGCGGCATGCTGTATCTGGCGACGTAGCGGATGCGAGTCTGCGAATGGTGGAGAAGAAACAAATGGAGGAGGTAGCAATGGCTGTGGCGCGCTCAGGCGCGTGCTCTCAGCTGGTGAAACCGGGGGAGAATATGCTTGGCGCTCAGGACCAAGAAAGGGCTGGGATAATATGGAATGTGGCACCGGAGGTACAGGGGGTGGCGAAGACGAGGAAGGGCCTGACAGGTATGCAGCATGAGGCACTCGCATCGGAAGATGGTGGTTTGCAGCCCGCACCGGGGTGGCCGGAGCGCGCGGTAAATTACTCGATGATGGTAGGGCTATGGTCGCCGTCTCGATCGATGCACTCGATGAGCGTGGTGTGTAAATCGGGGGGATCGGGGAGCTGCTATAGGACGAAATACCCGGTGCGATCGGTGGATGAGGGGGGAGCGGGGGCGGCGGACGCATCTCCAAGTCGGTCTAGGGGTAAGCGATCGGCGGTGACGAAGGACAATTAGCAAACGCCAGTGCGGGGGAAAAGGCGATGACCGTACGTTTCCAAATACAACCGGAGACCGATCACGACTGTTATGCCGAGGTCTCTGGGGCGGCACGCTCGGCGCTCTGTCGTACGGCGTAGCGGATGTGCCCGGTTTGGCTGGAAGGGGTGGACGCTCTTCATTCTGGTTTGACGGGGAAGCCGGCTGTGGGGTAGTAGCGGACGAGGTACCAGGAAGCGGTGGAGGAGGACGCGCAGAGTAATCGTGCCCAAGCACATGCGGACGTGGAGCCGACTGCGAGGACGATGGGCGCGTCGGCTTCGCGTACACTGGAGGAACGCGCGAAAAAATGTCTTGCATAGCTTCTATTAATTCGACTAGGCTACAGCCCTAGGCGCGTGAGAGTCACATGAGCTAGGCGGTAGGCATGTGAACGTGAGTTTACGGACCTCGCACTTCTTGTCCCAATTGTATAGATACTCGATGTGGCATCTTCCGCTGACGTCGACGTCGGCGCTCGCTCGGACAAGCATGTCGCTAGTGGGGACGACGTATGCTATAGGAGGCTGTCTGGGATACTCTCTGGTGAGCCACACGGCTATCGGTATGTTGTACGAGGCACCGCGGAACGATATGGGAAGCAAGCCGTGAAGGCAGAGCAGGAGCTGTGTGCGACCGTCGTCGTAAGCTAGAAGGATGCCATGGTATGAGCGACATTACGGTAGTGTATCAGGTGTGTGACTGAACTGTAGACGTCCGTCTTTGGACGGATAGTAGGGTGCCGAAGGAGGACCGCATCGACATGTGCAAAGACGGTGTCCCTGTTGGCATAGCTCTGGATGTTCTGGCGCAACCACTTCTGGGTGAGGGTCTCTGTGGAACCCATGGCGGTGGAGACGAGGCCCGGGCTGCAGCTGAAAGCTCCGACGCTGAGCGTTGGGCGAAACGCTCGCCCAGGCCCGGTGGCGGAGTGGCGGAGATTCATGCTCCGCTTGGGACTCCGCGGTGGTGGCGAACAGGCAGGGTCGCCAGGACGCCCCCACTGGAAAGATGATTCACTGACTGATGCACTGTGTGAGCGATGACGGAGTCCTGTGCAGGAAGATCAGAGTTTTTGGCCCGAGAGCGCGTGGACAGTCTGCTGGGCCGAAGCTGCTGGATTTGCACCGACTTCGCGTGCGCGTCCCAAACAAGATTTGCTTCCGCTGGGAGGACGATCTGCCACCGACACTGATCTTGCGAGTGGTCCGTGCACGGCGTCCGGCCTTGTTCTTCCGCCGCCGACCCCGGATTTTTGGCCTTTCCAGTCGCTGTCCCATTCCGGAAGGCTCAAAGGACAGTCGTATCGGTGTGAACTCGCTTCATCACCGGTCCACATGAGAACCTGTCAATTGTCCTCCAGACGCTACGCTCGAGGACGCCAGCACCGCCGCCCAAGTCACCGGGCCCAGATTGTCCGGTGCTCGTTCCCATTCCTGTGCTGCTACGCTGATATTCTCTCCCCAGCTCCTGACAGGGGCGCGCTGTTCATGCTATCTCCAAATCAGCGGGTCTTTCTTCCCATACCCGGATCACGACGCTTCTCGGCTACGTCTGCTTGGGTTCGATGGCCCATCCTATCACCATGCCACTCCTGCTTTTGACCTATTTCAGTGCCCGTTTCGCATATATATCCCCTTCCCTCCCCCGCCACCGAGCTTCCACTTCTCCCTCTGCTCTTGCCTTTATTGCTCCGCCATTTCACATGGTCCTTTTGTTCCTCCTGCGTTATGTCACCCTTCAGTAATACGCAACACTGGACCTCTTCGTCTTCAACGCTATCTACCTCTTCTGCATCCTCCAACGACAGCATGGAGTCTCTCAATGACAGGCGCACAAAGTCTCTGACCCCACAGCGAAAGCACCACAAACTCCTCAAGGACGGCAGCGAAGTCTGGTCTCAAGAGGTTGAGCTAATATTCGTAGACGGTGAGAATGTTTACGCGTTCGGTCGATCTGCTAGAAGCTCATCTATCGTTGATCTGCGTCGCCGAGAGTGTAGGCCTACATAAATACTGGGAGTCTCCATGGGCAACGTACTCTCGTGGCCGCAGTAGGTGGAGGAACCAGTTCTTGGTCGACCATCTCAGGAAGAACGGAATCGAACGGTCCAAGAAGCAGGTCGCCAGTCACATCCAGGTCTTACGCAATATGTGGAGGGGCGAGCCAGGTCCGTGCACGCTCCTTGAGTTTATCCCCGCAGCTAACATTTGGCGGCGGGTTCATCCAGAGTTTGCTCTCGTGGCCGGAGGAGAGGAGCTCTTCCAGGAAGGTGGCTTGCTCGCGTCTCCGAACAGCACTACCAGCAAAAGCTCGCCGGAGCCGTCAACATCCGGCAACCTTGACGCGTCTGACTGGCGTTCTTCGTGGTCTTCATCGGCTTCGTCCACGCCGGACTTTCCCTCATTCGACTTCCCTGTCGACCTCGGCGCATCTGCTCCTCCACACGGTCTAGATGCCTCTTTGCTGGCCGCAAATTCACCCATCTTCGATAGTTATTCCCCTCGAATCGCGTCAACCAATGTTGCGTCCCCACCAGTCCAGGCAGGTCCTACTGCGTCCCGGCCACGCTCATCCTCTGTGAAGCTCGAGCCACTGTCCACAGATCCCGTCCTCTTCGGTCTTCCGCAACGTCCTGTATCAGATGGGGCCGAGTTTTCCGTGTCACAGCAGCCCGTACAGCCTCCGAACCGCCTGCGCGGCATTAATTTGTGGACGGATGGCATCTCTCTCTCCTCAACTGACGTCGACCGCCTGATGACCGCGTCTGGCGTGGCACCCGCGGCAAACGAGTCACCGATATCGTTTCGCGCCATGCTGCGCCTGACTGTCAAATTTCCTGCCGGCGGCTCGCAAGGTGCACCGCATTTCCAAGGAATCAAGGGTGCCGTGTCGTTCGCTTCCCGATGGAGCACAGTTGCGAGATGCTATACGAAGACGTGGGCAGGAACCGCTTGTGTATCGCGGGAATGGGGCACATTCGTGCTTCCTCCGCATGAAGTTTCGTCTGCCTCGGGTAGTAGCGGTGCCACGTCGCCCATGGTAATCGCTAACTTGCCTGACTCGTCGCTGAGTCGGTGTGGGTGGTTGGACCCAAGTACGTATGCAACGCTCCACCTCGCGCCGTCCTCATGCTGTGTCTGACACGTGTCATCATCATCTACAGCAGTCAGCGCCATAACTCAGCAGATCATCGTCGACCGGGAGGTCCTTGCCGTGATGATGTACAACCTCGATCGTTCGTCGGTTACTAGCATCACTCCCGCAGTCGAGCTGGTAGGGTTTCAGAAGTATCCGTGGCGAATGGCACACGCCTCGTCACCCACGCTGTCACCGCCGATCTCCCCGTCGCATTATCCCACATACAGCCAATCTATCGCATTGCAGGCGACGGATATGATGCATGCTGCAGGCAGTGGCGATGGTGTCTCGCTCTCATCCGGAATGGCTTTCGGCTCTACGCAGCCAGCGCGCGCTTCCAATACGGCGTCAAGGAATCCGCCGAGGCACTTTTGACCGTTCCTCGTAGACGTAACCGTATCACATTCGCGTAGCTATTCGCGACACACACGGAGACGTACTACCACATCCCTCGGACCCACTAACTCTTCTGGGAAATTCGACGGACCACATCAGCCTTATGTTATCTTGTTGCCCGTTCTTCGCCAAAACTGTATCCTTGACGGTAGCACCGGAATCTCTGTAGATATACTAACATGACACCTTCCCTGACAAAAGAAAGCATGTAGCCGCTAGTTCTTATTTCGACTTCTTCCGCCGGATGGCTCAATATATATACTGCTACGCAGATGTGATGTGTAGGACCTTCCGTGCGTGATCGCGAACGCGTGCATCCCAATGCTTGTGCTCCAGAAGATACAGCTCCCAAAACGTTGTGCCGAACGGATTGCTCAATTGTGGGTCATCCAAGTCTGGCCGGTATACACCGTTGCCGCTGCGATCCTCGGTTGACAGCAGAGCCTCGAGCTTCGGATCTCGCTCAACAAGGGTACCCACAAAGTCCAGCGCTCGACAAGCCGTTGCCGGTGGCCACTGCAGTGCTGCTGTCAAGAGACGCTTGGAAAAAGCGGCTGCGCGCCACGGAGGAGCCGCTGACGATGACGCTCTGGGAATAAACACCAGATGCAGTGCGCGAAATAGCATATCCGCGACGGTCTGCGGCCGAACTGTGCGGATCTCAGACTTGAAGGCAGCCGTGGGTATGGTTTCGATGTCAGGCACAAGGCTTAGCGACGGGAGGATGGCGTAAAGGCGGTTGATGACGTCGGTAAGATCGATGTCGAGAGCTTCGCCTGGCAGCATCGCAAGGTCAGAACCGTGCCATTCACCGCAATGGTCCGCTCACCTTGGCCGGATAGAAGCTCAAAGGCGGTGACAATGCACAGCAGTTGATGCTGTGCCGTACTCATATCGATCAATTGATCCGAGCGCCCATGCTCGCTTCCCTCCACCGGTTCGCGTGCCATGATATTTTTCAGAACCTGCATCAGGTCCTTGAAAAAATCGATGTTCACCAAGTGGGAGTATTTGGAAATGCCTTCGAGGGCAGCCGGTAGGAGAGGAGTAGGATCCGGGTTTTTGAGAATGCGGAAGTAGAGAACGAAGAGCAGTTTTAAGGTTTCCGTTTGCTGAGCAGAAGAGAAGCTTAGCGTTGCGTTCACTAAGCGCAAGAAAGGCATTCCTTACAGTCGCCGCACGCTCCTCCTTGTCAACCTCGGCTTCAGCCTCTCGCATCTCCTTCTGGATCTCCTTCCTTTCTTTCAAGGCCTTCTTCATCTTCTGACTAAGATGTGGCTGTTCGACCTTTTTGCCCTTTCCCTTTCTCTTCCCTTGTATCCTCCCTTGCTGCTCCTTGTCAGCCTTCGACTCCGATGAACGGACGCCAAGTTCCGTTTTCAGACGAAGGTGAAGCAAAGAAGACAACACTTCTGGGTGGACGTTGAACCTGCGCTCCTTGACCATACGATTGAGCAGGCGTACAACCTCCAGTGATGCTTCGCCGGTGCTGTCAGCGCGGAACACTTTGATGATAGTGTTCAGACATAGATCAGAAGACTAGAGTTGAGGCTTAGCTCGGGACCGCTTCACGTCAGACGACGAGACTCACCTGATTCCATGACTTGCGACTCAGATATGCGACGACACAGGTCATGAGATTGACTCGGAAGTTGAAGTGCATCACTTCTGCTAGCAGCGAGCACATGGAATGCAGGGCGGTCTCGGCAAGTTCACTCTTCGCTGAGTCACGGTCAACATTTGGCCACATTCGCGAACAGCCAGCATACCTTTGAGCTCCCCTTCTAATATGCGGAGGTATGCTTGATACACACTGACAAGCCCTTGTTCCCAGTCCCGCGTACGTTGCACAATCTGGCTCACCTTCTCCGCTTTCTCCTTGTCGGTGAGAGCACGGATACGGTAGCCAGGTATGATATCTTTGAACACCGCCAGTTGAGAAAGAATTGTCAACTTGCGAATCACGGCGTCGTTGGGAACGGGTTCAGGGTGAGTGGATGTCGATATCTCTGGAAGAGAGAAAGTGTGCAGCCGTCTGAGAAGGCCTAGCTGCCCATACGTCAGTGCTTCTGTACCACCAACAGCTCAAAAGACGTACGCTGTTCTCAGGATCCGAAATGATATCCTGGCATATGCCGGCAATCTGCTCCTTTGCCCCTTGTATACGAGCTTTGCGAGATTTGTTCCCAATGACGTCCACAACGGCTGGTCGTCCAAACCGAGCACCAGTTGAAACATCCTCCACTTTATAGGTCTGCTCAATCTTGAAGACTCCACCAGTCGCATCTTCCTCATCACTTTCTGCACTCTCCTCGCCCTTCGTGAGAAGTACTCTGCTAGTACTCTTTTGTATCCGTCCATCCGCAAGCTTGATAGGAAGACGCTCGATCCCTTCCAATTTATCGGATTCTGGCTCCCACGATGACCTGCGTTTCCGTGGAAGCATCTCATATGACATCTCCTCGTCCGAATCGGTCTTCTGCTTCTGCTTCTGTCTGCGCCGAGGGCTTGAACTCGATGAAGGCTCGTCGCCTTCGTCCTCTGAACCCGACAATCCAACATCCTCGTCTTCACTAATCCCTGAACTCCACGAGTCCTCATCCTCGTCGTGAGAGTCCACAGATGGTAAATCATCCTCGACGGGGCCACGTATGGGCTTATGCATGTTGTGTAGTCGTTCAGTCTCCTTCTTGCTCCTAAAACATAGATTGAGAACGTGTCAATGCTCAGATTGCAATAATTTGCACACCTTGCAATTCCTTTCTCGTCCAACGTACTCAGAAATGCTACAGCACTGCCATATTCTTCCAGCATGTCGAGATCGTCTTCAGATAACTCCACATCATCTTCGTTCGCAGGAATAGGTATTGTTTCTCGGTCTGCAGCCCTCTCTTTCCCCTTGCTTTTTACTTTAGAGGATACTTTCTTTCCTAAATCTGCATCCTTGCCCAGTTTGCGCTTTTTCGCCGCCCGCTGTAGATTGAGCAATCGAGTGGTCAGCTCTCTGAGGTAGCTATAGTATATGCAGCATTTACGCACTTGAGATGGCTGCGCTGCCCTCTTGCGGCCGAGACTGATAGCCATGCCGATTCACGCAAAGTGATGCCAGTAGTACATGCCACAAGTAGAGCGCCACGGCTCAGCGCTCATTGCGGGCAGTTTCCCACGTTCTTCAGATGCATCTCGTACGCGTCCGTGGCGCGTCCATCGCTTCCACTAACGTTGCTCAGCCGACAAGCCTCTTCAGTGCTGGTGGGATATCTGCTTTTTGGGGACCATCGTTCTCCGCTGAGGGTGTCTCTGCCTCTCAGGGACTTCCAAGGAATAGTCGAATAGTTCCTCTTGCAACGCTCCATGCGCATTACGGCTGTGGCTGCCCAACATGAGTGATTCTGTGAACGTGCTACCGACCAGACATATTCTGAGGCCCCATCATGTCAATATACTCAAGCTCATGATGCTGGCGTTCCATAGCTACAACGGTTCTCTTCCACCACCTTTCCTTCTGCATCTATATCGTATCCTCATGCGTGAGGTCGCCGAGGTTTGTTGACAGCTTTGCGCATACAGTCGCGTCACCTTCACTCGTTATCCAGGTCTCCGAACCACGAGGGTATGCTGAGATACAAGCTGAAGTACTCAAGGCACCTATGGTCGACTCGTCAACTGCTCAGAACTTCTGTCGCGAGTACGCAAGCGAGGTGAGTGCCGAATATCTTATTGTTAGGCAGGTTTTCATGTAGCTTTTTAGGCTCCGCATTTCGATACCGAAGAACAACTGAGTGAATTCTTCCAAGGTGAGTCGACCGCTTAACCTGTTATCGCTTTCAAGCATTCACATTCACCGAGGGTTGAACATACTCTTTCCTGACAAGGATGAGGACGAGGTATGCTCAAGTCTTCCTTTTATTACAATATATGGCTGACCAGGAGCAACAGAGCGGTATGGGCTTCGTGCGTGTTCCCTCGAAGAGTAGTGATCCTTTGCTCATGCACATCGGGGTGCTTGTAGAACCGCCGTTCCCTATTCGGTTTCTTCTGCCGGAGGTGTTACGTCAGCTTCCGCAAGCTTTCATTCATTGGGGTATCCAGCCTTTTAAGAGACTACAAAGCATGGGTCGCAGGCTCTATCAATGAATATCCTCAGGGACTTCCTGGTTATTCGCTTGCTACTCCAGATTCATTGACCATTGGTACCCTTCATCGTGCTCTGTCCTTCGATCGGCTTGCCGACTACTCTATTTCTCAGATTATGAAATTTACAAAACACATGGTGACAAGAAGCCCTCTGCAACTAGTGATGACTATGCTGCGTAGGTGTTTGCAGCTAATATTTTATCTCGTGATCACTCAGAAATGACACAGACTCGAAAAGGGTCTAGCTGTGGGAGATGAAAATATTGCTACAGAGAGTTTGCGGCGGTTCTTCGAACAACATTTCCACGAAGGCAATGATTCGTGAGTTATCGCCAGAAATGGACCGAATATCGGTATTTACGCAGATGATAGAGGTCTTCGACAGCATGCATTGCTGAGTTTGGCTCGCAAGCACTACCTCAATCATGAATACGTTGCATGTCGCAAGGTATTCGCCAGCAGCACCGCGTCTTATTCAACCTGCTGATTTGCTGCCGCGGGCAGTACCTCCAAGAAGCTGTCGGCGTGGCACGCACAAGCAATGATAAAGTTACATTACAACATTGCATGAGGTACAGCGGGACAGCAGTCTCTTATGCACGCACGCCCATCTCACCATGCATAGCATGCTTCATCGATTGGCACCACTAGAGCGAGGGCAGAAACCGATCATCAACGATATACAGCCGGACCTGCATCCTCTCGAGGTTTTACATGACGTGCAAAAGCTGATCAAAGTGAACAACGTGGGATCACTTCTCTTGGGAGCCGCGTCTCGCTTGCTAACCGACGTCCAGCAACAACCACTAATGGCGTCGTTTGAAAAGATCGTCCAAGCGATCGGTTTGTACGATCACTGGATCGACATCCAGCATGCTCCGTTTGTGGAATCTGAGCAGTGGGGCCAACACGCTGTACAGAGCGTCGTCTGGAGTATGCATGGTGCGTGTCCGCTAAGCTGCTTCTTGCGCTGATCGCTCATTTATCGTATTTCAGGGTGCCCCAAGGTGGCACAGGTGGAGGAGAACATTGTCACCGCTTTCACTGAGGCAGGCGGGGACGACCACAACCGCCTTGTGGTTACACTCAATCGCGCTTATTATGTGGGTGTAGAGTTGATGAGTATGACTGGGGCTTATTAATCTGCTTCCATTTAGCGTGCTCGTCAAGGTCGATATCGGGAGGCTATCGCAACGCTCCTCGAGCCAGATGTCTGGCGAGGCCTGACTTTGAACGAATATCACTCGTGGGCGGGCGAGATCTGGCACATCCTTGTGCTGCGTGCTAGCCGTCGGTTCGTGTTCACCCCAAAGCTCTCCCGGCCTTTCCGTTATACTCATTCTGTGCGTACTGATAGGCGTCAGGAGCGTCAATTCGCAGACTTCCTGAAACACAGGCGGCCACATGGTTTCTACAGAAACAGAGAGTATTGGTTCTGGTCGACGCCCACGCTAGGCTCTATCATTCGCGACCCTCTCTATGAGGTCATGCAGATGCGGGTGAGTATTTGTCCCCGACCAGCGTGATCAGATGGCGGATCCGTACATGCGTTTCTGACCGCATTGGTAGGAAGTCGATCAAGCGCACGCATGGGTGGAGCCGTTGCTGACGGCTCTGTGGCACGCCGAGTTCCACGGTACGTACGGCTTGTACAGAACGGCGATTATCATCCTCGCGGACATCGGCCTCGAGTTCGGGATGACAAAGTGGTCCCGGAGGCTCATAGAGGAGATCATGCCCCAGGTAGGCGTCATCTCCCATCCCGCATCAATTCGTCATCATCATGTATAATCATAGGTTATAGAGGGCAACGAGCTGGAGCAACGAGCGTTCGCCTGCTTCACCCTCGCACGGTGCATCATCGCCGCCGGAGATTCTTCACGTTCGTCCTCGTCCTCCTCCTATGCGCGTTTGTTTGGCTCTGACAACTCTCCTCAGAGGACGCTCTGCGCGAGTGCCTCCCATACCTGCTCACCGCAGAGAAAGACTACACCGAGCTCGAGATCTTCCGCTCGTTGCAGGACGTGCAGTACTTGCTAGCTATCGTGTACGACAACCTCGGGAAGACACGGGAGCGCGATGAGGTATCTGCGCGGCACATGACGACGGACGTGGAGCGGCAGAAGGCCGCGATAGTTGTTGTTGAGGATTGGGTGGCGGACGTTTGGGACATTGTCACGGAAGTGGGCGCTGCGCTGGCAGCGAGGTGATCTCGGTTGCACATTAGTGCTCAGTCATGCTCTCGCGCGTCGTACGATGCGGAGATTGGCCGTCCATTGCCCGTTGAGCCTGAACTGGTTCTCAAACCATCACATTCAAACGGCTGTTGCCGAGATTCATGCTAATGTTACAATAAGCGATGTTATACAAATTGCTCATCAGAAATCATCACCAAATGCAAGACCGCTCAACCTCCACGCCGTCATCATCCGCCACCACTGCGACCTGGCGACGAGCCTGATAAGCGTATTCCGCAGCCTGTATAGGTTGATCGGTATGATACCCAGGATCCAGGTAGTTTTGTCAGGCATAACAATGATCCTCATAAGTCGCTTGACCATCTGTATAACGGTCAGAGCGTATTGACGGCGTGTTGCGGCCCACAGGCGCAACTGCCCCTCTGAATCGGCTTGTGAGGAGCCTGGAGACTGGGCACTCTCCAGATACATAGCCAAAGCAGGCCCGAGCGCGATGGCGTCGCGGATGCCGAGGTTCATGCCCTGTCCTCCCGCCGGTGGGTGTATGTGCGCGGCGTCGCCGATGAGGAGGATCGGACTGCCTCGCGCGTCCGTGTCGTCTGCCGGAGCGGCAGTCGGGAGGTGCGTGAGGAATGTGTCAGCGATGGCGGAGCGCGTTCGGAAGTGGGAGGACCAAATCATCCGGGAGATCATGAGAGGCGCTGCAGGCTTCTCAGAGTCGGAGCCAGAGTCCTGTGAGATGCTTTTGGGCCCCCAGGCGTCGACGAGTGACTGGAGGTATTCGGTCGGAGGCTCGATCGGAGGCTCTCCCATGGAAGGGGGGATGCCGACTATGACGCGGTACAACTGGTCGTCGATGTCTGGCACCTTTGGGAGAGGGATGGTGAGGAAGAAACTGTCAGAGGAGGGGATTATCACGGGTCCTGCGTCGGGGATCGTGGGGAATGGGTCGCGCGTGAAGGTCACGTCGGCGACGATGACCTGGGAGAGGCGTTCGCTGTCTGCGACGCTCTCGCCGTCGGGGTCGACGAAGCCCACGACTGCGACGCTGCGCCCCTACAGAGGCGTCAGGGGGTTATGAAGGGTTGAATGTGGACTATGCGCACTGTGGATCTGGCACCGTCAGCGCCGACGACGCAGCGAGCCCGGACGGTCTGGCCGTCCTCAAAGTGAACGTCGGTAAATTGTGGGTCTTCCTTGTCGACCTTCATGTCAACCACCTTGAGCGGCCGCTGAACGTCGACGCCGCGACTGCGCAGCGTGTCTCCCAAGACCTGTTCGGTTACGGTTTGGGGTACGATCAATAACATAGGATAGGGGGTGTAGGGCGCGAGCGCGTCGAAGCTGGCTGTCGTGGTGAATACTCCGTCCGTCCACACTCGCAGAGACTTTGCTTTGATCCCCGCTTCCACGAGGGGCTCTGAGCATCCAATCCGTGAGAGGGCCTGTGCAGCACAGCGCGGCGTTAATATCGCTCGGTAACAAGAGACATATTCATGCAATGAGTGACCTGCAAGGTAGCAGCATGCACAGCGAGGGCGCGTGAGGAGTTTTGACCCTGGGTCACGCAGTCGACCACGACGAAATTGGAGCATCCAACGTGCAGGAGAGACAGAGCACAAGCGAGTCCCGTAGGACCCGCTCCGACGATGAGGACGTCTGTGCTGGCTGGCAGCGACATGGGCGATGGCGACGTGCTCAGCAGAAATAATCAGTCGGCGGGATCATGAATGACTGGACGCATCTGGACGTCATGGACGGGCACGTGGGATCGCTTGGTATGACGGAGAGATACCAAAACAAGAAGGTAGATGACCAAATCGAGGAGAAACAGACATAGGGCCAAGACGTAATCCACGTGACCGCGCCTCGCATTGGGGTCCCACTTGGACTACAAGCTATGACTAGTGTCTTTGTCGCCTGATGGTACAGGCTATGAGCCCTTCTGTCCTGTATTTGACCGCGTAGCGCGTCCTGTGCTCCTCACCATGGCCGGCATCAATCTTTTAGAGACATACGAGGACTCGATCTACGAGTTTTCCATGGCCCTCTGGAGAACGGTGCTCAATATTTTCTTCCGAGAGATTCGTCCGCGAGGTGCATTCCACATTCCCCGCGAGGGGCCCGTCATCTTCGTGGCTGCTCCGCATAACAATCAAGTATGTGCTATTGATTAACATACAGCGGCAGGTTCATTACCTTGGCACAGTTCGTCGATCTTCTGTTGGCCTTGGAAGTATATCGAGAAACGCGGAGGAAAGTCCGGTTTCTGGTTGCGGCAAAGAGCATGAAACACAAAGTTATTGGTCTCTTCGCTAGACTTCAGGGCAGCAGTACGGGGTCTCTTATTATCCAATCAGACCAGCTCTGATGATGATTGTAGTACCGGTCGTTCGAGCTGCAGATGAGGCGAGACCCGGCACTGGTCGAGTATCCATCTCGGAAGTGGATCCTTGCATAGTCATCGGCGATGGTACCCACTTCCTATCAGAGTTCCAACCCAAAATGCAGATAGTGCTCCCTAAATCACTTCATTCCCCAATCGCTGAGGTCGTCGAGGTGATGTCCGACACTCAATTGCGGATCAAGAAGGAATTCGGAGGGGACAGCGGGAAGGGTACGGCTAGGATCAG